TTGTAATTTTATTAGAAAAGCGCTTGCATGTATCAATTTCTAAAATATCATGAGGAAAGAAAACATATTTTAGAATTTGATACATGTAAGCGATATTCTAATATAATTACAAACTCTCTATCCATATAATATAATTTGTAGAAACAAGAAACAAGAAAAAGAAACTGGATTGAAATAGAATTTTATGGCATCATTTTTTTTATCTTGACCTGACCAACAGACAAATTTAATGGCCATATTTTCACATTTTTCAGGGGTCTATTTGGGTCTTGAATAAACAATATGTAAATAGTCTTCAGAAGTACTGGAACTGTATAAAAATTTACTTTAAATTAGAAATTTCACTTTCTCTTTTCTATATGTGAGGTATCAAGATGAGTCGTCATTTTAACTTTCAAACGTTGATAATTCTGTATACATATGGATTTGAAGGCTCAAGTTGAGAAAAATTTCCATTTCTGAGACTAAGGTCCAATTGGTATAACGAATAAACATGTCATACTACCTATGTCAACTGAGACATGAGATCTTGGTCAAATTTGAATTTGACAATTTTTCAATGAATGGAATTTCAGTTATTGCCCTTGACTTAGTAAAAATGCATAAAAATTTGTTGGAAGTTTACGTCAAAATTTTATAAAATTTTGTGTGTTTGATTAAATCAACAATATCTTGTACAAATGAGATTTTTGCTATGATTTAACACAGATTGATGACCACCCTTGATATACTGAAAATTTATCATGTAAGTGGTCGTGTCTTGCTAGGCAAACACTTATTTTTAAATCTCAAAGCAAGTCAAATTTGGAAAATGTTGGTTTGAAACATCAAGTATTACATCACTTGCGAGTCAAAATGTATCTTTTTGTAATGGAATTTTTTCTATGCTCAGCCAAAATGAAAAATGAATCATTACATTCTGTGAATCAAATCAAATTGTATATTTGTTTATAATTGTGACTTTTTCTATGGTTTCAAGGATTACTGTGATTACTCTATTTATAAAGCTTTACATTGATTTCAGTCATTTCATTTGCTACTGAATTGTTATGAATTGTGAATCAAAATTTGAATGAATTATCCAAAATTTGAAATTAAAGCAAACAATTGCACTTTAAATCTATGTTTAACCCTGATAAGGTCGTGTACAATAAACTCAAGGAAATTCAGATTTTGTCATGAAATTTTATATTTTCGATTTTGAATAAGAAAGAGTGATAATTTTAATGGGCTAAGAAACAAATTATTTTGTATAAACTGAAGAATTTTTTTTTTAATCATTCTAATTTCCAAATTGGTCTTTGATATTTGAAAGAATTATATTTGTCTGTCTGGAAGTTTTTGCCAAAGGATCTTTCTTACCAATTCTTCTGTCTTTGATGAGATTTGATCAACATCAGTCTGGAAAAGAAAGACTAAGATTTGAATGAATGGTATAGCCACTGGAGATTTCATTCTTAAAACTGGCATGTTTCACAGAATCCTGATACCTGCTGTTTTATACTTAATTAATTATTGACTGTTTATATTGAACCAGTTGCTAGAATATTGGTGAAAATTATCAAGACACTTTCAAAGTAAATAGATAATGATTGTTTAATTAGAAGATTGTAGACAATTTAACACTAAGCCTCTAGGTAGAAAAATAAAATAAGACCAAAATAGAACCATTTACCAGTTGAAGTGAATATTGTAATCAATGGTGTCTAAGAATTGATTGCTTTCACTAAAATGGTTCCATTTGGAAACACTTCAAACTCTTCTAGTATTTCTGTTGTGTTTTTAATCTGATTACCATGTGCTTCCATGACCTTTCTGGTAGTAAGGTATTACAAGAAGATAAATACCATGACATCAATGTGGATTAATGTGTAATTCTTAATTCTTCCTTCTATCAAATTAACTTTTAATGAATCTCGTAAACCAGATTTTCTGTAGTTTAAGAAAATGTAGAAATGTTATTACCATAAGCCAGATCATAGATGACATTTAAATGATTGCAATTTAGAATAAATCTTAAAAGCCAGGTGTTCCCTCATTGCATCAAAATAAATTTAACTTGTTCCAAAAATATATGCAGTTATACCTATTATTTATAGGTAGGCAGTCCAGAAATTTCATATTTTTATTTTATTCCTCCAAATAACAAATTCAAGCACAAGTGAATAACATTGGCATTGATATGTTTCAATAAAAAGAATTTAGATATAAATTTCAGAGCTAAAATAAATACAAAAAATAAATGTTCTAATTCAAGACAAACTCATCTTGTTCTCATGCAATTTCATGATTATTCAACAAGAACCGAATCTTTCCATTTGAAGTTTACAAATTTTGATGGATTGGACTCATTGAAAGTTTGGTCAACTTATGTGTGAAGGTAGAAGCTTTGACGCATGAAATGAGCATAAAGTAAAGAAAATCTGCAAAAATGCTTTTCTATCAAAAACTTGAATTATGGACCACTTGTGAATGATGTGGCTTTAAATAGATCTAAAAATATCAAGTGCTCCACAATTTCATCAAATAATGTAAATCCATGTATCACTGGTACCTTCAGTTTAACGAAGTTATGACTTCAAAACCAAAGCAAAAGATCTTTCATGTTAAACAGGTTTAAGATTACAAAGATCAAACCTTTGAATGTTTTTTTTTTTGTGACAAGTTTTCTAGAAATAAATGATAAAAAATTTGGTTCATTATAAAGATGAAGAAGTATTAATGTATCTGTCATATGATATAAGTCTTATATATTAATCAATATACAGATATAAAGAATAATGGGAGAGGATATTGAGAAGACCTAGATAAGAGTTTATATCTTTATAAATCAATATGATATATTCTTTACATACTCTTTTCCTCTCACCAACATTTCAAGAGAATATTTGTAATCATTAAAAGATTCTAGTTATCTGGTTTGAATCGATTTGATCTTTGAGAGCCATGTCTATCAGACATCTTAATCCTTGGGTTTTTATTTCCATCTTCTGTTGTCTGAATGTTATTTACCACTAATGTATTGCTTGATATGTCTCAATTTGTATACTGGTATAAGCAGTGTTATTGGCTGTCTGAACCTATCAAAATATTAACAATGTAGACCAATCCATCTAAAATGAACAGTGAAGAAAGCACTTAGCTTTGTAAGAGGAACTCTTATTTTATGGAGGTATAAAAGATATAAGATTTGACAATGTTTAAATACATGTGGGTATAATAAGTGGTGGTCTGATTCCTTTATTATCACTAAGTCTATCAATAAATCAATTGTTCCCATATCATACCAATGAATTCATCTGACAGACATAAACAAATTTGTCTGATAAATATTTCCTTCCTATCTGCTAGTATTTATTAATGTTTTACTAGCTTTATTATTGTCTCTCATTATTAATCTTTAATTAAACATTATGTATTTTCCAATATTACCCAATATGTTATTTTTATCATAATAATATTTCAATCAATGAAGGCAATATCAACTGGTTTATCGTTGGAATTGGTTTTAGAGTTTTATTGGTACTTGATTGTTTTTGCGTTCTGTTCTGTTTATTTTTACGTCAGAGCCACCTTCGTTTGTTCCATTGTCAATTAGAATGGGCTTGACTCATAATCTGTACAATAGCTTCCAAGTTTTGTTTGTTGATGATATTCAATAGTTTTATCCATTTTTAGTATCAATAATTATTTAATGTTTCTTTTTCTCTGACAAACTATCTACCCACTATCTGAAAAAACATTCGTCATTCCTAATGTTATTAGAGTAGGTAAACTTCATTCAAATTGATGAATGAGTTGAACACGTATAAAATCTCTGAAATCTGTTGAATCGCTGTTATTCTTTTAAATCTAATCAAAATGTTATATGGTTTTTGTCTCAATATACATCGGTAAGAATCTTTTCTTTTACTAAAGTCTTAGCTTACTAACCTTTACATGTAAAATTATTTTTTTTAGTTTGAATAATTGGTAAATGTCTTTGCATATATTTTTTTTTAAATGTTTGTCCTGTTCTGATAAAATACAGGCATGTTGAATAATTATTCACTAAATCTTTTGAGAGCTGTGGTGGCAGTAAGCATCATGCTTGTTAGCTAACCTCATGGTCCAGGGTTCAATCCCTGAATAGGTCGAGATAATACCTTTGGATTTTTCAATCAGGTTTCACCTTGTCTGTGATGCAATGATTCAGTCGAAGGAAAAAGTGTGGATGTGGGACAATAAACATAGGCCTATATTCTACTAACTTTGCACATTAAAGATCCCTGACAGATGGAAAATCTAGGAATAAAAAACGGCTAATGGCACTGTCATGGCAAAATTTTTCTCATTGCACCCGGCATGGCGTCACCCAACTTCATTAGCTCTATTAGGTGCAGAAAAGTAGGATGTAAAACACCATTCATTTCATTTTCGGAATTTTAGATTATCTACATACATGCATAAAAAATTTAACATGTTTTGTTTTGAAAATATTTGATGTTATCAATTGGGCTTTGATTCCATTCATATAAATATCTAAAAAAAAGAATTGAACCAAACAAACTCATTATAGCTATTATGCCAAATTTTATTTGTTGAAATGAGCTCAGAAATTGTAATTAGTTGAAAGGATGTTTGAAGTAGAATATCTGGAGAAAATCAATGCAAATAATATGAGTAATCTAAATATTTTCTCTTCTGGCTTTTTGGTTATCACATGAAATTTATCAAGTTTTTGAATTCTGTTCTTGATCCACGAAATTTATGGAGATCTCCGTTTTAACAGGAAATTGACTTCAAAAATGATACATTTGAATTTTGCTGTTCAATGCATAAATCTTAGAAATCCAAGAAAATTCAGAAAATGTCTATAATACTTAAAAAAATTGTTAAAGCCTTTATGTATCATTAGGGAGGGAGCCGTGGTGGCTCAGTGAGTTAGATGATTGGATTAACCTGAAGGTCCAGAGTTCAATCCCAGACTTTATACCGTTTCGTGTTTTGCGTTGTGAATGATGCAGGGTGGAAGGTATGATATGGAAAAAGCGTCTGGTCGTTCGGATGGGACAATAAACAGAGGCCCTTTTGTTACAGTGTGTGCACGTTAAAGATCCCTTGATAGTTGGACATCAAAGAAGAGCAGGGTTAATATCTTAATACCTTAATTTACCATTGCACGCTGCATAGCATTATCCGCCTTCATGAGCCGATTAGGTGCTGCAAAGTAGGACACAAACCTCCATTTCATTTTCCATTCTGAATAGAAATGTTAGTGTATTCTGTATGGAAATGTTAGTGTATTCTGTATAGAAATGTTAGTGTATTCTGAATAGAAATGTTAGTGTATTCTGAATAGAAATGTTAGTGTATTCTGTATAGAAATGTTAGTGTATTAAATTAATCTACTACATGGTAATTTGTATATTTCTACATGTATCATGTATATGGAAATGTTAGTGTATTCTGTATGGAAATGTTAGTGTATTCTGTATAGAAATGTTAGTGTATTCTGAATAGAAATGTTAGTGTATTAAATTAATCTACTACATGGTAATTTGTATATTTCTACATGTATCATGTATATGGAAATGTTAGTGTATTCTGTATGGAAATGTCTGTATAGAAATGTTAGTGTATTCTGTATAGAAATGTTAGTGTATTCTGAATAGAAATGTTAGTGTATTAAATTATACCTACTACATGGTAATTTGTATATTTCTACATGTATCAGCTTGTCTGTAATTCAATAAGGAGACATACAAACTATTTATTACTTCTTTTAAGATGATAAGAATGAAAGACATGTCCATATTTTGCAACAACAATACTGTGCTAAGGATTCTATTAACTTTTTTTCCTTGGCTATTGGGTAACCATTTTATGTGTAGTCATTTACAGCTTGGCAGACTGGAATAATGAGGAAAAACAACTTGCTCAAGGTCACCAGACTTGCACTTTAATATTAGAACTCAGAGCTATCATTTCCGACATAACAAGAAAAATTTTGTCACAGAATTCTAAAAACTGTGACACACTTAACTATATTTTCTAATCTTGGTCATGCAAATAAAAAAAATCGTATGATTTAACTCTGCATGTCAATAATGACACATATGTAATTGTAGGTCTTCTGAAGAAATCTTTGAGGTCGATACAAACTATTATCATTATTATATTCTATGGTCTCAGTATGGAAATCTGTTTTCCTGGGTCATTATTTTCTCTTTGATTTTTTTTTCAGAGGCAAAAAGGAATTACGTCGTTCCAAGACTTTACCAATTATTGATGTAAGCAAGGTTATACCAGTTGATCCTCCAAATGGCAAGAAAAACAAAACCCAAGGTCGTAAATACTCTGTTCCCTCTCATATCATCGAAAAAACAGCCTCCGAATTAACTTCAGGTAATGAGTCACTTATATTACAATGTTTTGATGAAGATTTGTTGATAAACATTCATCATACTAGGATTGGTTCAATGTCAAATGATATAATCCAGTACATTCAATGATGAGATGTTGTTTAATATGTAAATTACCAAGGTAAAAAATGTTATGTTTTAGGTAATATGATCAATGTCAAAAAATCCACACTAAATCGATAACTTATAACATTAACATTAACATAACTGTAATGAATGTATCAATTATACAATATAACTTTTGTGGACTGTCTGGGATTCAGTGTTGAGAATACCAGTTGCAGAGTGACATCAGTATGATATCTCAACTTTTCTTCAAATATATGGTTTTTAAAGATCTCTATCTATCAATCTATATTTAATTCAGATATTACTGTAAACTCTTTCAGTAATTTTGAACATAAATAAACAAGAGTTTGCATTTATTGTTGAACATTTGACTGGAAATGTACTGTCAATCTGATTTTTATCACTCACAGAAAGAACTGTAGCAACAGAATGTATGTCACGGCTTGGATTAGAAGTCTTATAATGTCTATAGAAGATAGATATCTTTTCCGTGTTTTGTCTGGAAAGTTCTGAATTGATTTATTTGGCTTCAAGTTGTCAGAACAATTCCATGTATAGATTAGACAAAATAAAAATAATATGGTCATATTTAAAAATATCATTCTATCTTCATGCATATCTGTCACTTTGTACTACCCAATCAATAGATCAACTTGCATACGATGGAAGCCGAAAATCTCTGAAATTGACGTCTTGTCATCCATATTTAATGAAATGGAACCCGAGTCATTACTTGAAGATGTTGACAGAAGTCAGACTCATCAAATAAAGGTTTCTCTACAATTTGTTTGTCTATCCATCCTATAACACTCTGAATAATGAGTTTTCAGTTGAGGTAGACAATAAAGTATATAGAATTATATATCATAACAAATAAACAATCATTTGCTATATTTAGCAAGAGACTAAAAAAACAAAATTAATCACATATGTCATTTTGTTCTTTTATAACTTTTGGTAGAACTTAATTCACCTAATCTGAAATCCATTTCATTTCTAACAAAAAACATAAGTGATTGGTACTGTATTTCAGCCTCTTTTCCACCACAATGTGCCTCCAATCAAACCACAGGAAATACAGAAAGAAAATACTCCTATCCATTCTTCAGAAGACGTAAGTATTAGTCTTTTATAATGTATCATTTGAAGCTCCTGTGTGCCCATGCTCCAACGACAAGATTGTTGGGTCACTTGAACATCCAACTAGTTTGATATTTGTCGTTTTCTCCATGTGCCCACACCTCCACAGAGTGTCATCATCCAATCAAAATTATTCTATATCTATTCCATCACGTGTTAAATCAGAAGTCACATAACACATCACAAAATGGCAAAGGATAGGTGCAACGGCCGACTGTGCCCACGGCCATCTTAAAAACTCTTGACAAGACTTTCATCTGCAAGAAAAATCGTATGTGTGCATATCTGTATCTGTATCTGTATGTCTCTTGCTTAAAAATTCTTCATAGATACTCTCGAGATACGATGATGAAAATACTTCTACCAGAGCAGTTTTTGCTCTACTTATCTCACATGGTTGCATTATTCCATCAGTTGTGGTCATTAATGAAACTTGACACTTTTCCCTCTTAATTCAGATGCTATTACTATCAACTTCCTAGATCGTGTCTTGGAGACTCAATTTGACAATTGACAATGTGAATTCTGTTAAACCTTTTTCTATTTACAAATTGAAAGGAATAATTTGAAACTCTATGATTCAGTCATAATTAATTTATAAAGATTAATTAAAAAAAGACTTCTTGTAAGAATTTAAAGATGGGTTTTTAAGACGAATTGCTCAATATCATATACCATAAGACTAGCACTCTGTTCATATGCTTCTTTAGCATTAAGCTAAATAGAGGGAGGTAATTCTATTAACTAATGGCTTCAATCAAGATTTTCTTATTAGCTTTAGAGGTCAATGCTCATCTTAAAGGGAAAGTACCAAGTGCATAATCAATTCTTTATATTACACATTTTTTTTTTGCAAAATTGTTTATTATTTAAGACAATGTAAAAGAGAGCTTTACTAACTGTGAATGTTTTGTTTGACTCAACGCAGATTAAGACATATTTAAGAGTGGATATTATCTCTACCTCCAATCATACTTTATCCAGCTTTATTTCAGTAAAAAAAATGGTCTAACAGACTAAATCTACATTTAAATCAAACATTTCAACCCTTTTAAATCGGACATTTCAACCCTTTTAAATCGGACATTTCAACCCTTTCGAATTGGACATTTCAACCCTTTTGAATTGGACATTTCAACCCTTTTGAATCGGACATTTTAACCCTTTTAAATCGGATATTTCAACCCTTTTGAATTGGACATTTCAACCCTTTTGAATTGGACATTTCAACCCTTTTGAATTGGACATTTCAACCCTTTTGAATTGGACATTTCAACCCTTTTAAATCGGACTTGAGATGTGTAACTAACCCCTTATACATAACAAAATTTATTCATTCTCGGAATAGTTCTAGGAACGAAACGGATGAAACGGTCGACCGTTCCATATCTGGTCCACCTCAGGGAGGTAGTCACAGAACTGTTTTCAGAACAGACTAGATAAATTGGTGTTAAGAGTGAAGAAGTTCCTAAAAACTTCTATGTAAAGCACTGGCCAAGTGGAAGTTTCTCTTCATTCTCTTCATATGTATTTTCCATATTTCAAGGTCAAAAGCTCCAAAGGCTATGATTGATATATAATCATTCTTGACCATCCATGACCTCAGTATGGTGTACTGACTTATAAACAAGTCAATTTTCATTTACAACAGATAAATCCTTGAGAGTTAATTCTCAATTTGGAATTCCTCCCTTATGATACATAATTTATGAGCCTCAAGTATCAAGTTTCTGGGAGTTGAAAGTCCTAGATAGCTCGGATGTCATTAATAATCAAATTTATTCCATAAGAAGATCATCATTATTCAATTGATTCAATATCAAGATATATTATTATTGCGTTAAACTGTCCACAGAGAAAACTAAAAGTGCCTATTAACTTATATTTTATGTGTTAGAACATTGAGGAAGTTCTTAAATGGATCGAGTTTTACAACTTGAATTTCTATGTTCGATAAGCTAGGCACTAGGTCATGAAAATTTGAGAATAATTCTCCGCCTACATGCACTTCTCAGCTTCAGAATTAGGCCAGACACATAAATTAACTTGCATTTTCTGAACTTGTGAAATCTGTTGACATTAAGAAAAACCTTTAGGATACTGGTGATCTTTTGCTATACAATGTTCTGATCAAGGTCTTTGTTGATTCAAATTTGCTAGAGGATATCACCCCTAGCCTTGTACCAGTTTTTTATTCCGCAGTTGGCTTGCAATATGAAATGCTGTCTGATCTTATTCCTGATTAAAAGAGGTCATCCTACCTTGATTTTGATGAGAAAAATGTTTAAGCAGCTTAGGTCAGAAGTACTCTGATCATATTTTTTCATTAATTTGACCACACAGACATTACCAACAAACATTACCAACTAACATTATCAACTGATATAAGCTACTTTTTGAGCTCATTTTGCTATGTTAATGCTGAAGGCTTTCCAAGTGCAGGCAAACAAGAGAGAAATCAATGGCAAAAAACGTTTTTGGTAATCATCATCATCAGAACTACGAATTTTATGGATTTTTCAAATGTAGCACTGACTTGTCGCATTTTATGACTAAACCTCTGTTTTAGAGGACAACCACCAAAGAATCCATGTGAATCCTATTAAATCTGATTAATATCTAATAAATATAATAAATTAATAACAATTATAACCAAGATTTAAACCATGAAGATATTAGATAATAACATTATGTAGTAGTTATTATTGAGCTGTCCAACATTGGATTAATGGATTAACATATTAAAGATTAGGCTGTAGCCAAGAAGATATTAGTTTTCATTATTTATTTACATATCTTTGAACTGTTCACTTCTTCAACAAGTGTTTATTCACCAATATACCTGACCTGAAAGGATCTCAAAATGTAGAATAAGGATGTATCCAAGATGGAGTATCTGTTTTGGTATGTAAATCATCATACTTTTTATAGATTTTAATAGAATATCGAAGAATAACAATGCATTCTCCTTAAATTCTGTGGTATTTCTTAGTGTTTTAAAAATGAAAAATCAACCACCTTCAATCAAACAAAAGTGTGATAAACTTTGGGTTTTACAGAACAGGCCCTAAAAATGTTATCATCATAAATATGGAGGTTAGGCTTCAACAAATTTGAAGTTATAATAGGGTCTTAAATGATGTCAACTTTTCATTGTGAAACTTTGCAACAAGTCTCTTGATCTTTTGCTTTTTTTCATGAAAAATATTTGGTGTCTCATTGACTGCAAAATGATGTTGATTATGCTTTAGTATTTTACTATTATATGATTTTACCATTGCATGTATACATTATGCTGTTCAGGACATTCAGTAAAATGATACACCTATTACCAATTTCTCATATAAAAATGAAAACTGATCTTTCTGTCAAAAGATTGAAACTAGAATTTGCGTTTTCCCAATCAGCTTTGACGATGGTAGAGGAATACATCATTTGGTTATGAAAGTATTTTTCAGTTAACAGACAATAGTAATTCATAATTGAAACAGCCTTGAATTGTAGTTTATGAATATAATATATCAGATCATTCTCTTCATAAGAAAATTAACTTTTCTCAATACACTTATCTAATACAACCGATCATTATAAACAAAGGTTACATGGGAAGGTTATCTAAAACTTGAGAGGGATTCTATGTACAAGCCAACTTGTAAAACAATAAGTTGGAAATGAAATGACAGGAACTGACAAATGAATAGATAGACCTCAAATTAACTTCCAATTAATTTCAAATTGTTGATTAGCGCATTTGGCACTTGGGAATACTTTAATTGTCTCCCTTTGGTCCAGTAATAGAGATTACTTGAATCTGATAAATTATTCAGAAACAAATGTATGGTGCGGGGATAGCTTTAGAAATTTAACCTTGTAGGTAGAAAAGTCTATTGAGCAACACCACTACTAAATGACACGATAAAAATTGGCTCAACGATTCACTGCATTTCATATGAGCAGTCAGTCATTTCGTCACAGTGGTAAGCTATCACATGACGGGGTATACACATTGTATAGGCTGTTGCGAAATGCTGCAATCTTCATTCGTGCAAAAAAAAAATCATAATAGGAACAAAAGTAACATGCAGACAATGAAGATTGCATGGCTTAGCTGTTGACTCAATGTGTATCCTGTGCTTTAAACAGGAAAAAGATACACAGTAGAAAGTACATAGAGGCCAATGATAAGAGATTTTGTCTAACTGTATAGTACATGAGAATCATGACAATATACTTCTATCTTATAGTGCAATACATTTTATCTTATTAAGCCATAAAGTCTACCCGACATTGAACAGATCATATAATATAATAAGTTCATTGATTGAATCACAGCAGAAGAACTGGAGCCTTTACTATAAATTTCCTTAAAAGGATTAACTGGTCTACAACTCTAAATTTATGTTTTTTGTATTCCTCTTAAAAAATCATACTCAAAAATTTTATGACGTCACAAAATGCAGTATAACAATAAGAGCCTAGAATATTTTGATTATTATTTCTTCTGAGTCTTTTGCTTAAAATCATTAATATAAAAGAAGGTGATTTATTTTGTTGTTTTATTTGAGAATATTTACCCCTTCTGGAGATTTTAGGTGTACTTTCTAATTTTTGTTGTTGGAATGCTCCAGTTTCAGTGAAGCTTTCTTGCATTCATTAAGAATTGTTATATTGAAATAGCACACTAAAATAGCTCCAGTGAAAGGAAGGAAATTTGTCACGCTGCAGAAAGTCTCATTATTTCCTTAGTTAGGATGTGCATTAGTTTAATAGAATATATTACTAATACTTATATCCTTACTTCATTATCTGATGATAATTGTGTGAAAGGTTCATTAATTGTTTATAAGTAAGAGTAATAATAAGAGATGGCAGTGACATTCATTTTTAATTTGTCATTATTGAGTTATAATTAAGTTTAGCTGGAGGTCATTGGTGATCATTATGGGTTGTTAAAGAAATGAATGTGGAATGAAATTAAAATTTTAAGTTTTTCTGTATTGTGACGAATTAAAATAAAATAAATTAACTTCCCTTGAGAATGTAATTCAAAAATAGAAAATTTTTATTTCAATTTATTTTTTAAAGAAATTTTGTGCCTCTTAAAGGTATAGTACCTCTTTGGATGACAAAAATGTTTTAACTTGGCCAAAATGAGTCTTTCATCATCAGTGGCTTTACCTGGTGTCAAAACTATACAACAGAATCCCTCTATAATCCAATAAATCCATATAACTATGTAATGACTCATTAAACTGAGTAATTTTCCATTAAACTAAGTAATTTGAAACATGCTTAGCAGAAGGAGATTGATAAAGATTCTATTCTTTAGTGATGGCACTACCTAGTAAGTCCAACTAATGAATATTACTCTTGTTAAACAAGTTTGAGAAATTAAATTTTATGTCCGCAAGTAGTATTCCTTTAAATGATAAGCTAGTTAACCAATATTTCATTACCACTTTACACATGAAATGATACAACAACTAGAAACCAAAAATTTAGGTACTGTTCCTTTAATGCTAGTAACTTTTATCAGAGTCCCACACAAATACTGTCCCTATGTATGGCTCTCATTAAAATATAAATAGTCCTATAATGATTTATATAAGGTCTGATATAAAGGACAAGCTAATAAAGATTAATATTTTTATTACCTATATACTAGGATGTTTAAGTAGAAGGGTCAATATTATTTTACCTATCTATATCAATAATCTATAGACAGTTTTACTCTCCTTTCAATATTAAAATCTTATCGTGATCAGATTGTCACTCTGAAGAGCAACGTAGACTTTGTACATGTTGGCTTTCATGTATCTGAAAAAGTTAGATGTATTTTATTTCATAAGGAAGTTGATATTGATACTACAAAAGTAACCTTGGGGATTCCATGCTTTTGAAGAATGAGATATTTAAATAACATGTCTGTGATTTCATGCATTTGAAGTATGTGTTATTGTTAAAGTTGATGTATCTTTGTTTTTTTTGACAATTGGAGAGCTTATATTAAATAATGCCTCTGTGACTTCCTTCATTTGAGAATAAGATATTGTTATAAGATAACAAGTTTTTTTGTTTTTTTACATTTAGAGAAATAGATATTTTATATATAAATAATGCCTCTGTGACTTCCTGCATTTGAAGAATATAAGTTAAGTTAAAATTTAAGATAATGCCTCAATGGTTTTGTGTATTTGTAGAATGTGTTATTTTTTTTTAAATGATGCCTCTTTGATTTCAAGTGTTGCAAAATAAGCTTTGTGTAAGTAAATGCCTCTGTGGTTTTGTGTATTTAAAAATAATGTAGTGTTTTAAGATAATGCCTCTGTGGTTTTGTGTATTTGAAGAATAAGATATAATAGTGTTGAGGATAAACCTCTGTAGTTTTTTTCTGTATTTTAAGAATGTGGTGTATAATAGGATAATGCCTCTTTCGAGAGTTGGAAGAATAAGTTTTGTTTACAAGACTGACTTGACTTCTTGTATTTGAAGAATAATATATTGTTTGAGATAATACCTCAATGGTTTTGTGTATTTGAAGAATGTGGTATTATATAAGATTATGCCTCTTGCAACCTTTTGAAGAACAAGTTTTGTGTAAGATAATGGTTTGTGACTTCCTGAATTTCAAAATTGTTTAAGATAATGCCTCAATGTTTTTTTTGTATTTAAAGAATAAGATATTATATAAGTTAATGCCTCTGTGATTTCATGCAGTTGAAGAATGTGACATCATTTAACATAATGTCAACTTTAACAGAATATTAATTTTTTAAAAGATTAAGCCCTAGATTAGGTTAACTATATTTTTTATGATTATGAATATGTATGAGGATATTACTTATAAAATTTATGATTTAATGCTATCATTGTTATCAGCTAAGAGTTTTAGGAAAGGAAATTTCTAGCGCCTTCAAGTATATGTATCAAATAGAAAGGCTTGAATATTTCTGTCTCTATTAAGTGTTAATAAGATATAGTAATTGAAACACAATGTGTAATGATATAGATTTTGACAGTAAAAAAATCAGAATAATGTTGTGGTTATAAAGTTGGGAACAATTACTGACATCTGATATCTTGTTTACGGAAAACTTCAGAATTTTTTATGTCTGTTACACTGGAATATTATAAGTGTCATGATTTTCTTCAATATCAAAGACCATGAACAATATGATTAATTCAAACACTTGAAAATTGAAAGGAAATGACAAATGTTATCAAACTATCTACTATACATAAGTATTCATTTTTAAATTTTAAATACACTTTCTGCTCCCATTGAGTCCATTTAACTTATGGAGTATTGTGTCAATTTTATCAATTGGTTAATGAACATACAAAACTTTGTGACAAGATAATGTAAAAATTTTAAGTGTTTTTTCATAGCAATTGTTTTTCAGTTGAGGTTGAATTATTATTTTTATAAAGGATTAAAAGTCATTGTTTTTTGACAAGTAATCTTGAGAAGTAAAAAAGTTGCCTTTGTTAATGAAATTAGAGTTATTGAGATAATGAAGGTCGTGTATAAGATATTGACGTAGTAGTGGTTATTAAATTTTTTCAATGTGATACTTGATGTTATTTTTATATCTGAATGGATTAAAATAGATTAACATTCTAGAGACAATAAAGGAGAGGCCTACACTGTAGAAAAGTTTCTTTGAACAAAGATAAACAATACATAAAGAAGGTATAAGAGTATTATGTTTTAACCACCTGCAGTGTATGACTAGTGTCACATCATTTTCACTTTTTTAACTTGTTACATCTATCATATTTAGTAGGAAATCTTGTGAACATGTTAATGAGAAGGAATATTTCACTGTGATATTATCGATAAGTGTTACAAAATAATGCATTTATCATATCGAACATTCCTGAATATGGAAAATAAGATGAAAGAAATTAAGAGATCCTCATCTCTTAAGGTGAAAAAAGATTTTTTACAAATATTTCCATGGAAACGAAGTGAAAGTTGTAAAGTCAAATCAAAGGAAACATCGAGACCCAAACCAAGTAAGTTAAAGTCCAAGTCAATTATCAGGTTTATTATTATAGTCAATATTTATATTCAATATTCTGCCGAATTGAGACTCAGAAAACGTTTTGATGATGCTTTCTGATTTACTGTCTTATAGAATCTCTCTCGGTTCTGATTGCCTGTAATTCTTCATCTTTATTACCTAAGAAAAACACTAAAATAGTTATTACTTTATTGTGAAAATTTATTTGGTGATAGAAATGAGCATGAGACTGAATATTTTCTGGGCGCTTTTACAATGGAACTCTTCTGCTTTGAAAACCACAAAGGTGCTGAGTGTCTTCCTCATTTCCACAAAATACATTTTTACTGCTCAGCGATATAGAAAAATATTGATTATTGTTTAAATCAACTTGAATTAAATAAGAAAAAAAAACCTATATGTGGTATCCAATATGATATTAATTTTGAAATGGCATGTGAAATCTAAATATAAAGACATGCTTAAGTAATTGTAGACTTTGGATCATTTGATGCCATGACCAATGTCCTTAATATAGATAAATTAATTAAGTTATTACAAATCCTATGTTTGATATTTAAATGGAGAAAATCCTTATTGGCCTCAAATTACAGAAAAATAATTTGTTAGTACTATAGTACTACAGTAATGCAAATAGCATTTCAAAAGATGAGTATTCGTAGCATCTTCTTAACCTAAATAATACACAGTATTTTTTTTTTTTGTCTGTTGTTGAGTTTTTACATGTTAAACTCACTGTATTTAAATCAGTTCACTTATACTATACTAACTATGTCTTTAATGTGAAGAGCTGTCACCTGCAGAAAACAAATATTTAAAGCCATATTTGCAGTAGTGATATCTAGTTCAAAATTGATTAATTTGAATAAGTAAATTGAGTGATTCATAATATCAGTGTTGATATTCTTCTTAAGGAGTTCAAAAGCAGAGTATTTATCAAGGGCAATAACTCAAAGTAAAGGTAAATTATTGGAGTACTCAAGACTGATTAGATGCTAATAAGAATGGTCTTTGCAGGGAATTAAATGTGATGGTTAAAATGAAGAATATCAATATAATAAAATCATTTTGGTTCTTTGAAATTTTAGAGTTTTTATTACAACCCATTTTAGATTTGGACTTTCAAAAGATTGAGATAATCATTTCATAAATGATTTGAATTCCACACATTTGAAAGAAAGACATTGGCTCTAGTTTATCAGCCACTGTTTCAGCACAGACACAATTTTTGTTTTACAGACCTTGCTCTTAATGATAATATTTTAAGTCTTAAATAAATAAAAAATATTTCAAAAGTCTCACTATTAGATACCCAGACCAAATGATATATGTTGTAAGATTTTAAAATATATATCAAAGTTAAGTCTAAAATTGTTTGCATATAGATTTTACTTGATTAATCAGCTAACTTCATCAAACTAGGTTTGCCCAAACTCAATCAAGACAATAGAGGGATAAGCCAACATCAAAGGGATTAAAGGATAGGGATTAATTGGTAGTAGATGGGAGGTAGAGACCTGTGGATTGGTTATTTAAACTCTACGGTTGATCAAAGATAGTAAGGGTTAGAAGTAATCAGTAGGAGATTGTGTAAGCTCTAACATATCTTGTAGGCTTGTTATTATACCTGATTAATATTCAAACTCCCTACCAAACAACAAACAAATCCCCTACAATAACATCATGTACATAGGAGGTTAACTTCATTACAGTAATACTGTGTTGTTTTAGGATATTTGAGTCTTGTATAAAACTAAAGTCAAAGCTGCCAAAGATCATAGTGCTATAATTTATTTTACCTTCAACATGTCCTCGTTTAAAGTCCCAGAAATAACTAAGAAAATGTCCCTGAGTACCAAACTTGTAAATATATGTAAGAAAACGGCACCTTTTGGAAAATCTAAACGCTATGTTATTTGTCCAACACCACCCAAAAAGAAAAATGGTAAGCTGTACTAATTCTCATATAATAATATACTTATTATAAGTATAACAAGCATAAGCTTAAGTATGAAAAATTTAGAAATTTGAAAATAAGGAGCTATTGCTAATATCATATTGCAGGCTCAGTTTGCACTGAGTTTTGAAAACTGGAAAGAGAAGTCATTTAGTACATCTGTAGGTGTATTTAGACTCAATACCCTCTGAATAATGACATTTTTCATGGAACTTCAAAGAGTATTTAGATATAGATATATAATTGATGTCTGTGGTTTGCATGATAGCAGACAACTGGTTCATTTATTTGTTTCTGGTCCTGTCTCTTATTCCCTTCACAGATATACATCAGTGTGAATTGTCTGAATATTGTTATGAAATCTAATATACAATAATTTCTTTTATAAAGAATACATACTGAATTGATATGTATGAAGTTAGCAGACGTCTTGATAAAAGAGAATATTAATGTAAAATTATCTCCCTTTAGTCTTCAGGGACTTGTTTTATTACATATTGTCTCCTTTGCAATCAATTAACATTTCCATTTTTAACTCTCACTGGAGCCATTTACAATCTTAATTTAACCATTGATACTCCCATAAATATCACAAGGCATCTTGATGATTCTAAAAATAAAGAGGTTTTCAATTTCTGGAATTCTAAACTACAGATTTTTGCATTTGTTGTTTTCATTTGAACCTTTACATTTCAATGAATAGATAGTTATTTGATGGTCATAGTAAATTCTGAATCATATTTTGATACTAGAGTACCCAATATGATAATTGAAATGTACTCATTGACTGTTTGAGTTTCCTGAAAAACTATTGATCATATGACTGTATGATGTCTATTCATATTGTTGACATCATTAACAATACTTCCATCCACGCCTACAATTAATATTATTCATTGTCCGTTGTCTTTGACTAACGTTTGTCGTCTGTATTTTATTTGCATTTTTACATCAGAAATCATCTTTTTGTCATTTCACATGTTCAAACATTTGCTTTCACATGGGGAAAATAAATGGGAGAAAATGTGAGTCTGAATTAACTAGAGGCACTAGTCAAATGTTAAAGGCGTAATGGTATTAAGAAATATGGCCTATGGTTAGCATATTGCGCAATTCTGTATTAAATGTGGAAGAATTCTATTTTATGTGGCATTCGTGTTGATATTTGATGTTTATTTGTGATGAAAACATGACAGACCTTGTGACAGTTTATATCTAAATGTTTTATTTCATGACCATCATTATCAAAACTTTATTTCTATAAATATAGCATTTCCAAATATAGATTCTTAATCAGTTTTTGTTAACATTTGGTCCAAAATAACATTATTATGTAGCAGGCATAGTGCACTGAAATTGAGTTGCTGGAAAGCATTAATCATCAAGTGATCAAATTTGATTTCTAACAAAATTGTCTTTGACATAAAAGATAAAGCCACAAGCATTGGGTTTTTATAATCTTTTAGGATTAATGAACAAAAATTGAAAATTATTTATGATGTATAGGCTATTCATTATTCTCTTTTGAGGATGAGAGTTTGGTGATAAGACATCCATCTCTTATAGATATTATAACTTTCAGATGACTCTTTATTACAATTAGTTAATGAACAGATCTTGAGGTAACCCACCCGTCTCTAAATTGAACAAATTTTGGAATAATGTGATTTAATCAAGGTTATCACTTGTGAACTCTTTCAACACTGGCATTTATTCTACTGGCAACATAATTTCATGATATATATCTGAGTGGCTGGTGAAGTGGCCACCAGCCACTCTCAAGTGACATCAGGCTTCAAGTCATATTACTTGAAGTTCAGGGTAGATGACGTCACACTGACTGAGTTACTGCCCATGTCATTTGTGATTGCAGCATGGAATTGTGATATAATTTTTATCAGTAGACATGTAATACATTGTCTTTCCATTACATCTGATATTTCTGGAGCAGACTTCATCTGTCCTTACATACTGTTTAATCTTTACTTGACTTTATTTTTTATCAGATCATTTCCGTCAACAATGTTTCTTAGTTAGAACAAAGATAAAGCATAGTTAAATATCGATTTGATATCAGTTGATATTTTACTGTTTTATTAACTCATTATGATGGATTATGGAAGAGTCATCAGTTAAGTCGAAAAGAAAAAATGATCATTTGGGACTCTGATTTCTAACAAATGGATGTAATTTGAATAGTTTTAACAGTTTTTGAGTTGTATTTTTTGTCTATTTGCAGGATCAGCATGGAATGTGGATGAAAGTAGTACAGTATTAACTGAGGATAATGGACCATGTATTAAACCAGAAGATATTGATATTAAATGTAATCCCCAGTTTTATTACACAACCCCTCCCACTGCTGTAAGTTTTTTATTAGTTTTTCTTCTTCAAATTTTGCTAAATTTTTGAAAAACAAATTTATTCTGGTAAATATTTCTGTACGCCTAGTAGGTTTAAGGTAAAAAAAAAAAAGGTTAAGGAACAAATAGGTAATTGTTTCAATAGCAACAAATGTTATAGAAATATTTTAGAGTTAATGTTGTTTTTAATCTGATAATGATTAGAAATTAACATTTTTGTAAATTGTAATTAACAAAAATTATTTGATATGCCTATGCACACTGGTCTTAAAGTTATAGCGTTTTTAATCATGTATATAACAGAATTGATTAACTTTTCTAATTATAAATGTAACATAAGAATAATAGAAATTGATGAGGAGAATCAGAAAAGGTTGATTAAAACAGGTTTGAAGTCTAGATTAATTCAGATGCTGTAAGATAGAAATGAGTCTAGATCATACAAGACATACTAACATATCACCTGTATCCTCTATTTAACTTGAACATGTCATTCTTACCTTTTATCTGAAGACATTATCTTATAGCTTCTAGTCATTCACCTAGTTTGTCTTACACTTTGATTTCTAACTTTTACTATAAACATGACAGTTACACCTATAGCTATTACATGGCAATTACATAGCAATTGGAGGTCATTATTAAAACTAGACACAGACAATTGGATACTGTCTAATGGGTAGGATTTTTCATTTATTAATAATAAAATTTCCTTTTTTTTTGACTAAATTCTCACTGTTAAAAAAGTGCTCAATGCATCAATTGTAGAACGATATTTTTTTTAATTTACTCTTTACAATAACAAAATATTAAGAAATGTTAAGACAGTGCTCTACATTTTCTAATTTATCCTTAAAATACTGATTTTCTTTAAAAATCATGCAAGTCTGCAATATTTTTATTTGAGGATGATAACTGCACTTTTAATGTTTATTTCATAAAGATAGAAATGAGTATTTTTAAATGATATAATTCAATTAGTTGAATTCGGTGTTCTATCTTCCGGAAGTCATAATTAAGTTATCTTGGTGAATGATCTCGAGTGCATAAAAACAAATTCTAGATATTCAGTTACTTAATATTCTTAATATCTTGAGAATTAGAAGAAAAATTTAATGCATTAAGCTAATAGAAAGTATAAGTTCAATAATCTGTCTGCTATATGAACTGGTGATGATTCACGAGATTATTTTGTTAATTTTATTTTAAAGAATCCCAGATGGTTTCAATCAGTTTATTTAGCCATTGTATATAAATTATAACATAAACATATGTCTATTTTAAAACATGGAAAATAACCTTCAAATTCTGGCGTATTTTGGCAAAAAAAGGTAGTTCAATTTAGAAGTTTTGAAATTTTAGTGCATTTGAGTTGATATTAAAAGTATGTAATTTGATGCTAAATTTTGAAAAAGTAAAGGAATTACTATTTATGATAAAAATTGTAAGCAAATTATTATTCCAAGTGAGAATTGCTAAATATTTATTTTTAAAAATGATTGATTTAATAACAAGAACTGACCCATGTAATACATAGGTGGTCTTGGGAATCATGGTTTTAAATATCAAGTATGATGAAGTCTGGTATCAGATTGAATAACGCAACAATGCTAAAAGTTCATAATTTGTTATTAGTTATTAATATGGCACTTTATTTCTATATATTAGCTTGGTCAATATCCTTTAGTATTATTCATGCTAGAAAAGGGAATTTGCAAATGTCATTGGGGACGGTGAACCTCAATTGTTTCTATATTAGTCTCACTAATTAGACAAGCAATCCAATAAATATTCTTCCTTATCCTCTGGGAAAGATGGCTGCCATGATAAATACTCATGAGCAATTATCAGATCGCGGAATGTCTTTTATTTCGCAACCTTGCTATTGGCATCATTTAAAACTTGCCCTGATACCAGTAATTATATTACGATCTACTAGTTGCATGTTCAATGTTCAAAATGCCTATCTCTGTTAGCTGGAGGTAGTGTGAGTGCCTTGACAAAATACTGCAAGGTAGAGTTGATATTATCTGCCAGCTATCTGTACTGTCTATGTCTACCAGCACTAACCCCTAGCTAATTTACATGAGAGGTCAAAATGCCATTGGCAATCTTTTCACTCTGCATCCCCATTACATAAAGATATGATGTGGATATTCACTTGTCAGTTAAACAATAAACGTCCAAGTGTTAACATCATCTAAAACTTACTTTATGATTTGGACTTTAATACATACCTCTAACTAGTAAGTCTATGTTCAATTTATGAAATCTAGTTGATCTTGAGTCAACACAAAAAAAAACTTTTTCTCAACAAAAGGCAGTGACAAAGGGTTCATTAATTCTATGATTAAAAAACTATACATGTATGTTTTATGTACCCAATATTGTAGTATTAAGAGTGAAGAAGTTCCTAAATATGACAGTTATTGCACCAGTTGACACTAATGAATGATTGTGGTTTGTACTTGTTTGAAAGTTTTCATTCCTTTTCTTCTTTTTTTCCAGAATATGGTAAAGGGGCCTGAAAGTGATAAAAGGTAAGGACAACTTAATATACAAATCTATATAAACAGAAACTATGGTATTTAAATACTGTTTATATTAAACTACAGTCGTATGGACTTAGTTATTAAATCTAATACCTGACTTAATGACTGACTATCCTGGGACTTTACTAATTTACAATACCTTCATAATACTTATACTAACTACTAACTGATATATCTTTTCATTAGATCTCTAACTTTAATACTTTATAACATCATCTTCATTGTTTTAATACTGAACTATAGGATTAACATATTAAATGAAGGGATTAATTAATTAAAGGTGATCAGGTTTTATATATAAAACTAGGTATAGTTGATATTGGTAGGGTTGGTTGTTAAGATATGATATCCTATATACCATACTAGTTTGTTATAGACAGTTTTTGAAATGGTCCAGAATGTAACTGGGGAATGTTCTAATTATGAATGTCTGATATTAAGGTTAGTAGGAATAGGTTCTATTATTAATGTCAGTATTGATTATAAGTGATGTCAGATAGATGAATTAGTCCAGTCAGCTCTATAAATATTATTGAAATTAAAATATTAATCAGGTTAATCTACATGTATATAAGTCAATAGAATAAATTTTGCTATTTAACAATATATAGTTTGTTAAGTAATTTGATCTCATTATTGAGCTCACAAGTTTATCTTGAATGGAAAGCTATTTCCAGGTAAATTTTCATTTTTTAAGAATTTTGTTCATTTTGAATTTTGTCATATAACAAAGTTTTCTAATAATTGACAAACACAGTTGAGATTTAGATTGATTGAAAGTAACAAGTTACAATTCACTAGAAGGCAATAGCACAGGGTTAACGTTATGATTACAATGTTAATGTCAGTTACTTGTCAAATTTTCAAATTTAGAACTTAGCATTTACTTCAGCTCTGAATTGAAAGGTTAGAAAAATTAGACGAAATTTATCTATTATTAGCTCAGTAGGAGTGTGAAATTTATATTTATGCAATTACAGACAAATCTAATGTCAGATTTTCAGTTTGAAAGTGATCATAGTCACTAGCATTAGGGTATCAGATGTTACTCAATTTTGGACAAAATGAAAAAAAAAATTGAGAAATTAAATGACAATGATTTGGGTGATAGTTTGACCAATATTTCTATGTTTTTAAGTAAAAAGCATGAAGTATATAAGATAGGTATTGTTATATCTGGTATAAAGTCAGTCAAGCTAATCTGAATTCAATAGCCCCACTCTATATCTACATATATCTATTGACAGTCGTCTCTATTTATATATCAAAATACATATCTTTAAAACTAGCTAACCTTTTTTCAAGATAATTATTGAGAAACTCCCAGTTAATTTGAAAAATAATCGCTAAGTAAGTTTGTAAATGTCTTTATGAAATTTAGGGGTCAATAGTTTTTATTGTGATTTTGATGTAAGTTTCAAAATTTATTATTTGTTCAAAAAACTAATTTTCTTGTCTTCTTGAACATTTTTGATATTTGATTTGTTGATCAGCTGATTAAAATTGTTAACATCGAAATTGTTGATTTTTCAGTGTTAATGTTTGAAATTTTTGAACCATATATCAAAAGTCATTGAATTGTTGATATTATAATTGTCAACATTTGAATTATCCATAGGCTACCATATTTGAATTGTTGATATTTAAATCATCAAAATTTGTATTGTTGATATCTTATTTGAATTGTTGATATTTGAATTAGAATGATAGGAAATTAAAAGTAAAGAAAGTGCTGGTCTAGACATGTATTATATATATGAAGAAGATTATCTATGTATATAGATTATAAATATAATATTCTGGCTAATCTTGCGATCCGTGTGATAAAATCAACAATATACAATCAATAAAGTATATCCTTACTTTTCATATATTTATTGTGTCTAAATCCCTTCAAAATGAAGATCCTTTACCATTTTTGGACTAGAAAAATACGTGAAAATTTGGATGTTTTATAATGAGTAGGTCAGTATGTATTACTTATGTTAAAATTTATACATTCGAAAGCAAATTGTAGGCCTAATTTACTAGTCATGTCATGCTTCCTCTGTGACATTAACTTATCAAATTATGAATGCTGTTTAAAAAAGTTTAAAAGTTATTCAGTGTAATATATTTGATAGTATGGTAGGGTTTAATAGTAGAGTATTTTAAGGGTAAAGTTAGTAATTGTTTGAAGTAAGATTAACTATTTATTTAGTAGGCTGAGGTCTAGTATAGCTGGTTTTGTTTAATCACTGCTATTGTGGATCATTTAAATAAGTCGTAATTCTATCTTGAACCTTTATTTACATTACAGGGTGCTTCAATACCTACATATTTTATATTAGTTTTAGCTTATTATTCTTTATATTGTCAATTATAGTTCATGCATTGTATTTAAAAACATTGTATTGAAATGTCACTGTACTTAAATATTTATGGAAAAAATATCAAATACAAGGTCTGCAAGTGAATCGGTACGTTCTTCTGTGTCTGGACTAAAATTAATGAAGTTTAGTGAAATTTATAGATGTTTATAAGATAAAAGAATGTTATTTAATAATAAAATTGATATATAAGATAGTTTATAAAAGTTGAATTGATGTAAAATTATGTGTTAATTTACTAGGGTATACAGCACCATGTGTGTAATTACCAGTAAGTGTTTTTACCACCACATACTGTTTTGATATACAAGAAAAATTGGCCACATTTTGAGTCATGCACATGTTATATTTTTTTTATTATAATTGATTTATGACATGAAAAAAACTTCAATAGAATCATTAACAGACAATTCTTAATTAGTACTTGATGTCTGATAAATATGGGTTTAAAAACAAGAGATGAACCCAAGTATTACAAACGGTGTTTGATGATCAAATGGTAAAATAACTGATATTGAAAATTAATATTAAGTGAAACATAAGACATAAGGTAGAATTAAGTAAGAAAATATATTTCTTTGATGTCTGAAGTAATGTTCTATATTTATAGCAAAGAACATTGATGACATATTTTTAATACTTTCTGAAACTACGGGAGCTCATATATCTCTTTTATGTTATAATCAAGTTTGACAACCAAGTCTAAATTGGCACATCATATTGGAACTCTAAATCTAACATATTTCCCTAAAATAGAATAGTACATAGCACAATAAAGAACATTTTTCAATTGATGATGGGTCTATGTGTATGGAAATATGTAGATATGATCATCTAGAATTCATTAACCAATATTGGAATTAAACTAGATTTGATACCATCATGCCAGGTGTGACATTCTGGTCCGTTCTAGTTCATACCCGTGTAATTTTAATAAAACTCCTTTGGAATTTCAAATAAAAGTTTGCTGATTTGAACATATGATATGTTATTACAATGTGGCCATTCTGGTTTTAGGACCTTATTACACTGAAAAATTGACATCAATATAAATTCAATACTGCCAAGAATACATTTAATGAATATGTATGTTCAAAGTTAAAGAATGTTTTGTTTGAAAAAAATATATTTAACCATCCATTTGAAATGTGTACATTTATTTAACAGAGTGGAGGGTGGACGTAGTTTATACAGAATAAGTCGTCATTTGTCACGAGAAAAACACAGAACAAACACATCTCGTCAACGTTCTGTTAGTTTGGACTGGTAGGATACTTAGATCTTCAGTGTTACATATTGTATCTCTTGTGATATTTTTTTAAAACTTTTAGTTTCAATCAGTTAGTTACATTTTGAGGTTGTTGTTTTGTTTTGTTTGGTGGACTTTTTAAATTGTTTTTTGTTTGTGTTTGATTGGTGTATTAGCTTTGTTTTTGTTTTAAATGTAAACAATTTTAAATATTATTATTTTGAATTCTAATATTCTGAATTAAGCATGTTTTATTTCTGTGGGCAACTGCATGGCATGTTGTGTTGTTTATGACGTGTGATTTCTCTGTAATGGTCTTAGATATTGATTATTTTTAAATCCATTTTTGATGAACAAAACTTTTTGTAATCTGTATTAGGATAAATGATATCATATGTTTTCTGGCTTAAAAAGGAACTGCAACTTAAAATTTACTGAAATATAAAAATAACATAACGATAGATTTAACATGGTTGTTTTTTTATTGTAGGGGAGATGCAAGAACTGTTAAACTATATAACAGCAATGAAGATACTATGGAAGAGATGCCATCATTAACAGCTTCTCCTAGTGCTCCTGCTCATCTGAGTAAAAGTGGAATCAGTCCTACACCTGGTAAAAACAGAACCTTTGCAGGTATTTATCATTATAAAGGCATATTGATCTTCTTTATTTTATATGAACACAACCTACTTTCCCTTTCTCCAAATCAAATACACTTCACATTTTATCTTAACTCTATTTGTTTTAGTAGACACCAACTCAATTTCTACCTTTTTTGTCATTTCAGTTACACCACGTAAAAACCGTTCAAGTGACCCTGAAATATCACCACATAAAATTGATAAACGAAGATTCGACAAAAGACCATCATATGATAACAATGGTAAGGACAACAAATCAAATTCTGTTTTAGTAACTGGACAGCTAAATTGATCTGTTATCCATGTTTTAACAGCAATAAGTATTTCAATATATCTAACAAGTCCATTAAACCATGAAAATACAATGAAATGTTTATCTCTTGTGTTTGCACCTTTACTAATGGAGATGTTTCCACACTTTTATTATATACAACCTTATACAAGGACCAATTACTTGGTTAGCAATTGGCAGTTAGAGCAAGTTTATGACACTTAAGGCTTGGACACTGGGTAGTTTGCTTGTTATTTTCTGATAATTATTAGTAATTATGGATTAACTGCAGATTAATATGCTAATTTCTAACAATTGATTAGGAATTTTTTTATAACTCTGGGTAAAATATATGTAATAATTAGATAATATTATAGAATGTTATATTTCAGCTTTATTTTGTGCTGTTGAAAACCAAGATTTGGATTTAGTGAAAGAAATATTAGATGCTAATACAGTGGATATTAATAGGTAAGAATTTTTCATAAATCCTACTGTTACACTGTCTAAAGTAACAATATCATGCACTATTGCCTTAGTCAATGTAATGTTGAGTAAAAGTTTTCAATGCTTTTAACACTTATTACTTGATGTATATTGATAGGTGTATGAATGGAATGTACATGTTGTTGGTTTAAGTATATATTAGTACACAATAGATTATCTAGATTAAGAGTCATCAGTGCAAATAATCCATTGTTATGAGAGATTAACAGCAAGATGTTAAAATTAGTACTACTAATGGTGTAGAGTAGTGCTTTAATTTAGTGTCTAGTCTCCATCATAAAATGGTATTGTCACAGAGTTATATAAACTACATTTTCAAAATCTTAGCATTACTGATAGTGTACTTGTAAGAGGTTAGATCTAGGGAAATGTTTTAGTATTATTCAAAATAGTGGGATATAAAAGATAGAAAATGGGTAATACTCAGTAAGTAGAACTAATAGTGACAAGTGACTTATATAAAATACTGATATTTGTAACTAGTGTTCAGTGACTATATAGTGTTTATTATTGTGTATTTCAGTGTAAATTGTGAAAACCTTTCACCATTAGATATAGCAGTTATGACTAATAATATTCCCATGGCTAAAATGTTACTGTATAAAGGAGCCAAGGAAAACACACAATGTAAGTATATATACTTGAGGTTCAGTCCCTTCATTAATTTTGCTCCGAAGTTTAAAGTGAGTATGTCAACTCTCAGTTTACAAAAGAAATGCCATTTACACCTGCCTATCTGACTTTTTAGAAGTTGATATATCAAACACATAGTATTTACTGTTGTGAACTTAAAATTTCAAGTTACATTTCAATATTTTTTATAGTTGAAAAAAGTGGATCACGACTCAAAAGATTAGAAAGTTTAGTTCGTAAAGCAGAAAGAAAAGTCATTGATTTAACAGCAATTGTTTTAAATGGTACATCAGGAAACTCAGGCATTTCACCAACACAACAAAAGGTAGACTAAACATTTAATTTTATATTTTATCAATTTCTTACCTTGTTATTTATTTCTTCTGTCATCCATTCCAGTCAATTCTTTCAATTAAAATTCATGTATTATTTTTATTCTGATTCAGAAGTATTATTAATATAATATTTATCTTACTTGTCAATTCAGGAAAAAGAAAAAGAATTAAATCACTGGGAATTTCGTCATAGATTATTAAAGAGGATGAAGGCAGGATATGATCACGCAAGTAAGTACTTCACCTTATCATGAGATATTTAAATATAGATAGGAATACCCCGAAAATATCATATGACATCAATATTTATGTAGAATGTCTATATTATGTAAGAGATATATCAATATAGATCTGGAATTTTGTTGAATGCTATTTTACATATAATGATTATAAGACATTAATATGAGATGTTATTGTCAGTTTGTGGTTAAGAATAACATTAACAAATGTTGTTTATTTTTCCAGAGCCACCAGATTGTCCGACCAATGTTACATTATCTGTCAACAGCAGTTCATCATTATTAGTTCGTATTTCTGAACCTTTGAACCATAATGGAGCCGTCGTTACTAAATATAAAGGTAAGTTCGTTTCCGACCATTTTTATTTTTTTATGGGGATCATTTTGACCAAAATAGGGTCCTTTTTGTTTTTTTGTTTGGTGTCAAGTAGAATATAACCCCATTGTTTCACTAATTCTGTTGGATTGCAGTTTTAAAATGAACTGATGTTGAATAAATATCTGGTAGGCCAATTTCATGAGAAGAAGATAGTTTTCAGTTGATTATCTCATATTTGATGCCATAACTTTGTATCTTATAGTTGAATGGAGTTGTTATGAGAATTTTAAACCATTAGTTAATGAAGGAATAGCTGACAATATCCAAGCTCTGGAATATGAGATTACCGGTCTAGAGAAAGGTGTCAGATATTATGTCAAAGTTTCAGCATGGAATATGAAAGGTTATGGTCCTTCTACAACCAGTAATCCCTTGTATTCTGTTCCTTCCTGTAAGTATATGACTAATATTTTACTTTTTAAGACTTCAAAAACTTATATCGGCTTTGCAACATTGGGAATTCCTCCTTTGAGAGACTTGTAGCCTACAAATTTGTAGAAATACTTTCAATGAATGTGAATTTGAAAAAAGAATTAAAGAATGTGTAATCATCACTTATTTATTTTTTTTCATTCAAAGGTTGGAGAGATGTTGATAGATGTTCAGCAAGATTAAGCGGTAAAGTTCGATCATTACAGAAATTATTTGATGAAGTTAGACAATCTAGACCAGAACATGCTTCCACCATTAGAGGTAAATAACCTTAGAATTCTATTTCAGCTGTGTCACAATTAGCAATTTCAAATTTTGAATGATTACACTGCAGCAGATTCATAGTAAATTTGACTCATTAACTAAAGATGTGTCAAGGGAAATAACTCTTTATTTTATTTCCTCTAGATTCTGTATGTAGAGAAATGGAATCACCTTTATTAAAGAAAAGAATCAGCATTAAAAGTTTATTTGTGTCTGCTCCAAAGTTCCAAAAATCATTAAAGAGGTAAATACTTTTTGGTATTTGATGTATTTCAGAATTAACATATGAGAGGTACTTAAAATCATTCAGGATAACATGTCAGGTTCAAGGGGATCCTTTATATTAGCTGGTCATTGGCATTGATCTTTATTAGAATATTTGTATATTTGTACCCATTTACAGATGACTTATTAAAGGTCACCAGTCATTCTGTACCCAAATGATTGTCAGAATTGTGTTGTGTTAATAAACTGGTATATGTTATATTGTAGAGGTGTATATATGGCCTGTGTATTATACAATGAAGATAAGATATTACTGACATCAGAAGATCAAATACCTATTGTAGAAGTTGATGAGAATTTCTCTGGTACCTCCATACAATCCGATTTATACTGGATGATGAAGGTATGGCAAAAACTTTTATTTCAAAATACAATTCTACAACATTAGTGGCTTAAATTGATAAACTTCGATTCTGATTCTTAAGATGTTGCCAAAGTAGAGTTCTATACAGAAAAAGTGTGTTTCTATGTATTTTTTATAAATTGTGATTGTATTTCAGATTGCCTGTACATGGGATGATGTGAAATCATTAAGACAAGATATGGTGAAAAGTAGTAGTGCTGGTACTGTACATTTCCGTAGTAAATTATTACAAGCTGCATCATATTTACAGGTGGGTTTCTTTTGAATTATCTCCTCTGGCAACTTGATTTATCAACTTGAGTAATCATTTGAGTAATTATGTAGTATTAGATCTGTCTTATATCATGTCTAAAATGAAAATATCTAAATTTCAAATATGTTGTTTTTTCTTTACAGAATTCCCTTGGTATCCAAGATGTTGGTCAGTTTTTCTATTTACCATTAAAAGATTCCAATGGTAGTATTGTACTAACTATAGTTAACCACGTCAAAGATACTAAATTAGTTGGTTTAGGATCTAGTAAATGGGTATCTACTGATAAAATCTCCAGAAGACAATCCTTAGCTGGTTTAGATAATACTGATGCTTTGTGCCAACTTGTTAGTAGCATACCGGTATGTACTGTTTATTCTTGTGCTATAAAACTTTCAAAGCAAGTTGAATCCTTGTTATTCATGTTTCATCAAATCATCAAATATGAATTAGCAATTACATTTTTACTGTAATATTTCCGTATTTTTCTTCCAGTACCTAAATTTGTGGTGTTTTTAACAGAATTAATATTTTTACATTTTTATTTTTTGTAGGAAATGAGATTGTATCATCAGGTATCAACTATATCATTACCTAAAGGACTATATCTTGGTTATTTAAAATTACATAGTTCAGTGGAAAATATCCGAGTTTTAGTACCACAAACATCACCAAGTTCATTACCTCATAGTAAAATACGTGATTGTCCTAATGTGTCAAGGTAATTATTGTTTCCTCTAGTTCAACCTTTTGAGTTAATTTTCACAATTGTAGATTGACTATGCAAAGCAAAATGACAAAAAGAAAAAGTGGTTGATATACTCCTAACAAAAATAGTAATAGTTTTTCTTTTCAATGAATATTTATAAGGTTTTATCTGAATTTTTATGAATATTGTTTTATCTTTTCAGAGAAGAATGGGAATGGTTACATCAGTTAAACTCTGTTGATGATATGACCAATGAAACAACTACACAACATTATCAATTTCAACAAGCTATCACCAAATCATGTAAACGCTTATTTTCATCACTAGGTAAGGTATTATTTTTCAAATTTGAAACGTCACTTGATACATGTATTTGTAAGATAATACACATAAATGTCACTGAATAAGCTTATGTATACAGTTTTTATAATTTAATATTCTAAACTAAAACCATGTATTTCAATGTAAAATATTCAGATATTTTAATATATTCAGATGACCTGGTTGATGTCTAAAATATATAAAGTTAATATGTAAATTTATAAATATATTTTATTACAGGTATTGATGAAGATTTAGCAGCTAGTCATAGATTATATAAATATGAAGTCATAGAGTTTAGTCCCAACGTATCATTTATATTAATATTACCCTCAGTTGAAGATGTTTGTATTATTCCTGGTCAAACAGATACATTTACACAGAATAACCATTTTACCTTTCTACCTGTACAAGTCTTTGAACTTAGTAAGTATATTGATAATAAATAATCACTCTAATTTATCCTATTGATATCTAGATATGCAGTTTTTTGAAAATTACTCGAGACTGTTTAGTTGAATTTGTGCATGAGAGTACACCACTATTATATAGGATTTCAACATAATCAGAATTAGGATTATTTGAATCAAGCTTGAAGGCATTGAAGTGTTGTAACTAATTACTAATACAAGTTTATTTGTATGGAAAATGCTACGAATTGTATATATTCCAGTGTTACTTATTGTTTTTATTTTTGTTTCAGTTCATATGATGACATACCAGAAAGAATTTATCGCACATTACTCTAGATTATCATCAATATTAGAAATGGATGTTAATTTAGCACAACAAGCACAACGAGAGGTATATTTTCACATTATCCACACTTAATTTGGTGTAAGGTCATGTTACTCTTGGTGTATATATAAATTTGAATGTAAAATTACATGTAAAATTGGATGTGAATTAAAATGTAAAATTATATGTATTTAATATGTTGTTTTGATCTTTTCAGGCATTTTCCAATGAAGAATTAACAGTGGCTAAAGATCAAGTAGAAAAATCATCCAGTCATCAAGTTGAACTAGAAAGCATGTGGAAAGACGTACGTTGGGTTAAAGACATTATTTCCTATTCCCGTGATAGACACGCTAAAAGTGGTATTCCAGTCTCGCTGTTTTTTGATTCCGATAATGGCAACTGTTCACCAGATACTCAACACAGACAAACTAAAATATTAGACAATAACAACTCTTCCACTTCCATTTCTGTATCGTGTAATTCCAATGAGATCAGTGTGGGTAAAGACAATAGAAAAATTGCCAAGTTTTATGATCCCAATGAAGAGAGCAGTGCAACGAGTGACAGTGTCTTCAGTGACGACTCATCGTCAACCATGTCACAGTCAGGTGTTTTAAGAGTGTATGCAGCGTATGAAACTGGGTTTTCTAAGACTGTCAGTGTTAAGTTACATGTTATGACTCAAACTACAGCAAGGGAGGTAATCAATATGGTTGTATCACAGTTAAATAAAGCTCTAGTATCTCGTGGTAAAACTGGACCTATCTATGAAGAAGATCAGTTTGATGATTTCTGTTTGGTTGCTGTTATTGGAGTACGAGAACGAGTCTTAAGAGATGATTATCAACCCCTACAACTCCAGAATCCCTGGACAAAAGGACGCTTGTATGTTAGAATGAGAAGTAATGTTTTAGCAGCAATAGAACAAGGACAAGCGACTGCAGTCTAAGCATTATGAATGAATGAAATTGTGTGAATGAATGAATAAATGAATGAATGAAAAAGAATGAAACAATCTGTGATAAACTAGAAATGTTAAAAATATTGTTATATGATATATTGTTGTGTTTTTGTTTGTTAGTGATAAAGTGCTATGTGATTTTGAATGAGTTAATTTATTTATTGATATTATTGAAAAAAAGAACTTAGATCTACTGCCAATATTTTGTAATTGTACATAATTGATACACGAATCAAAATTTATTTACAAATCAGCATTCATTGTACATTTTTTCTATTTTTTTTTCATTTTCAAATTTTATATCAATTAAACTTTTCTTCAAATGCAATTTGCAAAATACTAAAATGAATTTCTCTCTTCTCTCTCTCCCCACCCCTTCATCTTATACAAAATAAGATAACAAAACCATGCCCTTATTAAGTTGCAGTCCATCAATTCTAGTCCATCAGTTTCAATTTGTATTTTCTATTGTATTTATTCATCAAGTATCAATAATCATCTCATTATGTTTGATATCTATCATTTAGATCTGTTTCTCTCTGTACAATTACCTATTTTACATCTTCTTCTCACACGGAAATCTCACCTATTGTCAGATTATATATATATATAATTGGTAGAATCCAAGTCTTTCAATAACATGATAGATATAATTGTGATAGTATGTATGTCCAATATTGTTATTAGTTTGTTATCAAATAAAATGATTACTCGACCATAAATCTTGTTTCATTCTTTTCTACAACTTAATTCCATTTATCAAGAATTTTTAGATATAGATAAAAGCTGATGTTACACTCACTTGATTAAAGATGTGAACCATGGAACCCTTTTTCACAAAATAGAAGATCAAAATGTATCATAATTACTTTTGACCCTTGTTTTTTCGTGAAACATTTTGAACTCATCTCCCATGCACAGAATTGAAACAAGGGTGGCCACATCCAAATATTATATACTGATGGAGGAAATAGGAATTGAGATCATTTTGGAAAGATGACAATGGATTGGTTAGTCGTGAACATCTCGCCATGTCAAATATTCAAAATATTTTAAAACTAAAGGCTTCATTTTTAACCAGATCTTAAAAACCTGTAAATTAAGAATTACTTGAATATAGGATACAATGCTGGCTAGAAAAGTTTACAAGCTGAACTATTAACATGTTGATGCAAATTTAAACATGTACAAAATGAAAATTATCCATGAAAACCAACATATTAGTTTCAATATCTCACCTCCACATTCATATAGATAAAAAAACAATATTATAACCTTTTCTCTTTAATAACCTCATCAATATTAATTAAATTAACAAAAATTTAAATAACACCTGAACACTATAGAATGAAATGTAAATAAAAGACGATAATCTCTAGAAAAAAAAGTGCCAATATCTTGGAAACTTTTTATAAAAAGCATCAAACAAGTTCTACTATATAACGTTTAAATTACATTTAAACGGTACTGAGTATCAAGTATAATTATATACATTATATTATATTTTAATTCATTTACTATTAAAGGGACAATCATATCTTGGTCTCAGAAACCCAAATTTTTTAGCTAAGCCAATCAGTAATAGTGTTCACAGCCTTCAAATCCATGTGAGTCCAGAATTATCCGTGTTTGAAAAATAAAGAGACACTGCTATATAAAGAAATTTTTTTGAAGGAATTATGTGAATTTCGTACTGAAGACAATTAAAATATAAGCAAGACTCAAATAAACCCCTATAATGGCACAACTGTCCCTTTAACCTGAAAGTATTCTTTTAAACATAGCTTTAAACTTGTGCAAGTGCCTTCTGTTGAATAGTGATTAGTTGTTTGTAAATAATAACTGGTTTCTTTTCAACAACCCTAATCAATAAGTATCTGTATACCACATTTGCAAAATCACTTGAACACTATCACATTATTTTTAAATGAACCATCTTTTTAATCATCCTGTGATGTTTATCAATTTGTGTACTAGACCACACAGTGTACTGTTGGAAACTGTTATAAAAATATATTCATTAAATCAACAAAACAAACTAAGATGTTTTTATAAAATCATGGTATTTGTAATGAATTAGGCCTATCACTAAATTGGCACTTTATAATTGAAAAATAAATTAGTGCATCAATATATCACATGTATATCTGAATTGGATTGTTTGTCTGCTAGACGATAAGATGCGATGCAAATACTCCACAAGGTAAGAAACATTCCTTGCCCAGCGATTCCAAGAGTGGACTAGTTGTCCACTGTAATATTCTCCCTTCCTCGTTGTATTACTGATATTACCTATCAACTGGAAAACATAAAAATAATAGTTAACTGGTTCTACATTATGACCAATTCAGAAGCCTTTCTAACATTCTGAGATAAGTATGAAAGGAAAACTATTTCCAGTCATATTTCTTATGGCACGCATAAAGTCTGTCAAACCTATGATTTTTAATAGTCCATTTAAAATTACGACACTTCATTCAATTCCAATTGTTTTGTAAAGATATCTTTATTAGAGCCCAATTTACCACAACTAGTATGTTCTGTATCTTTTAATAATCTTTTTATTTTAGTTACAAGTTGATATCTAACACTTGATGAAAAAAGATGGTCTTTTAATGCAGTGTATACAGCTTTAAATGCTGGTTGTTTTTCATTGAAGAATATCCTTCTGCTGCCATGTAACAACTTGACGCCATCTTCTTCTGACTTCTTACAAACACTCATATACATACAGTGATCAGCACGATAATTATATTCACATGACAAAATAAAAATTTGATGAGGAAAATAATGAAAATAAATATTAATGAGATCTTGGTCGCCCCATGTTAATTTTAGATGATACTCATCGTAATATCTTTTCACAGACGATAAAAATTGAGATTGTCTTAATCGTGTTAAATTCATCAACATGACACCAGAGTTAACCCCAACAACACCGTAATATGGATGACGTGCAAAACGATTATACCATCCAGTAGCTAAATCTTCACTTTCTAAAGTAAAACCTGCTAGTTGTGTTGAATTAAATAAGGTAAAATGATGATAAAGTTGGTCAATAGATGAAATAAATAAAACATCACTATCTACATATATCAGTGAATCAACATCAGTTAAAATTTGAGGAACAAACAGACGTTGAGAGGCACATGGTTTAAATAATTCTTTCCACTTCTGGCCATTACCATCATTTGGAAACTGTAAATCATATATAAAGTAATCGATTTGCGAGCGGAATTTATGCGGCCAAAACTCTAAATGATCTTTAAAATTCTGTTGCAATTCTTTTTCAGCAAAAATATGAAAAACTAAAGGAGTTGAGGTGAGTATTACAGCTGATTTTAAAAGGACCGATATCTCTGGAAATCGATCACCACATGCAACAACACATAAATGAATTGCATTCTTTTTATATTTATGTCCTGGAATTACTTTGAGTTTTGATGCTTCACCATCTTTAGAATTTTCATGTATTTCCTTGGACAGATCAGGACCATAATTCTTTGCACCTCTTTCTTCTTTGACTTTGTCCTTCAACTGTAGAATCACATCATCAACTTGTCCATTATCTTTATTTCCAACAAAATATATGACAATAGCTACCAACACTATTACTGTCACTCCAAACTTAAAGAGCATCTTACATTTCCGTGAAAACTTCATCAGAAAGATTTTTTTCCTCAGGAGATTTGAAAATATATGACCCCTGAAAAGAGAAAATTATCCACAAAATTACAAGGATTTCCTAATGCCATTACCAATTCTACAAAATTATAAACAATCAGAACCTATGTACCCTACTTCAATTCTAACTCACAAAGACTCATTTATTGCCTATTTCCATATTTGACTTTGAGAACAAATTGTGACATTGTCAACATTAGCTAGAGCCTAGTAATCAACTTAAAGCTGTAAAGTGGGAATCTTGAAGTGAGGAAGTTGCTAATAAGGTTATTTAGAATTATAAGAAATATAATTATATAAGTCAACCAAACTTTAGTTTAACAACAGGCCTATAACAATAATATATTAACTGGTCATAATTGGGGTACACAGTGAAACAATCAAAAAATTTATATTGTTATTTGGACATTTTTTTTTTGAGGAGGTGGCGAGTAAGCAAGTGGATAACAAATCAGTTGTACTAGTTTAACGAAGTGATTTCTTCTCAAGTCATTTCGACCAATGCCCAATTCGTCCACAATTCACAGCTTACTTGAACAAATTCGACTTTAGTCAGTTTAGGTATAACAGTGCGAATATTTTTCTAGTGTTTGTGCACGGTTTTGATTTTGTGTGCATAATTCGAGTAGTTACACACTTTTATTTGTCAAAAGAAAATATGCAATGCACATCATAATCCGAAACTCGGTTTTTCTGTCGGAGCTTCTTCTGGGACCATCGGCCAAGACATTGGGATAGTACGGAGTAATTCTTTGTTAACGATTATTTCATAAATGAAACATCGGCCAAGACATTGGGAAAGACAAATATTTCAGGCGTTTTTTTAATGACATTCAACGCATTGGAAACGTTTTTAAACCTGTTTCAATATGTCTAATCACCTTTCTTGTTAATCTACCAATTGATGAATGTAAAGAATTTTAGTATTTCATACCACAGGGTTATAGGCAGTGGGCGGTACACGGGGTTCCCCAGAAAAATAGTTTGTACACCCAAATTCATCGTGCTCATACCACACCCCCATTCGTCATACTGAGACCATGTCCAAACCCGTATTCGTGATACGATGACCCAAATTGTACCCCTAGTTTATTTTTAAGAATTTGAGGAATACGAATTGTATACGTTTTGCATCATTTTGGCAAGAATTCACCAGATCGTAACCCCTCTGCCCCCCACCTTTTAGCTCCGCCATTGTGCCAGAAGCCTACTACTGATTCCAGATGGCCTGAGATGAGGGCTTAGTTCTCACTTAATCTCCCCCCACCCCCTTCACTTAAAACGCTACAGGTGACGATATATTGAATAGAATCTTCAGGACATCGATAACATACATGCATATTACATGTACAGAACATTTACCACGAGATATAGGTGAGTGGCCATGTATGATTAGATTCATATGCGTACTGCTTTTTTTTTATCGGGAATGGATTAAGATAATGTGTTTAATCAGATAAGATAGTACGGAGTAATTCTTTGTTAACGATTATTTCATAAATGAACACCATGATCAAGTAGGTTAGTGTGGCATATAATATGGTGATTTTATTGGTGTCCTAATGAACTATTTTTTTTTTCTTAGCTTAAACTAAAATACTTTCATGTCATGCCATGTCTGAAAATATGGACACATTAAGCATCTTAAAGCTTAAACCACATTAGAAACCACAAGCCCAGATTAAGTTTTAACTTCAAAACTTAACCTGTGAACCGTAGCAGCTGCTAACATTAATATAGGCCTTTTCTAAATTTACATAGCCTGGGTCCTGAACACAATGCTTTGCTTTAGCCGTGAACACTATTTAGGTAACCGTAAACTAATATATAGACACAGCTTTATGGAACAACAATCACTGGTTAAAGTTTTATGCAACGTTTCGACGTGTTTCCCCCGTCGTCCTCAGGCACATGTAAACTAATAGCTGAAACAAGACACAAGGCACGGCATTATAAAGGCACGGTGATTACTGATGAAAATTGAACATACTGCCCATTTAAAAACTGTAAATAATATATTAGAAATAATATACCGGTAATAGATCTGCGATCTGCATACAACTGAATAATTTATCATATATTGGCTACGGTTCGTGGAATATAATGCGCCCAATTTAAGATATGTTTTAATCACTGTGCTTAAATGACATTATACCGAATATGATTGTGCCTATAAAAAGTGAATATGTGATTAATGGACGATGTGCCTATATCAGTAATCGCTGTGCCCAATGAACGTGTGCCTAAAAGAAGTGTGCCTAAAGTACCGTGTCTAACTTACTTGTGGTTATTGGGCTATCTGTGCCCATTTGACTGCTTACCATTGGCTGCTTAGCCTACCATTGGCTGCACATATCTCATTTAATCATATTCTGACCTCAGAAACTACCAAACCAACTGCCATGCAAAGTTACAAAAGCGGGGTGCAAAGTGATAATAGACAAGCATCTATGTCTGGTGTAGCCATTAAAATAATTGGTGTCTCACTATTACCGTGCCACAACCTTGGGTACGATGTTTTCGCAATGATTAAATATTGCATGTACATCAGCTGTAAATTCACCCAAAAAACAATTTCAACTTATTATTAAGGGTGGGGGTAATTTATTCGCTGCAATTATCAAATTTCTTTTCAGGTTTGAAGATGTTACAGAAATCTATTATTTTGGATTATCATTCACAGGTAGGCCTAAGCTTGTGGAAGGTTATTTTTTTTTTAAAAATAGATCAAAAAGATTAATTAATTATCTGTTCATCTGAAACTGACTGACGTACTGACGTGTGACGGAGAAACAATTGATACCGTAATATGAATGGTAAAGTTACACAAAGTAAAACTAAGCCTATCTGTTCAGACTTTGATGATGAATTGATAGATGAGTTCCATTATCAACAGTAACAGTGATTTGTTGAAGGGCCAAATTTTATGTTTCATGCTGTTGGTAATGTCATCTTATGGCCTCATAGCACGTTGTTGATCCGTGGGCCTATTCTGGTAATGCAGTTTGCAGATGGATGGTCTTGTTTGGTTTGTCCTCTTCGGGTCATATATGGTATCTATCGGTGTTATGGTTCTCGATCATGTCAGCCCATTCCTGATTGGTCCTAGATGATGCTACTACAGAATTCTTCGAAAGAGTATTCTACAGATACAATGTAGAACGTTAATATCAGTAAATATTACATTAATGACGTCGTCATTAGGCCTGTAATTTTGCTGTAATATTTGGGTAATATCACTAAAACTAATCAGCAATAATGACGTTATTTGTGGTGTTAAACGTGATAAATTAACGTCTGGCTAATTAAATGCTATAAACGTCGTACATCGTTGCTGACTAGCCTTGTGTGATAAACGCAATGATCTAGATAAATAACGTATAGATCAGTGGATAAACGTCGTAGGCCTACGCGTTGCTGACAAGATTGTAGGCCTAGAAGCCCTAAATAATAAACGCCGTACATAATGATCTCCGTGTCCAGAGGTCAATAAGTGCAGAATGTTAATATAGGCCTCGTTTCCGGTTTCTGTTCGTGTCACATTTTCTTAACTGTTCTACTTGTTTCAATGACTAAATTAAAGGCCTAACGTGTAGGCCTAATATTAGTAATAACCAAATAATAGGACTCAACGACATTTAAATGTAGGCAATTCCAACAAGATTTTGAAGGCTATTATTAGGCTATCTAGCTCTAGTCTAGGCCTAGGCTTAAAATGAAGTAGACCTAGCTAGGCTAATAATGGACCAAATAAATAGGAATCTTGAAAAATAGTTTGTTTACGTCTAAAGAATCTAGGTGAAGGTTGAAAGTAAACTTTTATTTTGAATGACACGGTGGCGTTATTGAAAACCCCTCCTATATAAATTGTACACAAAGTAACTAGACCTAACCAAGTCAAACCAGTTAGAACTGCTTCTCTCCAAATATCAACAGTGTACGAGATCTAGTTATAAACGCTATAATATTGAAAGCAGGCGGTCGATGAGGACGTATTCGTGTTACTGACTGAGATATATCTTGTTTACATATTCTGTCTAGTGGTTGGATAACTATACACCTCACATTTTGGATTTGAAGTCCAACTTTTTCGATATTTAACTTTTTTACTAGAATATCAAATTTAAATTTGTGACTATGGATGTCCACGGGCTCCCCGTGAGGCATTAAAATATTGCTCTCAACGGTCTTCACGGGGATTGATATTATATTTCCACTGATCTCATTTTGGAATTTTTATAACTGTTATATAATTTACCATGGAAAGCACTGTCTTGGTAAGTATCTATGACTTTGAATGGGTCATTATCGTTTAGCCTATTCAATATAAAAATAAGTCCCTGTGTTTGTTCTAGTTCAGGTCAAACTCAAAGTACTTGGATTGCATCAGACACTGGCATGGTTGATCTAGGCCTACTAAATAAAAATTCACAAAAACTTATATAATAGGACTTTTTAGGGTAATAATTATTTTACAGTGAGTTATAGTTGGCTAGTATGTTATAATCCCATTAAATCCATTGTGGTTAAACAGAGAATATAGATTATATCTGTAGTTGTGGATAGTGCCTTGTACTTGTGACCTCGTGGTAGCCATTTCCAATAACCCATCCCATTTTCTGTTCTCCTTCAATGTCAAATTTGATATTGTTTTTATTGTAGTCACCAATATTGAAGTCATTTTTAGCTGGAAGTTTTAGTGGAACATGTTCCACACTTTTATTTCAACCACTTGATCTGGTAAAAACAAGAATCCAGACATCAGTTACCCATGGGTAAGTTAAATAAGATAGTCCTGATAACTTTTGCTTCTGCTGACAAGGAACAATGAAAATACTTCAAGGAATTGCGACTAATTTTGTTTGAGGAATAGTTCAAGGGTTCCAGGTACTATGCTATTACATAATTTAATGCAGTGTGTCTATTGACTATACCAATACCAGATTTATTTTACACTCAATAGTTAAGATTGTCACAATCTTGCAATCCATATGATAATCTATTTTTTTTGACAGAAATCATGTAGGAATGGTTCAAGTATTTACTAATGTGGTTAAAGATGAGAAATTAACTGGTCTATGGCGAGGGGTTCTACCTGTAAGTAAAGTAATTTGACTTACATGAATAATACATTTAGTTTTTTCAGCATATACACTAAAAGTTTTTGTATTTTAATGTTCAATGGTACTGTATAGGGCACATTGTCTTAAAACAGTGAATCCACACATAATACATTTTTATATTGATATAGATATCTCAATATATGTCAGTAATTATTATAATATAAAATTATCTTCTTCTTTCAGTCCATTACAAGATGTGTACCTGGTGTTGGGATATATTTCTCTACTCTTCATTACATGAGGACAAAAGTTGGGTATGTAATCAGTAACTACATTGTATTTCTCTGTATTATTGGTATTATGACCCACCTGTTTCCAGTAACTCAATAAGGAGTATTGAGAAAAATTTGTTGCTGTTTATATAATAATGGTTTGATCTACTGATAGCAATTTTTAAAAGTGACATCAATGGAATCTAAGTAACTTTGAACAATAACATTTATTTAACCTCATTTTTTAGGAGTGCAGATCCTCATCCTTTGGAATCATTGGCACTAGGTGGTACAGCTAGATGTGTTGCTGGAGTTGCAGTTCTACCGTTTACTGTGGTTAAAACTCGCTTTGAAAGTGGTCTGTATGCATACAGAAGCATGTACCAAGCCTTAGTTGGTATTTATACTGTTGAAGGATTGAGAGGTTTGTTTTTACTTCAGCATTATTTTAATCATCGATTCTTTAATGTTAGTATCTCTGAATTGTGAAACTATAAACAAAAATTTGGTGTACTTAAAATTATGAAAATGTTCTGCATTGAAAGATTTTACAAGTCAGATAATGAGAATTTGAAGATTTTCAACTAAAAAAATACCTGTATGAGCAAAGGACATTTAAAGTTGATTTATGTCATCTTATTGATTTGATTCATGATGTGCATTATTTTCTCTCTTAGGTTTATATAGTGGTTTAGCACCGACATTATTGAGAGATGCCCCATTCTCTGGCCTATACTTGATGTTTTACACACAAATAAAGAAATATATACCAGAAGGTGAGGATTTTATATGTTTTTTCTGTAGTAGTTTCTATTTTGACTCACAATCTGCAATCAAATGGGTGACTTTAAATACTAAGCAAGCAAATATCATTTACATTAAAAAAAGCTGAAAGCAATTTATTTTAAACAAATAATCACATGAAATATAATTAATTAAATGGCATTCATATTACAATCTATCAATTGTCTTAAAGGAATATAAATTTCTAAATATTTACTTGGATAGCTAATAGAGCTTTAACTGTTATCTGTATTCTACGTTCTGTTTGTCTACAAGCTAACAAACATGGAGCAGTAGATATCTGAAATTGAGCAAGTATTTAGACATCTATGTTCCTTTAAGTTTCCAAAAAAGCTTACCTATCTTCTAATAATTTTAATATTATTATATAAATATATAATCAGCTATCTTAAAATTAAATAAGCTTATATTAATTTTGTCTTCAAATAGCAAATATTTTTTTCTGTTAAGCTCACAAACTGAAATTTTGAAGTTCGTTTTTTTTGGTTCTTAGCCTATTTCCCATGAAGTTTGAAGTATTGTTAATCTTATGTGGCTTCTCTCAAATGTTGGTACTAGACACCTAGGGCATATATCTGGAAGGTTTGTAAGAGGTAACAATTTATTGGTTTGCCCCATCTGTCTCATCTTTTTATCAATATTCAGTTAATTTGAACCAAGCACATTTTATCGAACAAATTGGCATAAGGATAATATTGTATCTTGTTAAAAGTATTGTATATGAAAAGTAATGTATAGGTAATATCTGTGTATCTTTAAGTCAATATTTTATAAACTGCAAATGTTCGTCTGAACAATTCCAACTTATCTCTTTATTAATGTTTATTAAAGGGATTCGGTACTTGGTATTTGTAAATTTAATTTATTGTAAATCAGGTTTTATTTTTAACTAATAGAAACTTGTATTTTTAAATGAAAATATTGTTTGGTCTTGTATGGTCAATTTTGACTTTGATTTCTATTCAATTAACAACATTTGAAAATGAGCTCTATCAGCTGCCTAAACCAAATATTTGAGAACCTTATCCCTTTAATCTAAGAGAAAAGTTGAAGTCTGAAAAAAAAATTTTGAACCATAAATGCTGTTTTCTAGTGGTAGATTTTTTCTTGCCTATACATGCAGCGAAAAAAATTACAAAATGATTATCAATTGGGAAGAAATATTTTTTGTTGTCAATGATGTAAGGAGAGCGAAAAACATCATCATTAATCTCAATTGACTATTGAAATAAAATTCACTGAGAGCTTTTATATTATTAACAGAACATATTGCTTCATATGCTGTAAATCTTTCCATAGAAAACAACGTTTACAGGTTACAAGTATTGTTGTCATGTTAATTCGATGAAATGTCTCATGTTAAGAGTCAACCATTTTCACCTCGGATGTTTAAATTGTCAAGAGCAATACTTTTACTATCAAAGAATATAATCAATAAAAAGATATAATATAGATAATTAAATGGTATAATATATCACATTGTACTAGTGATTACAGTGCAAATATCTGGTCACCAAATGAACTTTATAAGACAGCTTATCTTGATAGCTATAGTCAAATTGTTTACACAGTTATATTCATTTCTGACATTTGTTCGATAATGTGCTCTGGATTTATAATGATATATATTATGATATGATTATATTTGATATAACCTATGACTGAGCTGTTGATTGAATAAGATTTAAGCTTGCTGTTTCACCAGATAAATGTTATATATTGAAATACCATACAGAAATGTTAAAGTAGAAAGTTGTCCATTCTTGTATCAATAAAATTTATGAACTGTATTATAAGTATTTTGTAAAATAATTAAATAAAAGTTACTCAGTTTTTATTCTGGCATATTTTAAAACTGACATTAAGCATTCTTTTTGTTATTTGTCTTTTCAGGTCAGAATATGACTCCAATAATACACTTTCAATGTGGTTTACTAGCTGGTATGATGGCGTCTATGGTCACACAGCCTGCTGATGTTATTAAGACTCATATGCAACTTCAGCCCAATAAATATTCCAGCATTAAATCTGCTGTTAAATATGTCTTTCAGGTGAGTTTTCACTGAATGAGTAGAATCAGTCTTGTTTGGAGAGTAATGGGTTGTTTGTAGAACTTAATATGCCATTATAATACAGTTAGTACTATCTGTGCTCACTATAGACAATTAGAATTATTCTCAAGAAACAACTATTAATCAAAAGTAATTATAAAAATAATCCAAATTATAACATTTAGAGACTAATCCATCTTTTTGTCACTCTGCTTCCTCCATCTACTTTTAAGCCACTAAAATATTAATGGCTATAATTTTTGCTACATTTCTTATAGTGTGAAGGCATTGTTGGATTTTGGAGGGGTTTGATACCTAGAACACTTAGACGCACACTTATATGTGCTATGGCTTGGACAGTTTATGAACAAGTAAGTATTTGTTCAATAAAGATTTAGAAAGTGAATACAAAGGCTATATACTTTTTTTGACAATATTTTGAAGGTTAGGTTAAAAATCTTTTTGTCAGGGCAAAATTGTGCACAGTCAGGTGCAGAAAAGTAGGCTTGATATAACAAGCCTTGTTATATCAGTTTTGTTGAGGAAATGTCAAAATAGTGTACATTTGACATAATAATGTGAATGATTTCTCTGATAAGGAACACAAAGCTCAACATTTAACTAGATATGTCATGAAGGATGGATGTGTATATTAAGTTTTTTGTTTCAGATTATGAAGCCTGCTGGTTTAAGTAAATAAACAAGAATAAACTCTGCTTTTGACCATCTTATGTTATTGTTTAAGACAGAGTGTATTGAACATTTCCTCCGATTTCTTGTTTCAACATGTTGGGTAATGGGTAATAATAAGACCAATGTTGAACACATGTTTTGGACAACAGAACTATAGTAATTTTCTAGAACATTTTTCAAAAACATTATAAAATATGATTAGGACTGAATATTTAATTTCCTGAGAATTACAGCAAGACTTTATCTAGCAATTCTTCATTGAAAAGAAAATATGTATTGACCAAAAATTTGTGTTACATATGATTTCCATGGGTGTTAAAAATATTTGAAAATATTTTCATTTTTGTTCAAAGCTGCCATATTTTATATTTATGTTTAATTTAATTGTAAATTATGTATATATTGTGTAAATATTTTTCTGTTATTGTTACTTCTATTTACAACACAAACTTTTATTTTTTTATGAGAAATGCAATGTATTGTAAAATGATGAGTGCAAGAAGTAATGCTTTTTAATATAGGGAATCTCTGGTCATAATGTAGTATAATATATATATCAGTAGAGAGAAATCCATTTGTACATTGTTAATACAAGGTAGCGTGGAAGAAAAATTGTGCTCTGTTATAATTTGTTGAATTATGCAACTTAATAATTCCATTATATGGAAATAATTGTTTTCAATGATATTTTTCTTTTTATAATAAAAGTGTTAAATAAATAATTGATATGGGTTATTTCATTTAATATTACTAGGACAAGTTAACAGAAAATTGTAGGAGTGCAATTATTTAGAACGGAAATGTTCCTATTGTAAATTGAGTCTGTAGAGAATATCAACTGTTTCTGTAGAGCTGTATCTACCTCATTAATGAATGGACAGAACTCTAGTGTCCTCTTATTAACTTTGGTGTTACTAACACCTAAAAAGTTTTAGTTGTTATTTGGCTTTATTCACAAATGCTTATAGTCCCAAACTATCATCCTGACAACATGGCCAAACACTGTTATATGTTTGCAGATAGTAAGCTGAACTTTCAAGGTTGATTATTTGGAGAATGGAAAGATATGATTATACTATACTATATATAAAATGACATTTATTTACAATCAGACATGACATTGACATTAAACTGATGATTTCATAACAATACTTTCACCATTTATGGCATCATCTGAAAAATGGAACACAAACATTTTATCAGAAAGAACTGCAGTGAAGTGAACTAAGTTATAGGATATTTTATTAAATGTTTATATCATATTCATAATGAATATCACCATATGAAGTTCATAAAAAATTGATTACTCTCTCTGAACTAAACAAAAATCCATACATTGGCCATTAACAAAATATGATTTAATCATAATTCCTGTTTTTATAATGATTGCACACACTCCCCCCTTTCTGAAAATATACACTGTCTTATCACTTGCACAAAAAGTAGGTGACAGGGGTGACAAAAATAAAAAAATGAACTATAAAATACGAATGGGCTAAAGTCACATTTGGACTTTAAACAACTTTGCCTATATATCATAATACAGGGTTGGTCAAAACAGGAAATAGAGCAGAACAAAAGTTATTCTTACTATTATCTATGAGGTCAGTGAATACTCGCTGGGTAGATGATTTATTAATTGCTCTATTATCATTACTGTAGGTTGAAACCAAACTATACAATAGAGGTCTGAAATAATTAATAGAGCACAATGACGTTTATGAACAGAGGATAAACAGGAAATAAACAATGTCATTCTTATTTAGGATACAAGACTTAAAAACGTCACATCTTTTAAGCCACATTTGAAATATACATGAAGTACTTACACAGATTTAGAAGGGCCATCTTCACACACATTTAATTCGTTTTTCACAAAATCTCTATCTAAAGATGTAGGGTTCATCCCAGATTCTGCAAATCAATAAATGTCTACAGTGACTTCAAATTAGGGTTTTTTCGATGGTTTGTGCTATATTTTTCATAGAATTTTAGTAACAAATTTGTGGGATAAAGAAACAAAATCTGAAAATTAAAAATATTTAATCGATCTCATACTTCTAAATCTATACTGCAAGTCTTGTTTTTATATAAAAACAATTTTATTCCAGTAAAATCCTCTCTTTCCATAAAATTATCTAATATACAAATTTCCCAAACAACAGTTTTTCACTCAAAAATGCACTACAGCTAATCTTAACCACACTTCCATCACCATTAAAGTAGAAAGAGAAATGTGTAAAATATGATATCTTAAATCATACCTGATACAAGAACAGAAGCAGCATATTTGTAACCATTATATTCTAAATATTCTCTAATCAACTCATTAATCAATACGTTTTCATGACTTAATTTAGGTTTGGCTTCTGACTGATCATTTAATGCAGTAAAAACTTCTGCCCTTATTCTAGCTTTTATTTGTCCCAGCACACCTCTTGTTTCTAAACTCTCTTTTAAAACTGAAATAATGCAAATTTTAATTTAATCGTTAACTATGCTTTATCACATAAGGCCCTTTGCGATTAACGTCAGCAAACACAAACACAGACGTCTGATTGAAATTTAAAATTAAATTTGATCAGTAACCCCATTACACACCCTATAGAGAGATTCCCCAACAAGTCAGAAAGTTTAATGTTTTAATTGAAGATAAACCTTTTGCAAAAGTAGCAAAAGATAAGCCAACAGCATTGCTTTGGCAGTTTGGGATGATGAAAAAATTCACTTCTGATCTCACTGCGTTCCAAAGTTGCACAAGTAGTAGAAAAAGGTTACTTTTTCATCAGTAGTTTGTAAATGTAAGTATTCTGTTATGTACAGATACATTGCAGCGGTCATTGCATCTGCACTAGCCTACAGTACAGAACAATAATAACTAGGCCTACAGACTGCTCACAGCGAGTGAGGAGTAGGGCCTAGGCTTAGAAAGAACTACTAAGGCACATCTGAACAACCCTAGGTACTAGACTATATATTATACGTAAAATATCTAAAACAACAGAATAAATATTTACAAACCTTCTTTTAATTCCTCTGTTGATGCCATTTCAACTTGCCGCTGTTAACTATCATGTCAGAACTGGTATCGAGTCGACATTGTACTGTTGTAGAAAAACACAACTCGAACAGGAAAGTCCGAAAAGTTCTGAAATTGTGCTTTTTTTTTTTAGATCATTTAAGCGAGTAAAGGTTGTAAGTTTGGTGATATTTTGCCATGAAATTACCACATTTAATCCTGTATCAGTATATTCTAACACTTTGTAAATACCAAACCCAGACAGGCTAAATCAAGAGGTTGTTAATACAGTAAGGTAACATTTTCGGGCTATTTCATCTCGTACACGACTCTGCACCTATGTTTCTGTTCGAGTCACGGATCTATAAATAACCATTTGTTTTTATGTTGTCATATCCTATGGAAATCCCCTTTTAGTTACATGAAGTCAATATTTTCTCAATCGAGTTTTAAGACTGGCATTTAACTCTCCAGACAGCATTGAATAATAGTATATCTAAGAATAGCTTGCCGACATTTTTCTGAGATATTTCCCAAATAAGCCACTAACAATAATCATTCATAAAGTATCAAAGATATAGCCATAAATTTTCACCTTTGCGGCTTTGGTTTGGTGAAACGATGTCTTAAAGATTTATCTATAAATATGAGGTTAAATTATTATGGCCTTAGCTTTTAACTTATGAATGATCTTTAAATAAAAATTGTTATCAGCTTAAATTAAGTAATAAATTATCACAGCAACATATTAATTGACAGACCAAATCTAAAAAAAGTATTCGAGATGTGTCAATTTATATGAACATTTGACCATAGAAGATCATATTAAAAATATACTGAATCAAGGGAGGTAATTCAACAAAAATTAACTGGTCCACATTTAATTTCTCAAATTAAAATCAAATCACAGTTTCATAAAATAAAGCTATTTATAATATACATAATTGCACTTTTCCATGTTTCAGGGTTTTGTTTTTATTTTTCAAATTGCAAATCAGCATATCTTTATTTCTTTTGATATTCTTATCTTCAAGAGTGAACCATTTTGTATCTTCAAGTCAGCTTTTCTAATATCAGTTTAACTGACACAGCATCTTCTATAGCTAATCCTGAAAATTAGATAATATCAAATAATATACGTCTTGGCGGTTTATATCCACTAAGAATAAGTCTTACCTATGATTACACAATTATAAATAACATTTTTTTTAGCCTGATTGGTGTTCACAGACATAAGCCCTCTATTTTACATTTGTCTAGTGTAGAATTTTTTAACATATTTTTCATACAATCCAGTATCATTAAAACAGTTTGATTTTTGCTCTGCTAGCCTCTATCATCCTGTTTAACTTTGTCTGTGCACAGCTGTGATGTAACAGGTGGATGACAGGAGAGGTCTTGGTGTCAGAAACAAGAAAATAATAAGAAATTCTCACTTACCCAATGATTTAAATACAGTTGTTTCAGACGTCTTACTTTCTTTACTTCCAGCTATAACTTCTCCTATTTCAGCATATATCTCAGCCTATTAATCATACAAAAATAAGTTTTTTCAATCCTAACTTTAATGCATTACATTACATACTTTATTGCTTACATGGAGAATAATGAACAATTACCTTTCCCAGAATAACATCTCCACTCTCCTTCAAAGCTGCTTCTCTATTGTCAACATAAACAACAGCAGATTGCATTATTTCACTACTTATTTCTTGAGAATCTGGTAAACAAGCACCTACAGCTGGATAAAAAAAAAACATTAACAGAACATTTCTTAAAATGAATTACCTTAAGGACAGGTTAATATCACTGGATTTATATGTGGAACATTTAACATGCAAAGAAAAATGCATATAAGAGCTTAAAATAAACTGTCCTTTTTGGAAACATTACCATTAATATGTACACCAGGTTTGATCCAATCCTGTTGAAGTATGGGTTTAGTAGATGATGTTACCGTGGTGATGATATCAGCATCTTTTACTGCTTCCTTTACACTTGTACATAATACACCCTTAATTTCTTTACATAATCTTTCTGCTGTTTGAGTATTTCTACTATATACTCGAACCTTAAAATAGTAAGTCATCACAGGAAAAAGCTAAATTCTAGATTTCAGCAAGTCAAAATTATAATAGATAGGCTACCCTCACATAATTTTACAATAGCTGCTACATGGCTCACTTTAATTTATTCGCAAAATATGGTGAATAATACAAATTTTATAAAAAATAATTTGTTTTTTCATAACTTAATTATTATTGTGCACTTACCTCAGTGAACTGAAAGATCTCACTTAAGGCATAATAATGTGATTTTGCTTGAACTCCAGAACCAATTATGGCCATTATCTTTGAATCAGGTTTGGCTAAATACTTAAGAAAAATTACATTCAATGCATTAAAATATCTTTCACTTATAATTTCATTGAACTATCTATCTATTGCGGCATTCATGATAATGTTATAAAAGTATAAAATTCATAAATAAGTATGTGTAGGACTAAGTGCGACTATTATCTGTATTGACAATTCATTAAGTTGAACATGCATTTCATAATTGTCAATTAGAACTTAAATTGCAAACATATATATTATGCAAAATTAAACTAATTGCTTTGATTGCAAAAATTCAATTTACCTTGGATGCAACAGCAGATGCTGCAGCTGTTCTCATTTCTGTTAAAACATCTGCATCTAAAATCTAGTTAAAATGACTAAAATTATAACACATTTACATGTTGCAGAAATTGCAACTTGCAGGTGACTCAATCAAAATCTGATTTATAGAAATTGACAGTTTTTACTTCCAATTTTTATTAAGCTTCTTACAATTGATGGACAATTGGGAATTTTCATTAATGGGTCTATTTTTTCCAATGTGCATCAATCGAAAGTCTACTATGAATAAGATGTATAACATCGCACATGTGTAAAATCCCAATACAAACCAATCCCCTGATTGTCACTTTAAAATGTAACAGAAATCACTTACTGCAATTGGGACACCATTTTGGCTGTTGAATGCTATGATCAATGCATGATGTGATGGATGAATCTTATTATTTGGAAAGTATGAAATCAACTTTGTTACTAAAATTTCATCATCTTGGCAGTACACTGGCATAATCCCTAAGGCACTAAAAATTAAATCAAACATACACATACTTGTATAAGAAAAATATGCAACTATGCACTGCGCTTCTTTAAATGTTTAGATATTAATTCAAAAGAAATTGTCCAGCACTTATGCATATCAGGGACTCTTATATCCATCATAATAATGAATAATAATAATGTTGTTTCTGTAATTCCAGAAAAAAATAAATTATGACATCACTATTTAATGAAAATTATATTTTGGATCATCATTGATTTCACTGGCATTACAAGTCCCATAGAAGATGTGCAGGTAATTATCATGAAAGCTATGAAACCTCTTTTGCATCCTTTAAATCAAATTTAAATATTTGAAAAATTTATTTTATAATAATGGTATTCTTATCTTAGATATATAAGAATATTATTCATGGTCATGAATCTATTTACATCTCTAACAATTTAATATGAACCTCATGTGAACTTTATGTCCATACATAATACAAACTCATATTTCTAAAGTTACTAAAACATGAGTAAAATCACTCATGGTACCTTGAGGCATGCCTACAAATTTGTAAGACGCAAAAAAAAAAAATGAAAAATTCTGTCTGTGCCAATTATTTAGTATCTGAATTAAAACATCAGCTCCCAAATACTGCTAAGAGTCTTAGATTGTCCTTGGATTGAGGAAAATACCGAGCAATGAAAAAATTATTGTGTGTCCTAAATCAAGTAATTTTCATGGGACATTTTCAAAAGGAAAATGACATGTGTCAAACATTGGTGTTAAAGCCTGAAACCTTAAATATCTATGGTCTTACAGACAGATGGAATGCAATTAAAAAATTTGCGAAATATAACGATAAAAACAATTCTTAGTAGAAATCTTTTGTCAGCTGTATTTTGAACTTATCCGAGGATGCAAAACTTACGCTTCTTGAGGTTTGATTCTAACAACCGAACGAACTGGCTGATCTATACCATAATCTGATGCAGATGAAATTTTGCGAAGCGCACTTTCCATTTGTGGAATCAATTCACCATATTTGAGAACTTTGGATATTTCATCCGATGTGACTTGTTTCATGGAAGCTGCCATTTTGTTTAATCACGTGATTTCAATGTTGACTGTGTTAAATTACGGTGTATGCATTTTGCTGACGTCTCCGAATAAAACACCATACAAAGAACTCTTATTGGATAGTCAAAAATATAATTTTTGTAGTGATGAATGGTTACAAATATTATTGGTTTAATTTCCGTTGAAATTATAAAATCTTGAAAAAGAATAATGTTATGCATGGAACTCTGAAATTTCAAATGACAGTTGGAGAAGCGGCCGATTTCATTCACCAAATTATTTACAAAATGGCTGTGGAGCGGGAACGTGCGTCTGTGTCTCTGGTATTTAATCATTTTATTTTCAATTTCTGACCATATTTTGTTATATTGTTATTTGAAAAAACAGAACTATCCCTATCTTAATTGAATTCATGGATTTTTGTCTGGACATGGACCATAGGCTATTAAATACTCTTACAATTTTGTGTGGATACCAGTCAAATTCGTAGACGGTGTCGGTGTGTAGCCTACTGGCCTAAAGCTACTGGAACCATACTGGAACCCTAACGATATGTTTCCAGTTGTCTGACCTGTGGAGATAACAACATTAACACTCAACAGAAGAGTAGCATTTTAACAATCGTTTTTGTATGAATGACATATAGACACCTTAACAGTACTGAGATTTATAGATTGATTTTGAGTTGATGAAAATGCCTACATATGTCTATGACCAATTACCTATAATTTGTCTTAGGCCTATTTTGAAATATTATTTTACAAGAGAGAGGAGAATTTTCAGTGTGAATTTGGTGTGAAATCTATTTATTTCTGGCTGCTTAGGTGTATTATGTCTACAGTAAAATTGCTTGACTTTTGTAATTCATAACCGTGTGGCTGATAGTCTTTCTGAGAAAATTTCATTCCAATGGCTTCAATGTCAAGAAGGCTCGCTATAATTTTATCATTACACTTTATTTTGCAATGTCCTTAGCATTGTAGGATGAGAAGTATCTTGGCCTCTTTGATTTCATTCCAAATGCCCACTTATAGCCTACCATTTTTATCATTTATTGATTTATTGCTTACTTAATACATGATTTCTTTTCAGAACATAGAAGGCTGTTATGATGGAAAGTTACAAGCAATATGGGGTTTGGGTAATCAGTTATTTGCTTTTAAAGGAAGTACACCTTTAACAAGGCCTGGTACAGGTATGGCTGCTTATTATTAGTTAGTAACCGTTATATTAGTCCGACCATGGACTGACTCTTTTTTTTTACTACGTATAAGCTTACAGAACTACTGTTTATATTTTAGAGTAATGTCATATACATGTTTGTTTCTATAGAAACATTGCTACAATATATTAGGAAGTATGAATTTTGTACCAAGAATTCTTAGTTGAGATTTGGTCTTATGATATTCCAATTTTTGTTATAGGTGCAAGAGGTAGTCTTAAGGCAGCCAGTGATGTCTGTGACGTAAGGTGGAATACAGAGATGCATAATCCTGTTACAAGAAAACTTGTCAATGAAACTCACAGTAGGTTTTCTTATTACTTTATTATATGGATTTTCTAGAAATCTTCATTTCATTTTCTTTGTTTCAACAACAGTCTTGATTATGCTCATATTTTATTTAAAATTACATGATGTAGTATAAACATGGGAATAGTCTAATATAATTGCTATTTTTTTTTTTTCAGATATATTTTCAATGCTACAAGGACAAGTTGCAAGTTCCACTGGACAGCATCTACAATCTCAGTAAGTTGAAATTAATTGGACCATTGTCTTTTAAAGGTAAAGGGTTATAATTGTGACCCTGCCAATATATTAAACATTTTCTTATGGTTAATATTTGATATCAATTCCAATGTATATAGACATCTATGTTTCTTTTCCTGGAAAATCTTTTACTGCCATCTAATCTACATACTGGTGAACTATTACAGATATCACTATTTATAGTTAATCATGATCTGATGATTCATAATTTCTGTCTTGTAGATTGGTTCTAAGCAGTAAACAATATAGAGCTGTATTAAAAGCCTGTAGTATGGAGTTAATCCATCTTGCAGGTTAGTTGTGAATATTTAAATTTCAGACGCTCGGAAATTTAAAGTTTTTAGAAATCAGCAATCTTCTTATTATTGCAACAGTATAAATGAAGCACAGATCTCAAGATCTTTAAATGTGTATAGAGATAGAAGGTTAAAATATTAAAGGGACAAGGTTGATTTTGGTTTTGAAAATATGTAAATATTCTTCATAAATAATAGAAATGTTCCAAAATATCTCAAACTAGGAATTTCTATATTCCTGTTTCTGAGACTATGGTCAAACGGATGGCAAAACTGTCCCTTCTATTTATAATGACAGTGATGTGTAATGTGTATTTTTAATTCTAGAGACAACACGGAATGAACAACAAAAACAAAAATGTGAAGAACAACTAGAAATTTTTGAAATGATTCAGTTAATTTGGGGTTTCTGTCAAATTTTGTTTATTGAGATTACACCAGGTATGTTAAACAAACCCTCACTTCTTTTTAGGCACTGCAGAAACTGCTTATTTGCAAGAATATTTCAAACTTTATTCCATTTCGATGGACTGCATTCTTATCTGTCAACAGATTCTCTCTGCAGTCAGAAAGTGGAAATGGTTATGTAGGAAAGATCAGTTGTTCATATAGCACTTAAATAATGTACTATATGTTCAATTTCTTTGATTGTTGTAGATGGGTTATTACTTAATCAGCTACTAGATTGGATAAAGTGGCATTTTACTGAGGGTAAACAATTAGCTGTAGAAGTAATACATGATGATTTACCAGCTCAACATCCTGCTTATTGGGAAGCTGTAAGTCACTGTTCTCTTGTATGATTACTGGAATAACATAAATCTTGAAATGGAAACCGTATGGTCAATGACTGTTGAAAGAATTATTATATAACTTTCACTTGTTCTCAAAAATGGTTTTGCAGCATGTTTTTTGAGACACCTGGCACAAAGACAAAGTACATTCTTGAAATGTTGAACTGCTATCCCTTATAACTAATTAACTGTAGTTTGGAAGCCAGATTCGAAATAAAGAAATGTTTGAAGAAAATCAATTTTTGTATGCATTGTAAAATTAGTCTTGATTGTCAAATATATTCAGTTTTAACTCTGCTTTCAATGAACCATGTCACTTATGATTTCATCTAGTGTGAAAAGTGCTCATTTTATGGAAATCAGAATGCAGAAATTAAGATTAAAAATGATATGTTTGGGATGAATCATCAGTATCGCCTATTACCTATATTTTTTTTTATTTTTCAGACATTTCGTTTGTTATTACAAGGTGAAATAGACAGTGTTAGAAAACTTTTATCATTAAATGAATCCTTTCAAAATGAAGCTTTTCTTAGTGTAGATGAATTGTTAAGAAAAATGCCACAGTGGACAGTATGTATTTTGATTTTTATTATCAATCATTAGTTCTCTTTCATTTACACCAAGATACTATACAGTATATTAAACTAATAATAAACTTTATAAACTTAGGTTCGAATCAAAAATTGATATCATTCAGATTGAATAAAAACATAAACTGAAATATGATGTTACTCAGAGTCTGAAGCTGATATAGATCAGAAACAACATGTTTCAGGTTCTGTTTTAATGTAATTTCTTTATCACAATTAATGTATTTGAATATAATTTTCAGCATTATCATCATGCTCTATCTGCTGCTGAGTTTGATATGAAATGGAGACATTGGAGAGAAGAATGTCAGAGACGTTACGAAGAAGGTCATTATTCTGCATTTCCTGATTTAGAAACTCTTGTCATGGTTAGTGTTATTCTCTAATTATCGTTAACTAGTTATGTATTTTTAAGGAAAATATTTTTCAATCCCATGCTGGAAGTGTTTCTTACAGTGCATTTCCATTATCTTTGAATACTGTCATGCATGAATAATTGTCTTTCTGAAGTGATATCCTGAAATCCAAGTAGTTCATGGATGAACTTTTTTTTCAGGTTTTATGTGGTGATGAAAATGTGTTCTCTGATATTAAAGATATGTGTGGAACATGGTATCATTTATTAGTTTCCAAAATGTTGTTTCAAAATCCCACTGTTCGAGCAGCAGATCTTCACTTTTATGCTGAGGTAAGAATAACATAACAATAAAGTGATAAGCTTAAGTTTTTATAGTTCAAAGTTCACTGCTGTGAGTGCTACACATAAAATTTATTTTGTTCACTCTCATTCCAATTAAGATTTATTTGAAAATGCTGTATAATGCTGTGTAATGTATAAATAATGATGATAATTGTTATTATAGACGTGTATAGAAGAGTTTAATATGAGTGGTAGTAGGATGGGAGAATTAGATAATATATTGTTAGCAGCTATTCAGTTTGATATACACCAAGTTATTAAAGATAGCAGGTATTTTAATATTTTACTCTGTATCAGCCATGATATTCATTGACCAAAGTCGTTATTATTAGCAATATATAAGGCACATACAAACTTACACGTGCCATGGCTATATACAGTATATTATATAACATGCAGTGTATGTTTGTGTTTGTGTCTTTTCAACTAAAATCATACTAATGACTAACTAATTTTCACATAATCACTAGACTTATCTATTGCTCTGTGACCTAGGCCAGTGCTTTCATTGAGACTTGTCTCAATACACCCTAACACCAATCAATTCTAAGATTCTCATGAATATGTCTTTTCTTTTCAGTGTGTTTCTCAGTACTGGTAGCTGGTGGTTTGTAGCTCATATTACAGATTTATTACATCATTGTGGTCAGCTAGATACACAAAATTTACCGTATGTATATTCTTTCTCTGTCTATATTTTCTGAGTAGATTTGATATTACATATTGACAAGTTTCTCAAAAATCAGATTTAAGGATAAATCTTTAAAAACTTCCAATATCTATTTAGAGTAATTGAAAGTGCCAAGTTGACAATCCATGCCTCAGAATTATATCAGTTTTTTCTGGAATGAGAGAAAACACTTAATAATCCAGAGCATTCCATTTTATTTGTTTGAAAAATATTAAAATTTAAAAATCATGAAATATTTGTTTCAGGTATGGTTCGAATCTCAGAGAGTTTCTTATATTAGAATATGCTACTAGTTTGATGTCTCATAAAAGGTAAGAAGCAGCCATGTTTATGAGCTTGTGAGCTTTTTGTTCAACACTTTTAGCTCTTAATTCAAATTTTGTTTGATTCAGATAAAAGAAATTTTAAGTTGAGTGCTCAACATTATAAGTTTATTACCATTATTTGTATTTTCAGTTTGTGGCAAGTTGGTATAGATTATTTAGACTACTGTACTGTATTTGGAAGGTCAGTTTATAAATATTTCAATATTTCAAAAAATGATATAAGATGTATAACAAAAATATTTTCTAGATGTTCTTGTATATTCTCTTTTGATTAACTTTCTGTTTATTTGTTATTCATCAAAGAAACATACAAGTGGCTTGAATTTTTGTGTTATTTTTTTCTATTCAGGACATATGTCAAACAGTTTATTAATCATATGGTATTAGATAATGAGAAAAAGGCACAAAAATTACTTCATATTTGTCAAGAAAGAAATTTACAAGATGAAGGTAAACTTATGTTCAAAAAATGTATATCAAGATTTGAATATTAGCAAATTAATGTGAATTTTTATAAAATAGTGTAAGATTACAAGTTCAATTCACAATGTTAATTTTGTCTTATGCTATTTTTTCCTCATTATAGGAGGTATAGGTAAGGTCCTTATTCTAAAATTTTTGGAGAGGGGTCTGTAGAATTCAAATGGTAGCCACTTTTACTGAAGTTTTAACACAGATTTCCTTTTATTTATAGTACAAACTATATGTAAAGTAATGGGAATGAAGAGTTTAAGACTAGGAAGATTAGGTTCAGCTCTAGCTTGGTTTTTAAGATCTAAGGTATATTTTTATAATGTGTTTAATCTAAAGTGGCATGTTTCAAGGGATTAGTTTGCTGTAAAAAATTGTGATGGGTTTTAACAATAGTGGTAAAAATATTATAAATTTCAATTAAAATTTGACTACGAGGCATCACACTCATTTGTAAGTTTTGATGTATGTGTCTTTGTGGAAGAGATTACACAACCAGTCTGAAATGTCATTTAACAAACAAATTCCTTACAGTCTAAATCAGAGTTTACTGAAATGTTTGAACAGAGAAAATATTGATGTCATTCCTTGTAAATGAAATATATTTCCAATTACAGGATGTTACAGCCACCAGCAAGCTAACTGAAAGGTATGTAATTGAATTTATATGTACTTTTCTATCAATCTACACATTCTTCTTCATTTTATATTGTGAAGCAGCATATTGGTCATGATAGAATAAGTGTTGATTTGTAAGAGGAATATAAATAAGAATATATTGATATTGGTTAGACAAGATATAGTTCTGATAAGATTGATATCAACTTGTTTTTAATATATTATACTTTCCCTCTGTTTATTTCAGGTTAATAGAAGATTATAGTATATGTAGTAAATTTCAATATACAGATATATTAGACAATCTAGGACCAGCCATGTTTCTTAGTAACAGACTCACATTCCTAGGTAATATTATATGAAACTAATTTACATCTACATATTCGCTGGAATTTAAATTATTGATTATCTTTATACATTATAATGATAATATTTTAGCAGACGAATCTGACCCTATCCATTTTATATCCCATGTCACATTTTATGGGAGTTGCTCCAACTTGCTTGTTTATCAGAATTTTCACCCTGTTAAAATTTCACATAAACATAATTTTTATCATGGTAAAATTATCAAAAACTAGCAAACCAAAGGTAGGTCGGAGCAACTCCCCTTAACGTGTCGATATTTCATCTGACAAATTGCAAGGGCTAGATTTGTCAGGCTAGACAATATTGTACTGCTTGGGTAGTTTACTTAATGCCATTTGATAGAAAATAAAGATGCAGAATATTTTACTGCTATTTACTATGATATTGTAAATGTTTATTGTATATCTTTCAGTGAAGTATCGTGAATTTCATAAATTATATGAGAAACAAGAAACACCAGAAGCAGCCTCCTTATTATTATCATTATTAGAAGCTAGATTGGCACCGAGAACGTATGTATATATTTGATAAAAGTTTGTCAGTATTTGATGGGGTTTTTATTTACTTAAAGAACAGTCACAATGATTTTAACGATGCCTCTCCGCTCTACATCTAGACTTTTGGTTTATATTAAGAACTATACAAGCCAAACTTATATTGTGTTTTTAAATAATAACTTGACTACGTTTCATGATATATTTCAGATTTTGGATAACATTATTACAAGATGCTATGCCCTTATTAGAAATGGACAAGGTAATAATTGCTAATTGTCAAATTAATTAATGAAGCTGAGATAAGCTATAAAATAATCCTTTAGCGACATTTAGGGGTAGAGATCAGATTTAATAATGAAAACAATTTTATGGTATACTACTCCTTAGTTTTATTACACAGTACGTTTCAACAAGTGAAGATGACAATGTAGATTGTTTAAACGTCGTGTGTAATAAAACTAAGGAGTAGTATACCATAATATTGTGTCCGTTATTTAAAGCTATAAAATGTGTTGTATGGAAAGATAGTAGTTAATAGTTCCATTGTGGAATTTTAAATCCGAACTCCAAAAGAGTTGTCATTAATATAACAAAAATATGGTTTTTTTTTTAGTTGTTCAGTAATTGTTTTGTAAAGGAACCAGCTGTGATAGAGATATATTTATTATCGTTTTGAATTAAATAACTACAATGTATTCTAGGTTATATTTAGTAGTAGTCAGACATATGTTTTAATGCATTGTTTAGAAGAATTGAGACATGAATTAGATTCTAAAACAGATATATCAAAGGTAAATATAACAATGTATTATTTCAACTGTCATAGAAGTTACACAGAAAATCTTACTATCAATTTTATTGTTTGGTGTGAGGTATTTCTTAATGTAAATATTCTTTCATAAGATTTTTGTGAGCGGGTCCCTGACTCTAAACTATTCCTACAATAATTACATGATGTAACCCTCAGGAAATTTGTTTGCACAGGTCCTTAAAATTTTATAACTGGGTTATGTCTGTGACACATTGCAGGATGGTTTTCTGTTTTCTGTATCTTGTGTACACTAATTTACTGGTCTATTTGATGTGGGGAAAAAACCTGTCTTGAGCAAGGCCAATTATAATGAATTTGTATCTTTGCCCTTGAAACAAGGGACAATAATCAAAACAATATCTAAACGATTGTTTTATATAATAACATATTTAATAAATATTTAAAACATTTCAGAAATTAACAAACATGGAAAAAGATAAATTGGATTTATTACAACTATGTTTAACAAGAAATCTATCAAAAGCCATAAAAGAGGAAGGAACAATAAAATCGTCCTGATGAAAGCTTTGCCCTGTACAATTATCACAAGATATGCTATCCAACATTTGTATGTTGATAGCATTAAAGATATGTGAACTGAACAAAAATATGGTTAACACATAAATGACATCTATACAATGTGGGAAAATACTGTGAACACATAATAAATTACTGTTATATGCCTCAATAAAATATTTGTATATAATCAAGTTGTGTATAATTTGTGAGAAGACTAGCTTCTTAGCATATTCTCTGAATTATTTCAGGTGATCATTTTACTACTATGTTTGAAAAGTGAGCATTTCAGATGAGACTGACCACCATGAAAAACCATCATTTATGATGAATGTACAAATTTCATTACATTAAGATACAAAAAGTTTCTGTTTCGTCTGTCATTACCATATATAATATATTTGAGCAAACATCCTAAATACTGTGAACCTAAATGAAATGCTGTGTTCAATACCTGTCCTGATTACCGTGTTCACAGAGCTAATGTTCTTCTATGACCTTCATCATGAATGAGTGTAAAAAATGGCTGCAACTGATATAATGAGTTGGTGCAATTTTTTTTCTGGTCTCTTAACAATACTAATAAAAAGTTTGAAATTGGAAAATTATGCTTACATATCTTTGTAGTCTATTATAGATACAAAGTCGTGAATAATGCCTTTACAGTCTCCATTTTCGAGAAATAGTTTTGGACTTGCAAGAAAGCTGTAATCACTATTTTCACAGCATGTTAGAACTAGGCACAAAGTACATTACTGTCTAGTGATTATATGGTTTACAGTCACAAATCCAATACAAAGTACAGACCACAGTAATATTAAATATACCCATATCTTGTGGTAAAATGGTGAACTGTGCTTGTTTTCTATTGTTTTACATACATCCTGTTTTCTGGCATAATAAACTAAACATGCTGGAATGATGTATTGTATTCCAGTACCAGCATAAGATCCTGTTATACCTACTAAAATCTCGACTTCATTGGTACCAAACGCTACAGCTAGTGGTGGAATGACTGCTAACAATGGAAACACCAATCTGTTTATTGTCCAATGAAAATTACTGTCTTTTGTTGTAAACATTGTCTGTAGATTGTTCCTTAAAGTTATAGATATTATCGGAAAATTAGAACTTAATGTGAACACTGGAAATAGTGCCAAAAAGTACTGGAAAAACTTGATATCCGTAACAGCATCCTCTGCACAATTAACATTAAAGAAGTTCAATGTATATAAATCATTGATAGATTTAAAGGCAAATATACCCGTAAAAGATAATAAAGCATAAAATCCAAGAATAAGCATATAGTCAGCTCCTAGCACTTTGTATAGTTTTGATTTGTCTTTTATTGGTGTTATTAATGAAGGCAGAGAATGGTGACACATAAAAGAATAAACACAAACGCCAAATAAATTGGGTATCCCTGATAAATTTCCTACAGAAGGGCTGCCGTTATGTTTGGTATCTAGTCTTATTACTGCAAATACTATCATTGTACCAAATGCTAAAATACAAAATATAAATTAATGTTGTTTAATAAAATTGTTAAACACAGAAATTCTTGAACAAACTTTTTGTCTTTTGAAAACAAAAAAAATATTGATTTGTGTTTAAGTTTCCATTAGTGGCACATGATGGAGTTTTTTCTCAAGTGACCACAAGTTTCAATGCAATTTTATTCCACATGATAAGCAATAAATGTCGATTGGGTAAGGACACACACAACAGACTCAAAACATTTGTTCTGAGTTCGATTTTCAAAACATTTTTGACTCACTCAATGGAGGTTCATAAGAGTGCATTAAAAGAAACGATCTATGTAAAACCAAATATAAGTATTTATGTATAATACATATCGGTACTACTAATTCAGTAGTCAAGTTTAGTTTTATTTTTCTTTAATAATTTTAGATCAATCATAAGCATTCATAATAATAAGAAAAATCTTACCAAACCATCGTAAAATTGTAGTAAATATTTGAAGATATTTTGTCTTTTGTACATTAAAAAATGCAAATGGTCCCATGCAAACCATAAAACAGGCCTAAAAGTAGTAAGAAAAATGGATTCAGAATTGATCATAACATTGTTTAAATAAAATATAATTTCTTTAAAATATACTCTTATATATGTCATATGGTGTAATAATAACTTATTATGATAAAAAATACAAAAACATTTGGTGCTACCAAATCATTTTGTAAAATGAACACTAATTGGCCTAATTAGTAGGAAATTTACTTACTACAAATACTCTGTAAGCATTGATTCTGGTGATAGTACTATTTTCCCAACATATATCATCTTCTGCTAATGTTTTACTACAGTTAGTGTTGTTAGGTAATCTGTAGGTACTATATAAAATACATTGATTTGTTTATTACTAACTATTCACAATATAAAAACCAAAAAGATTATAAATTATTGTAATATTTAATGAGTATAATGTGTAAATTTAATGACTTTATCCCAAGAAATAATGCATCTAATTTTGATGATTGTGACCTCAGTTTAACATTTGAAACTTTTGATATTGACTAAATTTGATCTAGTTAGAACGACTGAAACAAAATCATTTTGGAGTAATAAACCAGATGGAAATCATATAATTTGTATGCATCCAAAAAGAAGGAAAACATTTCATACCAAATAACATCTCTTAATGATTTAGGTACAGCAGCTGCATATATAGACAGATCACCATATAAATATATCACAATACATATATAAAATAACTTTTCACCAACTACAAAATATTATTATAGGGTAATAGGGTCATATTCCGCCACCAGGGATTAAAACTGGGGACTGAGTGTATTTTATTATGCACATTACAAATCATGATGTATTGCAGTTTTCTCATACCTCAGAATGTCAAAAACCACTTGTCATGCAAAAAACGCAAATGAAAACCATTATGAAATATTTACAAAAATTTTTTTCTCATTTATTTGGCCAATGAGAGCAGATATTCATTATTGGGAGTAACCTGGTGTTTTAATTATACATCAGAATCCCTCTATAGTCTGATAAATAGATAAAACTAAGTAATTATTCATAAAACTATAAGTAATTATTTAAAAATAACTTAGTTTTTAGAAATTGGATTATACATGGATTCTGTTTAAGTCCACTGATGAATATAATATTCTCTTTAGAGAAGTTTAGAAATTCAAATTTTATGTTAATTATAACAGGTAATACTCTTTTAATAAAGTTTCATACTGCTTCAAAATCATTTATTTTCATTCCTACCACATATTGTGGTTTTTGATAATGATATTACAGTGGTCTACTCCTAGAATTCAGCAAAAACATGATGTGTCTGGTACATATTTTATATGTAAGTTAGTCTTACGATAAATATTAATGAAGTCTGGAAAATAGGTTCAAAATCTTCTGGAAATCAAGGTGGCGCTTGATTGGAGAGTTCTGCACCTCAAGCTTATTGAATCAACAGAACGTTCAATAAAACATGTTGGAACAGAGTTCCAGGTGCAGACAGAATACCAAATGGCGGATTTGTACCACTCAATAGGGGGCAGAATTGGAACAGAAGCGCCACCCAAATATCATGCTTCAGACTTGCAAACAAAATTTTCATGGGATTCCAACCTTTTAGACCACCAAATATTTGCACTTTACACTAAATATTTTGAAACCACATGCTGGATTAAATCATGCAAATACCTTTATTGAAAAACATTTCTGCCATTTTGCCCTGAAATGAAAATAATAGATACTTAACAATATACATTGTCCTGACAATAGATGTTACATCCAAAACATGTAACAGGAGATGAGATGATTTATTAGTTATTAAGTTCAACAAACTGCCTACCGTGAAAGTTGCGCTAACCACTTTAAAACATATCACGGTAATGTATGGCGGCCATTATTTACTGGAACAATGTCAATATTGTCATGTGATCTGGTAATTTAAATATCAGGGGCTGATCGTTCAGGACTATGAGTATTTGTAAACAAAGACAATGAAAACAAAAACTTTGTAAGATATGGATTCAAAAATGTATAATTGATGAACCAATAGCATCAAATGCATAAAAAAGTGACAGGTTTATCTCTCAGACTCTAAATCTATGAACTATATTTATATCACAATATTACTATCACTTGAAAAATTACCATTAAATACTGGAAGTAAAGAGTCTCTCCCAAGAAGACAACATAATTCTCCATTCATTACCATGTCAAATTCAGCTTTAAGGAAACTGTTGAAGATTGCCGAATGTAAGCTCAACATACAGTAAAGGTAATGCACATTTCATTTGGCCTATATGTATTATTTAAGCAAGTTATAATTTTCTTACCATTTCTACCTTTTTCGTTATTTCAAATATCTCACCATCATCTGAAATAATCATAACAAAATGACAAAGGTGTTCAAAAGAGGGTATTATTTTCATGCTTTTGATTTGGACCTTATAATCTCATGGTGATATCTTAACATAGGCAGTTCTGCTGCAAGCTTTCTTGCTAAAATTGTTTTTTTTTTTGGTAGGACTATATTGCAATGCAATGTATAAGCATGAAATTGCACCATTCTGATTTTCAGTCAGACATTTGTGGGTCTTGCCCATCCACTAAAACTAAGTATTTAATGACAAAGCTATCTCAAAGACCCTTAAATATCATCAGCAGCTTTAGCAAAAGTGGCATCAAATTTGGTTATTAAGCATATCTATATTTACAGGAACCACATTTGACACAAATTTGGAATGATACAAATTGAAGCCATAAACAAAGGTGTTTATGGATATATTAGTTTAGAGAGCTGAGTAGGGGCCACAAAATTTTCCAGGGGTCTACTCGCTATATTTTCACAGTGTAAATTGATAAAAATACTGAAAGCCAGCCTCTTTTCTGCGCTAGAAACATCACTGATACACATAAACATGTTAGAAAGCCTCTTTCCAACCTCTTTAAGCTATTCCTTTTATATTTCCATATGTTGCAAAGTCTTTATTCTGTTATAATATATGGCTACATAATAGTAGTATTAGCACTCCAAAGAAAAAACTATTACAGAATCTACAAAATTTATTACCTCTAAAACTATCAGAACGTGATCCTAACAAGGGAGACTGCTCATCATCTGGTAAATTGGTAATACCATACTAGAATTTCAATTAGTACCGTGTTATTTTGGATGTTAGTTCCACAAATAATGCCATTACAATATCTTTTACATTTTAAATAAAATTCACATTAGAAAAATTTAAGAAATAAAAGATATAAATAAATGTCTATAACAATGTGATAACAAGAACTTACTCTCATATCATTATATCTTTCTTTAGCATTAGCAACAGACATAGCCTCTGCTACAAATGTTACAGTTATATAGCTGAAATAATGAAATATGTCTTTTAGTACCCAATAATTTACTGAAGATAATTTGTAGGTTATAACATTGTGGACATAGGCATAATCAACAGTGAGAGTATGTTGCCTGTGCAGGTAGTGATTGTTCAGAGGTTTTCTAAATGTTTAATGTGTATCGCAGACACTGATAGGATCAATTTGCATCATTCCAATTTTCAATCTGTGGACTCAGTAAAGCTAAGTGTAAGATGACGTCACTAATTTCGAAGGGCCTTGTGATACAAGCATATTTTGCGATTAGTGATGTCATCAGACACTTATTTTTTTGTGGAAATAGAGGAACCACAGACGTGTAGAGTTTAAGAACCTCTTGACAATCACTTTAAGTAGCTGAATTTGAATAAAAAAAAAAACATTCATTCTCACATGAACATTAATTTCAATGGAAATTATGATTTAAAAATTATTTATTCTAATAACATAATAGATCATAAATTAATAAAATTATTATTGTTGAAATAATAATGACGAGGCAAATAAAAAGGAATAAGGAAATGCTCTAAATTTAAGGAAGAAGAAATAATAATATTAAGATTTTTATTTCAATTTCTCAAAGGGGCTTACCTTGTAAAAGCTAAAAATATGACAAGAATCAAGCTGACTAACCAACCAGCTGATTGGAATGCTGCAGGCATTGTAAGAGCACCAGTTCCCACAATAAGGTTGAACACATAAATCAGCCCTATCTGAAATTAAATAAATAAATGACCTTATCTCAAAGCTTTTAATCTTTATTCAATAAAATCAATGGTATTTTGAAAATTGAAAAGAGTTCGATATAAACAGCCAACTTATTAAAGTCTATTCAAGTACTGGACCAGTGCAGAATGAGTGGGCCTAGATCTAATTAAACAAAATGTAAGGCTATGGATTGAACTTTTCTGAAAAATATTTGAATTTTGTTATGGTTATGGTTTTCATCGACCTAAGGCTAAGGACAATTATTTTATATATGCTAGGTGCTAGTCCTATATAGTTGTTGTCTATTAATGTAGAGTCCATACTCACTGATGTAGAATACTGTGCATCACGGTCTAAGCTACCTTCAGCCATGATGACTATCGTGAAATTTCTTTTAAATCATGGACATCCACACTGAAAAATATTGATATAAATTTAAGCATAGATTTTGACAGTCAAAAAATAGCTTCAATCACTTCTTTAGTCACATGATCACAAGATCACGTGACAATGTTTCAATAACAGTAAAACAAGTTAAACAATCCAAAATCCAAGCTCTTTAAAATATCGGAAAGATTAATTCGAGGTTTTGTGCAATTAGAACATTGGAAGCTTATCAGGAGATGAGACATAGGGCCTATATGATTCTGTGTTTAGCCTAGCTTGACTTTTTTTATATTTTCTATGGAATGCAGAGTTTATGAGTTAAGCAATCGAGTAGACCAAGCTTATGAAGATTGAAGTGTTTTATGAAAATGCAGTAGTCATACAGATAAGACAAGCTATTTTTTCAAAGCAGATTAAAATAGAACGGAATAGATATAAGCTTATTTAGGAAAAAAAGGTTAAAATTTTGAATTAAGAATTTGATGGATCATTTGATGTACAAGACTGTCTACATTCTGTAAGATCTCAAAACGGAAAAGGCTTGAGATTGAGTTGCGAGGCAGGGTTAGTTTCCTCCAAAAATAATAGAAGGTAACTAGCCGACTGGGAACCTACACATGCTTTATGAAATTCTATATTGTCTTGCACAGACTGTAATTGTAAACTTGCATTGGTAGTTGCAAGACTATGTCTGCCCACAATCCTTAGCCTACCGAGATCTTTCTATTTCCTAATTATTTTTATATGAATTGAAATGTCAACTTCAAAATAGTTGAGGCCTAAATTGTCTTATGGGTTGACAAATGCCAACCAATGAAAACAATTTATAGGCATATTAGAATTAGTAAATTTTATTTTACAAAGGGGAATTTTCCTTCTAGATCTAATTATAGTTATAGTAATAGTCTATGTGGAAATCACAGTTTTCTTGGGAAATGTAATTATTTCAGAAGTAAACAAGTCAAATGAGAACGAATTGTTTGCTTCAGTTAACGTTAATGTCTGTTAAATTGTGTACTTTTAGTTAAGCTTACATAATATTCTGAGTTATCAGTTTTATCTTGTTTTTGTAAAGAACCTTCTAGTACTATTAATAGATCCTAAAAAAGTCCCCCCAAAAAATGTAAAGTGTATGGTACTAGTTAGTATAACATGTACATGTATAATAAAGTGTGTAACTCTATGTATTACACTCTTTTATAGTTTTAGCATTAGGTTCGAAAACAAGGTAGAAGATATCTGAATTTATACAGTGGATGTAATGGAATGATAAGGCAAAAGTTACCGTTAAAATGCGTATTAATGAATATACAGTGATATATGGAGAGAAAGTTTTACTGGTTCCATATGAACGACATCATGTTCCCAAGTAAGTATTAATTTAGATAACCAGATTTTAGACTTGACTGTTAAAAACAGTTTTGTCATGAATGATCAGTTCCAAGTTATATTAAAGGTTGGAAAGAACAGCTTTGTAAACTTGCATAAATTATTATTTGCTTTTCAATAAAAGCATACTTCACTAAATCATATTATGCAATGATATTTGAACATAACATATTATATCAGAATTCATCTGCTCATGTGTTTCATTAAACTATTATTTTTGTTAATATGTGTGTAAACAGTAACTTAAATCAGCCTATTATCATTCTAGATATCATGCATGGATGCAAGCACGTGAATTACAACGTTTGACAGCATCTGAACCCCTCACATTAGATGAAGAATATGAAATGCAAAAACATTGGAGAGAAGATAATGACAGTAAGATTTTATCTTTGTTAAATTTTACCTTTACAATGATGACATGTTAAGAGATTGAGCAAAGAATAAGAAATTAAGAAACTGATGACTGTCAAATCAATCAATTTATTATCCATTTTCAGAATGTACATTTATTATTTTGGATTTGAAGAATTACCAGAGACATCAAGGTGGATTGAAGGATAAGGAAATAGGTAAGGATTGAAATCTTAAAAAACCTTTCTGTTACGTTAAACATAATGTTTCATACAGTTACTGGCGGGCATTTTTGTTAATTTTCAATTTCTAAAAAAAAAAATCAAAAATCAATTTGCTAAACACTTTCTTGAATTTCTTTCTCAGATACAATGATTGGAGATGTTAATTTATTTTTTAATGATGGTGAAAGTAGAGATATAGCTGAAGTAGAAATTATGATAGCAGGTACATTTTCACAAGTCTTTGTTCAAGTTATAATCAATAAACTAAGATTATTTATAAAGTTTTTTAATTTGATAGCTCAAGATTCGTAACGTTATCACATATTGTCAATGCCAATACAAAAATATGTCAATCAAACATTGTTATTTGTTAATGTAACTTTCAGAAAGGGATGGCAAGAGACTTGGGCCGGGTATCGATTACCAAATTGAGATCAATAATCAAAATGTGTTCATATTTTTGTTTTCTAATTTTGCAGATGCTGCCAGTCGTGGGAAAGGATTTGGTAAGGAGGCTTTAAATTCTATGATGAGATATGGTGAGTTAGTATAGCTACAGTATTCAATTTGTTTGCTATGATATAAAATTCAATTGTAAGAATGCTAAAATAAAAGTATATTACCATCCCAACTTTAAGATAATCAGCTGACAAGGGTGATATTGAATAACATGTATTTCTTAAACCCCAAATACCTCTGATGCAATGGGTTAATCACACAATATTTCATTACAGGTATGGAAACCTTACATGTCAACAAGTTTGTTGCTAAAATTGGTTATGGAAACCAACCTAGTCAAGGAATGTTTAAAAAACTAGGCTTTGAGGAGGTAACTATCGCAAAGACACCAATATTTTCTTCACCACAGATCTGCTTGTTTTATATTAAACCGTATGAATTACTTCTTATTAGCAATGAGAAATTAATAACCATAATCCCTCAAGATCCAAGTCATTAAGCCTGCGCAGATGAGCGGAACTAGCTGAGCTGCCTCAAGAGATTATGAGCTCAACTGTTTCCCCTGTCTGCGCTGGATTTTTAGTGAGATTTCTGCCTTGAGAGGGTGTAAGGAAAATATCTATCCTGTCTGACATTTTCTGACTCGAGAGGCCAGAAACTCAGCGTTTGCGGAAGTCTAAGCTGCCTACTGAGCTAGGAAAAGTAACTTAACCAATAGAAATGTGTTGATGTTGATGTGCTGCTATCAACATGGCAACCATCAACGACCTTGTGCATTGCATGGTGCAGGGGATCAACTTGTTAAACAATGGCAAGTGTCTATGTATACCTGTGTCTGTGGAATTCAAAAACAAAATCATGAGACCATTGTGATCGGTCACATGACACTGAAGCAGCCTTCAGTTGTTTCTGTTGATGGAAAGAAGTAGTGGGAATTTTGCTCTGCTGACAGCCTCTCAAGACAGACAGTTCAGCTATATTCCCTTTGGCTTTATGCACAAGCATTCCAATAATATCAAAGTCTTACCCAAATTATTTTTGTTTATATTCTTTACAGGTATCAAGAAGTGATGTGTTCGAAGAAGTAACAATGGAGTTGTATTTAACAGATGAGGATAAAATGATGATTTTAGAAAATACCCCAGTTTATAGACTAGATGTTCAGGGGCAATGATACAGAACATTATTATATGCACATTCTTGATATTTCTAATTTGTTACCAGACTTAAAAAATACCAACAATTCAAGATGGTGATCAGGAATATGGGAATCGTCTATCTGTTTGGGAGAAAGCCTAAGCCCTAGTGGTATTGACAAATTTTCTTCAAAATTATGCTTATAATGTTCAACATTTTGTGCAGTACTGGTATACATCTTTATGTCGCATTGATTACCGTTTATTAACACATTTATGATTTTCTAGTTCATCTGAAATTCATCCACCTGTTGATGTTAATTGGAATAGCAGTTATATCACTTATGCCTAGTGAATATGTATCAGATCTTTGTTTTTTGCATTAGTTTCATTGTCAAAGTTTTGTATTGAGAATCTCAGTCTAAGATGATATTTAAAAGTGATTAAGTTGTGTAAGTATACTCCTTACCTGATAAGATTATAATTTCAGCTATCAGGAGCATAGAAACCATATTTTATGTAATAAACATGTTGTTAAATCAATTGTGTATTCAAAAATGTTTTTTTAAGCAAGGAAAACCTTTGAACTGTACCTCTTTAATCATTACCAATCATAAAATATAAATAGAAATATAAAGTCTATATAGTATGATATATAGACACAGCTTTATGGAGCACCAATCACTGGTTAAAGTTTTATGCAATGTTTCCATGTGTTCCTCCTTAAATGATAAAACGACAAAATAAAGATTGGCGAAACAATTCAGAACATTTAATAAAACTGTAGCCAGTAATTTCTGTTCCATGAAGCTGTGTCTATTTTATCATAGATATATGGTAAACTTGAATATAAAAAGCCATTCTTCTCACAAATTTATTTTTTACATTTGCTATAGTAATATAATGTAAACCACATTTTTGTCTGAATTAACTGATGAATAAAAAAAGTCATACAAATCTTATAAAAAAAATGTTAAATTCTCTAGATTATTTACTGAGTAAAGGATTTGACGGGACACCAACTGTCTCCTATTCAAACCTTTTCCCAAATAACAAAACAAAGGCTGAGGTTTAGTATGCATTGTTAATTTAGTTTACAAATGTGAAGCATATAAAATATATGTTGCAAGCCCAAGTACAAAATAAACACATATTCAAATTTTACAAAAATTCAAGACATTTGAACACTAATTGTTGAAGAAATTGTAAAAATATATTTTGGTTGATAGCTAATGAGACAAATACAATAAGTAGAACACTAGAACTTTTGAGCAAGCTTATAACTCATTCCAGACTGACACTTGTAATATTTGTGAGTTAATTATATTAGAAACTCAGATATTGAAAGTGCAGAAAATGAACCTGGAAAAGTCAATACCATAAGTTATACATATTAAAATATAGTGTATAGGCCTATATAAATGATGCACAAGGATAAGGCAATATATGTTTATATATATTACTATTTGCTACAAGTATCTTTGTAAATATATAACCAATACACAAATTATAGAACTATTTCTTTTGCTTACACACGAATTGAAACCTATTGAAAATATTGATAGAAAGCGTCATTTTGCCATTACTTAAAAATACAAGCAGTTAAATATAATTGTACATTCTAAAGGATTACTGCCACTGATACATATTAGGAATATTTTAAAGAGTAGAAATTGGATATCATGACTTAGATTTGTTGAGTAAAATTAAAAAAACTATGAAAAAAAAATGTTTCCTAGAAACATACTCACCATTTTGGCAGAAAAAAATTAACACACTTGAAAGACCTATTGATATATATGAATACAGCAACATATTTTACCTTATACTATAACTATAATATCATTTAATAAACAAGATCTCGATGATATTTAGTACCAGTAACGATAAGATCATTTTGACTAACAAATTGTGAATAGGGTCCCAGATGTGTATATATTGATGAATTGATTAAAGTTCCATGTGTATATGTTAATACTTTGGAAGGAAATGAAAAATTGAACAATATAAACCTTTCTAATAATTAATTGCAAACACAGAAAATGATATAGACTGTACTTCAGGACTGGGCAAAAAGATTTTTTATTTTTTTTATTTATTTAAGTATCTTTTCATTTAAAAAATATGTACATTGCAAGATGCAGCACATTATTATCAAACAAAGGCAATATCTGCTTTTATAAAAAAATATTCAAATCATGCATCATATATATAGGCAATATCAGTATATAATTGCTTCATGGTCCTAAATACACAAAGATCTATATTTATAATATCTGACTATAAAAAGGTGTATCAGTATTCCTCGATTCGTTCAACACAGGTGATAATGGTTGATGTTGATCAATGTTATGATTATTGATTTGTACATTAGCATTTTGTTGCCCTCCTGCTGGCTCATTCCTTTGAATATTGTCTTCTTGATCATTGCACAAGTTGCCAGCATTAGCCATGTGAGTATTATTACTTAAGTCTTGTACCTCATTGACCCCGCTATTATCACAGTTATTGTTTGACATATGTAATGATGGCAGAACAATATTTTTCCACAAAGAATCAGCATTGTTTGATGATGAGCCTTCAGTTGAATCTTGCTGTTCTATGTCACAACCTTGGTTACTGTCAATATTCTGCATCCTTTGAGAGGCTCTACGTTTAACAGGTGTAAAGGCAGATTGCGGTGAACCGATTGATATAGGTGACGTAAAGGCACGACTGCTTTTCAAGTTCTTATTTACTTCAAAAGCAGGCATTTCACTTTTGGGATCTACCTCAGAAAACTGAGAAGAAGATTTATTTTGAGCTGGTAACAAACTTTTAGAAGTTGATGGTTGAGGATCATTCATAGCAATGTTTCTCTGTGAAGATATATCCATTTCCACTCCTTCATTGTGTAAATTTTGATCCAGTTCATTTTGTTCACCTTTCGGAGAGTGCTCGTAGACAGCACCCATGTCTGAATGTCTATACATCACCTGGCTATCATCATTTACTATTTGATTCCAAGGTTTACAATATTTTTGAGGTGGTGGACATTTTAAGGCATCATCATATGAAGGTAATTCATCTTCATTAAAGGCTGTAGGTAGTAATGTTTGTCCTACCTCACTTTGTGCCCCTGGAGGGTGATGGTGTTTTGATCTACTGGGCAATGACCTGTATTTTTGGTTTGGTGTCCTGCTGCATTCTTTCTTGTTATTTTGAAGCGAGATATTCAGATCAACCGTTGTTTTTCCACTTGTTCTTCCAAGATCAGACTTTCTTCTCTTATGTTTCGGTATTGAAGAACTATCTCCCCTCTTTTCCAAAGTCTGTTGAGATTTGCGTACTATTGGAGGTCCATTCCCTGCATAGTGAATAGTTTGTTCTAAGATTATACATGTGTTTGTATCCGGATCATGGCTGCGGAGAGTAGATCTACTATGGGTGCTGGCTCGTAAATAATTTCCTTGTTTACTTCTCCCAAAAGATGATCTTGATGAATGTTTCCTACTCTTCTGATGATAAAAACTGTTATGTTGAACACAGAAAAATAATGATGCTAGGTTTCCAATCAAAGCTAATAATGAAAATGTTAAGGCAGCAACATAACAAAAAAATGTAGATTTTTTGTTATACTGTTTGAAATAATCAGCATCTTTATAAAAGTTACTGTTGAAGTCTAATCCGGCAGCAGACATTACTATCATCACAAGTGACATGACAGTAGCTAAAGCTGAACAGATAAAGTAGCACTGAACGCTCCTGAAACCTTTATAATATGATGATAGTATACCACTGACTCCAGCTGTAAATATTATAACACCACACCATACTCCAGTAGCAAAATAATCTCCCCAGATATGAAGTGTTAATCCAATAATGGCCTCTAGCATACACCCTAAACCAATAATAGATATCACTATACTAAGCAACAAAGTTTTGTGGTATGGGAATTTCACTCTTTTAGACATCCTGGCAGTCTAGTGCTGGTGATATAATCCATTAACCTGGTAATTTCATAATAGTACAGTGTAGTAAGTTACCAAGTTGAGATGGTAGGTATACTCCTGAAATATTGAAGTAAGCTTATTTTATTTATTGAATTACTAGACCTACTACAATTGTTTACTCGGTTAGGGTCCCTTAGAATTCCTTAGCCATGGCTACAGAGTTATATTTCCTACTATATTGCTGGATTAGCACATAACCTTTAGCAAGGTATGATTTTATGGACAATCTTGAGTAGATTTGTTCCTGTCATTTCCAAAGGTATATAGGTTCACATCATAAGGGCTTCGGTCCGACTGGATACACTTGACTTACTACTTATTTGCTTGCTGTCTGTAACACTGACCAAACTTTAAACAGCCCACACCCCAAACCATCGGATTTATAATTTGAAATGATCTGTATACAAATTCGATTTGATATAACTAACCTGCTCATGGATCAAGAAAATATTCGTCGTAAAAAGAAAGGGAATATCGATACTTTGTTCTGTTATTGTTGTCGAGCACTCTTTCACCTTCCATATTTCGCGATTGTCACGACGTAAATAATTCCAAATACTGGTAGCTGCTATTTACTACATTATAAGAATTGTCTACAAATTCACTCTTAAAAAAGACTTTATATTATTTTGTTGCCCTACATTTGTCACCCTTTGTTATCTTTTTATGGTTTTACATTTAATTCTTAGATATTTTTTTTTCAAAGTTAATTCTTGGGTATCATATCTCAAAACTCACTGGTGGACTACCGAAAGAGGTGTTATTTATCGTGGTATTGCATGATATTGTCAAAACGAAAGTGAAAGAATGGAAGAAGACGATGTGTGCAAACTTGCACTGGAAGGCAAATGTGGATTGCTTAAAATGAAAATTGCACAAAACTCAGCATTGTCATCAAAATGTGATCAAGTATGTATCTTTAATTCAAAATCATTTGTCAATTACTAGAATCAAACCCTCTCTACAGTAGGATGTTTTAGCGCTTACTTAGTTAGGCTACTATTTAAATAGTCCGAAATAGTCTTATCAATTAGCTGATCAGGTCCTTTCAGTTATCAGTTAGTATAACTAATTATATCAGAATACTTTGTTTGTTAATAGAATATTTTCGAGACTTATGAACAACTCTAAATAATATTGTTTCTAGTTTTTATGGGAAGACACAAAGGAGTAAGTAATTAATTAAAAAAAAAGTGAGATCCCACACTGATAGGTTTATAATTCTAATGCACTTGAAATAATTGAACTATTTACAAAACAAAAAAAGGTTGTAGTAGAACTAATTCTTGAAGCTGAAAAGACCTTTTCATCAGAAATTGAAATGAAAAAATAAAAGTTAAAGCCTAATTTTGTATCTTACAGAGCATGAGAACACCACTGCATTGGGCAGTTTCTGGTGGACATTCAGATATTGTAGATTATTTACTGTCTTTAAATGTTGATATTGATGTTCGAGATGAGGTTAAGTACAGAAATTTTTAAATACATAGGCTAACAGCATAAAGGTGGCTTTAGTCATCATTTTCTTCATGAGCTTTCATTGTACATGATTATAGATACATTAATGATCACGGAACTGTTCTATTTAATGTGTACAAACAAAATAAATCCAATGGATGCCAGAAAGTTTCAAGTTGTTATGAAGATGATTTGTAAAGAGGTCATTAAGTAAGTTTGTGCATGAAATTTAACATTATTTTTTCAGTCTAATTGGACACCACTGATGATAGCTGTCTCAGCTGGTAGAATACAGATTGTACTGGATCTCATATCACGTGGTGCACAAGTTAATGCTATAAATAGAACAGGACAGTGTTCATTACATTATGCTGCATCTAAAGATAGATATGAGGTAACAATTAGTTTTGTAGATTCTACTACTTTAGGCGTTTTTGTGGGCCAATTCGATTTGATAGATTAGCTATTTTGTGCATTTGTGAGAAAGTTTACCTAAACTGATTAGGCTAATCATACTAATTGTCCAAGAAGGTGGTTAGGCGATTAGATTAGACTTTTTTTTTCTAAAGATGGCGGCTTGTTGAAGTTCAACAATAATAATAATAAAAATCAAAATAGATGACTTTCTTTTGTTGTCGTCAGAGGCGTTTGTAGATCACTGCTTATCTAATCCAAATAGTACTAGCAAATCGTAACCAAATCAAATTGACCGACAAAAATGCCTTTTGATATTAGATTTGCTCTATACATGTGGGAGTGGTCACATATTAATAGTAATTAAGTACTGCTTTGCACACATGCTATATGAACCTGGTCTGGAATCCCATAATTGTGATTGATGGTATGTCTCCATGGATTTGAAAACTACACTCCAACCTGAACCATATAAAACTATGTGGTTCTTACATTGAAATAACACTCACAAATGTAGTTCACAACCATTTTGAATCAATTAAATGTTTCAACGAAGCCTTCAAATCACAATTAAAGCATTTCTAAAGGTAAGTAGAAGAAGTGTTTCAAAATGGTTGTGAACAACATTTGTATGTGTTATATATATGTAAGGACCATGCATAATTTCATATGTACGCTGAACCTTGCAGTGTTTTGATGTTTTTATAAATACTGTTGCAATTCAGATGGTTTCGGTATTGTACTGTATAAGTTAATGAAACAAAAATAAATAGGTCTGAGTTAGACCATGAAAAATGTATCCATGAAGTAACTTTAATGTGAATGAAATTGTAGATTTGTGAAGTGTTATTGAAGAATGGGGCAGATTGTAATGTTAGAGACAATAATGGTCATACACCATTACATCGTGCTGCCAGTAAAGGTCATCTCCAAATCACCAAATTGTTACTACAACATAATGCTGATATTGATACCTTAGATACTGAAAATAACTCTCCATTGTAAGTAATTTCATGAGACACATTCCAGAGTGTTAGAGCTGCAATATCTAAATTTTTTTCTATTTCCTTCTCTCATCTTATCACAAATTAATTTGATAAGCCATTTGGAAAATTTTCAGACATTTGGCATGTGAAGAGGGTAGAAATGATGTGGTAAAGTTATTAATAGAACATGGTGCACGAACTGACATACAAAACAAGGTAAGTTAGTATCCAGAAATCATGTTTTCAATAGTTAGGATAAAAAAAAACAATCCCAAAGGGGTAATTTTGGAGGACCAATGAAGCGCTTTTTAGTCCAGCATAAAAATTCTGGGCAATTTAAGTTCTATCAGTCAAACTACTACACTATGAACAAGATTGGAGAGAAAATCATAAAAATTGTAACGATTTTCATGGGAAACGGAGGTAATGCAGTCGATTAAGGATCCTGAAAGGAGTAATAGAAAGGAATAGTTTAAAACCCCTGACTTAGGCTTATGAAGTTCATAATATAGAGCCAAATCAACAGCCATGTTATGAACACCATAAATATTTACTGAAGCTATAAGCTTCTGATTACAGATTTTCACTTGAAGAAGATAAATCATCCTATGGGTTATGGTTTACACTTTGCAAAGGAAAAGTTTATCCTTATCAGAATTTCACACATGAAATGTATTTTTCAGGAGGAGAAAACACCTTTAGATTTCCTTCCAACAAGTGTACAAAGATCTTTGAGAAATGTCATTGAAAGATGAGATTAAGAACTTTGTCACATCATATTTTTACTGTCTTATCTCATTTTGCTTAATGCCCATTATTGATTGTTAAAATAAATGTTGTTGTATTGTAAACGTGTTTTTGAAATATTAAGTTCATATAAACCACCTCAATCTAAGTTCCAATGTAAACCCAATTGCAGAAAAGTATGACGTAAAACTCCATTCATTTAATTTCATTTCCAAATGAAATGAAATAAATGGGAATTTTACGTCCTATTTCATTTCCAAAGTAGTCCACTTTGTGACTCAGTAAACGGTAAAGAGAGCTACAGTTGGTTAGAGCATTGGTTCCTTACAATCATTTGCTTGATTTTCTCGATTGGCATGTGAAAGTCTGATGACCTTGAATAAGTCATACTTAATAATATTTCCAGTTGACCCAGCTGTAAATTACAAGTTATACCCTTATCACGACTGGTTCCAAGTGGGTTAAATTAGGGTTATCTAGGGTTACATTTATCTATATTTCACAGACCCCTTTTGTATACTGATACTGTAAATGATAAAAAAGAATGTTAGACTTTGCAAAAAAGAATTTTTTGGGGTTGGGCTCATTTATTTTTCACATACCACTTTGTATACTTAAAATGATAGAAAAGACAATGTTTGACTTAGCAAAAAGAGAATTTTAGAAAATTCTCCAACTTGGACTCGACCCCAGTTGCCGATCAAGTACAAAAACCTCTAGGCCATCGAGACCTAGGGTTACGAGGGAGTTGGGGTTAACTAGGGTTAACTTTTTTTTTTGAAAAGTCAATTAGGGTTAGCTCAGGAGAGGATTAAAGCTTGTAGTCTTCTGGCCCCATCAGCTGATCAAATTTTATATAGGTTTATTAAGCGCCCAGTAAAATGGATAAGAATTATCTGTTTATTGACCGGGACTTATTAAGTATGTCATGTTATCTGCTACATTGTTTTAAACACATTTGAGTCATTCAGTTTTTTTTTTTAAAAAAAGCAGATTGAAATATTTAACATTTTTGATTCAAAGATAAAAAAAAATCTCTACAAATACAAGTCAACAAGTGTCGAAATGACTATGTTAATTAGTAGGCCTAAGGGAGATCTTTGCTTAATTTTGCCCCACTGCAACCATTACAAGATGCAACCGTTACTAGATGGTACTATCAGAGGCAAATTAAACCTACATAGGCATAAATATGTGAAGTTGGTTCCAATGCAATTTAAAAATGGCCAAATGGATAGGATGTTATTGACCTGGGACATTTTAAATAGACATTTATTTTATTTAGACCCTGAACTCATGCTTTCTTCACCATTCGTTAAGCAGATTGCCTAATAAAACGTCTGGTATACATAGATAATAACAGATATTAGGCCCTGATAAGAATGTAAGATGTAGGTCAGTGTGTTAGTAGTGAAGTGTTTACGAACTTGTCCTGGGTCAGATTGACATATTTATAACATTATACATATTAAAACACACCTTGAATACATCAGATTAGTATAAATGAAGTTCAAGTTAACCGCATTGGATATTGATTACTTGAAATATGTATGCTATGAATTGATCATTGTGACATCTAGAAATAGGAATAGGATCATATTACCGAGATATAGGCATAATATATTATTAGCACATGGGCAGTAGGTTCTCACATTAAAAATCCTGCGCAGAGATACATAGTCTGTGCGCTTTAGAAATTCAGATGTATTATAACATCATTGAAATGTTGCATGCTGAATGCCCAACCACAAACCTTTTTATTTGGTACATGTTTCCAAACCTGCTTTGGAAGTTTTATGCAAATCATATGTTGACAGCGAATAAATTAAAACAACCCACACCCATTCAGCACAGACAATTAAAGTGCCATAAGATATGTATTCGAACTAGATAGTATATCTTTGCCAGATGGAGATAAATAAAAGAAACCACATGTAATATCTGACAATGTATTTAATACAGTAAAAACTGTCTGACTTGTATTGTACCAGACATAGATCAATATAGTGTTCTACTCTATAAACTTGTGTATTTATCAAACCTATCGGGTAGCACCTAAAAGAATGAATCATAGATTTCAATATAATTTTCTTATAAAAATACTCTTAATTCATTATTAACAATGCCATTTCTTACAAAAAATCTTAAAGCATGCTGATAACTCAACTGGAGTTGCCCTACGTTTTATTTGATTTAATTATTTTATAAATAAGCAAGCTAAGGAACCTTTATGTAATTAATTTGAAAGCTAATTTACATTCACAAAATGCTTCCAAAATTTAATTCAATAAAACCATCTTTGATGACTGAGATAGGTAGTCAAAAAGGTTAATTTTGGACAGAATTTTATTGAATATGATAATCCTATCTAATATATATTTATTTCCATATCTAAAGTATAAAAGAGTCTTTCTCTGTATAAATTACATGATATATTAGCTGTCTTTATGAATGACCAATGTACTGTTGGACTCACAACACAATATTTCAACAGAATTAACATTTTCATAAAATAAGATTAACAAATGATAACAATAGCTAACAAATTCTGTAACATTTCATAAGAATAATATTGGAACATTAAAATAACAGTTTTTATTCGATCAAAGATCAGTCAACATAATATTTGTATATCTAAACTTTGTTTATTTCAGTTGTGAATACTTTGGCTTAACAATACTCTTAGACTCTAATATATGTTCAAGAGATCTGAAATATGTCAACTTTGCATTTATCAACATATTGATATTGAAGCATTTTTTTCAAATATATCAAACTAACCTGGTAAGCTTATCTCAGTGAAGTCTATATATGGACCAACCAAATTTGTTAAAACTATATATTAATGTAAGTAGCTATATTTGACAATAAACCTATGATTATCAACCATAAAGTAATGGAATGTCTCTATATCTACCCTTGTACATCAACTCTGAATAATAAAAATCAACTACAAAATATCTACCATATTTATGAAAATTTGACAAATTTTGCCCTTGCCCTTGTTCTGACCCACATTTGGCTGACCAATGTCCAGAATAAAACTCAATGGAAATTATAATAATTAAATTACCATTTCCTGCCAGTTCAAAAAAAGGAAACATTATTAACAGTTTTTCATAGTGTTAATTCAATAAGATGCAGAGAAGCAGGATATTGGAAATGAGATTATTTCCTTTGTTAACCTTAATTGGAACCAAAAGTTGAATTCTAATTTCAATTAATTAAATTTGCCTGAATCTCTGTATTTGCTGCCAGTTCAAAAAAAGGAAATGTTTAAACACAATTAACAGTTTGTCATTGCAGAAAAGTAGGCTATAGGAAGTAAAATTGTTTCAACTGTTAATTATATTAGCAAGTCTTCATTGACCTAATTAGGAACCAAAAGTTGGATTTTATTCAAATCTGCCTGTAGAAGTAGCAGTGTTAATAAATGTCTAAAGACTAGATTTTATAACAAACTCTGGGGATATCATAAGTTGCTAAGATTACATGTGTATGTAAGCCTAACTCAAACTCAAAACGTGATTCAATGTGTCTATGTTTAATCTGCAATTTTTCATTTGAGCTTAAATATGCAAATATTGAACTCTCACAAATTTGAATTTCAAAAATTTTTACCTTAACGTGAACAGAAGAACATGTACATTATATACAATCTTATATTATACAATATACAAAATTTAAAAAATAAACTACAGTAGTAGTTCAATAATGAGACAGATCATATAACAAAAATAAATCTTTATTTATGACTTATATAGAGCTCAAATAAATAGGTCAAAAATAGCTTTCATTCAAAATTATCTGCTGCTAAACTTTATGCTGAGTCAAATGAGCAAATTGAATCGTAGAAAGAATTCTCTGGGTCTGTTCGTTAGGATTAAAAAAGAGGATTACAAAATTACAAAATTCTGCTAAGTATTTGACAGCTTTCCTGTATGTTTTTGGCATGATATTACTGTTTGAGTGGATAATAAATCCTGTATTTTTCTATATTCCTGCAGATCGAGAATTTTTTTCTTATAGAAAAACTGGAAACAGAATATAAGAACCATTATAGAACTATACTTGAAGCATTATCTTGAAATATACTTTACTTGGTTCATGTCATGTGTAACCTTAAATTTAGTTAAAATACAGCACTAGATATTTCAATATTTCCTATAAGATTTATGAGAAAGGTGTAGACTTTTGAGGGAAAAAATGATAATGACTTTCGTGTTTAAGCTCTAATAATTTGAATGAATGATAAACAATGTATTAATAAAATCAATGAACATGATTTTTTTATTTATTTAATAGAGATCTATATTGAAAACAAGAAGATATCAATCAAGTTTATGAACTCTTATCATTATACTGCTTAATGGTAATCATGTTTTATCAGACCCCTTTTTAATTAATATTTTGATATCATCTTTAAAATTTCTAACCCCTTACTTATTGGGAATTGTTATCAACTTAAAGGGACAGATCTGGTATTTTTAGGGGTTTATCTGGATCTTGAATGTATGTAAATAGTCCAAACAAGTACTAGCATTGTAGGAAAATCGCATAATTCCTTTAAATATACCTCAAACTATGAATTTCACCTTTTTTTTCTATATATGTCGTCATTTTAACTTTCGAATGCAGAATATTCAGGATACTCATTGATTTGAAGTTCAAATTTCGACGGTGAGCTGAGCTGAGGACATTATTACTGATTGGCTTAGCCAGAAAATTCCTGTTTCTATGACTAGGGTATGATTGGTCAAATTTATGGCAAACCTGTCCCTTTAAGACTCATGCTCTGAAATACTTTGAATTAACTGTGATCTTTAAAAGTAGATTCTATCTTGAATAAATCAAATAGTAATTCTTAATAAAACATATTAGCATTTTATAATGAACTCTGGCACGGTATGAGTGAAGAAAATCAAGATTCAAGACAGACAGACAGAATAATTCCAATATCTTTCACAATATACCTCTAGTTGTGAGTTAATATCTAAAAGTCTAAATAACACAATAACAACAATAACTATGTAGCACACAGACGGTTTGAACTCGGTGAATAATGAGAGAAATAATAAAATAACATGTTGAAAGCACTAATCTTACTAAACCTGAGTTACTTCACATCCCTCCCACTCATTTTCTGATTCCGTATCTGATAAGTCATCCTCAATATCACTAGTAACACATGGAGACATCTTCTCACTACTACTAATAGTCGAGTCACTACCACAAGCTGGATTACTTTTAGTAATAGGTATTAACGCTGTAACCTCTGTTTTACTATGATAATGATTATGTTTTGGTAAGGTATCAGGAGTCAATGATTGATATTTACCAGCTAATGAATTGTCACTAATACTAATTTTTTGGGAGGATTTTGGTAACCACAGTTTATCTGCTGTTTGTGACCGCGACGTAGATTGATAATCGTCTTTTTTACTTTTTGAATTAGCACAAATCATATCATCAGCACTCCGACTTCGTTCTAAACAATTTTCAGATTCTTTCATTTGTGTAAAATAAAGTTTCACCTAAAAATATAACACAGAATTTTAAATCAAATTCAATTACACAAAAATACCAAATTGTGGGCTACATTGTCGTCTGCTTAGTAAAGCCTTAGTGATTAGCCCAGCAGATGCACTCTGAGAAGAAACAACAAGTACTCATATACATATATCAATTAATTTTAACCACAATGCACGGCTATGACTTAAGTAAATCCTAAATATTTCTTGAAAAGTTGATACTTACTTTAAAGTTTGGACTAAATAATTTGTGAGATTTGTCTTTATTTGCTCGATCAAGATCCATTTTTGGTAAAGTAACAGTGAGGTAATGTTTATGTGCACTATCATCATGTGATGACCCGTTCATTGGTATCTCTTCCAAATCATACACAAAATATGTATTGAACCAAAAATGAAACATTTTTTCCTGAAAAAAAGAAAATGACTGAATGAAAAAGAAATTCTTGAATACAATGCTCATAAGTTGTTTATTTGATGCATTTAGACAGGATATTTTCTTTAAAGAAAAACAAATATCATTAAAACCAAAATGCCTGATATCAAGTCAAAACATCTGCTAAATTACTTCTCAGTAAACCAATATAGTCAACAATTAATGTAATATGAAATGTAATCTGAAATGCCATGTATTTGCCTCGCATGTCAGAAAATAGACAATTCCATTGTGATTTGGTCTTTTGAAAATTGTTTGGGTTTTTTTAAATTATTATTTTTGACAAAATTAGAAAGGAAACAATTCAAAATTCAAAAAGCATTAAGAGAAGAAAATATTAAAGTAAAGGCCAAGCAAAACTTCCTTCCTGCTTTGATCAAATACACAGCCATGGTTATCGTGACATATTGTGACCCCCTCTATAGTTATATAAAGGTCAATAAATATTCTATCGCTCACTAAACAATATATATATATATATATATATAGTTTGTCGTGCCAGTAAACTGTCAGACAATACATGAATAGATAAGGAAGTGAAACATAATTAAAATCTGTTAAAGATCAAGTCATAGAATACGTTTTCAAAATTTGTACTCAACAGATTTGGAATATCAAAGCTAAATTTGATATATATTTTGTCATTTTCATCATCAAAATAAGGACCACATATTTTCAAATTTATTGGTTTCAAATGCATGTCATAAGTAGTCAGTAATTATTTTTCCTGTGAATATACCAACCTTCACTTTATTTGCAATTTACCATTATCAAATTATTACAAAAATCATCATCACTCACCTTTTTCATCATTTTGGTTTTATTAAAAAATTCTATCATGATATCACTACATAATGGTACTGGCTGCATTAGTACTAAATCACGGGAGGTTTCTCCTTTTCTAATACCTTCATAGACTGGTGATGAAAACACTTTGACAGCTGATTGATAGATATCAAAACAAGGTGCTGAAATAATAATACAAACATTTATCATATATTATTTTACTATACTGTCAATATCCTGTTCAAAATGTTAGGAATTTGCCAACAATTCAATAAGAATTACATGTTAAGTCAGCAGTAATTTCATCGGGGCAAATAATTGCATATATATGTTTCCTTATAGCAGATATCAATATAAATTCAAACACCATTTTCCATAAATTAACAAGCAAGAAGCAATCTTTTTTCCCAGAATTCTGATAAAAGTGCAGATATTGTGGAGATTTTTTTCTCTTAAGGCCTTGGCATAATATTAAAATCAGTTTTTCATCAATTTTAGAAGGTCTGTTGTCAGAAAGTTTATAACCCTGTTTACGTTTATCTTAAAGCTACAATGTTTCTGATGGCCCATATTTTCAATTGAAGCAATTGGATGCTTTGATTGTAAAAAAATAGTGTTTCTTAGTCCACAAAAGCAACAATAAACATCTATAACAACCTTCAGATTAAAGTTATTTATTTATAAAAATAGTAGTGTATGTTACTACTTTTAAAATAATAAAATAGTATGCAATACTTACTACAAGTAGCACCATTAAACATTGGTATAGTTTCAAATCGTATTCTTTGTAATAATAAACTACAAGGTTTATATTCCAACTGTCGTGTCACTAGGTGTTCATAATACTTTACATAACGTCTTTGACTTGGTATTGTAACTCCCTATTAACAAAATACAAGTTCATGACATGTTTGAAAGAAGACTTTAATCTAAAGGAACAAAAGAGATTGTGCTGATATTGTTAGTTTCTTTGATCTTTCTGCTATCATTTTTGATGTTATTTGAATTGAGTAAATAGCACTTTCATTTAAGATAATAAACACAAACCTTATGGTCTCTGGTTCTGGTTTTAGCATAATATTCAAGAGCTTGTTCTGATGTTTTAAATTTATGTCGATGTAACATGTAAGCACATATCATAACACCAGTTCTACCCTGTAATATCACAAAATATTTCTAATACCGGTACAGTTTTTTCTGTTAGTAACAGCAAATAAATTTATATACAGGTGCTAAAAAGTTTAAAAATTGTATGTGTTGCTATTAGCAGCATTTTGAAAAATTCTTAGTATGTGTCAAAACATTGCATCATCAAATGAATTTTCAGAAAATATGTGAATTCATCTGAAAATCAAATCACCTTCACTGACAGGGCCTTTTTCACAAAAATATCCTATTGCCAATGAAACTATACAATTTACTAAAAATTTACCAAAAATATTGAGCTATGGGCCAATTTCAGTAAATGATACAACAAAGTAGCAATTACCTTGCCAGCTTTACAATGAATAGCAGCTACATTTTGTTCATCTTCTAACAACCAATTATCTAAATCTTCACAAAATGGTTTAATTAATTCTAGTCTGGGTGGATGGTGATCATCAAAAGGATAATTAGCCACTCTGGACCAAAATTTACTGGCATCATATTTTCTTTCTGAGCACCTGTAGATATATAAAACAATTCTGAAAATAAATCTAATTAAAGATAAATAGTTGTGAATAGATCGAAAATTCTTATCATCTGACCAATTTTAATAAACACGTCATGAAGACCAAACCCTCATCAGGACATTGAAACTGAAACCTGACATGCCTATTAAATTAACAGCTTGATATTTCATTTTATACAATTACCGTTACCAGATATGAGCGGCAAAGGTTTGCATGAAATTAATTAACGATAAACAATGAATGCATTTTATTCTAGCATATGATTCAGTTTTCACAAATTCTACCTCAAACAAAGAGGTGGTTGTATCTGAATAATTTATATGAAAATTCTTTGAATTTTGGTACGTTTCAACTTTAAGAAGATATATTTTAACAGTAACTTACAAATTGTAAACTTTATAGTGATCTCTATGCCTTTCTTCTAAAAACCTGAATAAAAAGAAAACCAATCACTTGAATTTGTTAGAATACAAAACATTCAACTGTAACACAAATGTTTAATTTTAGAAATCTTCCTTGATATAAAATGACTGTTTTGTCAGTATTTCTTAAGCTGAAGGAAAATGTTTTTTTTTTACGAAGATCAGCATAATTTTTACCCTGCAATCTTCCTATTGTTAGTAAAACAGGAAAATATTTATATTTTCTGAACTAATTTTCACAGTAAAAATACAGATTTTAATGTTTGAAGGTTTAAATATTGTGAACTCCGGGTACTTGAAACAAAAGCCAAAGATATATCGTGTCATATATATATTATTACTAAAATTTATATAGGCTGTCTTGTATGCAAATTTGATTGGAATAAGTCTAATTGTCAATGTTTATCACTTGTTGCAGTTTCAAGATTGTTTAAGTAGTGTAGAAATAAGGGTTAACTTTATTACGATTTGATGATCAGAGCAGATCAGCAAAATTTTCAAACTTGCTAAACAGGAATGAGAAATAAGCAATGAGAATATTCTACAATATTGAGGCTCTTGACTTAAAGGGGCATTATGCAAAATTTTCATCATCTAAAACGTCGTAAATTATCCAATAAATATTCTTAAAATATGATATTTACATGTCTTGGTCAAACTGAATTAGTTTTAAAAGGGTTAATTAAGAAAAGTGTGTACTAATTGTTAATTAAACAGCTTTAATAGTTTTGGTGTTAAGCTTCATAATGATTCAATATTTTAGTAGAAACCTTTACTATATGAAGGGGACATATTTATCTAAATAAAGCGTTTAATTTGCTTAAATCCACACAGTATTTTTCTTACAGTTCCCGTAAAGCATAACACTTTAACACAGTTTTTGCATTAAAAAAATTAACGACCAAATTTTTTTAAGCTAAATCTTTCAATTAAGTTCAGGGACACATTTTTCTAGATTTTGGTATCAGGTTTCATAAATTTGAGCAATATTTCGACCTACGAAAAAATCTTCAGAATCTGTGTAACGTCAAACTTTTCTTAATGAAAGAAAAACGTAACTAGGTTACTGGTGAAAACGATATATCTGTGAATGAAGAATAAAAAAGATGATAATGATGGAATAGAAAAGAGGAAGTAAGATATAACCTTTCCTTTCATATAGCTCTACTTTAAATTGACCTCAATAACTCAAAATGTCAGAGTAAATATATTTTATGATGCAGTAAGCAACTGCCTATAGAACTACTGTAATTTTCATGGAAAATAAAGTACATCTCTGAACAACTGAGAGAGGACTTGACAAAAAGGTCTCATAAGCTTATACAATAAAGGCGAAGAAAGCACAAGCACAGAAAATTGCATTGTTTCTATAGATTTTTTTTTCAGACAAATCCCTAACTACCAGTAATAATTAAGGATAAGACAATCTAAGGTTCTATTCTAGGATTTCTGGAACACTTTCAGAGTTATGTAAGCTGAAGTCTGAATTAATAGCACAAATCATGTTTTATGACAAATAAGCTTAAGCTTAAATGGTAATCAATTTCAAAATTATCTTTTTTCTAAGCATTCAGATCATGTTGGAAACACACAATCTCAACCTTATAGGACAATGCTAATTGTGATTTAGAATTAAGCAAATGTCAAAGAGCACAGTTCAAATGCTTAGAATAAGACTAAACTTTTTCCTATGAGGGCTGTCATTAGACTCTTATTGAAGTAGTTATATGAAAAACAAAAGCTCATAAAAAAGCATAAGGAAAGTTTGGTATAATTTTAAATAGAGTGTTTGCAATAACCTGACATATTATTATCTAGACCTATCCAGTTCCTGCTATAACAGTGTAAGGAAAAATTCTTTAAATGAAAAGCGATCAGCATTTCCTTAGATTGTCCTAATGGCTAATGGATGACTTTTCAATTTTCACTTTATTCTAAAATGATTGTGAAAATTGAATTCATTTACAAAATAAATGATCCTTACTCTTAAGATAGAAAAAAGTCTAATTGCCATGGTTATAAATATGAAAAGTTCTAAAACTTATAATAAAGGCAATTAGTAGCAGAAATAAATCTCTTGACAGTGCCACAGTTACCTACTGACTTCAACGAAGAGAGTACATTATAGAAATCTTGTCTCGCCTGCTTCTGTTAAGATCATAATATGAAATGTCAGCAATAAGCGTGATATATGATCAGATTTATAGCATAAAAGATCTAGCAGAAAAAAAAATATAATATACGTGTCTGAGCAGACATGTAGGGGTGCAGTGCGGTAGGGAAAATTTTGATATTGCAGTTGCATGAATAGAAAAATAATAAAAGTATGCCCTAAAAAGTCATTCCCAAAACCACATATAGCAACTCTCAAAATTTAAAAAGATCACAATTTAGGTTAATTTTATAAGGATATTAACTTATATTTACTCTTACAATCCAAATAAAACATATAAATATGAAGCATTTTAAGTTTAATTTTCAAATAGATGACTTTTTGAAATTGATAAGTGTTTGTTTTATGCATCAACTAGGATATTAAATACGTAAATATTGAATTACATGAATATGTGGTTAGTCTATACATTATACTGTCAATATCATCTGATATCTTTTCTTTCTCTTAAAGGAATAATCTCAGTGTTCCAGATATATCAGAATGATTGATGCATCAGGAGATATTCTTAACTATTAATTTCAAATATCAAGTTATAACAAACTTAATAACTCTTCCAAGAAAGATTCAATAGAGAAAATATTGTATGAAATGCTTCTACTTGATCAGTTGATACTGGCGCAGACGTTTCAACACTCCCTTCAATGTACATTAAGTTCACTGTGCACATTGTGATGCACAGATTAGCAAAGTTAGTATTTATACCATAATTCATTAAACTTTTTAACTTTTAAGAAGTCTTTTCAATTTTCCAAAAATAAAAGAACACATAACTGGTCCATTAGACCAATAGTGCTGGGTACTACTACTAATAAATAATGTATCCCAAGGCCTATGATACAATGCATAAGCTTATATCTCAATTCCCCAAATTTAACGAGCAATGCATAAAAATTAACGAAGTTTCAATGATTTTTTACTACTGTAAAGTGTAAGCTTTTATACTTGCTTTGTTCATTTAAGTTACTTTATTTGTTATCAATGATCTGATGATATGAATTGAACTCATTAAGAAGTCGGTGTCTAAAAATGAATATCCAATTCTCAATTTTCTCTCAGATAGCATTTGGATGATGTTTAGTCATACCAGTATGTGGTTATATGTTTGTCTGAATACCTGATATCTTCAAGCATTGATACACAATCACCTAATATAATACACTGTGCAATACACATGCATAGCCATTGCAATACTGTTAAAGGAATACTATCTCATAATATGAACATAAAATTTAAGTTCAGTCTTGAACTTGGTCATTACATGAGTATATTTCATCTACAGTGGACTAACCTAATATTTAATTCCATTAAAAATTTAAAGCCTTTTTCAATATTTTCTTTTAGTTTTATGGTTAATTACTGGTGCTTAGTTTAATGGTTTTATTGGATTGGGCAAAGATTTAAATGGAAAATAAAAGACAAGGAAAAAAACTGAATTATGTTAAGAACTTACCCAACTACATCATCAATATTATTACGGTAAACACCTTCTAATCTCATAGCTGGAAACCCCATAGCTATTATATTTGGATAAATATCTTTCAATAGGTTAAGGTTATACTATCAAATTGAAATCTTAATACAATTCAAAGCCTATAAAACATAAGCCAATATTAAAAAAACAAACTTTGAAAGCCCACTTACAAGTTATAAGTTTAATGGTATAAGCATAGAGTACATTAAGTGAAAGGTTTTGGAAAAAATATCTTATTGTAGAATACTTAGCCTTCCACCTAAAATGATTTACAGAGCACTAAAAATTGTTTCGAAAGATAACAGTATGGTAATGTTTACATGACTTGATTGACAAATCCTATCTGGATGGGGTCTTGAAAAGGCAATCTGGAACCATTACAAAAATACATTGTTTAAAAGGATACATGTCAAATCCAAATCATAACCATAGTCTTGGAAACGTCTTTTATTTTTGCTAACCAATCCTTTGATTTTATTCGCCATATTTTCAATCTAAGCTGGCCTTCAGCCCTTTTTTCAATTTCAAACACTTACTTACGTAAGTGTAGGTAGGACCTCTAATGGCCTCCAACACTTTTTGTAGTTGGTGATTCAAAGTTATCAGTATAAAAATGATAAAATCCTTGTCAAAAATGGTCCATAAAATCTGTCTTTCTTGGTATTCAGAACCTGAAGCAACCCAAAGAAGTATGGTGTTACTATCAAATCTTTAGTAGACTAGATCAGATTTTTACCACTTTTAAATGTGTTTCATACAAGTCCACTCCACGCATAAATTAATATATAAACTTAAAACTATCTTTAATCTTTTCCAACAAATTTTTAATTGATTTAGCTTAGAGCTAGGCTAGATGCTTTTCAAAGAAAGTGGTTGCACTCAATGAAGCCTCTATATCTATAGTCTGTGAGTGTTGTAAAATTTGTCCACTTGTTCACAATCCAAATCATTGAAATGAATGGAATTTAAAGTCGTGTCAACATAGAAAACATCTACATTTTCTGTTAATCCTTTAGATTGCAGGAAACAGACACTTCTAATGTTTCAAAAATTACATCGTTCAAAAACATTGATTCCAATCATAATATGTAAACAGAACTACAAATTATAACACTAAATTCCTTTACGGAAATCAAGACTCCATGATGGCTGCTTCCTGATCATAACATTATTAATGAGCCCCAAAAAATAGTTCCTAATGTCAAAGTCGAATCGAATGATAACACCTAGATCGGTCAGAAAACAATTCAGATTTCTCAAATTTCATACTTTTTTAGATAAAATAACAAAACAAATATCAATTTGAACACACAGACAAGTAAGATAATCAATTAACTTCCCATTGCGGCGAATTAGGACATGTCAAAGTTGAAGTAGAAGCTAGGTCGTAAGTTAGTGAAATAAGCCAAATTGTCACACTTAATGCAGGTAATATAGTCAAATAAAATAATGATTCGAAGATTACTTTATTTGAAAATATTCATATACACATATCTAAATATCTATTCTGAACATCATTTCAATGGTAACATATTTAATAGTAATTTACAATAAGACAAATTGCACGAATGTTTGGCAAATCATTCCAACCGTAATCTATGCTCTATTTCCATGACCCTGAGTTAATGATAAAAAGTAGGTCATTGCAGTACGTCACACATTGTTTGACCTACTGACCGTTTGCATGACCTATACACTGAATAAACATTATCGACTGAAAGAGCTGTTGTAATTTAGAGTGCTGATGATAACCAATATCATTTTAGAGTAATTACGCGTGTACGTGGAGGAGTTTCTTTTTATTGCATACAGTTTTATATTTAGCAAGGCATATGATTACAAATCTTATTAATAGACTGGGTAAATGTAGCCTATCCCATAGGAAAAATAGACTAGTTTTGAACAAGCCCACAAAAAATCTTTGCAATTGCGGCCTACACTAAGTTTTAATGGGTTAATTTAATCAAAATTTTTGAAGATTTATTTTAAATAGGTCTACCATATTCTATTCAAATCATAATTTAAGGAAAATATAGAGGCAGTATGCAAAATCTTCATTATCAAAAACGTAATACCCGATAATAGTTTTAAAATATATGTTATTTACATCCACTTAGTAGGCAACATGATCAAACTGAATTTGTTTAAAAAGGGATAACTGCGCTAATTGTTAAGTAATTTTAAGCAGCTTATACCAGTTTGGATGTTGGGCCCTGATCCCACGCCCCTAATTCAATTTTTTATCATTTAACATAGTACAAGAATATACTTATTATTATCACGATTATAAGGTTAAAATATGGCGATATCGAAAAAAAAAACATTTGTAATGTATTAGTAAATATGACAAACATTGAAACATTATTCTGATTGTGTTTCGGACTATAGATATACAAGGGAGAGCACTCGATGTAAAAGCAGTAACAAAGAAAGCAACATGGCCGCGATTGAAATGGAACCGACAGTTTTACCAATTAAAAGGTAATTTTCTTACAAATAATGATTTTGAATAAATTGAATGTTATCTTAGCATTACAGTTTAGGCACTTTTAAAACAAAAGGCGAATGATATGCTGACTAGGATGCTGGGATGACATCTATTTAAAATTTTCTGATGCCGGTCATTTTGTTTTTGTGTCATATCGTAATCCGAAATACTCTGTTGGTGGGTATTAGGCTCAACTACCATGTTAAAAATATCAAATGTTGAGATATTCCTATTTTTTTCTTAAGAGCTAATCAAGTAATTTGATAAACTGCTACTCTGCCAGGTCATCATATTCCATATGATATATCCTTTTGTCCAAACTCAGACATGGCATCACTTTATATTATTAGTTATAGCTAGTCGAAATTAATTTTTTTTACCTGAATTGTTTTATTTTCAGCATTGGTAGTGAACAGTTGTATAAAGAGGCAATTGAACAAACAGCCAGCTGTAACACGAGACTGTCAATGGAAAGAAAAATGAGAATGCCCTTTTTAGATTCACAAACTGGAGTTGCTCAAAACCATACAAGTTTATGGCATCCATATATTCACAGAATGCCTGGTATGTATCTTTTTTAATCCATGATTATTTAGGTACTAGTAATTCTTGTATTTACAATATCAAATTGATTATTAAATTGATATTAAATTGTGTGTTATTGCAAAGTAATTTTGTTTGATGTTAAATTTATAGGTCAAAAACATGGTCAGTTATACTCTTATCCTTCTAAAAGATGGAAGAAGAAAAAACATTCCTTCTTTTCTCAGCTTACTTCAGGAAAGGTTGGAAATGTAGATGTAGCAGAATCAGGTTAGTGTTAATTTCTTTAATCAGGTGAGTGTTCATTTGTGATCAGGTTGGTGAAAATTCTGTAATCAGGTTAGTGTTAATGCTGTAATCAGGTAAAAGTAAATACTGTTATCACTTTAATGTCAAATCTGTAAAAATGTATCAAATTAGAACCAAAATTGACTATTGTTTATTTTCTCTTGCAGATGTCCAAAATACTGTAGAAGAAGAGAGCTTACATTCCCATACTGATATAATAAGAAATGAATCACAAGATAGATGGTATTATGAAGATTATGATGTTATAAGTGATCCACCAGATGCTGGTGAAATGGTAGATGATAATTCAGATATTAGTGATTATGAGGATACTATAAAGAAGAAGAAGAAAAAGGTATATTGTCGAATCTTAATTTTATATTAGCAGAAACTTTCTGAAACCACACGTTATTACTAGAGCAATACACAGAGCCCATTGTGCTTAGTATAGTTTAAACTACATAAGATGATCTGTCTAATACATAGCAGAATAAATGTATTAAATTGAACATTTCATTGATTTAGAAACTATCAATTCAGTTGAATTTATGAAATGAAATGATGGTTATTGTTTTACTTTTTATCCACAGGGTCCTGGCAGAGGGAGAGGAAGAAGAAATGTTCACCAGGATTCTTTAACTGATGATAAAGATAAACCGTATTCTTGTGAAGGTAACAAAAATTGCTGTCAATTTCCCCCCCCCCCATTACAGACAGAATGATGTTGCTATCTCCTTATCCTGATATCCAACACCAATACATTTCAGATATTCTACTTATATGATAATAATAAGACAGACATAATTTTATGTATTTTACTCTTTCTGCTGAAAATCATTAACAGATAATCTCATAATGTGAAAACAAAAGAAGTTGTATAACATTTGTGTTAATATTTTACAGCTTGTGGTGCCCGATATAAAACGCGACCTGGATTAGCATACCATTATACACATTTCCATAATAGTATGGCTGATGATGATGTTACTCCTTCACCTAAAGCAACTAGACAATCAAAAGGTTTGTATCTATTTACTTTTTTTAGCCACTTTTAAAGTCGTCTTTATTGGGCAATAATATTTTGTTGTCTGCACTCAGCATAACACAAATACATTTATAGTAGCAATATCAAATTAAAATTCAATTGTTAAGTAAACTATGTTATTTTATTTAATGTGTGTTTTAGCTCGTGCTCCAGTTGTTGTGGTCCCTCCACCACCAGAACCTGTCATAGAACCATCAAAGCCCTCACCTAATAATTATTGTGACTTCTGTCTGGGTGATCAAGGTGAAAATAAAAAGACAAATCAAGCTGAAGATTTAGTTTCATGTAGTGATTGTGGTAGATCTGGTAAGCTTATTAACTGAACTATGAGAATTGATCCCTTCAAATCAAGCCAGCTCAATTTACACAATATACAGAAATATATTAGAATCTCTGAGGATATGAGCAAATCAAATTTGGTGTTGAAAGGTTTTAAAAAGGCCTCAGGAATACCGAAATACCAGACTGCTAATACATTAAAAGTGAAACAGGTTTCCTTCAAGTCTTTGTTAGAATTTTTCTAATCTTACAGATTTGTTGTTATTTAATCAATTGTACTCTATACTGTTTTTGATTTAATTTTCAGGTCATCCATCTTGTTTACAGTTTACTGATAATATGATAGTATCAGTAAAGAAATATCCATGGCAGTGTATAGAATGTAAATCATGCGGATTGTGTGGTACTTCAGATAATGATGTAAGTGGTAAAAATATATTGATAATAATATAACCTTCTTATTTCTTTGTACTCTTATTTCAGCATGTTTCAATATATAGATAGCAGCTAACGAACTCTTTATATGAGGAAGTATATCTATCATAAATGAAGGAGAATTTCTATCATAAATGAGGAAGTATATCTATTATAAATGAGGAAGAATTTCATAATAAAAAGTGGTATCAACTATAATATAAGATTTTAGAAACCTTTGGTGGCGACTGAACTTATTATTGTGATATCAACATTTGTAGTTAAATGTTCACAATCTTATGTGTTATCTCATCATTGGTTGGTGCTCTGCAAATAACCATTACTTTTTTCTCTCTTAGAATATGTCTTGTTATTGTTTAGTTTATATATTGATTATCTGAAATGAATTATTATACAGGATCAGTTATTATTTTGTGATGATTGTGATAGAGGCTATCATATGTATTGTTTAAATCCACCATTACAAGAACCGCCTGAAGGTTAGTTTATTAGCAATCTTATATATCAACCACATACTGTAATAGTACATATATGTACCGAAAAATAATAGGTTACATACTTAAGTTTTAAGAAAAAACAAAGAAAAAAGAACAGATTTTCTAACAGTGATAACAACCAGGAGAACACTGCTCTTTTCATTCCCCATTTAGCCTGGAGCACATGAACATGGATCACTAGATATGTAGTGATTGGAAATAAAACAAACTATCAAACTGGAGTAAAAACTTTGTTTTGATTGTGATCTCAAGTGGTTCGTTATGAGTGAATGTCAAAAGACCATGAAAATGAATTTTACTTTACAATTGTGAAGTAAACTTTATCTTTGTGAATTTGAAAAGCAATTGCCTTTGTCCCTTGGTGAATGTTCCTTTAAATTTTCTGTCTGTGAAAATGTTTGATTAATTTAAGATAAATAATTGGAAATTCAACAATTTTTGTGTTTAACTGTGGATATGTTCTATTCTAGGGAATTGGAGCTGTCATTTATGTATTGAAGAATTTCATGGTGGAAAGAAGCCACACGGAATGCAGTAAATGTCACAGATTGTACATAATCAAAGAAATTGTCTACATGTTGTTAAAGAAGGAATTTTCAGTGCTCACTACGTTTCCCCTCATCAGTTCTTGATTATTATCACGAACCTTTCAAGCTGATTGGTCTTGATTCCAACATTCTAGAATTGATATTCTGATGGAAATCTGGTTTTTTGTGCATGCTAAATTGTTGACTGAACACAAAAGATAACGAACCTCAATATAGATTTATAATATCACATGTCATAACTCTAGTTTATAGAAGTGTATAGGACTACCTTATAAGTTCTAACCAACCATCTGAACTACATAGCATTTAATTGATTTCGTTAACCTTGATCAACTTGAAATGAAAATTATAAATTTGTAATATATGTGTTTATGTAATTTTCATGTAATATGTAAGCTATTATGTAATCATTGTTTCATTTAAAATATATCATTTACACTACTGATTTCTGTATTTTCCTTTTTGTAAAGGGCATGTTGGGTCTCCTTCCTCATCTGTAGGTATTCTTTCTACCTCTTAAACTGAAAATTAAGTTTCCCAAACTTGGCCAATAAGAGCATATATTAAGTATTTTGGAAATTATGCACAGATTTTGTTGTATAGTTATGGCACTAGAATGTCCACTTGTGAATCTTAGTTCATTCTAAGAGGTAGAATACCTTTGACTTTATCTACCTATGAATAGAAGAAAAGCCTTATTTGTCTTACAACCGTTTGATGTTACATTGACATGGTAACAACATTGGCCCCTTCCCTTTCATCTGGGTGGCAGTTAAAACTAGTTTCTGGTGGCACAGATCTCATACCATGGTCTGTATTTCAAGTTTTAAAATGTTTGAATGAGAAGCCATTATGGATTGTTCTATGGGGGGTTAACTAATGATTAGGAATACCCATAAGCTCTATTTATAAGTCAATGGGAACACTTTATCAAGTCTTGAAAAATTGTTTTGGTCTGCATAAAGTAGATCTTAATAGAGCCTTGAGGCACAATCCTTATTTGGAAATGAAATTGGACTATTATTTTTTTTAAATGTTTGAAGGTAAAAAAAAATGCTAAAATAGGACAAATTCTTTTTGTAGTCTCCATCACATGATTTTTCGTACTTCATACGTCTTCGTGCTATAAAAAATTTATATTCGCCCCAAGGCAAATGCTACTGTCAGTGTTACGTAAAAAAGCATTCTATCGCATCAGGGACGTCGCTTCAATGGTGTTCCAAGCCTTGTACTTCTTGTCGCAATTCCTAAATATAAAAGTAATATAGTTGATAATCGAGTCTACAAGTTTCATAATTTTATCCAATGAAGAGTTGTAAAAATCGTTCACCGTCACAGTGACTATAAACAAGTCATATGTCCCGTGACTATTTATTCATCAGGAAATAAAAAGATCTTTAGCAGTAATTTTACACCCAGTTTGACTGGCAAGAAGAAATCATGAAGTTGTTAATTCTACTGGCTATTTTGGGAATTGGTAAGTCGCTTACTGTCAGATATAAGTGTTGTAATGGCACTAATAATGGATTGTTTCTTCTACTTCCAGGCCTACTACTGTCTGACCAAATTTAATCACAATGTTTACAAAATCGCAATTTCGTCTATTAACTTAATTTAGATATCATAAATTATTATCAACTCCAAAGAGTTCTGGGGCCGAGGGGTTTAGTTGGGTACCACGTGATTGATGAAAATATTACTGTATTATTTGAAAAAATATAACTCTGAGTTATTATATTAGTTGGGCTGATGGACTGATGCAGTGTAAAAATCACCTGACTTAAGCTAGTCATGGACTGAAAACTCATCTCGGAAGTAAGACACAAAAGGTCATATTTTATGGGAGTTGCTCCAATCCAATTTCAGATAGCTTGTTTTTGCAAATTTTCACCATGACTAAAGCAAAATTTGGCATAATTTTTGGAATCTAAAGAAAGCCGAACCATATAAGTCCATCAGGACACTACCGGTACCAGATATTCTAAAATGTCCCTGTTTCAAATACAGTGTGAAGGGGTAGGCTAGTATTTTCTCTTCCTAGTAAGTTAAGCCTACCGTGGACTGTATTGTTAGGACATTTAAGAATATCAATATATAATAACGTTACAAAATGAAAAAAAAACACTTTCCAAATTTTTAATTCCATGGGATTATTTGTGTCATTGAAGTGTTAAAATACGAATATAATTCATCTGTTGTCATACGAGACAAGCTATTAATCTATTGTGTCTTTATTTTTAATGAAAATGATCCAATTGGTTGTTTTTTTTCTACAATAGGCCTTCATTTGTGCTTTACTTGAGTCATATTCTAATTTTATTATTCACGGATATGGTTAAGTACACTTTTGTTTACTTTAGTTAAACTTGAGCACATAATTTTTTTTTCTCATTTTACAAATATTTAAATTTTTGAAATATTTCTATGTATAGAAATATATACCTTGTGAAAGTAACACATTTCCTTCACTAAAATTTCACTTTGAAATGACTCGGCTTTTCTGATTTCTCCGCAGTCAAATTATTTTTTCCAAATTACAATTTTTTATGATTACCATTTTCATTAACCCAGAGAGAATCAAAGACTCTAAAAACCATTTTAAAGTTGATAGTTCAATTCGAGGGGAAAGGATTGGCATAATACGATTTCTGAAAACATAGTGCTTGGACAGTAAAAGCTTTTCTTCTCCTTCATTTCATTGTAGAGGATCTTGATTTTAGATGTTTCCTATCTAATGAAATTTGTTTACAGTGTGTGCAGATGAATATCTGGATGATAATCATTGTGAAAAAGGACCAACATTTTGGTGTACCAATCTCCATTATGCCAAGAAATGTGGAGCTGTTAAACACTGTATGGATACTGTATGGACCAAACAAATGGCTGTCGGAGTAAATGCTGTAAGCGATCTTTTGTATTTACTTGAACAAAATTCTTTTCGAATTTGGCACTTACACAGTCTGTCTTGGATTGAGACCTTAGGCTTAACGTATTCATTATCAGGCTGGGTCAATTGGAATAATAAGGAAAGAAAACATCTTCACCAGAATCGGTGACCCTACTAACTGAATTCACAAGCATCCGAAGCAAACAGTTAATTTGACTGTAATGAATTGAATGAAATTATATAAACTTATCTATAAAACCATTAGGCTATTTTTCCATGTATTGAAAATCTTCCTAAAAATTTAATCTAAGAATATATTTTCAGGAAGCATCATGTACTGTTTGTCAGTTAATGGTCGACAATGTTAGACAATTAGTCAAGAATAAAGCTACTGATGTAAGTTATTTTACTTTTTTCTGTAGTACTGTAATATGTTAAAATCCTAATTAAAAACTGTCTCAATCTTTAGACTGAAATAGAGTTAATCACACTGATTTTTCCTCTAGTTTTCGACTATGTTCAAGTTAATTTTGACTTTAAGTGATATGCAGATGTCTTGTGCAAAGCAGACCATGCTTACTCTTTTCGAAACACCTGATGGTATTTCTCTTTGGAGGAGTCAACTACTATGCTTCACTCCTGATTTTGCCATTCTTTGGAAGAGGTGTTTGATTGAATTGTCTTGCCTGTACGGATTTAGTATTTTTTATTACAGAATGAAATGTCTAATTTGATTGCCAAAGCCTGTCATATCATGCCATCTCATGTAAAAGGGGCTCAAGTGAGTAATTTTGTAACATTGATATTGATAATCTTATCAGAATAAAATTACTTAATAAATTAGTTAGAAGCAGGCCACTTATTAGGTTACATATAAACATGAAATTGGGTTATCTATCATAAACATCTGAAGATGTCATGTCAAATTTACATTTACGGTTACTTATGACTCTTTCCTAAGAATTTATCTGTTACTTCTGTTATTTACAGAAATAGCAATTTGCGAGATATGTTACCAAAAAATTTAGATATAAAACAAACAGGCTTTATTTACACTTCTTAAAAGCTTATTTATTAACTCTTGTTACAGTGTAAAGATGCAGTCAAGAATAATATAGATGATATTTTAACCTTAATCAAAAATGAAAAAATGGTAAGTTTTTAAGATTTTTTTTGTGGACATTTGCCTTTTGATTAAACTATATATTTTTATAAATATGAAAATCTTGCCACCATTGATTTAAAATTCTGTTGTATTATTGTAGACCAGTCAGATGGTATGTCAATTGATTGGATTATGTATTGGTACTGAACACCCACAACAAATATCTGTAAGTATGACCTAGTTCTACTTACAGCTTTTGTATTTGATTAAAGCAAACAGCACAGTTCTAGTCTCTGATACACATGGTTAATTTAAAATTGTTAAAATTGCAATAACTTTTTACGATTTTGTGTATGAAAAGGTCAATGGATAGCTGGAATTGATCTGCACCAGTCACTACAGCAAATATTTAGATAATTATATCTCCTAAACTTACATTTTATATGATGAACTCTTGTACAAACATTGATTAACTATTGTATACACATTGTATATGCTAAGCTGTATTTTTGTAGAAGGAATTTGCTGTAGATGTAGTTAAACAGACACCAGCTGATGATAAACTTTGTGATGATTGTAAAACTTTCTTTAATGATTTACGTGATAAGATACTCTCAAACAAAACAGAGGTAAGTCACAATCAAATCAGCTTCATGTTTTCAAGTTACTTTGTGAAGACTCAAAATCTCCGGGAATCTATGAAGTCAAAGCTAGTAATCTAGCAAGTAGCACTGTTTTCTGATAAAATTCTGCTATTTTGGATAAAAATGTTTAAAATGAAATCAAAATATTCCACATTGAAATGCTTGAAATGGAAGTAAAAATTGTCTGTAACTTAACAGTCTGTTAATTCCGAACTGCATGCAATCATTATTTCAGGAGGAATTTGTTGAAACATTTTATGAGGTTTGTGCTAAATTAGGTGGATTTGAAGGAGTGGTAAGTTCATGTTATTAGTTCTAGAACAACAATTCAAGGGTTTTTTATTTCAAATGTAACATCCAAGTGGTGTTTTTCCTTTCACAGATTTAAGAATTTGAAAATTGTGTTAGATAGCCCATAAAAGTGAAAAAAAAAAGGACATTAAAGTCATCCAAGGCAGATTTGTGTGGTGTAGTTATATCACATGAAAACCAGAATACTAAATACTGCTGAAAAAATAGGAAGGCCAGCAATGTTTCACTAATAATTCTATACCTTAATCTTTGATGATACCTTACATAAAGAATGAACAATTTTTGGTGCACTTCTTCTGTTGTGTATTTGTGCTATTTCAATTTGATAATGTAATTGTTATAATTTTCCAGTGCAAGGTTCTGGTTGATCAATTTGCACCAATTGCATTCAAGTACTTAGCTAATGAATTTGTAAGTGTTTGTTTTAGTATTATTGAAACCTTGAAATCTAACAGTTTTATTCCTGCAATCTAACAGTTCAGTTATACTTCATACTAAAAATAGAAATCGTGAAATTTGTAAAACCTTGATTACTTAACATTATCCATAAAATGTTGACCTTAATCACACTTATCACTTGAGAGGCTCAACGGCTTGGTAATTTGACCTTTCAACACAAAATTATAGAAACGAGAACAACTTTCTCCTCTTTTCCAAACTTAGATTTTTGTTCCAATGTTTGATTGAATTTTGTAACAATTAAAATGTAATTTATAGGGAGATGTTTGTCAAGCCTTGTATTTATGTTCAAATCAAGCTCATGAAAATATCTTGGTCCATCTTCAACAATATGTAAATCAGGTAATTTTTCTACATAATTTTAGAATATGAACATCAGTTTGATCAGAATAATGATCATCTGAACATAAGTGTGATCATCTGAACATAAATAAAATACTCTGCCATTAACAATAGTGTTTCTCTCGAAGAGTTTGCAAACTCGCATAACTAAGTTAGAAATTCGGGCAACCTCAGATATCTCGCCCCCGCTGGGACGTAAACCTGGCTCTGCCACTGTACAGTTGTCTTTATTTGGAAATTTTAGATAGCTTTACATTATCATTTAATCATTAACCAGGCAGTGTCCAAATTTGTTGTGAAATGGGTATACTACATGTAATTGAAATTTGTATGTTAATCAAATGATAGCCATTGCAGTACTTTCAGCATTTGTCCTGCTATTTGTAACTGCTGTGAAATTCATTATGTTTTGGAAGGAAGGAAGCTTAATCAAACCTGTATACAAAATGTATTAAAAACTCCATTTTTTTTTTAAGGCCTCAGTTTCAGGTGAATATTGTGATGTATGTAAAACTGCTGTAACTGAAGTCCGAGATTTAGACAGGAACCCTCAAGTCCAGGTAATTGTTCATATGAAAACTTTTTAAAGGGACAATTTCATGTACCTGATTGTAGATATATAATTTACAGTCATTTCATTCAACTTTTTAAAATGTTTTGGGTCAGAAAAAGTTAATGGGTTTTCATATGAGAAAATAAAAACTTTGAATACATATATTTGTATTTATACTTTATTTCAGAGTGTAGTTGTGAACTTTTTAAATGATGATGTATGTTCATTCCTTGGTCAGTCAGCAGATCTGGTACGTCTAATTTTAGATCTTTGTTTATTAAACAGAAATGTCATACATTTAACAACAGTATTTAGATGTAATCAATGTGTTGCAGAAGAAAAAATAATTAAGAGTACACTTCAAGATGCTTTCTAAAGTCTCAAAAGTGAAGCCTTTAATGAGTACAGTCTCTGCTGGTATAAGTGTCTGTTTTGAATAACCACAATTTTAACCACAAACATTAAGTATAGGTCAGCCCAAGTTTTGCATTGCTTTAACATTTCATTTAATTGTCTTTCAAAAATCTGTATATCAACATTATTGTCTGTTTTAGTGTAAACAATATGTAAAAGCCTATGCTCCAATTTTATTTCAACTGATATCTTCTGAATTGGTAAGTGTTGTACAATGTTATTCACATTTTGATATTTGAATACTACATGTGTTATATTGAAAGCTATTGAAAATTACATTGCAAATCCATCACAATAGTATATAATACAGACAGGAGATTAAGCTGTAAACATGTAGATGGTCAACTTGTGTGATGAAAATGATTGATTTTACTTGCAGACAGTTTTAAATCCATAGAAAAACTTATATTGTTATAAAGAGTAATTACAATTGGCCCATCCTTATCTAAAGTATTAATCTACCTGTGTAAGTTCATACAGACGGGGTGACGTTTTTAAATCTAGGTAGATGAGAATGACTTTTACCTCAGTATGAAGAACCTGCCTTGTTTTTAAAGGAAATTTCAAACATCAAAGAGGTTTGCCACCGGTTTATAATATTGTATACTGCTTAAATGTAAATTTCTATTTGACTACACCGTCTTCATTAGCTCACAAGGTGCAGAAGAGTTGGACGTAAAACTCCATTCATTTCATTTCTATTTGTCTACAGGATCCAGTAAAAGTATGTACTGAGATAGGATTATGTCCAGGCAAACAGGCTGTAGAATTAAAGACACCAGTCAAACAGGCCGTAGTGTTAAAGACACCAGTTGATGTACAACCTCAATCACCAATGTATCGTATATTTGAATCTAAACCCATCCAAGAAGTAAAAGATGTCAGTGCCTCTGTAGAATGTGTTGTATGTGAATTTGTTATGCGTGAACTGGTGAAAGAATTGGGAAATAATGCATCTGCGGTAAGATCAGGATCAGAATGATTTTTAACACCTTTTAACCTTAATGTATATGTTAATTTTGATGTGTTTCATCAACTTTAAAGGGCAATTTGCATATATCTAATGAAATTTTTCCTTCTGCAATCTGTAAGGTAATTAGAGCCCCCATCAAACCCAGAGCAAAACGTGTAATTTAAATGTGTTTTTTTTTATTTATAGACTGAAATCAAGGCATTTTTAGATAAAATCTGTGGTGTTTTACCATCAACTATCAGTACTGAATGTGTTCAGTTTGTTGATCAGTATGCTCAAGTTATCATCTCATTATTGGAACAAGAAATTGATCCTAAAGTAATCTGTACCAAAATTGGATTATGTACCCAAACTAAGCATAAAGAAACACCAAAGAAAGGTAACTATTTTCTTAATCTATGGAAGGAAATTATTTGTTGGTTGTAGAAAATAATAATCCAGTTCCTTGTATATAATTGTTTGTATTCTTGTTTGTTTTTAACTTTATTTGTGTAATTGGAAAGCATCAACCTAACTGAGCCATCTTGCTCCCTTCTGTAATTGGAAGTAGAATTAGTGTGCTCAAAATGACTTCCAATTTAAGTACTTCACTTCAGCTCAATATTAACATTTTTAATGACCTATTGACATCTGTATAAATAATATTATTATATTTGTATTGATAGTTGTTGATGATAGACAAGTTATCATACATAAAGTCAGTGATGCACCATTATGTGATGTTTGTCAAGAAGTAGTCACCTATATTGACGAAGCCTTGAAATCTAATGCCTCAGAACAAGATATTGAAATGATCTTAGAAAGAGTGTGCAATGTTTTACCACAAACTTACAGAAAACAGGTAAAATAGATTTTTTTAAAAATATATTAATGATTAATAATCTACTATGGCATTCTACTCCCCATATGTTAAATAACAGACTATTTAAATTTGCATAGAGATTACCCATACGTTATTCTTGACTATGGTGCATTGAAGCTTATATTATGAAATCCAGTCAAGTGTGATTAGATTTGGTTAAATTTTTGTTTGTTATATTTTTTTGTGTAATTGCTCACAAAATCTATTTATTCATGATTTCTTTCAGTGTGACACCATTGTTGAATCTTATTCACCCTACATTCTACAGTTATTATCTGAATTGGTTGATCCTAAACAAATCTGTGAGGTATGTCGTCTGCTAATCATTAGATTGTTGACCTGTTATAGCTTTTCATTTTACCTCTGCCAGATGAGATATGTGATAAATGAAAATGTTCCATCAGGTTTACGTCCGAGGAGGAGCGAAATATCTGAGATTGCCTGAATTTCTAACCTAGTTATGATATTTTTACCTTCGGGGCTGCGAGAGGGGGCTCAGCTCCGCCACTGTTTTCCATGAAAGTTCAAACTATTTTCACTTTAAGAACATTATTGAAGAATAAGTTGATCGTAGAGGTGTAACTCAAAATACTCTTTTAGTTGTTGATAAAATTAATGCAATTAATAATATGACTATGATTAATTTTTCAGAGATTGAGTTTATGTCCAAAACCAAGCCGAAAGAATAGCCCACTAAGGTTCAAGCCTCATTTAGTAGGAGAAAGGAAGTGTACATTTGGTCCAGCATATTGGTGTGCTTCAAAAGATAATGCTAAGGAATGTGGAGTAAGTAATCCTTAGAATTTGTTTTTACGACTTTTTTCCCTTGATTGCAAAATCATAAGGACATAAATAAACCATGAATAAGGCCATACAGTTTTAAGATGGACTATCAGATGCTGCAATAGTCCTAATAGTAGTCCGAAACATCTGCCTCTATTCCAGCCTTTGATGGATATTTTGACAGTTGTAGGCTAGAGTGTAGTCAGAAGAAAAAGAGATTCTCCACACCTAACATAATATTAAATTACCTTTACAATGACTCCAAATAAGTGATGGGCATTACAGTAACTTTTGTTTTGTTAGTATCACCTGACTCTTTGACCTTTGACATTTTGGCTGTGCACGCAATTTTGATGAGAGATAAGTTTTATTAAAAAAACTTTGGAAGTGGAGACGTGACATAAATGTTGGAGGGAGAAAATGATGGTATGACTGAACTACAAATATATGAGTCTTTCCAAAAATGTCTTGGTTTTGCAGATTTGAGGTAACTAAATAGGTTGAAAACCACAGCACCTGCAGAGATGCGGAATGTCCCCAATTAACAGGGCTTATTTTTTCTTGTCTCTACACCAGCCGACATCTGTCCAAATAGCTATCAGAGACTGGAATAGAGACAGATGTTTCGATCTATCCAATAAGCTGAAGGGGATCTTTTTGAAGAAATCTACATAGCTAACCCTATGTACAAAACTTTTTATCAAAATTGTCTGACAAATTGAGGAGAGTTTTATTTGTACTAATTTTGTGGGTTTTATTTTAGACTACTGCACATTGTGAGAAGCATGTCTGGAATAATTAAAAGAGTTGTAAGAAGCAAATCAAGAACAGTGTCCATATTATTCTTTATAAACTCAACTAACTTTACTTTTATAATACTAACAAACTCTGGTGGTGCAGAATGACAACTTTTTGTATTTTTGTCAAAGTGGTACACTTCTGGCTTAAAAGAAATAAAATGTATATAAGTTTTGAATTCAATGATTTTCTTATTTTTTGTGCCTGGTAGACTCATCTTTGAAAATTTAGCTCAGAATTTTGTGTTATCTCAATATATTTATTATTTAGAAGTTTGTAAATAGTGTTAGATTAGCGTTTATATATTTTCTTTCCCTCCACATTTCAAATTCTTCTTAACTGGCCTCAGTATAAATTGTATTTTCTATTTTGGAAAGAATGGCTTTTAGTATAATCAAATTTATCATATTGTAAATTACTGATTTTTTTTGTCACAACTTCTGATAATAAACATTCCACTTTTATGATGTATTGCTTTTTTCAATTCACGAATTAATGTGGTGCTATTTGTAGTTCTAGTCTGTCATGATCTGTAAATTGAAATATTGTTGAATAAATTGAAAGTTTGGGTTCACCTTTCTATGTCTTTGACAATCTCAAAAGATGTAAATGTATATTAAAAAGTTCGGTTTTTATATGCCCACTTGAAAATTTTGACATACATTATTGTCATCCCTCAAACTGACCCTCCATCACTGTGTCAAGTCTCGAGTTTTCTTCCCATAGTGATGATGTCTCAAACAAGTTCTAAATTGATATAGGACTCACTCCACTAAAACATTTTATGCAAATGATTGCAAAGGAATGTAGTCCAGGCTATTTTTAGAAATCTTCTTTCTCTCTCCCTTTTGGGGTTTTTGCCTGCCTATTTTTGGGTAAAATTTGGTCTAAATTTGGAATTTGATGTCTGAAATTGCATTATCTTTCAGACTTGGTGAGATGATGAGAGACTTAAAGGCGGAAGGCTAATTCTAAAAATATTCGTTTTATGAAGTGCCAAACTCTAGTGGATGAGTATAACCGGTAGTAGTCTACTTTCAATTTTAGTAGCTCAAAATTTTCATGGTCATCATATAATGAATTTTTTAGGAGACATTGAGAATTGGTCAGGCTTTCATTCGACATGTTGGAAAGCTTTCAACGAGATTTCTGGAAAAGTTATATAAGGTTGAATTTCGTGTTTTAACATGGGAAGAGATGGCAAATGAATTAGTGGAGTGAGTCCATATTTTGATTTTTAGTTACCGGTACTCCCCCTTTACTTAGTTGGCGGGGGCGTCGGTGGCTCCTATCAGTGACGCAGTTAAAAGGGGCGGACATGGAATGGGACAATAAACCGAGGCCCCGTGTTCTACAGCCTGTGCTGTGTTGCGACAGTTGGACATTGAAAAAGATGCCGCTGTTCTGGCATTACCCGTCTTATTTAGCCCACATTGTGCAGAAAAGTACCTAGTGGTCGTATGTTATCCTTTACGACATAGATTTCCTGTTGTACAATTGTAACATTCAAATCAGTACTACCAGTATATCGTTATAGTTTGGCTACTATAGGTCTAGTATATGTATCGGGGACACTGATAGCATCAATTTTAAATCAGACGTCTGTGGTTTGTGCATTTCCATTTGGATTAAATATTTTATGCCGTCACTAATCAGGAAATCCTTATGTGATACAGCATATTTTGCGATTAGTGTCATCAGATGCTAAACTTAAGTGGAATTGCAAGAACCCTAGATGACTGAATGAAAATTGCAAATTGGTGCTATAAGTGACCAGTATATACTTAAAGTTCTCCCCCAAAACCCCGTGGTAATAAAATTAAGTTAAAATGAGTTAAATTTGCAGGGAAATAAAATGATGAAATCGGATGCGGACAATAATAAGTAAAACCCGTACTCATACCAGAAGGAAATTATTAAATGAAATTTAGATTAACGTCATGCTTTTCTGCACTTAGGCCTACCTTGTAGTGTGCAAGATGACCTTTGTCAGGGTATCCACACAGGGAAGTAAATTATAAGGTTTTCCCTATAATATAAATGAAATGAAGGCCTTTTCTTTGAACTGGAGTCATGTCAGTAGCCAGCCAAGTATTTGTTAATTTAGGTACCCCCCTCCCCTCATAGAGGACGCCCATTGGGAGCCTGGAGACACGATTTTCTGTAGTCTGAGGACACTCTTCAAGAAAATTTTAGAGAATTTGACTACCTGAAACGCGATTTCCTGACATTTTCTGGCGAATTTAAGGTTTATTTGTATAGGGTCTGAGTTGTGTCGCTTAGAAAATTTTGAGAATTAGACGCTAGGAAACGCGATTTTCTGACATTTCCCGACGAAATTAAGGTTCAAGATTATTTGTATAGGGTCTGAAGTGTTTCGCTTAGAAAATGTTGAGAATCAGACGCCCGGAAACGCCATTTCCTGACATTTCCTGTAAAATTTAAGGCTCTGAATTTTTTTTTTGTCTCATAACAAAGAAGCCCCCTGACTCAGTAAAATGAATTAATATATTTAATAATAACAATTGACATTTTTTAGGGGGGCAAAGTTGCCATTTACCTGACCGTGTAGAATCTGTGACCAGCGGCGGAGCCAGGTTTACGAGATTGCCCGAATTTTTAACCTAGATTTTTGCCCGAAATACATGCTTTTGTGGACATATTTTCTTGTAGTATTTCAGTTAAGTTGGGAACAGTGTCAGTGTTCCTAAAGAAAATAGACGAGCCTACCGGAGAGCCCACTTGACAATTCGGGAACCCATACCTGGTCACCACAACCTCAAATGAATGAATGAGTGAATCATGGAAAAAACAATTCTTGGAAAGGTTTTTTTTTCTTTTAAGTAAATCCTTCCGACACTCTTTGTAACAAACATATACTTTAAAAATCGTGATAAGGAAATTAAAACTAAAACTACGTTCAAGCTATATTTAAGGCCGCGCACCTCATTTCATTATTAGTTGGTGATGAGAACTCTTTCCTAGTTTGTCAATGTAAAGTTCTGTCATATCTCATGATGAAGGTGTTCGTGCTACTTGCTGCTGTTGCCTGTGGTGAGTTATCCCTTTTTTATGAGATTTAATTTGAAAATGTATTGGAGCGATGCTGCCGAAAATCCCAGCGATTAACTCTCGCGACAATTTGCTTGCGATATTTTCATGGTTGCGGACGAAATTCGCTGCAAAACGGACTTATCCATTCAGAGAGGGATTGATCAATACGTTTTCTAACAGATAATGATGTCTCCGCCCCCGAAATTGATCATATGTGACCCGAATTAGAAGACAACGTGTATGCTTTTCGCTATATCCACGCTCTTTGTGCGTGTTTTGTGGCAGTGCGATATATCGCGTTAGCCGTAAACAAATTCAGAATGATTCAAAAGATACATTAGCATGTTTTTTTAGAAATATATTCATGTATTATTTACCCCGTTTTTTGATAATAAACAATTAACATACTGCCCCTTGAAACTCCGCGAATCCTGACCACACGTAATGCTTTCCCTATGTAACACGATAACAAATTTGAGATTGGAAAGGGGAGGGGGGCCAAAGCTTGGCCAGCTTCGCTGCTGCGTTTTCCCTAAGAACGCCACTGATCCATTTACCGATCATAGCTAGGCCCAATTATACTGAGCGCGAACGTGACCGCGACCATTACGACTTTTCGCGCAACTTTCCGCACAGATCATCTTTCGTATTGAAAGCGGCGTTTTGCGCGTAAATTCGCTGATGAAACGAGCGCAGAGTGAACTGGCAGACAGGTATGAACTTTGACCTGATTGGCTCATGTAAATAGTTCGCGCGGCCTTTTCCCAAAAATTCGCTCTGGAGGCAATCTCCGTGGAACGCACCGGCAGCGTACCTTGTCTATTCGCGGGTTAATTCCTGTAATTATAATACGAGAAAAAGTTTTCCAAAACTTGCAACATTATTCATGGATCACTTTTCAGGCCCACTCATCGCGTATAGAGTCTATACTATAAACAAGGAAGTTAAATCCATTACCTACAATCTTTACAGAAAAATACTTCCTGATAGAAATATTTCCTTGGCGAATGTTCAAAACAGAAATTTTCCTTGTTACAACGATTAGAAATACTTTGTTACATAATATATTTATATATTGAATATTCAATCGATTTGATGTAGTTTTGGTGCCTCACGCTTTATACAGGACGTAAAACTCTATTCGTTTCATTTCACCCTTGTCACAGCAGACGACAGTCGTACAAACTCACACTTGTACACATTAATATCTTGTCTTGCTCGTTATGAAAGTTATTTGAAAGGGCTACAACCATTTTCTTTGTAGTTTATGGAATACCGAACGATGATGATAATAGACTAGGCCTAGCTGCTAGTGATACAGTAGATGTAAATTGTAAAGCTTGTCAAGATATTATTAAAGACCTCCGTACTATATTAAATTCTAACAAAACTCAGGTCAGACTATTCTTAGATCTAGAAGATCTCATGATTCTGTATTATTTTTCAATATATAAAACATACATTCCCTTCGTCTGCAATTGTAACCAATTTGTGTTAATCACAGTTAGTGTATAAGACCATATTAATTTTTGTTACAATGTTTTATTAAAACAGTTGCAAACTAAAAGAAATTCTATCTTTGCACACAAGGACGAACAATATGTAGATAGGCAATAAATTATTGAGAGATAAACATAACAATTATTCATGTCTTTATTGTAGACATTGATAGAGAATTTTCTAGAAGACAGAGTATGTTCCATGCTTGGCCAGTCAGCCGCTATGGTATGTTGCATTGTTATATTCATATTATTTACATTATACATGTATATTGCATGATAACTGTATCTAGGTCACAATAGCCCAAAAATTAAATTAAATTAAATATTAAATTAAATTAAATAAAACAAATAAAATAAATAAGTAAGTAAGTAAGTAAGTAAGTAAGTAAGTAAGTAAGTAAGTAAGTAAGTACGTAAGTAAGTAAATTAAATATAGTATTTAAAGATTTCAATTTATTTAGCAATTTATAATAATTTTACTTTTTTTTCAGTGCAAACAGTATGTACAATCCTATGCACCACTTCTATTTCAACTCATGGTGACAGAACTTGTAAGTACTGTAAAAGTCTATAAACTAAAATTTATCACTGTTAGCAAAGACTATATTTCTGATTTCTTACCATGGTGTAGGCCTATAATAAACATTTACAAGCAGAAAGAATTTAATCTTTGCAGAATACAAAGAATGGCAAAGAAGAATACTACCTCTTAGAATGGACATAACATTGAAAGTCTCAAAAATGGTCAACAAGTGTTTATATTCATCAGTTGGATTTACCAGGTGCCATGATTAAAGAATGGAATCTCTATATAACATGATATATCCATTAAACTAAGCATGTTTCAATAGTACTTAGTTTACTTATTACTTAGTTATATAGATTTATTAGATTATAGAGAGATTCTGTTGTATAGTTATGACACCAGGAAAGTCCAATGATCAACAAAGACTCATTTTAATCGAGTTTAAAAATTACAATTTTTAGTGGATAGTAGCAATGAACTCAATTGTGACTTATCACAAATCTGTTTTTTTTTTTGCACAGGATTCATTAAAGTTATGTAGTATAATTGGGCTATGTACAACCCAACAACAAATATTAAAGCAACCAGTTGATGAATCACCCATGTTACGTATTTTCGATTCTAAACCAGTAAATAACGATAAATCATTTGGTACATGTTTTATCTGTAAAATGGTGTTAAAGAAATTATATGAAGAATTAGGACAGCATGCAACTGAGGTAAGGCTTCAGTTGAAATATTTTGAAAAAATTATATATTTATTTGCAGCTTACAGGTGAAAACTTGTTGAAAATCATTTTCAAAACTATACAGAATTGTAGGACTCAAACCACTTAATCTCATGAGCTAGTGTGCTACAGGTTGTAGGCTTTAATGATCCCTTGACATCTGGAAATTGGAAAAGAGAATTCTTGAGGCACTCTCCTTGCCAAAATTCATTCTTTGCACACTGCTTGGCATTTCAAGCCCTAACAGGTACAAGTATCAAGTTGGACTCCATCATTTCATTTCAGTTCTTTACTTTGTTCTATTGTCTTATTTTAGGCAGAAATAGAGGCCTACTTGGATAAAGTGTGTAATTTCTTACCAAGTACCTTCAGATCAGAATGTGTTTCATTGATCAATGAGTTTACACCAACCATTATCAAATTAGTTCTCCAGAAAATGACTCCAGAACAAATCTGTGTACAGATTCATTTGTGTTCTAAGGCACAGTCTAATGATATACTTGGAAAGTGTAAGTATTAAAACATGACATAATTTCAAAAGACCTTGCAGTGCTCAGAGAAAAATTATTTTGTTTTATGTACCCTATTTGACTTTATATTTCATATTATTTCTAGCCTATGTACATATTTTGAACTTTTAAATGTGTGTATTATTTTTAGGAGGATGGAATATCGAATGATGATAAAATTTATATTTCAGTGTTCTACATATCACCAGTTAACTAAGAGATGTAAGAAAGGAAGAGCAAGATTTGTATTAGTTCATTTCCAATTTTTTGCGTCATATATCATATTCAAGGTTTACAATTTATCTCCAATATCAAAATCAAAATAAGATTAAATCATAATTATAAGAAATACTGTTATCTGATAGGTTAGAATTAATTTAACGATTCACTAATCAAATAACTAAAAGTTTTTATTGTAAATCTTCCAATCTTAGATAACATAGACAAATTTTTGTAGTTTAAATTTCTTTTTTTCAGTTTTGAACTGCCAATTTTTTGCATTTACATAACACTTTTATTACTATTAATCTGAATTTGTTATCATGCTTGATATTTAATGACTTATACACAATTATCGTGTTCAATCTGCGCATGACTAATGCACAACAAAATCGTGTTCGAACAAGCCATGTTTAATGTACAATAAAATTGATTTCAATCAAGCCATGTCTTATGTACAATAAAATTGATTTCAATCAAGCCATGTCTTATGTACAATAAAATTGATTTCAATCAAGCTATGACTGATGTACAATAAAATTGTGTTTCATCAAGCCATGAATGATGTACAATAAAATTGTGTTCAATCAAGCCATGACTGATGTACAATAAAATCGAGTTCAATCAAGCCATGACTGACGTTCAATAAAATTGTGTTCCATCAAGCCATGACTGATGTACAATAAAATTGTGTTTCATCAAGCCATGACTGATGTACAATAAAATCGAGTTCAATCAAGCAATGACTGATGTACAATAAAATTGTGTTCCATCAAGCCATGACTGATGTACAATAAAATTGTCTTACATTTACAAATTGCATACAACTGAAGATAATATCACTCTACCGTCATTGCCACTGATGAAGTAGTTAAAGATTTTGATTTAAAATGTTGTAACTGTTGAGAACCTGATTCTACCATTTTGGTTAATTTGGTCAATCTTGGTTCAATATACACACCAATAAATTCTTCTACAGTGCTCTCATAGAATACCTCTTTTAATGCTGTTATTAATTTCTTCTTAAAATCTTTTAAACATTGCGATAGCCTGTAAAGATAAATTTGCACTATTACCAAACATCACAACATTACTAGATTCTTTAAAGAAAAAATATTACTTACAAAGTATATTTTATTTGTTCTGATATTTTTATCTGCATAATAAGGAAATATCTTAATTTAATATTCAAATTTAATTGTTTAATAGAAAAGAGGGGAGAGTAGCTAGTCAACTTAATTTGGTCAGTACCTACAGATTTTTTCATCTGATTTTCCTTCATCAGGGGCAGACAAAGAAAATGATTTGTAGTTTGGGTGGTAATTTAATCTTTATGCTAGAATGGTCAACTTTCAACCAATAAAAGTGAAAAATGGGCATCGATGATACAATGAATAAAATGCAATGGCTAGATAATTGAATGTATAAAATCTTACCTTGTAGCCTCATTAATAATAGGTTGAATATGATTTGGATTAGTGAAATTTCTCTTTATATGATAATCATTCATCCATGTTAACACCCTGTCAATATAATTAATATTGAATATTAAACATTTTGTTGATTGAAGAAAAAAATTGCAGGAAATTACATTTAATTCTTTATAAAGCAGATTTTGTTTAAACAATATTACATTACATATTATGCTACACATAGAGATTAAACCTAAAGGAGTGATAGAAAATTTCATATGATAAATATACATAATATTGATATTGAATAAAGATATTGGGAGTCGCAGTGGTTCAGTGTGTTGGACGCTTGCTTGCTAACCTGAAGGTCGAGGGTTCAATGCTGGTATAGGTCAATACCTTCGAATTTTTCAATTTGGTTTCCCCCTGATGCAGATAAGAGGGATTGCCATGGTGTTTAGTTGTTCGGATGGTCTTGATTAGCCCACATGGTGCAGAAAATTAGGACGTAAAACTCCATTCATTTCATTTCAAAAACAGATATTACTAACTTACCCTGTACTGTTTAATAACATGTCTATCTCAGATGATAAATGATAAATATTAATGATATTCATATAGATATTACTTCCACTAAATTTACAGTCAAAACATTCACTTCCACTTCTATAATAGAAAATATCCAATTAAAAACTGTAAAGCCAGATATTATCATATCATTACATAAGCAAGTCATGTGTATTGTAAAACTTAGGCTTGCGGCAAGTCTCGCAAGCGAATACGCCCACCAGCAGCTTGATAAAGAGCTAAATGTGAACTGTAAAACAAACTCTATATCGTAGCCTGTAGAGTGAGCACGCGATATAAGAGTTTACAAGGATAATAACTATGGTTCTTATCTATCAGCTGATCCTCAACTATGTAGAATCTATACAGATTTGGAGAAAAGCTCCACTATGATAAGTAGATGTTTCCCGGTGCCCAGAACATATTCACCCTTCTGGTACACTTCATGCCACTCTGCCACTGGGATTGTCAACTTAACATTCTCTAGATGACTCAACATAGCTTTTCTGTCTCTAGTAAATAAGTACTTACATATGAAATGGTATTAATGGAAGCAGGGCAGTAAAATTTAACTCTTTGGAAACTTGAGAATGAATTTCTGGAGTAAAGGCACCTGAAAAATAATTATGTCAGGATTACCAAAGCCAGTCAGATGGTGCATTTTATATTCCATTTGTGTCAATAGTATGAGCTCAAGCCTTTTTTCTTATTTTCAAACTGGTTTAAGAAAAGATTTACAATTACAATTACAAATATTTTACCCTTCTGTATGATCTGTAAACACAATGCTAAACATGGCAATGCTTGTGGTAACAACTCACATAATATGGCATAATGATCATATCTGAAAATAAATATCACATATACCCAATAGAAAAACATGATAAAAATGGCTTGCATTCGTACCCAATTAATTTGACAAACATGTTGTGAATATAGATCTCCATTCTGATAAGGAAGATAAATAAATATATTTAACAAAAATTCTAAAATATAACACTAATGATGATCTGCTGTACAAATGCTTTACAGTTTTAACCCTTTCAACCCGGTTTACCGCCCAAACACTAACGCAATATCTACCCGAGTAGCCGCTATACCGGCCGTTGCTAAGTGACGTCATACAACGTTAATGTCATACACTTTTACTTTTATTACTTGGAGTTCAGGGTATATGATGTTATATTTCATTTACAGTCAGGGTTCAAAGGGTTAAAAATACAAGGGTTTCTATATGCAAAAATCTACAATATCACACATTGGCCACTCAATAATCTTTGTTGATCAATCCAATACATAGTTTATAGAAAGAGGCGTAACAAACCTTTGCCAACCTGTTAAAGCTATTCCTTGAATATTTTTAAACTTTGATCTCTCACATTCTATGACTTTAATCCATGCTAGATGGTTATCTATATGGTATGATATATTGGTAACTATCATTGATGATCCTGTAGCACCTTTATAGGCACTAGCAAACCATATATTAGAAAATACACTGGAGAGCTTGTCAAAGAGATCTACAATGTAAATGATTCCATATCAGGTAATCTCATTTTTTTGGCAAGCTAGTCACATCACATAAACACAATAAGCAGATGTTTACTAAAATATCTGGAAATTGTGTGTTATTGGGTCTTGTTCGAGAACTTTGGACCGAATGACTGGAGTGCAGTAGTGAATTTTTTTTTAATAAATTGTGGAAAATATGATAGCCAATTGCTTATTCTATTTATTAAAATGGTAAGTTAAAATAAAAGCCTTACCAGGAGGCAGCATAAATTTGGTTAAATAATGCCAAACCATTGGTTCTACTAAATCTGCCAGACCAGATCCTTTCTTAAACAAAATAAATAAATCACAATTAGTGAATTGTTTATCCATATGTGATCAAACATTCACCTCAGAAGAATTGTAGCCTTATCGAAATCATAGGAATATTATCTTTCTTACTTAATTTGAATCACTTATCTTAAAATTTAGCCACTTAGTATTATTGAAATATGACCTTGAGGCATGTTGAGCTTCCTTAACGATCAATGTAAAAAGGCTGTGACTATGAATACAGCTATAAATTCAGCATGAATGACTGTGCATTTAAAGGGACAGATGCCCCATTTTGGGGGGTTTGAGTCTTTAACATATGCAAATAGTTTTCAGAAGTTTTAGAAATATATGAAAATCACAGAATTATTATTAGATGTCTATTCTATATTTGGCAATGTCTCAAGAAAAGACAACAAATCTTTTTAACTTTGAAATGCGAATAATTCTGGACACACATAAATTTCAAGGCTAAAATTTCAAGGTGAGCTGTGAACATTATTGCATAAAACTTTAACCAGTGATTGTTATTCCATAAAGATGTGTCTATATATTATTGGCGTAGCTAAAATTCCCGTTGCTAAGACAAAGGTATGATTGGTAGAAAAATGGCACATCTGTCCCTTTAAGAAGAAAAATGGTATTACAGAATAAATTGAAATCTTACGTTTTAAAAGATTGACATCTGTGAAGCGAATCATATCATCCCATATAATAGGTGTTATATGATATTTATCTTTTATATATGTAGCTACACTATTTACATGAGAGAAAAATAACTGTTCAACGACTAATTTCTCTTTTTCCATAATCTTTTTACAATCATCACACAGTCCTAAATGATATACCTATAAAGAAAAGAAAAAGAAAATTCTAATAGATTAATACAAGAACACATGCTGAAAATGGATTAGAAATCATTGTGGTAAGGAAGTTAATATCATAGTTGAAGGTTTCAAAATATTGTACTGTCTTATTGATTTTAAGATCACTTTGAATATTGCATATTCATGAGAAGGGAAATTATTAATAATAAAGCAAGCTTTATTATGTTATTGCCTGTGCTTCAAAGTGTTACTAGTAATTACAAAAAATCAAGATAACATTGCCTGGATCTCAAAAATTTTAGATATCATTTCATGATAAAAAAACACTTTAACAAAATGTAACTACTTTCCGAAAAAATGCTTATACTTACTTCATCACATCCCATATGAAAATATTTTACATTTGGGTGTAGTTTCATCACTTGATCAACTAAAACTTGCACTGTAGATAAGGAATCTAAAATGTATATATTAGTTGGTTATAGGTGTTTTGGGAATGTCAATTTTAACTGAAATTGGAATGAAATTGAAATGAAATTGAAATGAAATTGAAATGAAATTGGAATGAAATTGGAATTTTCTGAAATACCTTAAAAGTTTTTAAATTGGTTTAACTTACCATACTTAGAGGGACACAGAGACATAGGATATTCAGATAATTCTCTTAAACTTGAAAACTCATTGTGTTTTAAAACAAACTGAAAATTAAATCACAAAAGCTACATTTTTTTACAAATTTGAAAATAATAAAAAATAAATATTTTCTCTAAAAATAAAGAATTAAATTGGCATTAATTCCGTCACTAGTATAGGTTTAGAACATAATACTGATAATAAATAAAATTGCTAATGAATAAAATTGTTTCTTTCTCTTTATTTAATCTTGAAAAACAATCTTACCTCAAAATGGCCGAAAGTTTGAATTAATGGTATAACTATCAAATTATTTTGTTCTGCTAATTGTAAGATCTTTTTTATTTCTTCAACACTAAAATCATCAAAATACAAAAAGTCCCTGTACAAACACGAAACATATAATTCAGCAAAATTGGGTAGAATTATTTTAACCTGGAACTGACTATTGGGAAATATTGTATTCCATGTATAGTTTACACACTAGCTTCATCTGGTTCATTTAGCTCTATTCAGAATATACTTGCTTTGCCTTAAAATACTTTCCAATGTGTATTATCAAAAATAAAAATGGAGATAACCCACCATAATAGAAGAGAAGGTTGCAGCAATAAATATAAACAAAGATATACCTGTAACAATCAGGAGACCTAAGAACTTGAAACTGATCAGTATAGGGAAACATATCTTCATATTCTATTAACAAACCAGTAGCACCCCAATCTCTCAGTTTTGGAAATATCTGCGAAAAAATCAACACACTCATTAACAGCAACATTGACAGTGACAAAACAATTATTAGTTATGATCCTGCAGAAATACCTACCTTCGATATTCAACCCATTTAGAAATTTTGTATGTATTGCTTCAACAAAAAAATCTTCGAGACTTTTATATTCACACCCTAATTGGAGTAAGATCACCAGTTGGAAAGAAGAATTATATACTATGTCAATGTCTTAAAAAGCCCAATAAAGCATTTAAATGAGCATACAATAGCATTCCTTACTCATCACGAGCAATCTATACTATTCCCTTACTCATCAAGAGCAATCTTTACTATTCCTTTACTCATCACGAGCAATCTATACTATTCTTTTACTCATCAAGAGCAATCTTCACTATTCCTTTACTCAGCAAGAACAATCTATACTCTTCATTTACTCATCAAGAACAATCTATACTCTTCATTTACTCATCAAGAGCAATCTATAATGTAAATATTACCTGTTTGAAGTAACTTATCTTAGGAGGAGCTCCTTTTAAATCCAAATGTACCAACCTGCAAATTCACAAATATTTTAAGATAATATGCATATTTTCTTGCATGATCTTCAAAAGCTACAACTACAGACTGATCATCCAATCTGCTACCCATTCAATTGTAACATCCAAATCAGACAAAAACAACAAAAAAGTCATATTTTACAAGAACAAGAAGTTCTGGGTTGTTTCCACCAGCTGTACCTTGGCCTAACATTATGGCCATAACCCTTTTCATTTACAGATGAGTTGGTTGAGATAATGAGACTTATTATACATGCCAGGTGTATCTTGCTGAACCATTTGTCATTTTCCTATGGAAGTGATGCAGGTTGGAGGGGCTGATGTTGACCGTATTCATTAAAAACGTAGGACATAAAGCTGCATTGATTTCATTTCATTTGTTATATACAGAACCTACCTATGTCCTGTGGAAGAATCCATTATTTTTACTTCACTACACATTATATACAATTATATTCTGAAATTTACAACAATATAAATTAGAATACCTTTATTCGTAGACCTATTTAGAATTGCTCACTTCCCTGAAATTTAAGTGACTATTAGCTATTGCAGGTAGTCATCAACATTAACCACTAAGTTTGGCTAAACTCTAAACTCGTCAATTTCTTTTTCATAATAGCAGTGAACAAGATGTTACATTTTCATTCTGAAAATTGATATGGGTATCTAATATTAAGTATGGGATGGAGCTCTGTCCTCAGTAGAAAGAACAGGCATTTCCACCCTTGTACGACATTTGGCTCACTCATTTTTACCATCTTGATTCTTGACGCAATCATAGAACATTAGTACACAGTAAATGACGCAATGATGAACTTGTGATTTATCTAATATGCCATAATTGGTCAAATTAATTCATTCAAGTTCAGGGCATCTGCCTGCTTTTCCATGTAGCCTAATGTTAGATTTTGTGCAACAATGTATCACTTTGCCATTCAAGTTGACACAACTGGTCAATATACCCTGTTGCAAGATAAATCATATTTTTATCGGAAAATCGCCATCCGCAGTGGTCTGAAAAATTAATTAACCTGGATCAATGAGTAAGTTTGTAGGCCAGTGTTTTCAGTTCTGCTGCAGTTTCACTTACTTTCTGACTGTCCTATTTATAATCCAATGAAAAAACACTTCCGATGGCTAAATTTATTCTTCGTATTTGAAGAGTTCAATGTTTATAAATAGTGGGACCATCTGACAGATGATAAACAAAAACAGATCATTATTTTGAATAATAAAACTAGCACGCAATACTAGAATATTAGGTGAGTTAAGTGTTGATATTCTAGGTTTATAAGGTGTAAATCAACAATAGATTTAATGATTATTGCATAAAAATATGGTTCATTTTTTGGGTGTGTTCTGTCATTTGTCAAATATTGGGATATTCCAGTGCAACATTGAAAAAAATTTATGCTATATTTAGCTGAAATACATGACTTGGCACAAAGATTTTCTTTGTTTCATACTTAAAACATTAATCTAATCTATGAGGCTATCTATAGGCCTATTGCTAAATGATCACCATAATGCAATAATTTTAGTCTTATTTAGGCTATGTTGAGCCTGAATATCTATGTGTAACCTTAACTTATTCATAGGGCCTATGCATATTCACTTTTAAAAACCATAGTGCAACCTTCACAGTGATCATTCGAGCCTATTGACAAGCTGTTACCTTAGTCACATGATTTAGTTTTTAGATATATAAATAGAGGACTATTTTTGAAAAGTTTTATATTGAAAAAAATGCGAAAAAATTACTTACCATCCAATAAATTTTTATTGATTATCTAGTGTTATTATGCCTTATGGAGCCTTGGTAAAGCCTGTAGTACTTCCCAAGTATTTCTCCAGTCATCAAGAGAATGGTATCTTTTTACTCATTTAATGTTGTGCTTTTGGTTACAGTTGCAAAGCTATTTGTGAACTTTGAAAGAGGAATCAAAGGACGAATGTATGAATAGTTAATTGTTATTTATTCAACACTGAAAAATCTTAGTATCTTATTTAAGTTTGATAATCTCCCCTTTGTGTGCAAATTTCTAGAATCAAATCTACGTTTCTTCTATTTGGTTTCAGTTGTGAAGAATTCTTCTCATCTGTAAAATGGGCTATGTGACAATAAAAGAATCCACCAATGACAAATTGATATTAACAAGAGAACCTGGTATTTATGCATGGAGTATTCTTTTAGGTATGATATTATATTTGAATTATATATTAATTACAATCCATCCATGATTTCTTCTTCAACTGAAGAAACATGGTCAATGGCAAATTTGACAAGATTAATTGAACGTTACAACTCTAAAACTCTTACAGCCGGCACAATATATGGGTGAATCAATGTATCGCAATATGACATGCCACTATTATGCTCGTGCATCGATACTTGTCATTACCTCTCATTCCATAAAAAGTGGGGATTTTTTTTAAGTGGGCGAATGGACATTAACCACTGCTATCAACTACATTACCAAATATCACAGCTAAAAAGTTTAAATTGATAAATATTGAAAATTTAGAGATAAAGTGTTCAATTTTATCCCATTACCCTGTATATCGCGATTTATATCGTATCGTGACATGATTGGCAATATCCAGTATTCGTTTTGGCCTAATGAAAACTTGTCTTATGTATGTCACCATTTTTGTTTAGGTGCAGTTACATTCGGGTTGGGTGCTGCATATTATGGTTCAGGTAGAGAGGACATTTTATAATCATCCTTTTCTTTGTTCTGTCCATGAGCTGGAAAATGAATTATCAAGTGATGGAATGAAAATCTAATGTTCAACTCCATAAACAGTCATATTGTAAATATGTTTCAAATGATAGAAATCTTGCAATGGGTAATGAGAAAACAGTATTTACTTTCTTTCAATAACCAATTGTTGAGAGATCCCTCTGTAAATTGTCCCAGCCTCCTACTTTAGTTGAGAAATTTATGTCCCAATGCTTGTATCATAACATCACATGATATACATGTAAATAAATATCTTGCAGAAATACAAAACTATTTCTAATCTTGTGTTTTTTAGATTATATAATATGGAAGATAATGTATGTTAGTGGAGCTGTGTATATTGGTATATCATGTATGGATGAATGGGAGGTGAGTGTTTGGTTTACTGAAATCACAGACATTTCCTACAATATGATACCAATATGACTCATATTCCATTTTGAAATTAGTGACTCTCAAAATTAATTTGTAGTTTGGTAGAAACAAAATCGTTTACAAAATTGTTTTTAATTTCAATAACCATTTTCTTATGAAGTTCAAATTACATTTCTAAGGCTCTCATTAGGTTATGTATTTTATTTTCAGATTTGTGAATTGAATAAAGAAACAAAAGAAATCAGATTAAAAAGAACCAGCATGTTACAAAAACTATTACCTTTTTACTTTGAACAGCACACAGGTAAACACAAACTTAGAAATTTATGCCAAGCACTGACAAAAAAATCTGTCAAATCATGACCGTTACATGGTACAACAAAATGAGGTTGTAACAAATTACCTCTTTGGCTACAGCATTATACAATGCCTAATAATATCAAGATTCACCTAGTAAATTCGAAGAATAATGATTTAGGAACATATGGCTCTACAATTTGGTACAATGAGGCTACTATTTTAACAGTGAGAATATTTTTTTATTTATAATTATGATTTATTTAGTTGTTAGTAATCTGGATGAAATAGTTGATGTAAGAATTGAAGAACAAGATGTAAAATATTTCGGTAAAAGTTATCAAGTTGCATTGGTATTATCATCTGGCATATCATTAGGTGTTACTGATGCATTTACTTTTGGTAATGATAGGTATGTAGGCTTAGTATTTTAAATTTGATTTAAAGATGTCCTGTAATATTCACAAAACCAGCTGATAGAGCTCAGTTTTACTAGTTTCCAGAAAAAAATTCCTAATTATACTGCTTCAATTAAAAAATAATTTAATAAAGTTAATTGAGGTTGAATTGAACAGTTTTTTTCTTAAAATTTTTAGAAATAAAGAAAAGATGTTAACTATATTCAATTAAAACACCTAGCTTTATCATACAATTGCTGAGTATCCAAGCTGGCAACTGGTGGTGGGTAATTTCATTTGACCTTTTGCAAACATGCAGTAAATGTAATATAATATATTACTACATAATTATATTTTTCAGTGATCACAAACAAATTGCAGAGAAAATAAAGAAATTCCTAGATTTAGAAAATAGACCAGTTTATCCTAAAAGTGAAAATGATATAGATATATTAGGACAGGGAGATGATGTTGATGATGATTCCGAAGATAGTTTTGAACAGATAGATCCATCAGAAGTTACTACAGAAGAGGAAAATGATTCACTTCCTTTGTAATTTGTGTCCAAATTTTTGAGCTTTGTGATATTATAATTTTAGACTTTTGAGTATATTATATGGGTTTTGTTTTAGAGGTTAAGGATTCTATATAGCCAAAGTTATGGCTATTTCAAATAATAATCATATGTGATTTGGACATTAGGAAATCCCGACTAAATATTAGAAATTCTAAAACTGGTGTGTTACTTAAAGAAATGTTACCTCTTAGAATGCACTTAAATCTGATAAATCCATAGTTATAAACAACTTATAAGCGTTTTTCTTAAAATACTTAGTTTTATGGATTTATCAGATTATAGAGGTATTCGTAAGTCGTAAGATGAATTTATTCTCTTATTGGACATGTTTGAAAATCTAAATTTTATGTTCATTCTAAGAGGTTAGTATTACTTTTAGATATTCCTTTTAGATAATTTTTACAGTTTTGAATGCAGCTTGGCCTTTCCCTGAGCAGAAATTGTCTTGTAATCTAAGTTAAGGGTATTTTTCGTGTTGGGTATAGTCAACCTTCTTTTTTGTGCCATTCACCTTATAATGTAAATACCCTTCAACAAACCATGGACAACTTGGTAAACAAAACTCTTACTTTCAGCCCAATGCAGTTTTAAGCATCACAAGTTTCATTCTGATACTGCAAACTGCAATCGATTTATTGTTGTTTTTACACATTTTAGTGCATAAATTTATACATTGCTTGATGTATTGTGATTATCAAGTATGAAGACATTTTGGAGATCTTGTCTGACAAGGCAGGCAAATACAGAGACAACCCCTATGGTGTCATTACTAAACAATCCAAATAAAATAGTGTACCTGGTATAATGTTTTGTTTCTCTGTACTATGTTGTCTTCATATATCAATTGCAAATAAAATAAGAAATACAAGAAACCAGTCCTATTTTATTCTATAAAATCATAATTTTTTTTTCATCAAATTAAATTAAATGTTTTGACACATATGAAATTAGAGACTTTTTTTGCCATTGCTATTTTTTAATGTTTGTCTGAAATGAAATGACCATTTATCATAATTAGGATAAGTCTTAATTGAATTTTACTGAGATGTAACATTTGCTACCATTCATCATGATCTTTTGGCATATTTTTAATTAATCCTTGTATTCTTCCTAGAATAATTTCATTAGAACTGACACAATCTTCTGGGGTATAGGGTGGATGGATAGTCAGTGCATCAGAGATACTTAGTTCATCACCAGCCACTACCACTGGTAATCGATTTTTTTCAAACCACGATTTTAATATCAATTGTCTTTTCTTTATTTCTTCAGAGGGGATATCGTGAGTTCTTTGAGGTCTAAATAAGCTATTTAACTTATCTCGATGTAACTCACTATCATTATTTAAAACCGTTAATTTACTAACAGCATGTCCTGGTATAATTTCTAAACCGATTTTCTCATCTGTAAATTGAACTAACACGTAGGACTGTGACACAGGATCGACTGTATACACCCAGCCTGTGTGTTCAACATCATTATCAGTAATTATACTGACTTGTTTATATAACAGTTGCATCCATTCTTCTGGGTCAGTTTTGAAAATAGGATGTTGGTCTGATTCTTCCATTTGTAAACAGACAAATTTCAAGTATCAATATTAAAATGAGATAAATTACGATACTTTTGAATAAGTTCCTGCTTTAGAATTAATTGTTGTCTAAGAATATCGATTTGTCGAATTTGTTCTTCTTTACTATACTGAACTCCTGGCAACTTTTCTACACATTCTCTTGCTTTCTGGAACTGATTCCTTAAATCTGTCAACTTCTGGTTAATATCATGGGAATCTTTCTCTATGCTGAAAATATAAAGTAACATTTTATCATGACAGTAACCAAAAGAAAGATAGAATTTTCGGACTACAACTTAGTACAAACAACACAGTCAACAGTGAAAAATTACGGTAGGCTGCGAGCTAGCTGCGAATCTTATACGGTTAATCAATCATAGCATGTAAAAAGTATAGTAAAAGATGAATAAATTAAGAATACAACATGCACCATTTAATTCCATCGTAAATTGACGGCAAAAAATTCAATTCATTATCAGCAATACTTCCAGCCATGACGCCCATGAGGACTTGTGTATATGAACCGGCGTACTTTTGTCATGTGACCAGAGCCCTGCATCTTTGTTCGATTCTAAGTGCTATATTGTTGTCGGACCACTTGACTTAGGCCTTACAATTTATAAGCTTCAAACCGTTCAAAGTTACCAAGACGCTTGTTGGTATCATCCGTGTCGGTTTTTCATTCCTTCAAGGATGTGAAATTTTTAATTCCACTCACTGACACTACTCAAGTTTCAAATGGTGGAATCGAACGCGTCAATAGCATGTGACCGGCTTTTACCCTCAACAGTTTTGGGAAATGGTTGAAATAAAACTCACACATTAACAAACAAAATATATCAAATGACAACATCACGAGCTTCATCATAAACTTATAACAAATTTATATCATAAGTTCGGTTTGTTCCGACTCGTCTTAATCACGTGATTTACAAAATGGCGACCTACGAATGGTAATTTAATTTACTCATATAGAATTTAGTGAAATTACATCTTTCTATTTTTACATTCTGCCTCTTTATATTCTTGCAAAGAAACTTGCGAAACATGGCCGTGTTGGTTTACTGTTCTACAAGACCAAAATACCTCATAGGGCCCATAAATGCTTGTCTTCCACCTAACTGAAGTGAAAGCCAGATGGGGGTGGGGCAGTTGCTCTTGTCTACACATTAGTTCTATGTCTACACTGAGCTTAGAATCGATTTTTTCTCTCATTTCACAAATATTCAAAATCAGTTTTTGAACTGTGAGTCTATAGAAATATGAGGTTTGTTGAAAATAAACACATTTGCCAAAATTGCTAAATGACCTGTGCTTAACTGACTGAGTGCTTGAAAGAGTGTGCCTCAAGTTCTGTGTCTATCTATCTTCTGTTTAAAATAATAGTGCCGAAATGACAGTGAATCATAACATAACATTTCTTAAATTTGCATATTTTTTTTTATGATATTAAGAGCAGGGACACTAATGTACCGTATCTTATTATTTAGGTATTTTAAAAAGAGAGATTATGATTCTGAAGCTAAATCAGAATCCTTCACTCCACAACCTACAGATTCACACCCATTAAAGTCTATAACTGTAAGTATTCTACTGAGTTTTTATGTCCATAGGTACTTTTAATTAACTTGACACCATTCTACTAGCTTAATGCTGTACATTCAGTTATCTATCAAGTCATTGAGTATTTCCTAATGTGGTTGGTTGAGTGCATCTCAATTAGATGCTCGTATGATTACTACTGTAGTTAAAAAGACTCAGCACACACACTGACAAATATATACTGTATATAACATTGGTATCATTTCAGTTGGTTGAAAGAAAGGTTATTGTTATATTGTACGATAAACACTCTCATGATATCTATATTAACTTTTGTTATTTACTATTTTAGGTGACTGAAGTTAAAAAGAGTGTTCATGTAAAAAAGAATTCACAGCCATTAGCTAATCAAATAGCTGATCCTTTAGGTTCTATAGACCCTTTAGGAGCCAGCAATCCATTGAGTCAAGCTTTTGAGGGGGTAGATCCTTTATCAAAGTTTGCAGCTGAAGTAGATATCCCTGTAACTAAGAAGAAGTCTAATAGTTTTGGAAAGGTTAGTCAAGCGATATCATGTTCCACCAGGAACTCTAGTGGCTTAATTTTTGTGTAGTAGTAAAGTATTTGAAATCGTTTGATTTGGAAATTTGACTATACTGTGGGGAGGTAGATGATGAAGTTGAAAGTCTATTTGCTAAATATTCTGGATTTATGGTGGATAATAGGATTTCTTATTATTAGCTTTGTTTATCAGAAAGAAATGATGAGCCGACAAACCTGTTAAGAGTTAGACGCCATGACACTTGAGTGACAAATGTAACTATGAATCTGAAATGAAAATCAAATTTTGGGGTTTTGTCCAAGTTGGAATCTGATTAATCAGATTATGAGAAAAAAAATAAAACTATAATATTTCATGTTTTAGACTGCAGCAAGTGATATAGTGGAAGATGACTTAGATGAAAATTTTGAACCATGGTCAACCAAGAAAGCAAATATCTTGGCCAGATATACAACATCAGAAAAACTGTCTATTACAACTAGTTTCTTATCAGCTTCAGATAAAGAGAAAGGTAAGTTAACAGGATTTTTTATAGGTTTTCTTAACTTTTTATCTTAATAAAATCTATTTTGTGACATCATAAAATGTAACCTTTATTTTTAAGTGGGTTTGCAAGCACCACAGGTGTCTGACTGAAAATTGTAATGTTGCAAATGAATGTTATCAGTCTCCCTATAATCATAAAGAGTTTAGAAAAATTCTTTACAATCCCCTTAATAGCTTAAATGGGTGGCAAGATCTGATTGACACTCATTTGATTAAAGCAGACTTTAGAGTTACATGAATAACAGGATTCACAAGTCAATGTTGTTAGCCATATTGATTTTTGTGCTTTTGTTTTTGTTTTCATCCAATGTAGCATTAGATCATGAGTATATACATGTATATCATGATTTTTTTCTGTCTTAGTTGTGATAAAAGCACAGACCACTTCAGTCAGTGATAAAGTTAAAAACAGATTGGAACAACTAGATGATTTTGATGAGGTAAAGATTTGTAGCTATGCTCCTCGGTGCTAGTCTTTCTTTTATTCAACTTGTCCAAAACTATTTAGATATACACCTTGTTTCCCAGTTATTAGTTGGTTGTATTAAAACTAAAAATAACAACATCATATATGATTAAGCATTTCTATAATAATTGAAACTACAGACATTTGACAGAAAATTAGAAGCTATAGGGGGCCCTGATATGACCCAAATATACATAGTAAATTTAGAAAACCTTTTTACAATGAATTTAATTATCCACATGAAAGAAATAAAATAACTTATCATTTCATAATATATTTTTTATCATACTTTTTCAAGCAATACTTTGTTTACTTTGTAGGGCTCAGTACAGCAAATGTTAAATTTGAGTCAACAAGATTATGTTAAGAGAATAGATGAATTAAATCTAGCATTAGTTACTGCCTGGGAAAAAGATCATAGAGTAACAGCATTAAAAATAGCTATTCAGGTATTTTCAGTTTTTTGAACATATCTAATGTTTTCACCTCTTTTTAAATGTGTACACTTTGAATCATTATTCCACATTGGTTGTAATGAAAACTGTGCTTATTTTTCATGTTCAAGTGTAGAAAATTCCAATTTTCAAACTAGCCATCCTTATGAGATATTTTTGATCTTTTCTTTCAGTGTTCTAAGTTATTAGCAGATACATCAGTAATACCATTTTACCCCAGTAAATTTGTACTCATAACAGATATATTAGATACTTTTGGTAATTTCTTTTATACTTTCATCAAATATTCTAAAAGATATATCAATATCTTATTATCTTATATTTGCATGGATAATTATAATTGACAATACATTAGTATAAACTTGTGGTATATGATTGTGTAGGGTTCACCTAATGTAACATTTAGACAAATTCAAACAGCTTAACAAATCAGCAATCAGCAACAGAATAGTGGACTTGTTTCATGTTAAATATATGTCATTAATGAAGTGGACAGTATGATGTTGTAGGTAAATTGGTTTATGATAGATTGAGAGAGAAAGCTCAGTATATACCAGCTGGTAGTGGTGTACCAGTTAGATTACCAGGTAATACTTTTAAACATTAAATCACAACATATAACAATGTAAGATTAGGATTATTGAAAGTAACAATTTAATATCCCAAAGAGAGCACTGACACAGATACATGACCAACAGATATTTTATAGTTCTTGAAATTTGATTCCTTGCTTACAGAGAAATTCACCTCAGATCAAGTACCAGAATCTGCCAAAGAAACTTGTAGAAATTGGTTCTTTAAAATAGCTTCCATCAGGGAATTGATTCCAAGATTTTATGTTGAAGCAGCACTTATTAAAAGTTATAATTTCCTGAAATCTAAGTAAGTAATGATGAAAGTGAAATGAAATAAACTTTTATACCTAATGTTTCTCTGCCAATTTCGGTTAATGAGGTCAGAAACATGAGAAAAGAGAAAATTATGAATGCTATTGGCTACTCGAGAGATCCCATGAACAAAAAAATAATTAAATATTGTTCTGTGTTAAGTGCAGGGTTTATAACACTTTCGTGACCCTGATGTGGTAGAGGAAGTAAAACTACCAATGATCATATCATTCCTTTGGTGACTTTAATTTCACTGAAACTTTATGAATTTGCATGAAGTTTGTGCTAGGTTTATTCAATATATTTTTATCAGAAGATATTATTAAAGGTCATGTTATTTGCAGTGATTATTCTGAAGCATTAAGTAGGTTAGCTTACATGTGTCGTGGTATTGGTGATCCTTTAGTAGCAGCTTATGCTAGATGCTATCTTTGTCGAGTAAGTATGATGTCATTTTCTGCTGCTGAAACTAAAATTATCCAGATATGCTAGAATGATATCAAAATCAAGCAAATATTAGAAGTGTTTTTCAAAAATATCTATTTTTATTGCCTGATAACTTGATATCAATGTCATGTGGGGAACAGACTATAGAAACTTGTGGTTCAAATATGACTTTTTTGCTACAAAGAATTATGTGTATTATAGGTTGGTTTTAAAGTAGCACCAAGTATAACTATACATCTAATGCCATGTTTAGATGATTTTTTAAAGACATTCCCACAGGTAATAATCATTTACTAAACACAATTTCCTTTTTATACCTGATTACAAATTACTTCATTGTATAGTCTGACATGGAAAAGGATACTTTTCTAAGTAAATATATTATTTAGTTTTTGATAGTTTACTTTATACTATTAATTTTATGTACACCAAAAAATCTTGTGGCCTTATTGTAGTCAAATGTTTTCATTATATTTTGGTAATATATTGAAATTATGTTTCAACATTAGAAGTTTGTAACTATTAACATTTATGATGATAATGACTATAAAGAACTCAATGTATATATTATGGTATTACTCACTTCTTTAATAACTCACTTCTTTAAAACTGCTATACTACTTTCTCAGATTCAAGGTGATAGCGTACAGAATATATTAGCCATGCAGAAACTAGAAATGCCCCGATATTTGACGTTATTTTCCCCAGCAGTAGATTGGTTATTACAATGCTGTGCTCACAGAGCTTCAGATAAAGTACTGACACAGATATTAGAGAAATGTAAAGAACAATGTAATAGGTATGTACGTGTCCTATTTATAGCCTATTACAAAGGTATGATTCAAAAGATATGCATAATTATATCTTTACTCAACTCAAATTTTATTTGCGCAAGTGTTGATTTATTTATCCCCGTTTATAACTGTGATGTTATCAAGTATTTGTATGTAATATAATTTGAATGAATTGAAATTAACGTTAGGATTAATGAATAATTATGAATATCTTTCAGTGCCTTATTGGTGAACTCTATAATGTCAGCATTCAATCCACAGTTTATAGCAGCTAGATCTAACCTATTTACTGATATGATCAAAGAATGTGAAGATACAGGATTACCAAAGGTTGGAATCAAACAATTTTACAGTTCATACGAATAGTGCTGTCTGTATTCCTTACCTCTTGGAAATTAGAAGTATATTAGAATATATGCTTTATTTCACTAATGATTATATCACGTCTGTGTCATATAATTCAGATTATCTGCCAAGCTTTGCAAACTAATGATTGGGTTGCTTAATAGCTATGCTAGATCTCCAATAGAAAACATGACTTCCGAGACAAGTTTTGAAGTTACGAATGGTATTAACACTTTGGAAGTCATATTTTTCATATTTCCCAGATGTAATACAGAATTACTTTTCTCAACCTGTATGTTAAAGAAGAACATTCATGAAGAGATTTATAAACAGTAAAAAAAAGAAAAAGTAGAAGGATGTGATAAAGAATTTAATGATGTGTATTATTATATTTTTGTATTCCAGCATCTATTATATAGAACTCATGGTTTATGTTTAGTAATGGCCGACCCACCAGCAGATCAAAAATTAACTGTTTTAAATGATGTGTGGAAAGTTGTTACCAAACTTAAAAATCCTTCTGTAAGTTTCGTTTTTGTGTGAATCAGAACAAGTGCTTGTGTTATGCCTTTAAGTTGGAAAAATATGCAAATGAATTGCTGTATATGTGGCGCATACTGTCTTGAAACAGTTAATACACTCTAGATAAAGACCAATTTTGCTGGTATGGTATACAAAAAAGGGGGAAAAAAGTATTGTATTTCTCAATGCAAAATTCTACGATTAGGATTAAGTTTTGATGTAAAATGTTACATTGAGAATGGCAGTTTCAGACAAAAAAAGTTAATCTGAAGATTGTTTGAGAAACAGAGGCCAGACGGTTTTTACTCTAAATTCAGAATAATCTAAATTTTCCTCTGTTGATGAAATGGGAATAAGGGATTAACAGTTTCTGAATTGAATGTAACTTTGAGTTATTCAAAACTATTTTGACCATTTTTTATTTTTGTAGGAATATATTGGATGTGCTGAAACCTGGATTGAATTCGTTGCTAAAAACTTTGGTGTAAGTTGATATCTTTGTATAATAATGTAGTATTATCACAGCTTAAAAGATTCATCTAGATTTGTCAGATATATACAGAATAACCTTTTCTATGTAATATTCAGTATACACCCTCTGTCTTATTTGGATTGGAATTCAGAATGAAGTATCTGGACTAACAGTATTTAGAAACAACCTTTCTTAGAAGTTTTTGCCCACATTATCCATATCTGTAGGATTTAATATTGGTTTTGATTTTTTTTGTAGAAGCGTGAGATTAATACTATAATTGGTGATATAATAAAACATATGACACCAGATAGAGCTTATGAAGATTATTATCCCCAGTTATTATCAGTAGTATCTAAAATACTTGTACATCAACATGATTTCTCCTTGTTATTTTCTCTTGTAAGTTTTATTTCATTTCTGTTTTTTATTTTTTAGGAATACTTTGTGATATTATAGGGACTTTCTAGTAGTTTTTTAACTTCATGTGCATCGGGGACACTATAGCTTGTTTTTCGATTGCCTGTCAGTTGATAACTGTAATTCTACAACCATCTTTGATGGTTATGTACATAAAAAGAATAAATCAACCCAAGTTCTAAATTAAAATAATAACACAAAATATTTCATCTTCCTTTAATTACCACAAAATGCTTCAAAGCGTTCTGCTTTTTTGTTGCAGGGCTAAATTGAATCTTTATATTTTTTTGTAGGAAAAGTTTATGCCATTTATTGATATGTTTCAAAGAGAAACAGTAAAGGTTGAAGCATGTAAAACAGTAGCTGAATCATTTGATAAGTAAGTTGTACTCTAAATTTCTAAAGTTTTCTAATCTTTTCATGTGTTTAAGGGACACTGATAGCATAGATTTACAATATTCTAGTCAACATTTTTAATCAAACATTTGAAATTCCACTGTAACTACCTTAGATATTATTAGCAGCTTTTGCAATAGTGATGTCATAAATAGCGCTAATAAACATAAAAGAGTTAGAAAACCCCTTTACAATGCTTTTAACAATGTATTAACATGTGTCAGATATAGTGACATTGTCTATATTATTACAGATATCAAGTAGAAAGTACCAATGATCCAGTTGTTATTAATGCTATGATGTTTATATGTAAAACTATGCATGATTCTGTGAAGTAAGTTTTGAATATACTTTCAGTTGTATTTTGTCTTATGTTGCAAATAAAGAATATATTTTACAAAATACGTTAGAGATCTAAATTTGTATATTTATGCACATGAGTGTCACCTGTGCAACATACAATGTAATGTGTTGCCAGAGTACAAAATATTATATAGATATGATTATTTTTCAGTGCTCTAACATTAGAAGATGAGAAAAGAGTAATATCAAATATGATCTGTGGTTTTATAAGACAGATATTATTTGGTAGAGATTTTGAACAACAACTCAGTTTCTATGTTGAAGCTAGATCTAATTTTAGTAATTTAGATACTGTTTTGATTCAACTTATTCAAGTATAGTAAAGCTTATTATAATTTATATACCTTTCAACCTTCACAGGGGTCCCAAAATCAACTCAGGATTAGATCAAGTTGGTAAATTAAGAAAGTGAATTTGGACTACCTTAGTCTACTAACATTCCTTTTGTGAGTGATACTTCTCATATGGGAGTCAATTTAAATTTTAATCCTTCAATGGTATATCAGAAGCACAAGTTATAGATAAATAAGACAATTATTATGGATAGATACTTCTAGAATATTTCTTACTTTCAATGTTTCAATGTGGTTATCACACCATCATCATGAATATAGTATTTTTTGTTATTTTCTATTATAGAGTGTTAATAAGTTATCAATGGATACAAGACAAGTTGTAAAAGGCAATCATTCCAGAAAAACAGCAGCTTTTGTTAGGGTAATTATTATATTATTTCTATACAAAAGTTTCACTATTCCAGTCTTTTAGCTGCAATGGCTTGATGAGGTTTTTTTCATCAAAGAATAAGTGAAGTTTTCATGCATGAAGAGTTTTATGTTCATTAGTCCATCTGTATTCTGGGATCGCAGCAAAGGTCGTCACTCTCATCATCTGTTATGTCCCAATGATGCAGATCTTATTATATTGTGTACTTATTCCCTGTTAGCCGATACAGCATTTGAGTATTCTTTAATTGACATTTAAAAACTGAATGATTTTTCGTGCATCTCACTTTCAAAGAAGAAATAAAATAATGAGTTGTATTAGATAAATACTGAGTAGATTTTGATTACTGAGTTGAATTCTTTAATCAGCAATGAAACAGTGGTATTTGATACATCTTACTTTTTTCTAGTCAACTGCCTTAAGAAAATTTCATCCAATCTAATTTAGAATCTAACCCACTTTTTCATCCAATCAACATTGCCTAAATTTTCTATAAAGTGGATCATATTTAATTGTTAATCATGTCACAATCACATAATATTTTGAATAGTGGTCAATACTAGCATTCTGCGATTACTGTAACAGAAAGGATCTAACCAAAAGTCACTATTAATTTTTTACTGTTTCGTTGGTCAAGATTTCTGAACTCTATTCTTTAGTCAGTTTTCATGTGATTGGAATGAATCTGAATATATGTATGCTCATGTTATTATTCAAGGCTTTACACCAGTAAAATTGTATCAAAATTTCAGATTTTGAGGTGAAAAGTTGTGTATTTAGATGTTTATGTCTCTCATGCTGAGAAAGCTATCTCTGATTATTTATTGTTCATTTATCTTTGTAGGCTTGTGCTGCATATTGCTTTATAACAATACCATCTTTACAGTCTGTATATTCTCAGTTACAATTGTATTTGATATCAGGTCAAGTAGCATTGTTAAACCAGTGTTATTCACAAGGTAGGCAACTCTTGTCACTCAAAGGGAGCTCTTGATTGGTGAGTTCTGCTCAATTGGGATTCTTTAGACTACCTGAACCTTCTGAAGTTGGCTCATTGTCAAATTGTATATTTGAAGAAGTTTTGTTTATTAGACTATGTCTCACACATTGTTAGTATCTTTAATTATATGTGTATAATTATTTATCTACAGGTGATGCATTCTTTAAGGCAGCCATTTCTCTGATTCCTGATTTACCTAAACAGATGGAAATAGATGGTAAAACACGAGCTACAGAACCCATTTTAATTGATTATATACTCAATTTTATATCTACTATACTAACCATCCCAGTAAGTTATCTTTTATACTGAATTATTTTCAATTTCAGTTTATTATTAGTACCGGTATGTAAAATTCTTGTGTCAGTCTTTTACATGCTTCGTCTCACATGCAGCAATTGATTGGCTTGTAAGACAGTCAGAGAGAGAAAGACTTAAACATTATAGCTTATTGTCTATAGATTTTTCCTTGGAGAAATCTGATTGGCTGAAATTGGGAGTGTACAATCCAATCAAATTGCTTATTTAGTGACCATTGCAATCAAGGTATAAGATAAAGTTTGTAATAACTTGACATTGTGAAGATGGTATATATATATACATCAAGGCTGATCCCTGAATTTTGCAACCTTGGACCTGACAGTGTCATACATTAAAACACCTTATTGTCTAGCAACAATCAGTCACTACTGCCTGTGTCACCAAACAACCATTTTTTACTGTGAATAATTTTATTGATTTAGATGTTGATTTAGGCTTGTTATATTTCCTTTGCATCAAATGGGTTTCTTACTTCAAGAGATTCGATTTAATGACATCCACATGACATAGACATGACATTCAATGACAGTGATCCATTGACATAGCTATTACCTGAGCCATGACATCCAATGACACAACTATTGACTGATTCATGTCATCAAATGACATATCTATTAACTGTGCCATGACATGAAATGACATAGCTATTAACTGAGTCAGGACATGAAATGACATAGCTATTAAGTAAGTCATGACATCCAATGACACAACTATTAACTGAGTCATGTCATCAAGTGACATATCTATTAACTGTGCCATGACATCCAATGAAATGGCTATTAATTAAGTCATGACATGAAATGAAATGGCTATTAACTGTGTGATGACATGAAATGAAAAGCTATTAACTGAGTCATAACATGAAATGACATAGCTATTAACTAAATCATGACATGAAATGACATAGCTATTAACTAAGTCATGACATGAAATGACATAGCTGTTAACTAAGTCATTATATCCAATGACAACTATTATTCAGTCATGAAATCCAATGATTTAGCTGTCAAGTAAGTCATGACATCCTATGATATAGTTATTAACTGTAATGAAAACCTTTCCTTGACTAGTGATAGATACAAAGTTATTGCCTCCTTTGCTGCAGATTCAACTAACCACTTACCTATACTGATACAATACAATGCAATATGATATTATTGTATTCGTTACGACTGGCAAGTGAAAAGTTTTTACCGGAAAGTATTAATTTTCACTTGGTTTATAACTTCATATTCACTCTGTAGATAAATCTACCATATTGCTGTATTAATAATATCACATATGAACTGTTTATTATGTTATTGAGATTGGTTGAATAATTCTGTTGAATTACGAATACAAAAAATTTGATTAATCCAGATATACCCAGATATTGTATACTGGGAAATGCAAATTCCCACATGATTTTAGTGGTTCTAAATCTTATTTCGTACTATGAAACTTCTTATCTTTCCAAGAGCTTAAAGGGACAGGTGCGCCATTTTGGAGGATTGATTTTAGTTTTGAATATATGTAAATAAAATAGTCTTCAGAAGTACTAGAAATGTATGAAATTTGCATAATTCCATTGAAATATCTTAAACTAGGAATTTTACTCACTATTTCTTGACATGTCTTTTCTATATATCACAGAGTGAGTCATCATTTTGACTTTCAGACTAATGATAGTTCTGGACACACATGGATCAAGGCTCAAATTGATTGACTTAGCTAAAAAAAAATTTTGAGACTTGGGTACAATTGGTCAAAAAAATGGAGCACCTTTTCCCTTGAAGAATGCATAAGACTTATTGTTTATTGTAGGATAACCCTGAAGCTGGGGTTATGTACATGTTAAAAGGATTATTAAATGTATTACAAGATTATACATGGGATAATAGTAGTGATGCTAAAGCTGTTGTTTATATTCGAGTATTAGCTCTATTGTCTGCAGCCAGCCAGGAATCTTATATATACCACATAGATAAAGGTAAAGTTCCTTGTTATTTTGTTATGGCAAAGCCATGCCAGGTTTTCAGAGTGAACTAAAAACAGTTATTGTTTCAGTTGAATAGTTTATACCTTACTGAAGGTTGGAGGTGAGGTTTCATAAATAGCTCCATTTTGACCCAATTTTCGTCTGCAAATTTAAGAGGCTGTCTTGGAAGAATTTTTCTTCTTAATCTATGCAGTATTCTTAACAATTTGCCTTCTTTCTATTATAGTTGATTCCAATGATAAGATGTATGGTAGTGATCCTAAATATATCAACGAATTAAAAGGAATGGCTGACACTTTAATTAATGAGATATTGTCTCATTTAAAAACCCTTGCAACACCAGAGGTAAAAACTTTAATTAAGCTGAAATTTAAGGTCATTAGACAGCTTCAACCAAACTAATGGTGGCTATGACTTGTGGCCTTGGATTGCAGGTAAAAAATTCTGGTGTCCATGAATAAGTCATCTTTCCCTATTGTCCCATGAAGCAGAAAAGGAATTATAAATAATGGATTAATGCCAAATATACCAAACCAAATACTTGTATTACATTATACTAGTCATGATAGTGTATATTTTGTTATATACTTTTTTTCTATTATTCTATTTAGCTTGGTAAAAGACAGAGTTCTATAGCGTTAGAATTAGTCAATACTATAATAGCACATGGAGATATTACTAATAAAAGTATGAATACATTATTTGTTAATTTATGGTCATTAACTCAGAAATATTCTTCTGCTTCATCAAAACAATTAGTAAGTACTTTCTCTTTTCTTGAATTTAGAGTTACCAATTTGTAGAAAGAATAATATTATCATTCTTGCTTTGCACTACTGCCATTTAAAAATACAAAGACAGTTTGAATGGGAAGAGTGTAATAAAATGCTTTTATTTGTTATATTTATACTAAAATTTTGAAAGGTAAAGCCTCTATGGTAGTGCTCTATTGGTGAGTTCACCAGTGTTCAATAAAACAAGCTGGAACAGGGTTCAGAAAGTGTTCCATGTGTGCCATAGGTGCAGACAGAATTCAAATTTAAATGTGACATCTGCTTCCATACCATATGATTGAGACCAGAATTGGAAATAACAGAACCTGTTCTGAACTCTCCAATTGAGTGCCACCTATGTTTTAATCTAGATCTCAATTTTTCCTTATTTTAAGAGACCCAAAATGTCCATAAACATGTAAGCTGATATGATGGAGGATTGTCCCTCTTTAGGTGAATTCTTACAAAGTTTGTGATATTTATTTGTGGTTTGTTTCCATTTGTAGACTAGATTGTTAAATTATATCAAGAAAAAAGGGGAGAAAGAAGACAACAGAGATTATAAAGATTTGGGTAATAAGTTAAAAGTTGAAAGTTAAAATTTGATTCAAATTAAATGGATGAATATCAAACCATGTGTCATAGCTTAAAATTTTCTATTTTTGTATTGTTATTGATTAGCGGAAACCAAAGTGCAATAGTTATTGTTATTATTGATATGATTATTATTATGTAGAAACAACCATGTATAACGAGCCTCTAAAATAAAGCTGAAATTGTTAAATATGTTGGTTTGGGATTAGTAGAAGATCATTTTTCTACAAGAGACTTTAATGCCTTATCTCATTGTTCAGACTGAACTCAGATTGAAGCCTAATCAATGCAATATTTTGCACCTAACCAGTATCTGTTCTTCATATTTTCTCACAGTTAATATCTTCAACCAATAATTTCAATCTGATCACAGAGACGCCCATTGTACCCAGCACAATTCATTTGCTTGTTTGATATGTTATTGTTATTGTGTATCCAATAGTTTTAACTTTATCTCAATGTCAATCAAGTATGATGAAGCCTAGCTCAATTCTCTATGATTATGTAAGGATTGCATATAGGCATATAGCTCCTTGAGATGATATCCAACTTATTAACTTTGAAATTACACTTTCATTGCTGTAATTATACCGATGGGGAGATATCTATTGATAAATAAGTAAAGCTTTTAATGAAAATATAGTTTATAAGTCTATTGCAAATATTACACAGATATTAAAGTTAATATTCTGAATGTTCAACGTCATCATCATCTTCATAATCTAATGATTCAGCTGCTACCTCATCATAATCTTTCTCAAGAGCAGCTAAATCTTCTCTAGCTTCAGCAAATTCACCTTCTTCCATACCTTCACCAACATACCAATGGACAAAGGCTCTCTTAGCATACATTAGATCGAATTTATGATCTAATCTATTCCATGCCTCTGAAATAGCTGTTGTGTTGCTCAGCATACAAACAGCTCTGGGGACCTTGGCTAAATCACCACCAACAACAACAGATGGCGGTTGGTAATTGATACCAACTTTAAATCCTGTTGGACACCAGTCTACAAACTGTATTGAACGCTTAGTTTTAATATTAGCTATAGCCGCACTAACATCTTTTGGTACGACGTCACCCCTGAACAACATACAGCAAGACATGTATTTGCCATTCCTTGGATCACATTTTACCATTTGGTTTGCTGGTTCAAAACAAGCATTACTCAATTCACTCACTGTCAGTTGCTCTTTGTAGGCTTTCTCGGAAGATATGATAGGAGCATACGTGGCGACTGGAAAATGAATTCTCGGATACGGCACCAAGTTGGTTTGAAATTCCGTTAGATCTACGTTCAGACATCCATCAAAACGTAACGAGGCAGTGATTGAACTCACAATTTGGCTGATCAATCGATTGAGATTTGTGTAAGATGGCCGTTCAACGTTTAAGTTCCTTCTACATAAATCGTAAATAGCTTCATTATCGACGAGAAAAGAACAATCGGAGTGCTCAAGGGTTGTATGTGTGGTCAACACAGCATTGTATGGTTCCACTACAGCAGTACAGATTTGTGGTGCAGGATATATAGAGAACTCCAACTTAGATTTCTTGCCATAATCAACAGAAAGTCTTTCCATCAACAATGAACTGAAACCAGATCCAGTGCCTCCACCAAAACTATGAAATATCAGGAATCCTTGAAGTCCACGGCAATTTTCAGAAAGCTTTCTGATCCTGTCCAGGACTTCGTCTATCAACTCTCTACCTATGGTGTAGTGACCACGCGCATAGTTATTAGCAGCATCTTCATTACCAGTGATCAGTTGATCTGGATGAAATAGTTGTCGGTATTCACCTGTACGAATTTCGTCTGAAAATAGAAGATAGATTTAGGTTTAAAATTTGAATTCATTCCTAGATCTTAACATATAGCCTTCAGTTTTGTAAATAGATGTTTCACGATACGCATAACGTTGACGATGATGAAGATGATCATTACAGATTTAAGGGAAATGAGAGCCAGATAATGAACTAATTGTCATTTTCAAATGGACTAAATTTCTTTTTCTGTATAGGACATCGTGCGTAGTACCTACCAATAACAGTAGGTTCTAAATCAACAAATACTGCTCTTGGAACACGTCTGCCAGCAGCACCTTCACTATAAAAAGTATCGTAGGCCTCCTGAAATCCTCCAGTTTTCAGCTGATCATCTGGAATTTCACCATTTGGTTTGATGCCGTGTTCTAAACAATACAGTTCCCAGCATGAATTGCCGATTTGGACACCAGCTTGACCTACGTGGATACTTATTACTTCACGCTGAAAAAAAGATCATGATATCATTGAAGGTGGCAAAAAAATGGTACTGCGAGCAAAAATGGTATGAACTCGACTATTCTTGCACTCTTCAGGACATCTGGTATCACCACATTGGTGCCTAAAACCGGATGGTTGGAAAGATTCAAATCAGAGGATGGTAGCATTATTGTTGTACGGATTTTGCTGCAGTTTCAGCGAGACATGTTGCCGTACTCCTGGAGCACAGTTTGCACCAAATATGCTGGTGACAACGTACAAATTTTGCGGCTTTAGTATATCAATGGCACTTTTAACAGGTGTCAGAGTTTTTTGTGCCATGTTAAGGAACATCTTGATGAAACGACATCTTCCCAATTTCCGTTGCCTAGGGACCCATAAAAAAATTAGTCTTTAGAAAAACATATTTACCATGATTGTGTTTAATCAGAAAAGTTGTTAGATATTTGAAATAATGAAATTCTCACACTGACAATAATGTGTCTGTTGTGAGTTAGAAATTATATCTATATGACCTATTGTACCTGGCGTTTCCTTTAATATTTCTAATCAATGTTCAAATTTACTGATAACATCCCCGTGACTTGTATTAATACGTGGACATTTTCAGAAGTACAAGGTCGTAGTGTAATGGCGGCAAACGCATTAGCACTTTTAAATCCACAACCAAACTATAGAAGTGTCTCTTAATTCAAATCCATTCAGACCCCCCATAGCCTCACTTTAACATTGATTGCGTTCCGGACTTGTAATGATTCGTTACAAAATACTATACGAGGATTCCGTTTGTTTGTGCATTATCCAAAAACATAATATGACCTCATCAAACAATCGTGTGTAACCAGGTTGTGATTCCTTAAAGGGATACATTCCAATAATATTTATTGATCAGCTGACGGAGCCCAATTTCATGTATCGTACCACTTTTCAAAATTAAAATCGGTTCTCTTACAATTCTTCATAAACGAACCTTGATAGTTAAATATTTATCTCTGTTATCTCTGTTATGTCTGTATCCCTTTGAGGCAATTATACCATTAAATGTTCGCTTCAAATGTCCAATACCGTACCACCTTTCGATCCTTTCTCAAATCTCTCAACTAGGCAAAGCCCTTTAAACTTTTTAAATTTTGGGATTCAATTATCTATTAAAATATTAATGTCAAGCCGCCCATTTGATACATTGTGTTTTTGTAATACAAGATCAAAACAGGAAGTTGAATTGTGGCATTTTTATGTATACAGAAAAGCTGTAAACTAAGATTCGTTTACCATACCAGATATATCTGATGTCAGTAATATTAAAATTTTTTAAAGTTTTTTTTTTAAAAGGTTTTAACCTATGTGTAAAATACACTGTATAAAATTTTTTTTCTAATGATTAAGGCAATCAAATTAGAACAAATTAAAGTCAGCAGTGTGGCATTATTCAAGTCATTTCCCCATCACGATAATACAATTTCTGTTTTCTCCATCTCCATCTCCGCGCGGCTGTTATATCAAAGTATGAATGAATCTCCCTTTATGAATCAAATCGTTAACGAGTTTTGACCTCATGTGAAACAGTGATTTTACGTCAAATATGTCTGTTATTTGAAATGCACATTGAAATACATTATTGAAAAAATGACTTGAAAAAATTGCATGTTTTTGATTGTTAATTCCATGATTCATTGATCGTTTTTTACGTGGCCCACGGCTTACTCGCATCCCCCAAATGCGGCCCGCCGTTGCGGAAAGTTGCACAGGCCTGTGTTTGACTATCGTCCTTTAAAGTATGCAAGAAATGTTCAAATCCCATGCAACGTCTTTTGAAAGCAATATGATAATGAGGGTTTATTACAAAAACTATGAATAATAGTTATATATGATAGTAATAGCAGTAATTTGAGCCTTCAAATCCACGTGCGTGTCTAGAATTATCTGCGTTTGAATGTTAATATGGCGAATCATCAATTTAAGATATACTCTGTGATATATAGAAAAGACATATAGATATAGTGAGTAAAATTCCTAGTTTGAGATATTTCAATGGAATTATGCAAATTTCTAGTACTTCTGAAGACTATTTACATATATTCAAGACTTAAATCAACCCCCCATGTGTGACGAAGTATATATTTTTAGAATATGATACATATCTAACTATTTTAATTGTGGCAATTATATTATATAACCCTATAATTCATATATGTGTTGTTTCCCATCCCCTTCGACATATCTTGACACGCGAGAATATCGTTCTTGATAAACATTTCTTTAACAAGTTCTTGTCATACTCGAATAAGGAGGTATATTGATAACAATATTATCATTTAAGTTCTTATTTTTTGAATATGCAACTATCATTTTCTGCTTATAGACATGGGGGAATTTCTCTTGAAGGCTCTTATAGTGGGCTTGCTCGATTGCTGGTTGTATTGAACGGGACAACAAAGGGTACATTATGGTGTATACTTAGTCCTATAGGTCTTGCTGTATTCAATGTCTCAATCCAATGGGCTTCCCTAGATTGACGGAATTTGGTAGTTTCATCTTCAGGCAAGTCAATTTCTGTACGCTCAGTTGGGATTAGGGTGAAGTCTATTGAATGGTCGTCGAGGTTGAAAAAAACTTAACGTTCCCATATCGCTCCTCGTGGATTTAATATAGGGCCTAAAGGCTATATACTCTGTAGAAACTAAATTTCGGAATGTTAATATTAAAATCCCACCCCATCCCAGATATTAGGCTGAGATCGCCACCAGGTTTCAATTTGAGTTCTTGCATGTATAAGGTCCTACCCCCGCTCCTTGACAATTGCGTGGCCCTCCCCTCACTGGGCTTCTCAGCCTTATGATTCATAGAAACACCACTGTTCTCTACACTTTTTTGAAAGTAGGCCTATGTTCGTTATAATGACTCACTAGGGTATTAGGGTACACAATTGTCACTATATGAATAAAGACTTTATTGTGATACCATTTCAACTGATTCTTTCAAATATATGGATCATTATATTAAGATCAATAGGATATTTCCTAGACACCCGAATTGTTACCCTGAACATAAATTTTAACACCAGGAAAATAACTCATTGAAAATGTATATTTCGAATTTAAAAATGACTTTGAAGACGTTGCTGTGTAGGCCCTTAATCTGAAATCATTATAGACACAGATTTTTCATATTTGTCAATGATCTCGTGATGTCGACCATAGAACATTTAAAGGGAGACTTTTGATTTTCTAGGTAATATGTTTGATTGGTCAAAATAACCTTAATTTAAAAGATTGAAGGGGTACATACATCATCGTGAAAGATTCCACGGTAAACAAGAAAACATGTTGATTTGTTTGGAAGTACTTTACTCAATAATGTTGAAATATAAAAACAAACTTATTTGATAAAAATCAAATCAAAAACCAAAAAAAAATTCTTTCAAGCATGAATAACTTTTACTTTCTTGTCTTCATCGCATTTATTGGATATCTCATATCTCAACTTTGACCAACATAGGAAGTCGTCACGCTTTATCAATTGTTCGTGTTTAATATAAGTTTTTAGAGATTCTTGTTGAATATCGTCCAAATTAATATTATTAGAACACAAGAAAACAATGATTTTTCTCTTGTTCTCTTCACACATATTTTGGTGCGCTTGATCAAATTCTTCTATACACCATCCACCATGTAAATAACTTTCATCTAAAATAATCAGAATTTTACGACTTGTGGCTATATTTTCTACCATAACATCAATTCTGCAGTCATTAGCGGGATTATTTCGAGGCGGATAATACACTTTTAGTCCATATTTGTCTAATTTTTTCAATAAATTGTCTCTTATCCATAACCTTGTATCCGTACTTTCCACATTAGAAGATATGTACACATCATACTTATATAAGGCCTTTTCAGACTTGTCCAAATTCGTATGACTTTTACTGGCGATTTCAAGAATGTGAGATAGGATGACTTTTGTTTCGTATATCCACTTATGATACACGAGGACCGCGAATACTACTATTGCAAAAATTGGAATTAATATTGAGCACAATAATATAGCTAAATCTGTATAACAATGGAGACTATTGTATGTTACATCTTTTATATAATGTTTATCATTTTTAATAGTACATGTATAATTGTTATGTTTAGCGTGGAGTCGTATCCAGTCGTTGAACCACAGAAAGTCACAATTACACTCTAATGGATTATTATCAAAATAAAGGTTATTGTAGTGGATATTTTGTATGGCATTCGGTAAAGACTTGAACATATTATTTCCTATATCCAGACTTAAATTAGAGTGTGCATGTTTGAGGAACTTTGATTCAATTTTATCGATGACATTATTTGATATGTTCAGATATATGATATTCTGAGTATAGTTAGTCCATATAATGTTGTTTATTTTATTATGTGATAGGTCCATCATAAGATTTACTCTTGAATTTGGTGAACATTTTGATACTCTGGGTAGATTTAAAGGCATGGTCAATTGATTTGTATGACTACAATCTATCAAAATAAGCCTATCATCTGGTCTATCTTCACAAAAACATCTATCTGGACAATTATATGTAATGTTACACACTAAAACTTGCGGATTATCAACTAAATACGTAAATGATTTACCAGCAAGTAAAGGAGGAGATGCACAATTAATTCCAGCCAGTAGTGGGTGTGTACGTAAAAAACTGTCGACGAAACTCCTTACAAATGGATACATTTCACAATCACATATCCATGGATTGTATCGTATATCAATATTTAAATGAGCCAAATTATATTCAGTGAAGTCATTACTAGGTTTAAATAGAACTTTGAAACTATCCATTCTAAGTCGACTCAAATTATTGAAATTCAAGTCAACGCTGAAAGGCTGTTCATGTCCGACATAGTATTTCATTTTGTTTGAAAAGTCACGAATATTATTATGAGAGAAATTAAACACATATCCATCGATTGGTTTAGAGATTGTTTGATTTGTACTGTAAGGCCATGGTTCAAAATATTCCAATTTATTATAGGAGATATTCACATGTCTTAAACTATTTAAACCTTCGTAAAACAGTTCATATCCCATAGTTTTGATTTTATTATGAGATACGTCAAAAAACGTTAACCCTAATAGGCTGATATCTTTAGAGCCCAATAGTCCAGATGGCAAATTTTCCAAATTATTATAACTTATATCTAAGGTCCGTAAACAATAATTGTGTATAAAAGTGTCAGGGTGTAATGAAGTTAAGTTATTGTTTGAAATATTCAAACTTCGCACTTGAGGTAGATGTTGAAAAATATCTGACGGTAGATTCTCTATGTTATTATAGCTTATATCCAGTTTGATAATCGTGTGTCCAACACCGGATTCCTTTATCATCCTACTGATATCTTTTATATCCGTCAAATTTCTATTTGATAGATCCAAATAGATCCGATTTGATTCCACAATAGATTTGAGTTTTGTCACATCATTCACAAGAATATCTGTATAATCATCATATACACACGATGTATCAATTTGATAAAAACAACAGAAGAAAACAGTTAAACTGAGAGTACACAGTGATGTCATGATTCACGATCTATGTCATTAAACTAAACGACTTGAATTTCACAATCCGGGGTGTATAGTCTACACATACTTTGAACTATCTAATCTTGTTATTCACACAGCAACACATTTTGATATTATAAGTATTGTTGATAGTTTTTAACAATGATATATCCACTTTCAAATTCTAATCTTGTAAGCCATTCAATTTTTATAAAAGCCCTATCAATAAGTGATGTTTAACAAAACCAACTGCTATTTGTTCGAAATAAAACTAAATGTATATTTATTTTACTTCCTTGATTCTCTAAACCAATTCTCATAACGAAAATTAAACAAATATGGGATCCCAAATTTCTCCCTATCAATGAATTGATTTAGAATCAAGTTCAACCGAATCTTATTAGTTTCTCTGGAAATGGTTTTAAATTAGATATAGCCTATCTCTGCACACGCTACAATTATGTTTCATTTTATTGCATGGAATTAAATATTTCTGCTATTACTTGCTCTGATAGAGCTTATTTTCACCAAGCCGAAGCCAATTTCAGAAATAAACACCTGCAAACCAATCAATCCATCTGAAATCCATCAAAATACAAATAGGCTAAGCATCAGATTAGACTTGGTCGTTATCAATTATCGTGAAAATTTTATCAATGTATTGAACACCAAATTTCATGAGATACAATAAAAAACACAAGTCAATATTGGACACATTGTTAACCGGATTGATGTTTCCATGGTACCCGGGTAGGTAGGTTAAAGTGTAGGCCTAGGCATACTCATGCAAATCCCTATATTTATGTATAGGGCCTACTTAAGCCGTAAAATTGCGTCATGAATTTTTTCAGGTATGCCCACTTTGTGAGACTAAGATACATGGAACCTACAGCGACCGTTCCTTATTCGTCTAATCAATTGCAGATGTAAAATCTGCAGATAGCTTAAAAAAGTTATCGTTTCATCATAATGTTCATAAGTAAAAATTGATTAAAGGGAGAATACTCTTATTTGAAATCAACATATCAGTGGCTTGGTTACAGAAACTAGAGTAACCCACGAGTCACAAACTCGGCGATATTTCTATTGTGGCTTCCAGATTTCTTAAGAATGCTGTTTGGATTTCATTAAGAATGAACATTTTTTGGGAAACATAAAAATCCTGCGAAACTGTGTCTGAGAGTTGTTTGCTGAATCCAACATGGCTACCCACATGTCAAATTAAATTACTGCGCTCTTTTTTGTAAGCATTCTACCGTTATATCTATTTTTCCTATAATTATGCCAGGTGTCAAATCCTTACATCTCAGATGGAGGCTTTAGTGATTTACACCTTATACTTTTACCTATTGAATCTCATTCAAAATGCTTATTTATGTCTATGAATACCATGACCTTTTATCTTCCTGAGATGAGGACATTCTATTGTCATTGATGAAATGAATTCCGAGATTTGTTCTTGTGTTACATGCCCTTCTCAAACTTCAAAATTAAAGTCTATGCAATCTTTCCTTCATGGTATTTCCCAAAGCCTTGGGCTTGAACCCAATTAATTCTACCTCGTGTCTTCTTAATTCTATAGATGTAATAAAGGACGGTATGTCTGCAGTTCAATGAAAATCCATCTTGGTATTTGCTAATAAAATTTTCAGTTGAAATGGGCCCAAAAATCAACCCTTTCCAAATGTATCAATATTCAAACCTGTTCAGACTCAGCACTATTGCAGTAAATAGGAAATAAGTTTCAGTTTTAACTTTCATGTGGACACTTGTTTATTTTATGTACAAATAAAAGCAAATGGCTCTGTCCAGACTAATAATTAACAATATTATTCATCAATTCTACAGTCTGATCTACTTCTTTTTATACCATCCCTTATTTTTACTGAATGTGTGAATTCCAGATATGAAAATGTTGGGTAGTGCAGTTAAAGTGGCAGTACTGTTGGCTTCAACTACAGTAGCAGTACCATATACAGTAGCTGTCCTGTGTAACTTGATGTATGGTTGGCCACAAACCAAAAATAAATACAGAAGAGCTCTCAATCCTAAAAAAGTTTTCAAACTAAACTACGCTGTCCTGCAAAAATTTCTTTTGTTACGCTATGCACCTCTATACTTCCGATGGAAACAATATTATCGAAAAACTCATGGTCCTGAATTGATCAAGGTAATTGCTAATTACAGTTTTTCTTTTCAGATCATATATTTTCAGCATTTTTTTACACTATCTGCTTATTGAAAGATATAGAGTTGTTTTGCTCTACCAGAGATCATTTTCAGCTATTTGTAACACTTTTCACATTGAGACATCTGGTTAATCTGCAATTACAAAATCATTCTGAATAGAGGTGGTAACTGTTTAAGTATCAAAGTTGTTATTAACATCTTATTTATCTGCTATATTTTTCAGAACTTGGTATTTGGAAGAAATGATAATACTATGGATTTATATCAACCTAAATCTTCAAGAAAAGAGGAAAAGTCAGTGGTAATATTTATTTACGGAGGTGCTTGGGGTTCAGGAGATAAACATATGTATAGTTTATTATGTAATCAACTAGCTAATAAACTAGAAAGTGTTGTTTGCTGTCCAAATTATTCTACTTATCCTAGAGTAAGTACTAGTGCATCCTACATCCACATATCATTTATGATTTGTGATTCATTTAGTCAGGCAATCTGAGGAAGTGAATTTTAATCAATGAACACAGTTTTTTCATAAAAGAAGTGTCAGCTGTACTTGTGTATTATTTCTCATTTAAAAGAAAGGCGAATCTTTAAAGTGATGGGCCTGTGCCTAAAGAAGATTTTGCCATGTTTTAAAGGGACAGGTTGGTCATTCTATTTGACCAATCATACTTTAGTCTCAGAAATAGGAATTTTTTAGTTAAGCCAATAGTGTTCACAGCTCACTGTCAAAATTTGAGCCTTTTAATCCATGTGTGTCCAGAATTTTCTGCGTTTGAATGTTAAAATGACGACTCGTCAATTTAAGATACTCTGATACATAGAAAAGACATATATAGAAATAGTGAGTTATTCCTAGTATTTGATTTTTGTACATATCTAGTAACTTCTTACATATATTCAAGACTTGAATCAACCACCCAAAATGGGGTACCTGTCCGTTTAAGCTAAGCTACAGGCTTTCAAAAGGATGCCTGCTAGATTTTTGTCATAAACCAAATATTGACATGTTATTCAAATTTTGTTAAAAGCTTCATGTTTTGATTCTGTAGGGTTACGTTGATGATATGATACAAGATGTAGTAGACTGTATATCATGGGTATATGAAAATATTCATGATTATGGTGGTGATAAGGTAAGTGTTGTCTAATACTTGTTTATGTGACTGTTATGTTCATTCTTTGTCACAGTATAGATTTCTAATATGGTCACACAGTTTACAATTGAAAGCTAAAGCATTTTTTTTTCAAAGAGTACATTATGATTGTAATGCTGATCTCCTCAGCAAAGGTTGGGTCATAAATAATTGAAAGAATATTCTAAAAATGTTTGAAGATATCACCCTGGTATTTTGTATAATAATTTAATTTTGGGATGAAAGTAATTGACTAGATACTTTTACTTTCAGGATAAGATTTTACTAATAGGACACTCATCTGGAGCTCATCTTGGTGCAATGGCTATTTTAGAATTATTACACGACGAAAGAGTATCAGCTTATCCTTATACCAACCAGGCTATAACATTCGATGACACACATTACAATGGTGGTAATAATGATGGTAGCTCTGGATCTTCAGAGTCATTTGCTGTTGTCAGTGATAATGGTGAACCAAACCAGGCCTTAGAAAGTAGCACAGCATCGGGAACATTTGAAGTGTTAAAGTCTGAAGTGAATGATAGTGGGGATGCTGGACCTAGTAGCGATGTAAAAGATGATGAATCTGGTACCAGCTCAGAAATTCAAGATAATGTTAATGATAATGCAGTAGTAGATAATGATGATAATGGCGTTATTGAAGTAGGTGATGAAGATGATGATGAAAGTGGTGATAATGATTCAGTTGTTACTGTTAAACCTAAAGATATTGAACGACAACCAACACATATTGATTTATGCAAATCTATTAAAGGCTTTATAGGTAAACTTGCACAATTTAGAATAAAAAAAAAATCTTAGTGATTGCAGAATATCTGCATCATTCCATCAAAAGATCAGTCAGTGTGCACCTTGATTTAGGCTCTTTACTTCATTAATCTGTATTGTATTAACTTCAATTTACATGTTTCAATAAATATGTTAAAATGAAATGTTTTACAACTTCAGGGTTAGCTGGTGTATATCATATTAAAGATCATTTTCTACATGAATCAAGTAGAGGTATTGAAGATATATCTAGTATGGGACAAGCTATGTATGGTGAAGGCCATTTTGATAGATTCTCTCCTACAGTTATTTTAGCTAATCTTCAACATAGTATTAGGTAAGTCTTCAAGTAATGTTTACAATTTCTTTTTTTGATTGAAATTTTGTTGACAACTGGCTGGTTTGTACAGTTTTAGAAATGTTTGGAAATGAACTTCTCTGGCACTGTTGGAACTCTTAAGAAGACATAGTAATATCTAACATTAGATGGTTATTGAATTAAGAAAGGATTTTATATCAGACATCATTTTCTCATTTATATCAAACAAATGGTAGTCGTTGGTTCTAATCTTGGTGGACGTGTGAAAGATTGGTGACCTTGAACAAGTCATCCTTCTACATTACTCCAGTCGACCAAGGTATGAATGAGCACAGATACTCAGGGAGAAATCAATCACCAAAGGTTTGACCAGCTGGTGGAAAAATTCCTCGAAAACTTAAGTTATTATCTTTGTCAAAAATTTGGGATTCAATCCCCTTTTTTTAAATGATACATATGATTTTGTTACTTTGTTTTTTTTAGTTTACCTAAATTAGTTTTAGTTCACGGAAGTGATGATTTTGTTGTGCCGTTAACGTCAACAAGTAAATTTGGTGAAGTATTAAGTGAGGTATATGCCGATGTGACAGTATGTGTTGTACCAGATTGTGATCATTATTCTGTGTGTTTAGACTTAATGCTTCCCACAAGGAGGTACTATGATCAAGTTATGGGAATTATAATGGAAACACACAATAAACTATTTCCACAAACTTAATACATAACTTGTATAGATGCTGTATATTTTCAGAGATGTTATTTTTAAGTGTGAATAGATTGCATTCATGTTCAACATGTAGGAAATATTTTAAGCTCACTTTATTTTTATTGATTATTGAAATGCTTTATAGTATATTGTTGTACCAAGTGACCTTGCCTCATTATTCTAGTGCTACATGAAAACAATTCACAAACTTGTTCTAATTTCTAATTATGATGATTTGTGTATATAAATAAACATCTGTTTTGATTTCACAAACTTTGATTTTCACTTAAAGGTATTGAGAAGTTTTCTAAAAAGATTATGTGTATCTGGCACATTGATAGCATCAGTTTACACCATTCCAATTTTAAATCAGACAACTGTGGTTCCTGCAATTTAACTGAAAATGAGTGTTTGATGACACCACTAATTCCAAAATATGCTTTATCACATAACACCTTTTGCAATTAGTGATGTCATCAAACACTTAGTTTTAGTGGAATTGCAGGAACCACAGTCGTCTGATTCAAAATTGGAATGGTGCAAATTGACGCTATCAGTGTCCCCCCGATACACATAAAAAATTTAAAAACCACTTCACAATCCCTTTATAGTTTAAGTGTTTAGAATTAGAAGCTTTTGTGTTCACACTGATATGCCTCTCTTAACTCTTTGAACAGAAGCAAAGTTATAATGTGGCATGTAAATAATTTGTTAAATGAATTTCATATGTCTACAATTTGTGTAGAAACTGTTCTGATTTTTGAATGAAAAGTACCAAACATTTAAAGCAAGGCTGAATATAATTTGTAAAATGAAAATGTATGTATACTTGCTGATTATGAAGTTGATAGAAGTATGTCTTGTGCAAGAGATGTAAAAATGAGAGATGAACAAATAAATAATGATAGAAAAGTTCAATTATCGTTTTTAATTCCATGAAAACTGTTGATTGATTTAGCTCGATACAGGTATGGTTAGGGCCAGACTTAAAATGTCAATTACTATTGCTAACCAACTTCAGAGTTGCAAGTTTGAGCAATAATGATTACCCCAAACAGAGTGGGTGTTGATCTCCCTTATATTCCATTTCTTTATATAAAAAGACCATTTCATCCATATTTTTTTTATTTTAGCATTGCTAGAGATATATACAGCTTTTGGCCTCCTAGCCTAATTTAATTCAAATTAAAATTCCTAAAACCCTTTATCTCTGAATGTCTTAAACCAGAAAGTGGGCGGAGCAATATGATGATGATGAGGCTAAATTTATGTCAATTTGAAGACTACATTTTGTATAATGTTTTTAAGAATCAAAGACTCGTAAATTCTGCTCAAGTAAAACTAATTTGTTGTCAGATGTGAAAAGCATACCAAAGTAATACCTGGGAATCATGTTGTGAATAATTCAAACAAATTAAAAACCACCTTCTCCCCTTTCAATGAAGCTCAAATTACTGTACACAACTAAGAGCACAAGCATTCAACATACAAGCAGAACATACACATACCAGTAGAAATGGAAATATAACTTTAACCAAACATATCTTGGAATATAATGTACACAACATTATGGCAATATAACAACAGTTTTATATGGTAGGTTATAAACAAAGGTTTTGTTATAAAATTGTAGACATTGAATCTAACTATAAAGTTCTAAATCTGTCAAAGATTTTCTAAGCAATCGAGGACATTGACATCTACTGTCTACAAAATTCAGAATAACGGAACATTTTGCTGATCATTCGTGTATAAATTGAAACATTAACTAAAATACACAACCAAGAGTCCTACATTGTCTTTTGGTTCAGTTAAAAGAATGAAAAAATAATAAAAAGTCTGAAATGTGAATATTTTCATGCAAAAATTTTAAGGAGCAAGACTGTATTTTTCCAATGTGAATTTATTAAACAACAAATTTCATCAATAGAAAATTTCAATTCTTACTGAGAATTTCCCAGAACATTCAAATTGGAGAGCAATGCAATCTCTTCTATCTATAAGGTTTCGGTTTCCAAATGGTTCACAGTAATATTTTTGACTAACTAATAGTGTGTTCAGAACTACTGTAATAATGAACATAATGAATATTTACTAATTAATGATGCCAATATACCAAGCCTGATACTGATCAAAGAATTAAGAATGGTGTAAAAATATTCAATAAACATTGTGTAGGAATATCATGTTTTATGAAGTTTTGAGTGCTTTTTGTACTCTTTTTTTTTTTTTGTTGGATATAAATTTTTCAACTAAATTACCAAAATTCTTACTTTAATGAACAAAATGCACCATAGAATTATAGTCATTGTTTCTTTCACTAAAATTACAAAGATTCGATAATGATTTTTTAAAATAAATTCACATCTACAAAGCTAAAGAAATAAGAAAATACCGGTATAATATAGTTTACCTACATAAAATTTCATCTACAACAAAAGGATTGAATATTGCATAGTTAAAAATTAAATTAGAAAATAATAAAGGAAAGATAAATTATTAACTAGTACAGTACATACAATCCATATATCTCTTTATAATACAATTCATTAGTTCATTAGAAAATATTTAAATATTAACAACAGCAATCATATTTATACAAAATATCAGTAAGATTAATTCTTGTTCTGCATTACTTAATCCAAATTTTGGAGATATTGTAGGGACACAGTCACTGAAATATTCCTAATCAGTTTGATCCATTCTTATCAATTCTCAGAACGAAATCCGAGCAGTTTTTGTTGATATCATTATGGCATTGAAAAATTTAACTTCCAATGTTGCTGAATTGCTAAAGAATCCAAAGTAAGATTCTAACTCTGAAAAGTGATACAGACAGCTGAATAAGATCTATCTATCCATTGACTATATCCCTTTCACCTCCCATGTGTCTAAAATTCAAATCTTATTCTATATTCCCAACTTGATGAATCTTGTAATGCTTAACAATGTATAGGACTATAGTTACAGTATAAGAATAATTTGTCTACTCATAAAAACTAAGACCAATTATCTTGCCCTGTATAATTGTGAGGTAAAATTGTTTTGGCCATGATGTTAAGGGCAACAAAACATCAGACACAGTTTTAGTTCAAAAATTTCAGTGTGACACTGAATATTGTGTTGCCTATTGGAGGATTAGAAATACACCATACAAGGAAACTACAAATTTTGGGTATTAAATAACATTTTTTTTATTGACTTTCAACCAAACATCCAAAACTACTTTTGCAGAATTTACAGTCTGCTGAATAAGTAACTTCAGAATTAACCCAAAAATATTCATAGAAATTTATATACAATTATCAATTTCATTTCTTCTTTCAAATATAGGTTCATTTGACTAGAAAACATAACATGCTTACAACAAAACTTTCTCATACTTCTGCTAACTTAAAAAAAAACCAAACATAAATGTGGTTCACAACCCTTTACACTACATAATAATAATAATATTAATTTTCACATGGAATGCATCACAATGTACCATAACTATACAGTAAAACAAAAAACAAAGCAAATTTTTACAAGCCACCCCTACATTATCTTATCACCCTTTATTCAAAAATATCATCATTAAAACAGTAAGTTTTAATTTATCTTGGATGAGCTCGATTGGTGAGTTTGGAACAGGTTCCGTGTGTTCCAATTCTTTGCTCAATCGAACTGTATGTATATTTGAATTCTGTCAACACCTATATTATTTTTTCGGTGCATGTGGAACAAGTTTTGAACCATGTTCCATGAATCCCAAACGAGCAGAACTCACCAAACTTGATTTAAAAATAAAATTAACATTATAACTGACATTTCATCTCAAAATGTTAAAAAAAAAAAAAAAAAAAAATTGTGGATTACTTCCAGGCAGATAAACAATATTATTTTAGAGCAGAGAAAGTTAACTGTGACCTATTGATAATAAAATAATTAATAGTACTGGCAGAAGTTATCATACAGAATGAAATTAATATCAGAGAAAAACATGGCTGCCAACAATATTCTTCAACAGAGACAAATAATACTTTGAGCATTTCCAATACCAATGTTGATAAAATATCAAGCAACCTTTCATGATCATTGAAGGTCTGTATTATATGGGACTTTAAGGAAAATTTATGCTTACATAAGAACATAAATGCCTTGAATTCAGTTTTTAAAATTTACCATTGACTTGCAGACGTCAATAATGATTATAGACTTAATATGCAGATGAGATTAGATTATCTAATGACCCTGATCAATTCTAATCAATGAAACTATTTTAACTATAAATAACTATATAACTCATGATGTCTATGTATAATCCAACACAGATATTTATACATGCCTCAAGACAATAACATCAACACAAACAGTCCATTTTATTTTGAGGTAGTTTAAGTGTTAATGAACACAATTTGTACAGTTTTAAATAGCATTTAGTCTACCCTGAAATAAAATAGACTGTTTGAAAACCTCACTGTATTACTATCTTTGTTAGACTATTAATGATAATAAAATTGGCAAGGAGATTAAAATGAAAAATTCCTGTTAAAATGATAAAAGTTTGACTATAAAAGTTAAAACAGTGTTGTGTTTGAAGCCCACTTTAAGAAATTTCCACCAATCTCCAACTTATTGAACGCCATGGCTGAGACCACAAACAAACAAATAAATTATGCGTATAATGTACAATAATGTCTACAAAGATTAACTTCGATGGCTAGGATTGGGTGAACTATTTCCCAATTTTTCTGCTGACAAATCGTTGCGAGTTGCCCCATCAGCTGCTGTAAAAAAAAATTATTAAAAAGAATAACATTGACAAACATTGATTGGCAAAAACTCAGACTGCATAGTAATATTATGATTCTGAGAAGCTTCAAAATGAGCAACTTAAGTTGCTTGACCAATGTATCCTGAATTAACTACTGTGATACTTCTCCAATATTTCACAGGGTCGCCAACCATTCATCCCTTTTGAGACACAACAACGTGATGATGTATATCTGTGCAAAGTATCCTTGTAATATCGATGACCAAGATGGCTAGACAAGACACTCTGGTGTGATACAATGACAAGTTGAATTTTAACGAGTTACCAACCTGCATGATTTTGCATAGCTCTCTGTCTTTCTCTGTTCTCATATTCCATAACTTCATTATATATTAAACCTGTGGAAGAAACAATATTTTTCACATTACAAAAGGGGAGTAACTTTGACTCAGTACATCTGTATTTATTGTTGGTGCTTGATTGGTGAGTTCTGGACAGGTTCAGTCTGTTCCATTTCTAGGCGGTAATCAACCAGTATGAAACCAGATATGTCACATTAAAATTTTAGCCTTCAATTCCTTTCACCGCCATTTTGAATTTGGTATACACCTACTTATTTTTTTGGCGTACATGTAGCGCATTTTGAACCCTGTTCCAACTGTTTTTTTATTGAAAATTTTTCAGTATGAAACCAGATATGTCACATTAAAATTTTAGCCTTCAATTCCTTTTACCGCCATTTTGAATTTGGTATACACCTACTTATTTTTTTGGCGTACATGTAGCGCATTTTGAGCCCTGTTCCAACTGTTTTTTTATTGAAAATTTTGGTTGATTTCATGAATTCTGAAAATGCAAACTTAAAGCGCCACCCTAGTTGAGAGAATTCTATAAAAACAATTTAAAAAACATCGTTCAAGTTTTATAGAACATAGAACATTAAATGATTTGTCTGATATATGATAATAATACATACGTTTCCATTCTTCAACTGAATGTTCTTTTTCATCAACAGAATGATCATAAGGACCTGGTGCTGGCTGTAAAATAATCAATTATTGTTGTTAAATATTTTTGCACTAGTTGTCAACCATACTGCCTTTGAAAAACATCAAAATGCTGCAAAACCAGGGATCAATTTGGATTGCAAAATCCATCATGTAAAATTCTGTCTTATTAAGTTAAACTTTGATTTGCATTACATAAAAATTCAATAGTTGTTCCAGTTGTAGACTTCAGAGCGATATTTCCTCTGACGTTAATTTCTTAATAATATAGAGACTGCCGAATGTTGCCATATATTTCAAGATTTGGCCGAAAATCCTCACGAAAAAGAATATATTGGTTTGATCTGGAGATCGTTGTGATAAATTCTAATATTGGATTGCAAAAATGATTATTTTAATTAGCACACCGTGATGGGCCACCACTTAAATTGAACCCTGTGTACAACTATAATGTTATCAATACTTTAAATATACTATAAATATAGCATTTATCCCCACTTTTAATGATGCCTTTATTACAGTATGGTCCAGCAACATTTACAGAAATGACCATCTGTAGGTTTGTATTGATTATTGAAGTAATTGCAGTAAACAGAAACATTTCTAATCTGATATAAAACAACTATCTCCTTTATCAAGTGCCAGGTGGTATAATAAAATACTGGAAAATGTTCTTGATGCCTATCAGAATTGATTATAGTCCAAATCATCATGACTGTTATCTCGTCTATAAATAGACCCTCTTAAATTGATCATTAAAAAAATAAAAAGAACTGTATAAAATAAAGTGATATGGTTAAACTGCAAAATCTTTTACAGATGCAGAAGAAAGGCATATAACAGTAAATTTTTTTCCAAAAAATAGAGTAGTATTGTAAATCCCTATAAAGGAATAAAACCTCTTAGAGATAAAATGAATAGAGTTTTAGGTCCTACTTTTTTACACCTAATGAGCTAATAAAGACTGTGAGAGAAGTTAGATGGTGAGAGAAGTTTTGCTAGGACAGTGGCATTAGCCTACTCCAATTGTTGAATGATCTTTAACATACGATGTAGCACATGGGGCTGCGGATTATTGTCCAAACAACTAGACACTTTTCCCATGTCAGCCATTCAGACATGCATCACTGACAAGGGGAAAATGAGTTGAAAAAAAGGATTCATGTCCACCTATACTGTGGACCTTCAGGTTAGCAAGCCAGCGTTTAACTCACTGAGCCACTGCAGCTCCCACGACCTCTTAGAATGAACATAAAATTTACATCTGAAAATTGGCCAATAAGAGTATAGATTCATCAGTGGTGTCATAACTATAGAACATAATCCTAGTATAATGCAGTAAATCCATGTTCAATCTAAAAGGTAGCATTCCTTTAAGACAACTGTACAAATAACTATCACAAGCTGGTTCTATGAAAGAAAAGTAAAGGAACTTACAGCATTGACCTCTTCATTATCAAACCAGACATTAATATAAGGATGATTCAAAGCATCATCAACTGAGATTCTTCTTTCTGGATCAATAACTAACATTTTACCTAATAATTCTCTCGCCATGGTAGCCCTAAGGCCAGTATGTTCAGCACTATCAGGGGGAAATAATACATCGGGGAAAAGTTTATCAAAATTATAACCACTATGTTTAGGTCTATTCTCAACATAATTTCTAACAGTAGGTTGTAAGCGCTGCATGAATGATTGACTTGGTGTTCCTAATTGTTCTATAATTTTATTCCACTGATCAATGTCTAGAGGTTAGGTTAAGAAAAATAGTACTATTTGGCTAGAGCCTTTTGTGTATTACCTGGATGGCTGAGTAAGTGGCATCTTTGATTGTTGTGTGCCTGAGAAACAGTCAGTCCTTTCAGGAATAAGACTATTTTTGACTCCAATCTTACATAATACAGCACAGAATTATTTTTGCAATAAAGGGCTGATGGTATTGCCATTTCAGCAAATGTCATGATGGAGTTATAAGAACATAAACCTGTTTTACAAAATGTTTCAGATATTCTATACTTGGTCACCGATATTTATCAAAAAACCTTAAATTTACAATCAAAGACTTTGCTGACAGATGAAAATAGTAGATTGACATGGATATATTAAAGGATACGATCTGTACCGGGAAACATTACATTACCACGAATTAATTCTGCCATTATACACCCTACAGACCATATATCAACTGTAAGATAAAATACATTTATTCAACGTATGATCGGCATATAGACCTATATAGATTCCAAAAAATTGTTAAACTATGTTCTGAACATATTAAATAAGCCACTAAAAAATACATTTTTATAGAAATGCTTAAACTATAAGACATCACTTTCAAAATGTGCAAATAATATCTAAGGCCCTATGCAATAGTTACATATGAAAGGCTTAGTTAGGTATAATAGAATTGCATAACCCATTGGCTCATTTCTTTACAATCCCATTAAAGAAAAGATATAAGCTTTTTAGTCTTACCATTAGCTTGATAACCCATTCCTAATATGACTTCTGGCGCTCGGTAATATCTTGTTACAACATAAGGTGTCATCATAAACCCTGTACCAGCTGTTCTAGCTAAACCAAAATCTAGAATCTTTAATGTACAATCTGACTTGACTACAATATTGCTTGGTTTTAAGTCCTGAAGGTAAAATAAATCATTTCTAAATTATGATAGAAACAAGAACATTAGGCCTACTGGGTTTATACTTTCTATAGATTTTTCACAAAAATGAAAAGTTAATACCAAATCACAAAATATATAATAATCTACATATTCAAAAATTGAATCAACATGATTCTAGTAGTTAATAAACTAGTTCTACTAGTCATTAATAATTTTAAATTTATTAATAGTTCTATTTTTCTTGACCTAACCTCTAGACAAAGAGTATCTTCAGAAAGATCAAAAGCCAATTTCTGTACCACAAGATAGATACAGAACAAATAACTTTTGGACACTTGAAGAAAAAATCAATTTGTCTGTCTTAGTTTTATTGATACTCTACTTAATATTGAGGATTTGAAGTCAAAAGTTATGCAAACATGAGCTGTAATAGTTCAATATAATGATGTAAACTGATGCCTTGTAATTATGAAACCTGAACGATCATTTCTGTTTCATTTTGGCTCTGATGCTGAACTGTTACAGCCCTTTGCAATCCCTAATAGGCACAAAAAGGTTCATATATACTTACCCTATGAATGATGCCTGCATTATGTAAATGTTTAATACCACATAACATTTGATATAATAAATAGGACATTCGTTCATGGTCTAAATCCATCTGTATAACTTGACATAAATTGGCATCCATTAATTCCATAACAAGATATCTGAAAATTCAAACAGACATACTTAAAGTGATACTACGTCTTAGAATAAACATGAAATTTAATTCTCAAGAATGGTCAATATTCATAAAACTAAGTCATTATTGAAAAGCGCTTAATCATAATATTAAGTGTTTTTCAATAGTTGATTGCATTTTTATTAAGTTTTTTGGATTTATAGGATTATATAAGGATCCTGTTATGTTCTTTATGACACCAGGTATGTCTACTGATGAATATTTGCTCTTTTTGAACGAGTTTAAAATTTTTAAATTTTCTGTTTATCCTAAAACGTAGTATCCCTTTAATACAATAAATAATTTAGTAGAGGAAAAAGCGTGAAATTTTATTCCTAAGGGTTGAATCAGAGCAGAGATATTTTCAACTGTTGGTGTAAACTGACCAAACATAAAGTAAAATAGCCTTAACCAATACTGATGTACTGTGCTAAATTATCATTATCTCAAGATATGTGCAACTTATCCCACTCAACAGTAATTACTTATAGCCCCGTCACTTCCTTAAGGCTTCCTTACTGAGGTCTAATTTAACTAAGGGCATGATAAGAGTGCCTCAAGTGTGGTATCATAATCAAAATTTTATTAATTCATTAATTTTGAATTCGATAAAACATCAAAGTAGTTTGGATGAGGCCATTATTATCCTTTTCAAAAGTTTTATGTTTATACATCATTACTAGTAATCACAAGCTAAAGAAATGTCAATTTCCAGTTGGCAATATGTAAATGCCATTGTTGCCTGGTATTAGACTGTCGTAAGCCAGAGAGAAACTAGTTATATTGGAGTACCTCCTGTAGACTAGGTTAATCAACTATTGATTTTAAACTACTGTACACAATATCTCAGATGAAATAAATATATTGATAAATGACTACACTTGTACATTACTGGTAGTTTATGTTAAGTTTTATGTTACAGAAAAGGCAATCTAGACATGGGGCCATATAATTATTTTATATTACATAATAGACAATCTAGACACGTCAAGGGGCCATATAAATGTTCTGTATGTTACAAAAAAAAACAATCTATTCAACAAATCCATAAAACTAATTAATAATTCATTAAACTAAGTAATTATTGAAACATAAAGTTTCAAAATTACTTAGTTTAATGAATATATATTGTCTTATATAAGGACTCTATTCTTTAGTCATGGCACCTGGTAAGTCCAAATGATGAATATAACTTGTTGACCAAGTTGGAGACCTTTAATTTTATGTCCTACCTCTATGATACTACCTCTTAAATTGAAAATTATATCTGATACATTTAAGCAGAACAAAATCAATGACAGATGTAATGCCAAATGGTTAAAAAGGTTTTCATGTTTCTGCATTTATTAGTCAATTCAGATATTTGCCATCAAAAGCAGCTAACATTAGATTGCTGATTATAAAATAACAATATTATTGAAAACTGTGATCGCTCTTGAAATCTAAAATACACATTCTCACCCATTCTTATTCTATAGCTATGATTTATTATCATCATCTTATAGCAATTGGTTATCTCTTTGCCTCAGGTTATGTGCAAATCAGTTTTTAAAAATTCTATTAAGGTAACAATATAAAATTTTCTAGAGCTTCTATATTCACAGCTTTCTTCTATAATCATTGAAATTCTTTTTTACCAAGTTGAGAAAATCAGAAAAAAAGAAAGCCTGTGGGTATTCGATCTTACTTTTCCTGCCTACACTAATTTAAATTAGATTATTAGATTGTAATTCCCATATGAAATTATCCTTATAAAGTTGGCCTTCAATCCCAAATGAAGAGAAAAAAGTCCTGGTTACGTAAACGAAAGTGAAATAAATGATGGAGCTAGAATTGATGTGTAAATTACATGAGTAGAAAATAACAATTTGCTATTGGTAATAATGATTGTCTTATATCTGATAACTTATCCTTTTGTTTTATAATATAAAGACAAGATAGTAGTTAGTAAGCTAGTAATCCTAGTGATTAGTACTGGAGATTTATCAATAATTCTTCAACACTGTAATACGTCATTGTGGTAGCTATAGCCTAGTTCTCTTAACAGTTTATATCATAGATCAATATTCTTGATACTTTGACTAGACAGTCATTTCATTATACATCATTTTACTCATGTACCACCCCCTACCACTTCTAACTGTCTTTTGGTTTCTATGGCGACACCGTTGTCCATTTTGATCCTCTTACAGAAAGATAATTTCCTTTTTGATTTTGTTGAAAGAGTTGTTCCACTAGATCTAATATCTCATGAATAAAATCAAAGAATCAGTACCAGGTTTGGAGACTCTCATTTTAAGTGGAAATTGCAGTTGCTGCCAGTGGCCATAAAATGCTTGTTGGTTTTCCTAGGCATTAAGAAATTACATCCATCCATTGTGACAGATTCTGTGAGTTAATGATCCTATAAGGCTTGAAAATAGGAATTTACATCATTGAGAAAAAGCCCATAATCAAATCTGATTGACAAAAGAAATTCTGATTAAATGTAGAAAGTGAAATAAATTTATTCTTTGTAAACATTGAACTGATTTAAAGCTCTAATCCTCAGGCTTATTCTGTATCATATAAAGAAAAGAATAATAGAAACCACCTCAGATAGAAATTGATCTGTGCAGTTTGCTTATAATCTAATTCAAGCTGTTCTGGAATAAAACAATTAAGAGCCTTGTCAGTCTACATAACATGAATGCATATAAGTATGAATAGGCTGGCAGATTTTTTTCAAACTTGATATACCCCTATTTCAGTAAGGAGGTCAATCTGATCTGGAAAAGGAAGTTGGGAAAGTTTCTAAAATAGAAAATGATAACTTACACATCTTGAAAATCTTCTAATGACTTCTGGGGAGTGAATGCATTTAATAAACCTATAATCTACAATAGTAAAAATTGAAACATTGAGTCATTTTGTTGAAAAGAAGGATTGGAGATGAAGGCTACTGTTCTAATATTGTTGTAAATGCCTATTTTTTTTATTATTGAAATAGTCTGTTAAGACAAGTCTAAGAAAATCATTGATCAAACTACCAACTATAACATTATGAAATGACATTAAGTGCCACATACTAAATATAAAAGAACCATAATCAAGTTAAAAAGCTCAATACTTTTATTTAAGAGAGAGACAGCGTAAGTGTATCTATTCTTGGCAATCAATTTACTTGATTTACTATCAATATAGTAAATGGCTTAGGGTTAAAATGGTCAGTCTTATATACAAACTTTCCTTCACACATTACTACACAGTCTGATTACTTGGAAATCTTGTATTATTAGTTCATAATAGTCAGAAAAATCTTGTGTGAATATAAGCCTACAAGACTGAACCACACACCACACACAATATCAGGATGACATGATTTATTCAGTCTAGGTATAGTACACTGCTGTATGATTAGCCTATTAACATTGTGGCAATCTTGTATATGATTAGTACATTAACACAGTTGTAATAACATTGTGGCAATCTTGTATATGATTAGTACATTAACACAGTTGTAATAACATGGTGGCAATCTTATATATGATTAGTATATTAACACAGTGGCTATAACATGGTGGCAATCTTGTATATGATTAGTTCATTAGTATATTAACACAGTGGCTATAACATGGTGGCAATCTTGTATATGATTAGTTCATTAGTATATTAACACAGTGGCTATAACATAGTGGCAATCTTGTATATGATTAGTATATTAACACAGTGGCTATAACATGGTGGCAATCTTGTATATGATTAGTATATTAACACAGTGGCTATAACATGGTGGCAATCTTGTATATGATTAGTATATTAACACAGTGGCTATAACATGTTGGCAATCTTATATAATTATGATTAGTATATTAACACAATGGTAATAACATGGTGGCAATCTTGTTGTAAATCTTGTATGATTAGGCTATATTAACATGGTGGAAATCTTGTATATGATTAGTATATTAACACAGTGGCTATAACATGGTGGCAATCTTATATAATTATGACTAGTATATTAACACAATGGTAATAACATGGTGGCAATCTTGTTGTAAATCTTGTATGATTAGGCTATATTAACATGGTGGAAATCTTGTATATGATTAGTATATTAACACAGTGGCTATAACATGGTGGCAATTTTGTATGATTATCCTATTAACATGGTGGAAATCTTATATATTACCGTATATTTCCGATTATAATGCAGTTTTTTTACCCAGTTACACAGTGAAAATGTTGTATGTTTCAGCTATGACATGGAGGAAATCTTGTACAATTTTATCATTAAGCTATATAATGCCTTTAGAAATTTTGCATGATGAAGCTATTGAGATAGTGAAAATCTTGCATCATTAAAATTAAAATATTGGACATCTTATGTATTTTTTGATAAATTTTAAAGTTGTTTATGATAAGTTTATCATGCTAATTAAGATTAAAATATATAATGTGGAATTTCCAAAAATATGTAACTTAAATTCTACAATGAATTTACATATCTCTATCTATTTTCGACTTGGAATCAAATTTCCAATTAAAACAGATACTGCTTTGTAATATCATCTAATAAAGCAAACTTGCGTCTGTTATTTTTTTTTACAAAGACAAACACAAGAAGATGATCACAAGCACTAGGCTGCTGATTGATGAGACTGGAGTTTTCAATTCTCTTGGCAGTATATTCAAGTCTCCATTCAATCTAACTTTATACACTTGTAATATTTACTAAATCAATGAAACTGATTCTACTGATAAAATTATTGAAATTCTTGAAACTAGTCGATGAGTTTATAATTCATGTCACTATTCTAATTACCGTCTTATGGATTTTCCTTCCTCAAAGAGAAGAATTTGGCCAAAAATCAACATTGCTATCTTAATTTCATTCATTTTAGCACAAGGGATATACGAGTAATTAGAATATATATTTACTTTACCAGCTGATAAAGCTTAATTTCAGCTACCTGTATCACTTTCTAGAAATACATCTGATATCCTGTATTTTAAATCGAATCTATTATAGTAAAGAAACAGTTGGTTTAATTGTTACGATCTTGTTGCGCAATTTAATTCTTAAAAGTTTATAAAAAGCTTACACAATTCTTATGGAATGTAATTACTGATTTTTTTAGCTTTTCCTTTAAAGATGTTCTGCTAATTGGTCTTTTTCTTAAAAGGAGTTTAATATGAGCTGTGTGTTTGGTTTCAAGGCCATCCTTAAGATAGCTTAAATTAAGCTAAAGATAAATATGTCTCTGTCATAAACTCTATATAATAGCATTGAAATGACATATTACAAAGCTGATTATAATCACTATAGTTCTTAGCATTAAAGGTTAAGTTGGATACAATACACCAGATCTCATATATTTTCAAATCTCGAGTGAGAAAAAGCTTTTAAATTCTGTATAGAATTATCTTTATCAATTTGATGGTAAGAATCATAATTTGTTCAGGGTGTTTTTAATGCCACAAGCCTACTGCAAATGTTAGATTACTACAATTGTTAGACGACAGATACATTTTACAAATATGAATCACAATAAAACTTTATTACTTACATTTTTGTGGTTAACAAGTTTCATCAACACAAATTCTCTGTATGCTCTTTTTGCATGGGTTACGTTCTGGAAGGGACGACTAAGTTTTTTAATGGCTACATTTTGACCTGTATCTGTATCATTGGCAGCACTGAAAAAAAAACCACATATTAAGTCTGTTATACAGAGAATATCAATATCAATATGTCTTTAACCTTTCATGGTTTTTAAGATCTATTTTTGTTTGAAATTTCAAGGAAACAATATTTGCTTTTAATCAAGGTCATATATATATATGATATATATCTCTTCTCATATTCACATTATGATGTGTATAGTTGTTAAAAGCATTCTAATCAGATATTAAATTAATATTTGATAACGCCTGTCATATTTTACAATTGTGTCATATTTCATAAGCATGCTAAAAATATCCCTTTTAAATCACAAAAAGTATAACTATATTTTATGAAAATATATATATGAATTCAAAATTCATTGAGAACTACTGTTTTTATTTGTAAGCGTAAGTAGTAAGTACAAATAAATACAGTCAGACCAGAGATGTGGGGTGTATCAAACTCTCTAAAGTCATATTAAAAAACTTATTTCAAATTCAGAAAGACTTAAAAAGGATTTCAATTAATCTCTACAGTAGGCAAGTCGTATTTAAACAAGTCTTGGACAAACTAACTATTAAAATTATTCATCTAGATGGTTAAAGATGTTTTAAATGGAAATAAACTGTCTGAGACTATATTTCAATCTAGTTTTCAGATAAAACAGTACAGACCTTTTTATCTAGAGAGCTTTTTTATTCTTGATGAAACTTTTAGGAGAATTAAATAACATATATCAAGTATGTTTTGTAGAGTTCACAATATATACAATAAAATTTCAGATTTAACGTTCCAACTGGACTGTTTTATATTCCCTTTTCTCATTTGTCACTTAGTAGGAAACTAGGCTACCTAAGTAAATGGTCCACATATTGTGTTATCGGTAGTAATATTATAATTTTTCGCCATAGAAACTACCTTTATTCAAGAATAAGGCCCATGCATATTAAAGGAATACTATGTCTTAGAATGAACATAAAATTTAAGACTTTTAAACTTGGCCAATAAGAGCATATATTCATCAGTAGATATACCTGGTGTCATAAATAACAGGATCCTTATATAATCCTATAAATCCAAAAACTTACTTATTATACATAAATATGTAATCAACTACTGAAAAACACTTAATATTAAGATTAAGTGTTTTTCAATTATTACTTAGTTTTATGATTTTTTTAAATTGTAACTTTATGACACCAGGTAAGTTCGCTGATGAATATATACTCATATTGACCATTTCGAGAACTTAAATTTGATTTTCATGCTAAGACGTAGTAGCACTTTAAAATCTGATTCATTCTATTGCCAGAGCTTTTAGGATTCTATAGAATGTTCATTGATAATAGTTAAGACATATATGCACTTATTTTCAGTATATGAGAACTTAATATGTTTCAGCATGCACATTGAATAGATTATATGGTGAATTGAAAATCTTACTCAAATAATCACAGACAAAAAATGGACTTGACTACTCTGCTAATTGGTAAATACTGTAGTGTAAATGACTTGGAAATACCAGATTGAACAACTGTATAAAATATGTTATAGAAACAAGTGACTAGGTGTATGTTGAAATAAAGTAGATGAATAGTTTAGTAACAGACAGAATTATTGATTACTGATCAATGGCTGTAAGCAAACAACATGAATGAAGACATCTCCACACATTCCAGTAGAGTGAGGTATATAGACGCTTGTCCAGTTTAATATCATTGTCATATAATTCACACAGTTCACTGTATCAAGGAAAGGCTCAAGGAAAATTGGAATGTAGTCTCCTAACTTAGGCCCAGTTACCTAAATGATAATTTTCCAAAGAATGTCAAACACTTGTTCTGTTTTAGTTGGCCTTTTTTTTTTTTGTGGTTAATCCAGTTTGGGTTTAAATACTGCGCTATGTTACATTCAGCCAATCAAATTGCTTTCCTCTCCAGCAGTGCGATTATGTGACTCGATCAACAGGTGTATTTCCAGCATTTATAGTCAAGTTTATCAAGTCCACCAAACTTAACTTATTGAAACACACTTTTACACTAGTTGTTTTGTATTAGCCCAGTATAATTAGATTGGTTGACACAGAGGTCAAAGATTATTGATATAAAGAATTGCAAAATTGGCTAAGACCCTGGGCTAGCTAAGGGCCTGTGGTAAAGATCCTCCTCTCCTCCACCACTCATCATAGTGACATCCTTTACACTGGGATTGTAGGATTGCTGGTATGTCAGAGAGCTGTGTGCTAAGGTAAGCACAGTAGGTCCAAATCCCCCTCATTTCAAAATCACTCTCAGTATTTTCTTAACAGAACACTGATTATTGTAATACATTTTAAACAGATAACTGTCAAATGAATAAACTGCTTCAAGTTCATAACAGACAAAAGACACACTTAAAATGACATAAAATGATAAATAAATCTGTTTATAATGCTTTACTTTCTACTAATGAAATAATACTTGCTTTAATATGATTCAAATTAAAACCCCTCTGAGATTACAAATGTAGATCTGAATCAGAGAGCTTTATAAAAAAATTGCCAAGAATCCAAAACCATTGAAGATTATGAGGTCAAATATCAAAATAGCATTTCCCTTTGTTAAGGATTAGCATAGAACTGAAACTTCCAACAATGCAATCCTTTTTTCTTAATTAGCTTTTAATATCAAATAAATGAATATTGCCACTATAAAAACTAGGCCTACATGACAAGAAGTTTGTAATAAATCTAATAAGATTACAACATGCTGCTTTGCATCAGCAAAATTTATCCCAGAAAAAATAAATGACATTTCTCCAATAATTAAATTATCTATATAAAAACATAGAACTGTGGCAGAAACAGAAAATATGTCATATCAATCCAGAGAACTTTATAGCATACTCATATTCATCTTCACAATGGTCAAGGTATCACGTCTTCATCTTATACCTTGACTGCCGTGTTTCACTTTCTTCTTTCATGAAAATTTGTAAATGCAGCAATTTGATTGAATTGTACACGAGCAAATACAGCCCTCTACAGACCAAAAAAAAAAAAATTATGCATGAAATCAAGGGCTCTGATAGGCTGTATTCTCTGGTGTACAATCCAATCACATCACTGACAATGAACAAGAAAGTAAGCCATTTCAGTCAAGGTAAAAGATAAAGACATGATACCTTGACCATTGTGAAGATGACTCATTGTCAGTGAGGTCTAATAAGTGCTTAGCCTACATTTAGAAATTTGTCTAATATCTTATTCTCAATGACAACATTAAAGATCTCTTACAAGGTGGACATGGACCAGTTAAAGGAAATGGTGGATTACCTGTAGCAACAATTTGAGGATGTTCATATCAAGTTTCTCATCCTTTGGAGTTAAATCTTTATCTTTCCAATGAACAATTGAATTGTCTGTATTGAATTTACTCAGTGTTACATACAAGAGGAAAGTAGGGAATAGCCATTGAGTAAAGATTCCTAATTTATATCCAGTTAGACTCGGCAATATAGAGTGTAGTAACAAATAGTTGTCTCTGAAGGCCCTAATTACATCAGGAAGACAAGAAAGAAGAAATTGCATGCAAGATCTTAAGTAGATGGTCTAAACTATTCACTGACGATTGGAAAGTTAATTGAGCAATCAGCCATTGATTTTTATTCCTTTCAAACTTTTGTCTACTCAATATTCAGCGTATCATAATGGTATATATGAGAATGTCTGAGCATATCCACATCTACAATGATATTCTGATTGTCTATTGAGATGAAATGACATAAATTAGGCTACTATTGGCAGGCAGTGAAAACATTCGGTTGGTAACGTAACTTAAATGGTGGTTGTGGGTTTTAATCTCTGTCAGGATGACCTTGATTAATTAACTTTACTCAAGTCGACCCAACTGTAAAGGGTTAGGAAAATCCGGGAAAGATGAATGTCAAGAGGTTTGGACAAGGACCAGCTGGTAGAAAGGATACTAAGTTGTGAACTTAAGATTTTATCCATGTGAAATACAGTGAAGCTGCGTTTATCTGTAAAGTTGTTTTAATTCAACAAATTTTGAGATGAAATCCCATTCATTGTTCTCATTTTTATCAGAATTAAATCATGATTTCTCTTTAAACAACCACTTTCAGTCAGCATTGTGCTAGTTAAATACAATTGGATATTTCATTTATGTATTAAGTTTTGGACAAAAGTGTTAACTTATTTGTATCAACAAATGTTGATTTAAAACCACTCAGTGACCTTCAATGTTTATCAGTTATGATCAGAATTTAAGTAATAATCTATAATTTCCCTATAAGGAATCCTATCAAATTGTTTATATATGAATCATAATAAATATAATCAATATGTACAATATGTACAACAATACTCACTTTATGCTTATTGTACAGAACATAATGGCATTCAGGATCAAATAGGCAAAAATATCATCAAAATACATCATTGCATTAAAAATATATTGCAATTCTATGGTTTAACAAATCAGCCTTAGGTGGAATTTCACACCTTTCAGTTACTGTATAAAATATTTGTCAAGAAACGTCAACATAGAAAGAAACAACCATTTTTTTCAGGGAGAATGATTCTGATCCTCTGGGAATACTTCCTTCTAGTTTGACTTTGACAAAACAGTTTGGCCATAGACTTTCCTGAATAATATTTTTTACCCAATTACAGTTATGATTATTGAAGGCCATCAAATTTCAGAACTCAACACAATATTTCATATATCTATTTGAAACTAAAAAAGAACTTCTTTCAAAAAGCCAATGTTAGTGATAGTGATTAATCACACCTATGAAATTTTAATGAATGATGATACTACAATTACACATGTTTATCTATATGCAGATTATTGTGGATTTCTTAAAAACTATGTCAAGTTGACAACCCATGCACTATCTGTTGTTATAGTTGTGAGTACACATAATAATTTATGATTCAGTCAAAATTTCCCTTAATATGGATAAGCCCATCAAAGGGAAATTAGTCACCTCAAAATTTACTGACATTCTTCCTTGCATTTATTACTGATATTTTGATGTCAATTTGAAAAAAACTGATAATAACATGAAAGTGACCTCAACCAAAAATTCCATTCCATTTGTAGAATAGGAGAACTCAATAGCAGAAATTTCTTTTAGATCACTTTATGTCAGTTTACAAGATAAGTATAAGCACTAGAAATAATCAGAAACTGATAATCACCGGACGAAATACTGGTCAAATAATGAAGATAATGAAACACTGATCTCAAGCATGGCTCAAGGCCTTGATAGAGTTATAGTAACTAATAAGTATAGTCAGAGTCATAATGATAATTAGTTGGTTCCATATTATATGACATGTCTGTAAGATTTAACCCCAATGTTAATAACATCAGGATGGAATGCTAAGATGTACCAAATACCTTGCTGTCAGTCTTCATATAGCCAACCAACTATTGATCTGTGTAGTGGTCATTCACACCAATCAAACCATTCATTATAATAGGCATTCATTTCAGCCAAGCAGAATTGGGTGTCTGAATGGAGTTTCAGACAGTTTTGAATATATTGAAATACATAATGATAAGCTTATATAATATGTCCATAGAAGACTGTGTCTGATATTAGACTATCTTTGAAATTTGGATAGCAAATGTTTGTGTTAACTGATCTGCATCTTGGAGAAGTACAAGTACAACCTAGACATGTCATGGTGCCATGCAATGTTGCAAATTTTTTTTAGCTGTTATCTAACTAATCTTTCTATTGACATGTATTATGAGACAAATTATGCCTAGACCCATTACATCTAAGTGACTGGCTGCCTTTTTACAATGACAAGTAAATCAGCAAATCACAACTATAAATGTGACTGTTTCACCAGATGCAAAGTATCTAACACTTACTTTTTACTTTTGGACATAAATTATAATACTGCAGAAAAAGAGTATGTTATTGAAGTCTGTATCCAATAGTAGTTATTTCATTACATACAGAAATCAAAAAATTCTCCTTTATACAAAATTTATACTAAAGCCAATTCAATTGTAGGTTAGATTATTAGAAGATAAGTGATAAATCTCTTGCAAGAAAATTTCATAATTCCTTATAAAAAGAGATTTTCTTTCTTACATTGAGAAAGCTAAAACAAGGCCATTCAACTGCCAACTGTAATAATTCAGAATTAAGACTTGGCATTTCCTACGTAATAAAGAATGAAATGGCTTACCAGACAATGCCTTGAGCACCAGAACCAATAGGTCGCAGATTAGTGTAGCGTTTTAATATAGTAAACGTTGAATCTCCTACTTCCACTGTATAAAACTGACATGGATGTTTATTCATGATTAAATACTGATTAATAAAGTCTTTAAATAATTTACACCTCCATTAAAAACAAGTTGATAACAACCTGAAAATACAAACAAATTAGTTTCAATATACAGACACCAGTTTCAATATATTTTTCACAAGAACAAATTTGTAAATGAATATTATGTGAACAAGAATTGCATCTTGTAACAAAATAATCAATTATACACTTATGCATTTAACAATGCTGTCAAACTAAAGTCATGGGTTGCCTCTCTGAAATTTAAAGCCAATATATTATGGTTCAATGTGTAAAGTTTAGCAAAAAAGTTAGATGGGGCTCATGAGCACTAACTTGCTAAATTTTGGTAAACCTTTAAGAGCAAAATATCTTCACCATACAAAAATACATTTCAGCTTACCCATTGGTAAGAGCTTATTAACACCAAAATCAGATTCACTGAACTAATTTCAAATAAAGAAATTTTTATGAATCTATTATCATTGTTACTAATTTCCATTTTTTTAAGAAAGAAGTTTTAACTTTGAAATAAAGTGGTCTACATTAGACTATTTAAGATTTGCTGAATTTCAGATTAGAATAATTATGACAATGACAAGTCATTGACCACAATGAACTGTGTTTGTACCTGGACTCCTGTTTATTTATACAGATACATTTGTAGCTTAATAATCATTACCCAAGAATTGATCCAGATAAAACAAATCATTACTGGCAACATTCTAAATAATTCAGTCAACCACTAAAACATTCTATTATTGAAAGTACTTGATTTCATAGTGAACATTTGATTTCAACTGGCATTTTCATTTTCAAAACCATACACTATTCAAAAATTCATTCAATAAAACAGTACATTATTCCAATTCCTCTCCTAAATATATTTCCTCATCTGTCAATTGGGTTTCTGACAGAGAATTCCATAAATAGACTTCCTATCGATTCCTATAAATATATGACGCTCGTTTACATATCTATGCCCATAACAGGAACTATGTAATATAAAATAGTAAATTACCGTTTAAAACCTGTATCTTTGTAAAATCTAACTGTAATTTATCACCAATAATCACCAACAAAATAATTCATTCAATATAAGATTCGACATCAGACGAAGCAATGTTGAGATATATCAGTGACGTCAACATTAGTTGTGTTCGCCTGATTATCGTTGAAAACGAGAGTACACTATTTTCAAAAATTATTTCAAAAGATCACATTAATAAGTTACCGATCTGAAACAGTAAAATATGATTTACAGTTCTATTAAAAAAAAATTCTACAAGTAATTTACTGTGAGCTAGTCAACACAAGTTTATGGTATCTAGAATTTTATTTTTCAACTCATTTCATCAATCATAGTCATCTTTAGGTGAATACTGATAATGAAGTTTATGTTGTACCTGTATGAAGATTGTATTACAGTTTATGACTGATAAATGAAAAGAAAACCCAAATTTTTAGCTCCTTATTATCAAAGTATTTATTCTCACTATTCAAACAAGAAGAATCTGTTTTCAATTACAATCGCTCTTATTCTTATTTCTTAGTAGGTAGGGGCATAATCCCTGATCAGAACACCTTTGATTTTTTTCTCAGGTTGTTATTGAACCAGCAACAAAATCAATAAAAATCCCATCTTACATGATTGCTTTTTTTTACTCTGCAAGATGAATAATACACGATCAACTTAATAAGTTATTGTGTTGAAAGAACTTCACCACCTTGTCAACCTGTACTTCAGTCATGCTTCATTTTATAATAATGCAGGGCTGTTAGTTATGTCAAGATGGTTGATCTAATTAGATAATATATAAATTATCAATATAAATGGTGTGGAGAGAGATAAAATTAGACGGAAGTTAATTAATTAAATCAGTAAGTCAAATTATTTCAATTATTCAAGTAGGTTTTACTTATATCAATTAAGGCAAGATGGTGTATCAAAGTTCATGATTTGTGTGTTATGGTGATATATGAATAAAATTCACATAAAAAGCACAGGCCTAGGTCATGAATTTAAAACTATATATTTCGCTGTTAAATTTAGTTCAGGTAGTTTATTTAAAATAAAGAAGTATAAAGGAGTGATAAAAACTGATTTTGGTTTATTGATATAATTGGTAATATTTGTTAGTATATTCTCTATTCATGTATTGGGAAGGGGATCTTGCAGTAACATGTAGCAGTGTACAAAGAGGGAAATTGGCAGCAGAATCATCAGCCTACTTTCCCTCCCCCTTATATTCTGACTTACAAGGAAACTTATTTCTTGGACAATCTTGATTAATGATTAGAAATGTTATAGGTGAGCGGCATCTTTCATACAATGCACAAGCTAGAGATTGTGAATACTAGGTCATTATTAAAGATTTACTATGTCTAGGGAATCCATCTTTAATAGATAATAATTGTATAGTATTGTGAATAGTCTATTGAAGATGTCATATGATATCTGAATGAGATATTTATAAATAATCTTTAGAAGATTAGGTCTTCTTTCAGTATATACATGTATCAAGTTGAAATGAGTTCTGATTGAATATCAAATGCACTAAGTATATGGCTTGTAATACTGATTGAAAAGAAACTAAATTTTTGTTTGTACATGTTTTAAAGGGATTGTAAAGAGGTTTTTTGAACATTTTATATGTATCAGGGACACTGATAGCATCAGTTTTGAACCATTCCGATTATCCAGTATCTGTGGTTCTAACAACTTCACGAAAACTAAGCATGATGAAACGATCACAAAGGGCCTCATATGATATAAATAGATTTTGCAGTAGTGACGTCATCAATCGCTTAGTTTTGCTGGAATAGTAGAAAATATACAGATGTTTAAATGGAAATTTGAATTGTGCAAATCGATGCAATCATTGTACCTGATACACAAAAAAAGTTGTGAAAACCTCTTTACAATCCATTAAGTTCTAAAAGTATTTTGTATTTTTTTTACAAACCCATTCTGTTTGTCAATTCTGATTTAATCAGAGAGTAATGACCTGATTTTATTTAGTGTGCACTGCTTGCTTATATATTAGGAAATTTTTCAGCATGTTTCTGAGTTATTGCCAATTATATATAGCTGAATAGCTGACTGCACAGTGTAGAAGTTAGGTAAGATATTAAGGAATGTTGTGTGTATATTTGAAGAGCTGGCGTAAGGTTAATTTTGTGTGTGTGGGTGTAATGAACAGGGGAGTTGACACAAAGTCATGAGTAAAAGTCATTTTGATAAAATGAATCTTCTAATGAATTATAATAGGAATTATAATATTAGTCATTGTTTTAAAGTAGGTACAAAAATGATGTCATATTATTTATAGATATCACACAGGTGTGACCTCGACTTTTATTTTGTTATCTGTGAATATATTTTGATTTATTATCAATGATATGATAATGTGTCATAACTTCCTATATGTTTTGATGTCATGTAATAAAATCATGTACTGGATTAATCAGCTTGTCAACAGGCAGGTTCCATACTAATAATAGGTTAGATATATGACACATTATTCATTCCAGCAGTTTTGAATAGATTGAATTATTGTCTTGTCAGCAAATCTCAAGAATATCTTATTATTGTCTTAAAATTTTTGAAATGAAATGGAGTTTTAAATCCTACATTATTTCGACTGATTGGACTGCAGTGTGCAATGAAGGAAATTTAGTCAGGACATCATCTGTGATATTGTCCCTTTCTTAAACATGCATAGCCACATTTGATCTGGGTGTGTTTTTGAATGCAAACAATAGATGTTTTTCTATTATTAATCTGATTATTAATCTGAGATCTGAGAACTTCATATATAAAGATGACCTGTTCAAGGTTCTCAGTTAAAGTGTTTGTTTATGCTGTGGAAACACAATCGTGTTTGTTCAGTTTTAACAATTTAAGCCAGTCATCTTTTTCCAATCATCTCTATAGAATCTTCAATTAAAATACCCTTCAATTCAATTCAAGATAATAACAAAGTTCTTTATAAGATATGATATTATATTATGTCATAGTGATATAGACGCTTAAAACTTCTATAATGAGTTGTTCTGAAAAATAAGGATGCATATCATTGTGACTTTCTATTAATAATTCAAATACAATACTGTTCTATGTTTTGACTATTTGACTGGTCAAGGGTTAATACACAACAATTAAAGATTACTTTCCTATTTAACAGGATGTTAATTAAGATGGTGATTTCTTGTGTATTTCTTAAACAAAACAATTTGTGTTAATTGAGAGAATTGGATTGAAAAGTGAACACTGAAAGTTTATAGATTGATTTATATGTGATATTTAATAAAACATTTTGGATCAAAAATGAATCCTCACTTCAAAAGTAAGTAACTATAGTAAGAGAAAATAACTAAGTCTGTGGATATAGGTATAAAGGTTGAATAATAGACAATAGAAGAAGAGGTAGAAATCAAAGTTCAGATATATTTCGCTTTATGAAATCAGATTTATTCAATCATGTTATATGATTAGACATCATTATATTGAGTGTCAGTTTTGGAAATATAGGTGGGCTCAGATCAGTCGAATATAGACTTGATTGCAGTAATTCCTACTGTGTTGACCTCACATTATCATTTTAAGATGAAGCACAAAATACACAGTGATAAAAATTCTTTGAAAGTTCTGTTTTTAAAAGGTGGCCTGTTAAGAAGTAATTACTACAATGTTTATACTAAAGTAATGAATACTTTTTTTGTGAATGATAGTCTAATCAGAGAACATTATCATTCTGGACGGTTTTTCACAGAAATTCTAAAATGATTTACAACATAATAGATATATTATTGTACCAAACCATTGACTTGAGAAATACTGCTTCTTTCTCTTTGGTTAAATGAATTTTCAGAACAATTAGTTCGTTTGTTTTGAAAGAGAGAAAAAGCAACATTATAGTTATATTTATAGTTTAGTTTTATGGTAAGAAGTCTCTAACACCATTTCCATATAAGATGACATTGTCGTTCTAGCAACTATTTGAGAATTAATTGCGCTGATAGAAAAAAACCGCTCTCCGCATATTTGTCGTTAATGAAATTTTACTGTGATTATTTTCATTAGAATTTGAATATCAGCCAAAATTTAATATACTGATAGAATATGATCACATAGATCTTTTAGATTTGTTTTTTTACAGTGAGTTATTCTAAGATAACAGTACTGTTTTAAAGATGTCAATCAAGTTTGATTTATAAAGAACTTCAAATTTTGATTTACCAACAATGTCACCCTGACATAAACATTTGTCTTAATTCTCTTAATATACTAAATATAGCATATGGGTTAAAAATTGAGTGAAATTATAATGAAGATACATGGAATACAAATATAATAAATATTACTTAGTAAATATATATGATAGTTAAATACTGAATTAGATGTTATATCATGTTTTATACAATGTGATGTTTGTAATGTGTACTGATTAACATACTGTTATTAGATTAGAAAACATTAATCTACACATAGTTTTTACCTTTTATTATCTTGAAATCTTGCCAAAAATCTTCTCCATTAAATCCTTGATATGTTATCAATTATCTACAGTAGAAATTTCTATCATTTAAAGTAGTATTTTAGAAATAAGGATTTATTATGATTTTGTAAGTAGAGCATTTCAATTTTTTAGTATTTCAATTGTTATAATAATAATAATAATAACTTTATTAGAAACCCAGTTGTACAAGGCAATCTTCCCTGGGATCTTTTTACATACAACTACAATAACATATTTACAAAATGATAAGGTAATAATGCTCATATAAAGCTATTTAAAAAACATGACAAGAGAACTATTTTGCCAATAATGCGATATAGTTTGAGTGATTTTAAAGAATTTGAAGATTATAGTCCTACTAAGAGGTAGTATTCCTTTAACCTGAATTTTTTTTTCTAAACTTAAAAAAAGTCTTGGTGAAATTGTCATGCCATAATTTTCTATTTGTTATAGTTCAGGAATTCTTAGGGATTGGAATATATTTTTTACTTTAAACTTTTTGTTGAAAGTGAAGTAATAGATATTGTGCAATAAAACTGCATGATCTGGTCAATCCCAAGTATTGTTTTTTTATTAACAACTATGATTAAGAATGTAGAACTATAAATCACCATAAATCAAGTGGTGTTGAGGGGAATTAATTGAAGTCAGATTCCTGCCAAAATCAATTAAATTGAATATGGCTATGTACCAAATATTTGTGGATGTTTTTTGTTTGTGTAAAGTGTTTAATAATAAACATGTTGATGTTCTGGTAAAATAACTACAAGATAAAAGAAGGTTGATGGTACCACAGAGATGGATAGCCATTACTTACAACATTATCTAATAATCATTAAAACATACTCCATATCTTAGTCAGGCATGAATTGATCTGGTTGTATCTCATGATTTTGTGCGTTATAGCTGTGACAGGTGCCGCATGCCAAGTTGACCATTCTAACTCTTTCTGAAACGCCTGATGGTACTTCTCATTTAAGGAGTACACGACTATAAGCTATCTATTATTGCTCCTGATTTTGTCATGCTGTGCACAAGGTTCTTGTTTAAGGAATTGTTTTGCTTGTACGCATTTTTATTATATCTATAGGTTTTAAAATGGAGAAACGAAAGAAAGGAACATGTGGCTGGTTGAAGAAACAGGGTGGTGTAATGAAAACATGGCATAGGAGATGGTTTGTTCTAAATGGTAGTGTGTTGTTTTATTTTACACGACCAGACGAGACCAAGTCACAAGGATCGTATTTTTTAGATGGACAGAGAGTTATAGTACATTCACCTAATCCAGATGACCCTGATAAATATACATTTGAGATTGTGGCTAGTAAGTTATGTTATTTTTAATGCCTGTTTTATGATAAATATTATTTGCTATTAAGATTACAGGTATTACTGATAATCAAGACATTGGAATTTTTTATATTTAAAATATCATTTGATGAAATAATACCTACATTTACTAAAAGGACGGCTAATCTCTACAATTGACTAAATTCTGATAATATTCAATAAAGATCATAGATGTCTGATTAAACCAAATTGAATACATAAAATTCAAATAATGGCACTAAGAGTCATTATTGACTTGTTACTCATTCTGGTGAAAGAAATTTTTCTGTCAAGTTGAAGGCCACTTCTCATTTGTGGTTGTTGTTTCAAATTAAGTAAGACATTTGCCTCATTTACCTCCATAAAGACATTGTCTCCCTGAAGATGTATATTAAAATGATGTTTTGTTAGGTAAATATGCTAGATCTGATACAGAGAGTGTTTTATTATGTGCAGCATCTGATGAAGAAAGAAAACTATGGGTGAAATCTCTCACTTGGGCTCTGTATGGTGGTAAAGGGGGTGGTAAGTAGAATTTGAATCACATTAGATAGTGTTATAAATGTTACTTTAATAGATTTCCATGGTGTTGTATTAAAGGATATGACAAGCCAATCTGTATTATCATAAGTTGTTTTCATGATATTTAAAATTCCTTGATGGTAGAGTTGAAGGTTATGGAAGTTGATTTTTATCAGTAGGTACTGGCACCATCTTCACACTGTTTTCAAGCTATTATGAACTGCATCTAATACCTTGACTGCAGTAGCCATATTTGTTTGTAAATCCAGGGATTGAATTGTACGATAATGAATATAGCCAATCAGAGTGCTCGAAAGAATGTCTGTAAACAATAAACCATAATGTTTACATTCTGTCTGTCTAGGAATTTAAGGTTGTAATATTGCGGTTAAGCAATGTTACGAAAGCACAGGCACAGGCATGTAGGCGTAACCTCTAGTGATAGAGCAATGTTTGTGAAGTTAGTTTAAAAGAGTGATATAGAATATTTGAAATGTAAATCCATTATCTTCCGAATCTGAAATATATAAGAAGAATACTGGTTCCAACAGGAACATTAATAACCATGGAAATTATAATAAACATTTTCACTGGTGAAACTGTGGAATTGTCCTATATTAAATGAAAAGGAAAATGCGTATTTCATATAAAAAATATATATAATTTATTAAGTGAAAATAGTATACATGTATGATATTTTTGCGAGGAACATCTTCAATTGCAAGTTATCATAAATAAGAAATATTAATTAAAGGAAATGTACTAAACCTATGGAAGGGGAATGGGGGGTAATCTACCACAGACTAAGATATCATTTAGATTTTTATTACGGGTATAGGCGATAACTAAATCATTTGTAAAGACTGTTGGAAATTTTTCCTGCAATTCTTTGTAAAGACGGATAATTAATCGGGGAACTTGACCAGCTGTGTTGTTGTATTGAATAACAAAAGGTATAGTTTGGAAATCAACTTGGATGTTCATTCCCAAAGGATGCATGGTTTGTAATTTGTTTATCCAATAATTTTCGCGAATGAGTCGAATTTTCTTTGTATCAATGCCAGGTTGTTCGTATATCTGTTCAATGGGAATAATTTTCAGGTCTGTTAATTGGTGATCGAGTTGATTGAAGTGTTTTGAAACGGTTTTATTAATTTTTTTTAGGTTGATGTCAGACTTACGATGGTTGAAACGGACCCTTAACGAATTTTTTGTCTCCCCAACGTATTGTTCGTCACATTTTGTGCAAGAAATGAGATAAATAATATTTCTGTCTAGGGCTATGATTGACTGTATTTGTTAACATACAATGTATGATACAATCCAATCAAATCACTGCAATCCGTGATAGAGAAAGATTGCTATTGCAGTCAAGTTACAACACGAAGTTTGCAGTATCTTGACCATTGTGCAGATGCGCTGGCACAGGAGCTAAAGATAAATTCAATGCATAGTAAATCATAAAAGAAATTCCACACAACCAATTTATTTTTATACTTTAGAATCTAAATATAAACTTAATCATTTATTTTATGAATATAAGTCATTATTCTCAGTGTTGGCTGAATGTTGACAATGCTTTAAAATCAATGATTTTAATAATATAAAATACTGTATTTCTTCTGACTCATACATATTGACTTTCAGAAATTCTTTTTTCTCTTTACTTACTTCAAGGTTATAGTATAAATAAAGTAATGAAAATATGAAATAGTTTAGTTTAGTTTAACTCTGACCCTACCCAGTCTGCGATGCAATATTGCGTTTTTTTCCTTGTGTCTGGAATTAACAGTTATAAACCGACATGGGCAACTATCTTTGCTATTCCACTGAAAAACACTACGTGCTATGAACAAGATGTTCAATGGATAATATTTTTTGCATTTAACTACTATTGCATTTATATATTTTACAGCTATATTTGGTCATTCTATAGAAGACACTATGAAATATGAACATAAACAATTCCGCTCTGTACCATTAATAGTTGAGCTCTGTGTAGAATATTTATTAAAACATGGCCTCGAAACTGAAGGATTATTCAGGTAAGACATTTGATTTATTCCTAGACAATTTTTTTATGATAATATACCACTAAGAATTCCCTTCATTATTGACAAAGCTGTGCACATTAAAGATCCATCGACTTGTGGAAATCGAAAGAGAGCAGACCAATGCAGCTGACCTGGCAAAATTTCCGTCGTTTCATGTAGCATGGCGTTGCCCGTATTCATTAGCCCACATTGTGCAGAAAAGTAAAACCCCATTCATTTCATTATTTACGAAGAAGGAAACCCTTGCAAGAGTTTTGAACAGGTTCTGTTGGTTTCAATTCTGGTCTTGATCAAACAGTGTCACATTCAAAATTTTCCCATCTATTTCTTTCTTGGCCATTTGAATTCTGTTTACACCTACTTTACAATTAGAATGTATTCTGAGCACTGTTCGAGCTTTCATTTGAACATCAAGTTGATTCCATGAATTCTGAACTATGCAGAACTGACCAATAGAGCTACCCCCACAAGCACAACAATGGACTGTTTTGTATTACTGAAGTTACAGGCTCCTCAATTGACAATCAATATGCGATATTTTCATGTTGTTTATAATGTACTTTCAGATTACCTGGGAGAACAGTTTTAATCCGTGAACTGAAAGAGAAGTTTGACTCTGCTGATAGAGTGTCATTAGAAAGTTTAGAAGTTGATGTTCATACCGTAGCTTCTCTATTAAAACATTATCTTAGAGAACTACCCGAATCTATAGTGCCTTGTGAATTCTATCAGAAGTTTATGAACATTGCCATGAAATTTCAAAGTGCTGAAGCTGATGGTAAAAATGAATTTGTTATGGAACTTCAAACAGCTATGTATCTGCTACCAGTAGATAATTATAATATTCTCAAATATCTGTGCACATTTTTAAAATCAGTGACTGAAAAATCAGACAAAAATAAAATGACGTCTGCTAATATAGCGTTAATGTTTGGACCAAATATTATTCGGCATATGGATGATAATCCTGAACTATTATTAGTAACGGCTGATTTAAATCAACAATTGGTATATATTATGGTACATTATTTTGACACTGTGTTTATGTTAGATTACTCTAACAGAAGTACTGTGCGTGAAATACCTGTTGATGACCTCCTGGGTTTATTGGACAGTTCAACTAAACTAGAACCTCCCATAGATCCTGAGTCTAACCCAGACTGGGCAGATTTCTCTTATATTGATTGTGATGTAGAAGATATATTTACTAAAGATAAAGATTCAGAATCTAAAAGAAAATCATTGACTTTACCATTAGCTAGATATCCTAATTCTAAGGGTGATGATAATTTATTAAGTCCGGATAGTGACAAGAGTGCTAGTCTACCACGGTATGATGAGAATGGCAAACCTATTCCACCAAAACGCAAGTCGAAGATAGTGCGTGGGAGACGAATTAGTGAACGTCGACAAAATAAAAATTCAGATAGTGACAACAGTTATCCTTCAACTCCAGATAATTTATACTATGATCCAATGAAAACAGTGAATGTACAGGCGTATGTCAGTGACTTAAATGATAGAACAGCAGAATTTAACTGTCATAAGCCTGTATCAGTTACAAATAGTGCCGCTTCTACAGTATATGTTAATATTAATAACTCTTCTACTCAAACAGAAGAAAGCTCTCTAAATGGCGAAACTGAAATGAATGGAAAAGTCGAGCCAAGCGTGCCAGAGTTACATTTACAAGTGACTGCATTAAAGGATGAATTACAACGGTGTAAAAGTAAAGGGGACACAACCATCAAAGCTTTAAAATCTGAATTAACAAAAATGAAGGAGAGGTATGAAAAGCGTATAGAAACAATGCAGGTTACGAATAATACTCGGATACAAACTTTGGAACGAAAATTGGAAGAGAAAACTTTGACAGCCGATGATGCACTGGCCCGCGTTATCGATCTTCAAAGTCAGTTACATGATTATCATATGCATTATGGTGAATTAAACAATAATAATTAATAATGATAACGGGAACAATTTAAAATATTTTCTTCATGATCTTAAAATTTTGCTCAATAGTTACCTCTATATAATCAATAAGAAATTTTTATGACTTGTGTGGCGGAGGTATATTCGTCTTCATTAGCCCACATGGTGCAGAAAAGTTGGATGTAAAATCCATTCATTTCATTTCTAAACAAAGACTACTCCTCTTTGTTTTTGAGGTAGAATCAGTAGTAACAAATATATACAAGGTATGAAATATGGATGGTGTATCATTTATACTATAATGGAGCAATTATATTTGTGCACTTCTAGGGACAATTCAAGACATACACAGTAACACAAAAAGTCCACTATGGGTTTAAGAATTAATTCAAACTGTACAGTTGATCATTACTTTACTTAGGTGGAATGTTTTGGATACGACTTGGATGTGCATTATCTTTGCTCAATTACATGTATACCTAATATTTCTGTGTTTATGTTAGGAAATCTCCCAATATGTGCAAAATTTACGCTTGTAATTTTAAATCAATGAGATAAGATGCCAAAAGAAAACCTGATATTTACCATGACAACTAAAAGTGCTATTATATAACAAAAAAGTGCTTTTTAATAGTTGAGAATTAATGTATGTATAATGAATATTTTGTTATAATATTTTTGTTAATATGACGCCATCTATGGTACAGTATTAGTCATTCATTATATCTTATTTGTTACTGTCATTATAAAATATTATCATACTTTTTATATATATACATCTTAAAACTGAAAATAGTTTGTTACTTATTTACTTAGCACTCCCTCAACTTTTGAATAAACTCTTCCAAAAAATGGCATAATCAGTGTGAACTATTTTTAAAGATTTGAGACCAAACAAGTCATTCTTAAAAAATAAAAGTTAAGGCTCATTTTAAAGGTTTCATTATTATTAAATGATTCAAATTATGTACATGTAATGAAAACTCAATATTTTTGAACTATTTTTTGTTATTACTTTACACATAGGTTTAAAATGGGATCAATTTTCTTGGCAAATATTTAATTTTTTTTTGAAAGGGCTTTTATAAAGTCATATGCTATGCATATAGTCCATTAAGTTCATCATCTTATTTTTTTACAATGTTCTTATTCCTAAGGTCATCTCATATTAAGACTTCATTCAAATGTACTTATTTGTCATTAAAATGGCAGTGTGCATGGAAAATTAAAAAATAATCTTTCAAATCTAAAAACAGAGTTGAACTTTATATTTTGGTGGAATATTGAGTTAAACGAACCATTTTCAAAAAAGTTACAAGCAAATGAAGTTTATAAATAAAGGATTACTATCCCTATTAACACTTCTGAAAAAACAGAATGGTTAACGATATTAACAAAATTGATAAATCGGTGCACAAAAGGAAATTCTTATTTTGAAGCTGGTGCATAACAAGATGATAGTGAAACGAAAGCAGCTAGTAACACAGCACATGAATAGATCATTCTTAATCATACCATTTTGTTTTTGCTTTATTGGCATAAACTTATTTAAATGAGGCACAGATAATTACAGCAGCCCTAAGGTGTGCCTTCTTCCATTATCTATTCAATCTGAAAAGTGCTCTTGTTGAACTAACTACTGTATTTATATAATATTAGATGCTAAATACTGTCTTGAAAGGTTTATATTGTTATTTATGTATTGTGGTGTGGTTTTAATATTTTATATTTTGCTTATTGACTAGGGCTGGGTATCAATTTTTAAATTGAGATTTGTTATTGACAACAGTCCTTGATATCAATCAATAGTCAAAATATTTGTCTATGTTACAATCACTATTCAACCAAAGTAGTTAAGCAGTCTTCCATGTTGATATTATCATTTATTTTACATGGGTCAAAAATAGGACCAATACAGATGGACATGGTCCTGTCTTACATTCAGCCCAATATCATAGTTCATTGTGAGTCAGTTATGAGCTGAAGAGAAAATTGTGTTGAGACACTTAATTATGAAATTTGATAGTCGATAATCGAGCGACGATAAATGATTATTTTACCCGGCCCTAATATTGACAAATAGCATAAATATTTCATTGCTCAAAATTATTATACTTATAACATTATACATTTTATTTAAATACAATGCTTATTACTTTAAATTATATAATGTATGTGCCCTAGCTCAAAAATCAGAAAACCTACATTCCTTATGTATTACGGTAATTTTACATAGTTTTTATGACATTATTTGAATAAAATTGTAATTATTTTTAGCAGCAATATCATTAATATAATTTCAAACCACATTCAATAATTTGAAATGTCTTATTTTTGTAAGTTTGTGAAAAGGCCAATATATATCAAATATATTTATCAAGAGCAAGTAATATTTGCCACATTGTCCAAGCGTTAAATCCTGTCCTTTGTACCAATTAATTACAGATCAGGTTTCTTGACAACCCAATTTTTCCATGTGAATAAACTTACCCAATGTTACACCCATGTCTTGCTTTTGTTTATATTGAATTGTAAGTCTTCCCTATGTTGAGGTATACATTTTATAATAAATTAAATTTTTAAATCCTTATTTGTTTTTCACTGTTTCTCAATTGTAAGCATAAACCTTGATAGTTGTGTACTAACAGAAATCCAATGAGATTTGTGCAGCTGGTGGTATTGCCCAGATGAATTTATTTATTGTTGCATATAAACCGTTACGGCATTCAACAACTTTGCTTTTATATAGGTTTTCTTTTTTTCCATGGTCACTGTCCATTGGGACATTGTTTAAAGGGAGATATGTTTTGCTTCTAAATACAAAGGGAAATGGTTCATTTATTTTACATGGGGATATCAAATTGCTGAAACATTAGCCATGTGAAACTTTGTATTCACCATCAAAACTAGGTTACATTCTATTCTTTTGCTAGTTTGACATTTTTCTGTGAAACTTAGTCTTTGTACTATTTCAATTGATTCTGCTATTTCAGGTAAATGCAAATGAAGAAGACATGATCTGACAAATTGGGACACACGAGATTTGATGTGATGAAGGTTATTCAGAGCTTAGGAGTTAGGGGAAATACTGATAACCTGTAAAAAATATTGCATATTATGGCCCACATGATATAGACCTTTTACTGCTGTGTTGCAAATGCAAAAAAGAAAAAAAAATTATTGTACAAGTTGATTATTTATTATCATATGATTAACCAAATAACTGACCATGTCTCAGACAGAATATCTTTCAATGACCAACACATTTTGTCTGGATTCATTTCAAATTGATAAAATTTGAACAATCATAATAGTATGCAACAATTCTTAGAAATATGAAGAAGATGATTAAATTATGAGAGACATAAATCATTAATCCAATGATAATAACATAATTATTGTTATCATGAAATCTTTCATACAAAAAAAAATGAATGAAAAACATTGCAACCCATATCATCAACACAAAATTAACCATATAAAAGCTCATTATCTTTGCATACGCACAAATTGGAGCTTTCACTTTCTGAAACTTTTCACAATTTAGACGATGGAACATCCGGTCATCAAAATAGCTCTTGAATGACATATCTTACATTATTTCCTGTGGATACTCATTTTAACATAAAATTGATTCTTTATATACATTTCCGAAATAGTTATTAAAATGATTCACCGCAGCAATCTATCGGCCACGTCCTCCTCTAAAACTACCTCCTCCTCCACGACCAAATCCTCCTCCGCCACCACGACCATAGCTGCCGCCTCCTCCTCGACCACCGCGTCCTCCTCCTCTACCACCAAAACCACCACGTCCTCCTCCTCTACCACCAAAACTACCACGTCCTCCTCCTCTACCTCTTCCTCCTGAAATATAGGGCAATAAATTTTATACTTCCAGCCATGATAATGATTATTGATAGGTCATCGATTCCATATATTTACTAATATCTTCTGATATCCACTACACATAAGTAAGTGTGTAAGATATGTTTTTGGAGGACTATTTCTAAGTAGGTTTTAAGGAAAACTCCTCTTACCTCCCCTTCCTCCACCTCTTTTCTGTACAGAGCCTTTAGGTTGAGGTAAAAATCTTTGTAATGGTAACAATTTATAAGGATCAATGAAAAACTAAAAAAAAAACAGAAATATTTTCAAAAATTATGGCAAACATTGAAAGAAAAATATTTTATTTGTTAGTGACATGAAAAAAAGGATGAAATCAAAGGCACACATGGGGAAAAAACTGAAAACTGTAAACTGAAAGTAGACAAATTGCTTTGACACATGCTTTGTGAATCATTAAGAGCCAAATAAGGTGCAGAAAACATAAGACTATCATTGCCATGTATTATCAGTTAGATGATAAAGAACAATACTATAAAATTAGAAAGGACACTTTGGTTTCATAAAGACTATTCAAGATATTTACTTACCTTAGTTTCTTTAGAAAAGGATTTTGCTTTCATACCATCTGATAATTTAACAGAAAAAAACTAATCAAAGTTAAGGAAATATCTTTATAAATAACATAGGTCATTTATTAGCTATGATCCTACTAGCATTATCTTCTGTCAGATAAATTCAAACAACATTTTCTAAGATATTATCCACACTCATTTCATATAGCAGTCATAATTTTGATTCATCTGATAGAAAATAAAGAATTTTTAAGTATTCATTTATCAATCACAAAATATACATTTATCCATGATCAACAGTGATTTTAGTCATGTTGGATAAAAATTACATGAATATGACAAAAGGATACAAAATCTTTAATTGGTCCAAAAATTTCATCCACTTTACCAATCTGCTGTTTATTTTCTATAAATACTGGAGCATTGAAATATGGTACTTTCTCATTGGTACATTTACAAACAATATCACTTTCACAAGGATGAACATATTCTCCCAGTTCTGCAAAAGAAAAATTATTTCACTGTTATCAAGATATGTTTTCTCAGGTTAATTTCCTTTTAAAGTAAAATTGAAAAACTATGAACATGACCCCAATTCCTTTTAAACTGAACATGCAATATTTGTTTAGCCTAAAAGTTATATTTTAACTTTGGACTTACCTATAACTGATTCAGGTGGACCTTGATCACGATTAAATCCTCCTCGACCACCTCTTCCTCCTCCTCTGAATCCTCCACCACCCCTACCACCTCCACCTCTAAACCCCCCACCTCTTCCTCCTCCTCCACCTCGCCAAGACATAACAATTCACTTCAGTCTAAAAAAAAATAATTGCCATATCTAATTAAAGTTAGAAGAAGCATAAAAAGTAGTCTCCAATCATTTCAATCATATTAGAATGCCCCTAGTCCAAACTTTTACAAAGTCGTATTTATGCAAAACAAAAGTGATTGAGAGATCTTAATGTGCATAGTCTGTACTAGCTGAATTCTGGGTCTTCCCCATTCTTACAGCTCACGTTAGCGTGCATCTTACTCACAGAGACACTGTAGCACCTTCCTAGACTTTGGAGGGCTGAGCATATATTTCAGAAAAAAAGAATCTTTTCCATATATTTAAAAGCCGCCACTCAAAATACTTGAATGCCTCCCTTCCAACCTGAATAAATGAATATTGTGTCTTAGAGTTAGACAATGTGCAACGTATCTCATTGCCACACGCCATGAGATACGTTGCACAATTTAAAGAGTACACATACATTTCATGCTTACTTATTTGGAGAGAGATATGAATATAATGTGTACAAATATTTGGAAATTGACAGTTGTCCCTGAAATTACCTATTTCTAATATCTGCAATTTTGTACTTTGATGTTTACAAACAGACGCACGTGTTTTTGTACTGATAAAAAGTCTTTGATATTTACGACATTGTCTAGAACTTAAATTTGTTAAAAATTATAACTTTTGAAGTTATCTAACAGTTTTATCTATTGATTCTACAATTCTATGTCGATTTATGTCTTTTGTGTCATGTACATATATCAAAATATTTTGCAAATAAAACTTTTTGGCAAGATTTTTCACGATGTGTATCACGACATTATATAGCATTAGTAAAGCCAAAAGGAAATAGATACGGTGGGTATATTTTGCCCACATCGCAATCAATATATTCAAATAATCTTGGCACTTATGTCAGATGGACTGTTATTATGGCTTAATGTTCAATATAACATTCAGCTATTGGAGGCCTACCCAATCAGTTATCAATATGCACTGGAAAAACATGGCTAATCAATAAATAATGCGCTAAAAATCTGCAAGACTTCTAGGCCTAAAATTGTCAAACCTTTTTTTTCATGTCATTATCATGAATTTAATTTAAGAAATACTTTATGAAGTACTGAAGGGGTTTGAAGTTATTTTTTTGTATCTTGATCATATGCTTTCTTTCAGAAAGCGCCAAATTGGTTTTGTGGCCGTCAGATTCCAGATTTACTACGTGGTGAATAGCAGCAACCGTTTCATTCCCATTTTCAGCATTTGGATATTTCCGGTTTACCAACGACTTGAAAACACCGAATAGAAATATAGTGCTGCAAAGGTTGAACGACAATAATTATGCCTCGAGAAAGCAGGTTAATATCTACTTTTAATATCATTTTAATTTTCTTGCCATACCATACATATTGTGAGGCATATAGGACTACCCATCAATCCTGTCGAACTCAAAGCACAATGTTATCAGAATAGGTTTCTTGCAAATCTTTTTTTTTTGTACAGCCTAAATGATAAGCTGAAATTATGAAATTAATCTCTTTTGAATGTCAATGTGGCTATTACTATGAGGCATATTTTTTTCTCTCATTTATCGCATGTGTTTTTTGTCTTATATTTACAGATCTTACAGACGTCGATCAAGGTCAAGATCAAGGAGTGTTTCACGAGAAAGAAAAAGAAAAAAGAAAAGTCGTTCTAGAAGTGTTGAAAGAAAACGATCACGATCCAGAGATAGATCAAGAAGAGATAGATCTAAAGATAGAAGAAGATCTAGAAGTAGATCTAGAGATAGAGACAGAAGAAGAAAAAGAAGATCTAGATCACGTTCTCGTTCTAGAGATAGAAAGTAAGTGAAAGTTAGCGTTAAACTACTTTATTCAGCTGTATGCAACAAATGTGTTGGATTTTTTTGAATTTATTTAAACTCAATCAAGATAACTCACTTGAAACAACTTAGAAGTCATTACACAATATTTGTTTTATCTACTTCAATTTGTCCTTAATAAGCTATTTTGTTACATATTATAATGATAAATTCCATTCTTACTCAGGAAATCAAAGAAAGGAAGATCTAAATCACCAAGTAAAGTGAAGAGTTGTTCACCAAGTAAAGAGAAGGTTATTCACAGAGAGGGTGCATTAACAGTTAAAGATGAACCTCTTAACAAAGTAATTCAATTGATATATATTATTATGTTTTTGAAATGTATTAAATATGAATCTCTATTTAGTCTGACGTCTCAATTTACAGATTTGTGACTAGGCAATTCTTGCTTATAAATGTGACAATGAGTTCTAAGTTGACAGATGCTGTTCAGTTCTTTAAAGCTGCAGTAGAATAGCTCTGTAAGAAGCAGATTATCGTCTGTTGAGGTGATAAGGTTTTGTTTGTCGAATTCTGCTCAAAGTAAGAAAAATTCTTATGCCATTGCAAGTGCTGAAAACCCAGGTTGCTAAAGACTGAATGGTTGTGATTTGTCATACAATTTTTACCTGAATGTATTGTATTACATTATTTTGAATTGCAATAGGAAGAAGAACAGAAAAGATTAGAAATGGAGATGCAGAAACGAAGAGAAAGAATAGAACAATGGAGAGCAGAAAGAAAGAAAACTAAAGAATTAGTGCCTATAAATATAGCACCACCAACTAAAACATGGACGCTAGAAGATGAAGATGATGATGATGAAGATGTAGAATCAGAAGAGAAAAAAGCTGGTGATGCTGATGAAGTGGACCCATTAGATGCTTACATGCAGGTTTGTATATATTCTTTTATGGGATAGTTTAAGCCTTGAAAAAAAAAATAAAAAGCCCAAAATTTTTAGCTCAACCCAAACAAAATGAAAGTATGTGCACCCTGTGTTTCAATTCGATTTGATTCTTACCGTTATTTTTTATTTTGGATAATTGTTTTATTAATGAGATTGTTTGATATTCCTATAACATATTTATTTTAGTCTGTTACTGATGAGGTCAAACAAGATAAGAGTCAACCAGAAAAAATGGACACTGGTTCATCAGTAAGTATAGTAATCTTCAAAAGTTTTATTTCTTGTTTTTTGAGTTCTGCTGAAATGTTAAAGAACAAAAGAAGGCATTCAAGTAATAGAAATGTAATTAGGCTACATACTCTCATTATTCCTCTTTTAGCTAAAGAACTTGTGCTATAGTTAATCTGGGTCTTCAGGTTTTCAACGTTTACTCTTAATATGATAAAAGTAGCTGCCATTTTAGTTACATGGAAGCATTGTCATAAATGCTTTAGTACTTGGTTTCTACAATTCTTAGATTACCTTTGACAATAATTCTATAACATAATATGTGCCTATGATTATTTAAACTATGTTTTAGAACAATGGTACTAATGCTAATGGGACAACTGTAGTAACTACCACTGCTCCCACTACTGGTAAAGTAACATTTATTACAGCAGTAGCCAAAAAGAAAGCTGAACCTATTTTTAAAGGTGAATTAATGGAGAGCAATCAAGATGCTATGGAGGTTGGTTTTATTTTCAGTTTAATATCTATGTTTAACCTACTGGTATGTTTGTAATGGCTGTGTTGGTGTAAATCTTGCTGTCAATTGTGGGTCTACAAGAGACATATGACTTATTTCGAAATTTGATGCAATTAATCTTAAATCCTATTCATGTTGGAAAAAAATTTCATCGAGAACTGAACTGAAAACATATACTATGAAATTTTTGTGAAATTAAAGTGTCTTTAGTGAAATATTTAGGGTGAAGACAAGAAAACCTAGATTGAAATTGAGTTTTTAGATGTCTTCTTAAAAGTGTTTTTTGTGTTTCTGATTTCAGTATTCATCTGAAGAAGAGGAGGAAGGTATAGATGTGACTATGGCTAATATTGATAAAATGAAGAAAAAGGTCAGATTACCTCCCTTGTATTACTAAAACAATAATTATAACAAATTAACAGTATTAGCTATGACAAACCCAGTTGCACAGTGCAATCTAGTGTTGCAGAACAGTGAGCATGTCTGGCTCATGAGCGAACTAAGCACAGTACTAATTTAAGAAGAGCTGTAAATTCGATGATATCCATATACTCAGGAACTGTCCTGACTGATATAAGTACTGGGTATATGGAAAATATATTCAGGTTAGCATGATTTGTGCTGTAATTGGGAAACCATGGTAGTTGAAGGTTACATACTTCTAGTTCGAATATTTTTATTGTACAGATGTAATATGTTTCTCAGGCTGTTTATACTGACAACCTCATTATTGATGAACAAAATTAATTATCATAAGGCATCATTGACATCATTTTCCATATCTTTACAGGACTTAGTAGTCGTGGATCACACAAGAATTTACTATGCTCCATTCCGTAAGAATTTTTATGTGGACTGGAAGAGATTAATAGGTATAGCTAAAACGGGTAGTGGTAAAACACTGGCATTCTTATTACCCATGTTCCGTCATATACTAGATCAACCTCCACTAGATGAAGAAGATGGTCCCATCTGTAAGTTTTATGTTCTTTTATAAACAAGGTTAATGCTCTGCAATATCTGGGCAATATAATATATATAACTTAGATGTTATTAGGACAAGGTTATGTTAGTGGTGTAACATCAGCGTTGTCGACAATTTGTCACCATTTTCACAACTTTCAAAAGTTAAAAACCCAATGTCTTGGAAATTTACAACATTGACCCTATGAACATGGTAATTGCTAGAAGAATGAGGTATTAGACCAGCCCAATTCTTCGTTTTTTTTCTTGATGCTAGAAAATTACTCCCCCATGTCCATTTGTCCTACTTAGAATTATGTATCGGAAACCTGTGTTGGCAGTATATGAGCTCTTGTCAAATGGCTTCCTTACAAAATAACCCCCCAAAAAATTAAATTAAAGTTAAAGACAAGACAAAAAAATGCATAAAAAATATAGAATTTAGCTTTTATTCTTAATTAATAGTTTTCAAAGAGATAATGTTCTTTTGAACAAGATTTTGATGGTAATAAACTATTTGACAATCTGAATGAAAATATTTTTCTTGCTATTAAAATCTCTAACAATGGCATTGATATTGTATAGATTCTCAATGTCTATTCTGGGAGATGCTTTGTTTACTCGTTGACATGATTAATTCTAAATTATGATTGCATAGAAATCAATATATAAGTAGAGAAAAATCATTGACTTTTGATGGGAAAGTCTTTTTTGATTTTTTGAAGTATTCCTCTTCACGATATTCCAGGTTTCTATAATTAACTGAATAAGAAAACACTGTTAACTGAATATTTTGAGACTATAAGGCTATAAGTAAAATATCGTGGGTGAGCTCTTGACACCTCGTATTCTGTACTATAATAGGAGTTATTGAGTGAATAGGTCACAATACTTGAACTATAATTTGAGGTTTAAATTGTCACAGAATGAAAACCGTGTATAGCGGTTGATTTTAACCAAAATATCTACAAACAGTATTGGGTATTTCCCTCGAAAGCTAAGTTGGTGTCATGGAATTGATACATAATAGCAATAATTTGACTTTTTCAAATTTTCATTCAAATTTATTTTCTGTATTATGAGGATCGGCTTACATGTGGTTTTGATTTTCTCACAAAACATCTTTCACTTATTTTTAACAAGGTTTCCATTGATTTTAACTCCTCTTGTGAAGCTCCAGATTGACCAGAAGGTGGAGCAGCTGTAGATTGACCAGAGGAGGTAGCTTCAGATTGACCAGAAGATGGAGCTGTAAATTGACCAGATGACGTAGCTTCAGACCGACCAGGATCTTTTGAAGTTTCTGGGTCCTTTAAAGTTATAAGTTTTACTGACTCACTTGGGTTTACAGGTTGGCTATGATAATCAGATGTATGACTGTGGGTTCCTATTGGATTGTCTGAATGGTCTGGACTTTTGGATGTACTAGGGACCACTGATGCATTTGAGATTACAGGTTGATTTTTGTCTTCTGTAGGGATCTCTGATATGTTAAATAGACTTTTGCTAATTGAGTAATCATCATTAATTTTGTCATTTTGTTCTCCTCTTTGACTAAAAACATCATCAGAAACTGTTGTCTGATCATCTGTAGACTGTAACTGAGAAGAAGAGGTGGACCTGGTGGACATCAGTTCTTCAGCCTCTCTTAGCTGTCTCTCTCTTTCACTACGTGATGGATATCTAATAGTGGTTGGTGGTTCCCGTACAACTGGTCTCTTGTAACGTCGAGATAGTTTAGGACTGTATCTTTTTGGTTTGGTAGGTGATGATTTCGCTGTATTTGATGCAGTGGGTGATTTAGGAAGATGAGATTTAGCATGTCGTACAGGAGGTATAGCTGGTGCTGGAATAGGCTTGAAATAGTTCCTCTCATTCACTCTCTTTTTAACACTTTGTTTTTTCTGTTCAGTGTCTTCTGTCTTTGTTTGTCTCTGTTGAACAGATCTGTTATGTGTTACTTTTGGAGAATGAGACCTCACAGTCCTTCTTTTCACAGTTGGTGATTTTTGGGTAGAAATTAGTCCTGCACTAGGTTTTGGAGTTGAATGTTTTGAAAGAACTTTATCATCACTTTTCACAGAAGATTGTGTTTGCACTTTGGAAGATGAAGCTAAATGTTTATTGTTTGTTTGAAGTAGAAGAGTTTGTTTGGACTGATCTTGTTCGTCTGAATGATTTAAGATTACATTAGATGATTTTGAATGTGTCATTTCTACATTTTGGGATGAAGTTCCATTTGCTTTATTTTCCACAAGAGAATTTGTTGACTTATCAACATCTTGAGCAGCTATGGACTCTGCGTCCTCATCAGGAACATGTTTATTTAAATACTCCATTAATCTGGCAACTCTGTCTTCAACATCCTCTAAATTTCGACTAGGTTCTTTTTCCTTTTTCACTTCTTTCTTCTTTCTGGTCTCTTTGGATCCAAGTTCTTTTTGTGCTGATTGTAAGTAATCATCTTCTTCAGGTGTGGTATCAGATGCATCAATCACAAAACTATTGGAGGATTTCACAGATTCTGTGTCTTTATTAGTCATCTCAATCAGAGATTTTGTCAAATTTTTCATTTTCTCTGCTTTATAATCAGCATATTGATCTGGTAAAAACCATTCGTCATAATTTTCTTGTAAATATTCTTTATGATCCATATTGTTATCCTGTTGATTGAGGTCGGATGATGTGAGACTAATACCACTGTCTTGTTGATGTTTGGGTAGTAATCCATGTCTAGGACTAGCGGAATGTTGTGGTTCCATGGTTCCTGGCACAACACTAGTATCACTATTGTCTTTTATACTAACTTTATTACCATGTTCATTTGGAAAATTGGAATCGTGTAATCCTATTGTACCATTTCCATGGGAATATAGATTGTTTCCATTATTATTGTTTATAGATACTTGAGAGGCATGTTTTATATCAGATGTACTTGTTTTTAAAATGTCAGGAAGTTTATCAAAAGACCTTTTATTTGGTTCCGTTTTTATTGGTTCCTTGTTTATGATATTTGGTAGTTTTAGAACACTGGCCATAACTTCTTTCCATATAGGTCTGAAAGAAAATAATACAGTAGTTTATAGATCAATGTTTAACCAAAGTTAATAAAAAATTAACCAAAATTAGAAATTTAAAGTTTGTTCATGAGAAATGAAATTGTTTTTTAAAAGGTCAAAATTTATTTTTGTCATGAAGGCATACCCTATTTCAAGCTTGGAATACTAGTCAGTCAACCAAATTTTACTGATTATTTTTATGCGAATTTGAAAATTTAATTTGCTTGAAAATAGACCTTGTATTATTTGAATGACTCTGTGTTGGTAAAAATATAGAAATATGCACTCATTATCATTTTGAATTTTGTGTATACAGAGGAGAAATTTTGGTCAAAATAAGAGATATTTTTGGTTGAATTTCTAGGAAGATGGTGTTTCCATTCCTTTTCTACTTTAACAAAAATTATATTTTTATCAACACCAAATAGCTCTTAGACTTAGTGTTGTTTTCACTTTGAAATGATCGACAAAATTTGATTTATCAATGAATGTAGGGAATAGATATTTATCATTTATATGTTTGTTTTACCATATGCCATGAAAACAGGACAATATGACAATGCTATTAAGTAATGGAACATTTTTATCATTACTGAGTGAGACAGTTTACACCTTTACTAAACTTCAATCCAGTTAAATTTCAACGTGTTTTTTAAAAAATTTTCAAGCATGGAAGTTAACACATGTTTTTCAAAAAAGACATTTGACAATTTATTTTAGGTATCAATATAGATTTGATGGAATTGTGTCATAATGTAATTATCTTCACAATGTCAAGCTATTACAAACATTGTACTTATACCTTGACATCAATAGTCATCTTTCTTGTATTTTAATTTTTTTAAGTATGTAAATTCATACAGCCAATCAGAGGCTACAACACAAAGCCTAAATGTTTACAGCCTTTCTGTCCAGGGCTCTGATTGGTTGTATCCACTGGTATACAATCCAATCAAACTGCTGCATACCTTGATACAAGATTAGTTGCTATTGCAGTCAAGGTTTAAGAACAAGGTTTTTAATAGCTTGACATTGTGAAGATATGTGGTATATATGTCTGACTTTATAATAAAAAGCTACAAACAAAACATCTTTGTTTCTTTGATTACATACAAATTCTAAACTGAAAATGACACTCAATTATATCAGAATTTTAATGCCAAGATGAACAAAATCTATATCTTGATAAATGACTAGGGATGAATTGATCAAACAAAATTTTAAAAATTATTTGATTGTGGAATGTTCATTGTCTACCAGATCAAAGCTAGAAACATAATATAATATATTCATAAAGTAGCTTTCTACTTTTCTACTGTTGAGGGATTTTACTTGTAGAAATATTATCTAAAAGTTTAATCATTTTTAGTTGTTATTTGAAAGATCAAATGACAATTCACTGAAGCATACCATGATGAAAGTAACTTCTAAAAAGACTAAACAGAAATTTCATTTTAGTAGATTCTTTAGAAATAAATTGTATTACTTCTAAAACATTGATATTATTAAATACTTTGGCACCATTGAACAGATAGTAATGAACAGATTAGTAAAAAAATTATGATATCTAGAAATGTGTTAACTGCATTTGTCCATTCCCAACTAAAACTGGTAAAAATAATTGACAACTAGATAAGTTATTACCAAACGTAAAAGCCACATATTTTTAAGTTACCTAATGGCACTATAAGATAACTATTTTTAGGCATATTTTTAAGGAAAAAAGAAAGCATTTGATATAGTTTTGATATAAAATCTGATGAAAATTTTTTGGGTCATATTCAGATATTTCCCTTTTGATTTAAAGGATTAAATTTGGAAGGCTTTATATTCACTTACAGACAGATCAAATTTTACACTTAAAAATTATTTTCTGTAAAACTGCAATATTCTGTTTTTGTATGAAATATCTCAAAAAGATGGTAGCTATTTTTATAAGAAAAAAGGTACCCTATAGCCCAAGTTACATTTGATGGTTTTCAAAACGTAACTGCAAATAGCAAATACAAGCTTTATTTCTAGAATTAGAAATGATCAAATATAAGAAAAAGAAAATTTTACCTTTTAATAAGAATTACATCTTTCACAGTGAGAAAACTAGAAATTATGACGTAGATTATTAAAGTTTTTATTAAAATTCTACCTTAACTACAGTCAATAAATATCCCAGCTTAGTTTTCCTTCTTTTTCTCTCCTTCACCAATCAATAATCAATAAAAATCTTTACAGTTGGGTACCTTTAAATTCCTTACAGCACAATTCTTAAGTTTATTAAGAAAACTTGGGTACACGACAAAACCATCTCGTCTATGTTTTGTTTTGGTAAGTGAAAGGTTCATTCAATAGTACTTCTGACTGGCAATAGCCAACTGAACTAGAAGTTGTTTTTGTAATAATCAAATGATGGGTCCAAAAATTAATGTCTCAATACACTACTGTCTACTGATGTTTGCATTTTTATATGCACTAGAACCTGTGTTTATAATAAAGGAATTAACTGGATAGATGCACCATTTATTTGACCAATCGTACCTTAGTCTTGAGCGAGAATTTGTTGGCATGGCCAAATAGTGTTCACAGCTCACTGTCGAAATTTGAGCCTTCAAATCCAAGTGTGTTAAAAATTATTTGTGCTTGAAGGTTAAAAAGGCAAGTCAATGCCATATATAGAAATATAAAGAAATTTCCTAGTTAGAGATATTTTTGAAGGAATTGTGCAATTTTCATACTTTTCTAGTATTTCTGAACACTATTTACATATATTCAAGACTCAAATCAACCCCCTAAATAGATTTAATTTAGTTTTATTTGATTAATTCATGCAATTTTGTTAAATCCATTTAAGACACGAGTTAGAAATGTCTTTATGTTAAATAAATATGGAAAAGCAATTAATCTAAATGTTCCATTGAATTATATGACTGAATGTAATCTACCAATTTATTCAAGGTTGGAATTAGACTTTAACATACATAATATATTGAAATGTAAATGATAACAGGGTCGGCACCATATTGCATTTTGTTTGTTTAACCCTGTTCCTAAAGAAACTTACTTTCATGGTTTTGGGCACAATTTAAAGGTTCATAGCTTCAATCTGTAGACTAGAGATTCTCTTGCTATACATTTGTAGTTCAGGCATCTTGATTTCAATTTGAGATATTTTCAAAGAGAGGATGGAAGATATATTTCTTCAAAAACATTGTAAAATATTGGTTGTACCTAGTTTCTAAAATAAATTGAATAATGTTGTGGAACTGTTTTATTTTCAAGAATCTTTCAAAACAAGCTTTTATTTCAGGAATACTACAGCTAACTTTTATAGAAATTACATAACCTATTATTTGAGGAACTCTATCTTTATTTTAGTAACTATAGTGTTATAGTGATGCAACTAATTATAATGATTGTAATTATTGGACTGTTATAAATAAACAATGTTATCAGCGTAATATTACACACTTTAATTGTTACAATCTTCTGTCTCATTAAAAATCTCTATAACATTTCTATCATATTACTATTTAAACATAGTATTTTCAAATGTTAAAAATTCTCATGAAAATCAGAAAATGAAAAAAGGTTTCAGGTTTAAAGTTTTAAGGTTAGTCCGTGCATGTAAAGAGATAAAGTCTTTAATACTTAACTTTATTTTCAATGAAACTCAATTTTACATTAAAAAACCTTCAGAATGAGACAACAGAGGTGACAACTAGTCTAAGAAAGATAAGAAAGCAACAACTAAGCTTATATTTTTACAAGGATGAAAACTTAGGTTCACTTAAGAGACTTTCAATCAGCTTTCCTTAGACAGAACTACTAGTACTACTGGTAGAGAATGATGTCTGCTGCTGGTGAAAATTTAAAATGAAATTGAGTAAGGAATGACTTGCTCCCATGGTTTCTTCCGATTCTTCTTCTGAGTCTTGATACTGTGTTCTTCTTCTGTAAAATTCTTCTTTTGTAGATTCTTCTTATGTCAGTTGCTTCTTTATAGTGATAGCAACGTGCTCATCTTCATATCTGTCTTCTTCTGTGATACTTTTTGACGAGCTATCAGTGACCAAGTCCCCATACCTATGAGCAGGGTTAACCCAGGACAATTAACAGCTAGGTCCACTGCAACAATGTGGAAAGATAACTTGTTTAATGTTGCCAGACTTTCACAGAGATTGGAACTTAATTGAAGTAACCAAGTATATGACTTTGTGTAAAGTTTCCAGCACCCTTACAGACTATGCTACAGAATGACTTATTTGTCAATCTTCACCCTGAAAGGCAATTTCTATTAATATATACATTGAATTATAATTGGTTAGGAAAGTCCTGATTTTATATATGAGATGAGCTGCAGTTTTTATTGAGAAATAGCTACTAGAGGACTATTCACCCTTAATAATAATATACTCATTACATTACTGATATACATGAAATTTTTATTAGTTTCAGGTATTTCTATAATAGTTTACATACACTATTTCTATTTATCTTTGACTTATCGCCCTATTAATTTAATTGATTTTTCTTACTTTACTTTGATTGACAATTGAATTCTGGTATAAGTTATTAATGTCTCTATATATATTTGGAATAAGAGAAGTAGGAATTGAAATTTTTGCTGATTTATTTTTAAGCATCCTGAAACAAAAATGTAACATTTACTTAACAAATAAACTGAACTCATTTTTTAAAAACTTTTCAAAGGCTGATTCTGAGAGCTATACAGCTTATATAAACTTAAAGAGGCATTATGATTTTGTCATGGACAAAAAATTTTGTACAAACTTATGACAACTATACACCAAAATCTAATTAAATGTGTCCCTTAACGTATCTGAAAGTTTTCACTAAATCAATCTTGCCTTTAATTTTTTAACACCAAAACTATTTAAAACTTTTCAAGTTCATTATGCTTTTGGTAGGCGTTAAAAAAACTACTGTACTGATGAAGGAAAATAAATGCCTAATTGACAGAGAGAAATATGTAGAAATGTTGACCCTTTACATAACTGACTTTGCCAGAAGATTTATCTGCAAAACTGAGTGGAATTTAGTTCAAGAAGGAGAGAATTTTGATCTTTTATCATAATTTTACAATTTCTCCACTGCTGGTGTTTTTAGATATACAAGAATGACAGTGATTTAGTAGGACACATTGTTAGTACTATACTTATATCAATATTTCTATATCTATATATACATAGATCATAAATAAAGCTGATTGGTGCTCTTTAAAGCCAATGTTATTTTTACCTGAAAGAAAGGAAGTAGGCAGTATTTATTACCATGGCAACAAACATTACCTCTATCAACATCCATTTTAGTTTTCAATGTCTTTTAACTTCGACTCAATAAAGTCATCAACATTACAAAAATAAACATTTGAAGTGGGTATCTTGTGAAAATAACTGTATAAGAGATCAATATAGATTGATAGTATAATGTAATTTTAATAAATGAAGTCATGTTGATTATAATGATATACTTGTATCTCAGTCTATTAGCTAATTACTCTAGCTATATTGTATCATTAAGTCTTATATATTATATGCTTTATCATCTATTTCACCTGGTGTCAATATTTAACTTTTCTAGGTCTGGACTGAAGTAAGACAACGCCTCAAAGCGTTGACCTTAAACCCATCATTGCCAGGGGTTTGTGTCATTTATTTGCACAATTCCAATTTCAGTCTGTGGTTCTTGCAATTCCATTTAAACTAATCATTTTATGTCAAAGCTATGGCAAAGACCCTTATATTTTTCTAGTAGCTTTGACTATAGTGATGTCTTATACAATTAAGCATTAACCACAAAATCTGAAGGAAAATGAAATGGTGTAAAAAAAAAAACAACTAAAAAGCCTTTTCAAAACCATTTATATTGCATAATTATATTTGATCTATTATAGGTGTTATATTGACCCCTACTAGGGAGTTGGCATTACAAATAGCATCAGAATGTAAGAAGTTTGCTAAACCTCTTGGATTACAGACAGTATGTGTTTATGGTGGTACAGGTATATCTGAACAAATAGCTGAATTAAAACGAGGTTGTGAGATTATAGTCTGTACACCAGGCAGAATGATTGACATGTTAGCAGCTAATAATGGTAATTTTATTTTTTATATACCCATAAACCTGGCCTTTGTTTGCAATCTTTTGGGTAGGAGTGCCAATCCACTTAGCATGTATGTGTCCTAATAAGCTCCTTTCTGTCAAGGGAGTCAAAATAAGCCATTAATCCATGAAGCTATTGTAAGTTTTGTTTCAACAAATTACACATCACCAGCATTTCAAAATATGCCCATGCGCCATTATTTGCCTAAATCCTGGAACAGGTTGCCCAAAATTATGATTTTCATTCACCTATTTTGAGAAATGATACCATGATATTTGCTGGTATCCTACAAATTTGACTGGGCCTCTAGAAATTGTGTATCACCAGCCCAGTTTGTTCTTTATTTCAATCCCTGATCACTAAATAACAGGAGCTGAATTCTTATGAAAATGCTATTTTATACAACAATTTTTGAAACTGATTTCCAGAGATAAGTTTGCCTTGGCAAACGAAAATGTTCTATGAAGATGTAGGGACTTGAGTATGTCACACATACGGTGTAATCCTTCTTCATTCTATTTAACTAGGCAATATATTTGTTCCTATGACAAGGCGCTATATTTCAGTATGAAATGATGACATCCCAGAGAAGCTGTTCAACATATTCATGGTATATATTTCATAGAAATATATCAATCAATTTATTTTCCATTAAAAGTTCTATTTCTAAAAGAGATTTTATCATTGATTATTTCAAACAATATGAAAGATTTTTTTAATTTCCAAACAAACTTTTAGAAATAGACTTGAATTTATGATATGGTAAGTGTATGTTAGCATGCATGGTTACTAGATAGTCGAAAGATTGCAGATGGTTTAAAATAGATCATTTTTGTCATTATATTTTTATCAGTTTCAATTAAAAAATGTGACTGGTTTTCTGTCAGATTGACATTTACAGGCAAATTTTGATTTAAGTTATTTATTTTAATTTAGAGAATGCAGAAAAGTAGGACGTAAAACTCCATTCATTTCATTTCTTTTAATGAAGAGAAGATAATAAATGAGATTTTTGAATTTTTTGGCAATTCTTAAATTTCCCATTTCATCAGCAGATATTTTTTACTTCCTGAACTGGATAAACAGGATTTTAATCTGAAAATATAATACTTGGCTACATTTATACAACTATCCTCTTATCCTCCTAAATTCAACATTTAAATCCCCCTTTCTTCAGGACTGTTTATTTTTAACCCAAACCAGACACATTTTTGCACAGCGTTTTAGTTTTCTGTGATATTATTTAATCATCTTTGATAAAAGAAGTATTGTTTAATTACAGGAAGAGTAACTAATTTAAGAAGATGTACTTATGTTGTTCTTGATGAAGCTGATAGAATGTTTGATATGGGATTTGAGCCCCAGGTAAAATTTCTTTGAAACTGTCGTGATATTTCCTTACAAAGGTCTGTCATCTGCTTTATGAATACCTCTCTAGCTGTAAATGGACATAGCATTTTCAGAAGTTGTCAGCCTTCATGTTTGAGTGAAAGTTGACATCAGTTGACTTTCAGAAGCACTAGCTGTGGCATCTTATGAAGGAATCTAACACAGAGCACTTAATCCACTAGCATAAGACATACAAACATATACAGTTTGAAAGTTTTTTTTTCAATTCGCTATAATTGTATCATATAAATGTAATATATTTCTATTCCAATAGGTAATGAAGATTATAGATAATGTAAGACCTGATAGACAAACAGTCATGTTTTCAGCAACATTTCCCAGACAGATGGAAGCTCTAGCTCGTAGAATACTAGATAAACCAATAGAGGTACAAGTTGGTGGTAGAAGTGTTGTTTGTCAAGATGTTCAACAACATGTTGTAAGATAACTTGTTTTAATTTCATAACTTCTAGTACTTGTTAAAATAATTTCTGATATTCCCAATTGTTGATTAAGCCTGGGACTGTTGTCTTGAAATGGAAAAACTAATTCAAAGCTTAGTTTCAAATGTGCTTCATTCATAGTTAGATTGTTTGACATTTATCTACATGAAAGAAAAGAAAGCCTGGAGTTTATTTATATATTACGTCAAAATTTTGGAAATTGACATACGGTCAATTAAAAAGATCATGTAATTAAATATTTTTGTTTGATTTCAGATATTAATTGATGAAGATCAGAAGTTTTTTAAGTTATTAGAATTATTAGGTTTATACCATACTGAAGGATCAGCTCTAGTATTTGTTGATAAACAAGAACATGCTGATGATCTGATGAAAGATCTAATGAGTCATTCTTATCCATGTTTATCATTACATGGTGGTATAGATCAATATGATAGAGATAGTACTATTGTTGATTTTAAAAATGGCGTTGTCAAATTACTGGTAATTTCCATTTTTATCTGAATTTTTCAATGTGCTATATTATTGCAGTGACATAGCAAGTTTATAAATGTAATCTTAGAAATCTTTGGAAAGTATTATGAGGGAGAAATATATTCATAAGATTTCAAGCAGACGACAATCCATCTGATTACTCTCTCACAGAGAACTGACAACCACTTTCAAAATCCAACACATTTTTTCCCTGTCTTCATGGTAATTTGATTGGACAGCTTATCCACCAGACATTTATCTTTCTCTCTGTGGACCAATTTATCCCATTGAAGGTTAAATTTGATCTTTTCAAACTACAAAACCTTATAATGTTTTATTTTATATTTAGATAGCAACTTCAGTAGCAGCTAGAGGTTTAGATGTTAAACAACTAGATTTAGTAGTCAACTATGACTGTCCTAATCATTATGAAGATTATGTACATCGGTGTGGGTGAGTTGGATATCAATTTTTGTCCTTCAATATTTTGCGTGTTGCCTGTCACTCATAATTGAGTGTAGATATTTGGCATGAATCATTTGCTTATATGTACAATCTCTTGGAAAGTGTTTACTCATTGGGTGATCTAAAGACAGAAATTTGATTTTTTAAGTGGGAGATGATTAAAATTGTATGATTTTGACTTGATTTTTCGAAAATTTCCCCCCACAAAAATGTTGTCAGCATGACCCGAATGGGGTCATCAGAATTTTCCTCTTTTTTTATAATTCCTTGCTCACATCCTTGAAAATAGCAAGTTAAAACACTTGATGACTAGCGTTAATGTAGAGGGTTAAACAGTATCTTTAGATTTAGTCACCCAGACTCCTCCTTTCAGTGTTGAAGTTGAGATGGGCTGATATGAAAAATCATGTTATCATTCAAATGATATAATACAAGAAGGCCCCATCACTATAGCCAATATAAATATAATATTTCAGACGAACTGGTAGAGCAGGAAATAAAGGACAAGCCTATACATTTATTACACCAGAACAAGAGAGATATGCTGGTGATATTATTAAATCATTAGAATTATCTGGAGCTACTGTACCAGCAGATGTACAACTATTATGGACAAGTTATATTGAAAGAGCTAAAGCAGTAAGTTTTATTTTTATAAAATTATCTTTTTGTTGTTTGTAATTGAAATTTTAATCATATACTTGTTATTTTTGAATTCACTATTCTTCCTATCATGTATAATTTTATACCAAGCTTAATCAATTTAGGTTCAACATTGGTTTAATTTAATTTCAGGAAGGTAAAAAAGTCAAAAGTTCCAGTGGTTTTAAGGGTAAAGGTTTTAAATTTGATGAAACTGAAGCTCAGTTAGCTGATGATAGACGTAAATTACAGAAAGCAGCTTTAGGTTTACAAGATTCTGATGATGAAGATGCTGGCGTAGATGTAAGTTATCATTTTCTTTCTATGAAAAAAAACACTGACAAAATCCTTAACCCACTTAAGAGCTCAAAGCCCTCGTCATGGTCATTGGCTTTTTGGTAGTCAAGATACTTTCAAGATTTTTTTTTCTCAAACTCAGTTGCTCATTTACATCAGGTGTTCCAAAGGAGGGAACATATTCTTATATTGTCCTCTGTTACTAGTGATAGCTTCTTCCATTCCAGCCTTTTCATTGGCTTTTTCAGACTAGATTGCTAACAAGCTGCAGCCATTTTGTGGTATCACATGATGTATTGTCACATGGCTACCATGTTGAATTCTATCATTTCATTTGCTTATTTGGTGTGACCAATTGCTATTCTATTTTTTTAATCTGAATTGAGCCCTTGCCAGTAAAGTGGGTAAATTTATTGACAAATACCAACATACTTGTCACAATGGACCTCCAAATCACAACATATCTCTTGGCAATTTGTTGATTTGTCTTACAGATTGACCAGAAAATAGAAGATATGTTTGCTAGTGTTAAAAGAGTAACTGATGTAGCTAAACCAATAGCTAACCTGGCTACTCAACAAGCTTCAACTAATCTAGAAAAATTAGAATTAGCTAAACGTTTAGCAGCTAGAATCAACATGTCTAAGAATCTAGGACCCGATGCACAAGATATTACTCAACAGGCAGCCATGGCTTTCTTAAAGGGTGATACTAATGCTCCACAAGTTAAGGTAAGTTACATATATTGAAAAATAAACAAAAGCAGTACTCTTGGGCTTTGTGTCAACTGGTAGATCACTTGCTTAGTTGAAATCTTGGACATTAAGAAATGGAACTTCATTTTGTTCATCTTAAAATTTCTCATCCACACATAAAATGTTCAATAGGCTGCCAATAATCCTTTGAAATTAATTCAATCTCATTATAGTCCAAGACGATAGCAGAGCAGATGGCAGAAAAGATTAATGCTAAACTAGGATACAGACCACAAGTTGAAGAAGACAAGGAAGCTGAAAATGCTGAAGAAACATTTAAATGTTATGAAGAAGAACTTGATATTAATGACTTCCCACAAACTGCCAGATGGAAAGTTACTTCGAGGGTAAGTCTTTATTATCTGTGTATTATTATTAAAGTTATTATGTACCTATACCATGTTCAAACAGAGTTAACCGTGACTACAAGAACTGAAAGCTGACCTTTTTATGCATTTCAGTTTTCAGTTCTCGTAGCTCAGTGTATCACAAAATTGTCATCCTCTGTAAGTGCCTAAAAGTTTCGTCATTAAAACTAGAGTTACTGCCCCTTACTTAGCCTTCTCTATTCAAAGCTGGTATATAACTAAAATGATAAATATATTGCCATCCATTGTTATATTAAACAAATATTTCTAAACGAAACAAAGAGTTTCTCTACAACTTATATACCAAGCATTATTTTAAAAATGAATTATATTTGCAGGAAGCGTTGGCTCAGATCTGTGAGTATTCAGAAGCTGGTATTACAGTTCGTGGCACCTATATATCTGGTAAAAGAGAATTACAGGAAGGAGAAAGAAAGTTATATCTAGCTATAGAAGGTACCAGTGAACTGTCTATCAGTAAAGCTAAGAAAGAAGTTACTAGATTAATTAAAGAAGAATTAATAAGATTGGTGAGTCTCCTTTCAGTTGGGATCTTGAGGACCTATATTTTCAAAAGAGAGGGGCACCAGTCATTGCTCATTTCAAATGAAATCAATCTTTTGCAATTTGCTACTTATTACATTCTGAGGCTAGAACCTTGTTTAGTTTTTTTTTATCAAATAATCTTCAGATCAGAGTATCCCTAACTTCTTAATAGAACTCATAGCACAATTACAGAGCATAATGTTATGCATGTTGTCCTATGTATATTTCATCGTTATTTTTCCAGAGAATTTATTGAATTTATTTCTTTTTATTTCAGCAAAATTCTTACCAACCTATCAGCAAAAGCAGATACAAAGTTGTGTAGTTTTAATACAAGTGACTCAGTTTTTATTGTTAAGTGCTTTGTATATAATTTTAGTGTAGAAATTACCTATTTCTGTAAAATAAATCACAAGCTCAACCAAAACGTCTGGTGTTATGAATGCGAAGTCATTACCCTTCCCTGATTAGCATCCAAAATAATTACTTCTGTGACATCATTTTTTGTGCAGGAGACCTGGTTAATATTAAACAAAGATTTAAAGAGGCTTTCTATAAATTGTTTGTATTTGGGACTGATTTGCACCATTCCAATTTTCAGTCAGACATCTGTGGTTCTTTCAAATCTATTAGATTGAAATGGTGTAAATCGATGCAATCAGTGTTCCCAATATCCATAAAAAAAACTTTTTACAATACTTATAAGGGACTGGTATTCATATAGATCCCTAAACTATTCTTGAGTCTCACAAAACATGGCAAAGAAACAATAAGACAAGATTTATGATGAATTTATTGAAGGAGATGTACATCATTGAAATATTGGCCGTAACAGATGTGGAGATAGATGAATTAAAAGAAATGATATTTTGGCACTGAAATAAACACGAGGGGATGGATATAAAGATCTATATACATATTGCACAAGAATAAAGACTAAAAAAAAAAACAGCAGATTTTACCAGATAAAAAATTCTAAATTATACACATAATGAAATATTACTTAGCAGCCCTTGTTTTGCATTGAACCTTAACAGTTATAACTGTGCCATTGAAATAACATTGACCATTATCAAATGTCCTTTATGTTGTCAATTTTGAGGTAGAAATTTTATGATGTTATAACAGTGAAATGATGTTAAATACTGTTTTATGTTTTCTAGCCATTTATCTGTCAAATGGAAATAATTCATACAAAATGAGTCTGAGCAAATATATTCAATGTCCAAATTTTTAAAATTAAATGTACAGAAAACTGTTCCAATTATTTGCATATTTTAACTAAAATCATACAAGTATTCACAATTCGGAATGCCATTCAAGTCAAAATTTATGAAACTGAGTTTCATTCTATCATATACAAATTATCTGTTAAATAGTGAGAAATATTCAACCTAAGACACGAGAAAATTTGAAAGAGATTCCATCCCCAGCAAACAAACTTGTATAGACTCCACATCTGAGCTTCCCAACATATTACCATATTGTACATCTCATAATTACAATATTTACATATTACACATACATTTACAATAACTACAGTTTTCATGTCGTCTGCTTCATTTGATCCTAGCAGATGACTTGGTGTACATCTAATACCGGTACACAATGATATATGAATCACGATGAAAGAAAGAATACTCCTGATCTTGTGACATCCTTCAAAATTTTTTATCTCCATGTAAGAACGAATTTAGAAGTATTAATCACGTAAGAAATGACAAATGTTCATCCATCTTCGATTGTTAAACTAAAGTTTGATAATGACTCTAGAAAACTACAATTCATTGGTTATTATTGAACTTTGAACCCAACAATCAATGGTGGACTAAATGAATCTCCAATATTGAAGATGTTTAGTGTAATCATTGATGAGCAGAATGTAACATAAATTATAATGACTAATCTAAGTAGTATGCTAGCAGGGCTTGAAGGTCATATTAACGGGTATTAAGCTGTACGAAGCTGACTAATTGCTAGTTTCAAAGCATCATGGCCGCTGTTCCCTCCAACAAACATTTTATTTAACAAGTACCAGTTTGAATTGACTATGGTTCTATAGTTGGACTAGATGTTAATGCAACACCCTTACACCTTTCCAGATATGAATTTGAGGAGTCCACTTCGTTTCAGGGTACAATAAATAGTAATTGCAACTAAACAAGTCATACTTATATTGTATTCATTACCACTTGAGCAACCTCAAAATAAAGTAGACTGTTCTGTTTGGCAGAAGTGCATAAGTAACTTTTTCCAACTATAGATGTTAATGTTAAGAATATTATGGGCTATATATGGTATAATATAGATGTGTTATTCTCTAGCTAGTTGTATATTTAAGTGGTAACTTGTCAAGTCTAGAATTAACTAGACATGTCTGTAACTCTTGTCTCAATCTATCAATCTTCTGTATATAGTGCCGGGCCAGCCCAAACAGACTTCTGGTCCACTAGGCAAGCTCAGCAACTGAAACAAGAAATATACAGATACTTTAGAAAATGATCTGTATGGTCAAAATCAAACACTACTGAAAAGAGGCTAATAGAAAAAGAATATATGCAAAAATGAAGTGAAGGACATCTACAGAACCTAAAAGACAAAAAAATCAGGTAAAAAAAGGTTCAACTACCATCATGAATATTAACTGTATAATTGCGAATATAGTGCGCGCCCTTTTGTACCCTCGTGTAAATTATGTTACAAAATGATGCTAATGCATTAAAACTCTCCTCAGGTGCAGATCTACCAAGCAAGATGTCCTCAAAAGTTTGTGAATGCCATACCTTTTTAGGGCTTTTAAAAAGATCAAAATAGATAGAGAGCAAGTGTTATAATTATTTTTAATCGCTACTGAAGTTTCCACTAATTAGGCCCAATATTCAATTTATCAGTTAATAAATTAACAATGTAGTTTGAATAGATTTCTAACTTTAAAGATGTCACAACTAAATTTAAACCAGACAAGTCAGATAGCGTGAAGTGTAATATTTCAGCTGCAGACAGAAAATTATCATTTAAATGAAAAGTTTGCTTACCATATTGGTCTGAAGAAAATAAAGCTATAATTGAATAAAAGCACACTATGAAGTGAAAATACAAAAAAAATTAGAAAGTATATTCAAGTCTGCACCAATTTGATTTCTTATTATTCAGAAATTTATCTTATATTCATTCTTTCTGAAATATCAAAAATCAAATTGGTGAAGCCTAATTATGAAAAACATTAGAGAAAACAAAATTTTTTTTAAACATATATCATCTACATACCAACAGAATAAACTTGATCCACCTCAATTGGCCATGTTGCCTCATCTGAAATTGCAAATTGGGTTGTTGATGATAATAATATTTATACTTTCAGTACCTCAAAGATATTTATATATTTTTTACTTATTTAATAATAACTAAAATTTCTCACTGTTAAAGAAGTGCTCATAACTGAAAAACTGAGTAACAACAACATGGTTTTTATGTTCTGTTTTAATATATCTACTTTATTATTTTTATATTCAAAATTTTTTTATTTAGTTCCATATTCTCATTTAATTCTATTATATTCATATAAGAAAACTCACTTCGAAACTTTGAAAAACTTTTTCGGTTTTTGGAGCCACTTTGAATCCAAAAACTTGCTTCGTTGCTTTTTCTTTTCATCCTTGGAAGTAGATGCAACTTCTCCTTCAGAACTTGTTGAGGTTGGTCTAGATGTTGAAGGTGGGGAGGTACTACCAGTAGAGTCTCTCTGTCTACCCCCAACAGCACCTTCTAATGGTGAGTATAATGTTACTCCAAGATCAAATGATATAGACTGTTTACAAAGCACCCCAATGGTCCCCATTTTACTTCTGGCTCTTCTATCTGGTGATTTTGGTGAAGTTGGTCGATCTCCACCAGAATGCTTTAAGATTGGAGATCTGGATGTAGAAGAACTAAATATTGGTCCACTCTGTGTAGTTGTTGGTCTAGCTCGACAAGTACCTATGCTCTCTATAATATCATCTATACCACCATATCTAGATGAAGAAGCAGCATAGGTAGCAGATCTATCTCGTCCTGGTTCAGGTTCTATTGAGTCTTGTCGGGTGGAGCTTAATGTTGGCATGGAGGAGTGATTTATTGTACTTATAGTTGATTCTGGTTGGATAATACTTTCTGCAACACTTCCCGATGTAGTTGAGACAATAATATAGGATGCGGTCGAAGAAGTTGGATCGTATGAAACACCAACTTCACATGACCTACGTTTCAATTTCGGTATGTTTGTCTGGGATATTGTCTGCAAAACGCTTTCTGATAACGTTCTTTCGGGAGAATCTAACACATATTTTTCGGACAATTGTCCACCATTTGTCAAGTCTTTAAAGGGAGCACTTGATTTTGGTTTATCTGATCCACTGGAAGAAGGCAGTGTTCGTGATGATTGAACAAATTCAACCTGTGATGACAAAGATGTAATTGGTGAAGAATCTGTTGCTTTAACAGGAGTTCCTTCACGCGATTTCTTTAGAGCAGATTTGGTATAAATACCCGAAATATTCTCTTTGTCATGTCTTTGTAACATTTCTAGTCTTAAACGTTGTTCTTCTTTTTGTTGGTAACGTTGAAGAATTCTTTGAGTGAAGACTGAATGGCCCTTTCTATACCGCTGGCTCTCCTCCAAAAGCTCAGCAGCTGGCTTTAGTCGTCTTACTGGAGTAACCAGTCCAACACGAGGCAGATACAATGTTGGACTTGGTGTTTTCCGTAATTCAAGTACATGTTGATCTATTTCACACACTGTGGCTCTTTTATCTTGAATAGAGAACATTACACGACCTGGTTCTCGTTCTGATAATTCTGATTTCCTACTCCTTACTTCATCCACACTTTTAGATCTTGATCCATTCTTAACGCTGTGAATGAGAACCGGGGAATGTGTCAATGGGGTGCTTTGTTTTGGTAAAGGTGGTTTGTATATTGGTTGACTGTGTTTTAATATTGGTTTAGGAGAAGCGCATTTACCATTTTCTTTGTCTAATCCTTTTGATTCCCCCCTGGTATGGGGGTGTTTTGACCTAATAACTGGACTCGGTATAAGAGTTGCTTGCCCTGCCTCAGCTCTAGTTATTGTCCCTGAAGGTTGGCCCTGTTCATCCGAGTGTTTGTGTTTGTCTGAACTATCTACAAGTTGTTCTTGACTATCTGTCACAGTTTGTGGGGAATACTCGTCATCAACAACAGAACCAGTTTTAGTCAGTTTAGGTTTATCGTGAATCTGTTGTGATTCTGGAATGGGTTTTTCAGGGGTCTCAATCGTTACTCTTTTTGCTGTTTTCTTACTCTCTTCTTGATGAAAACCTTTCTGCTTTGGTTGTGATTTCGCCAAAGTGGGAGACCCCTTCTCCACTTTAGGGACATTAGTTTCAGTTTGTGAAAGATCTCTGGGCAGAGAAACAATGGCAGTAGGCAAAACTAAACTACAACTCATTTCAAGGCTGCGTTCCATGGCACTTGATTTTTTCTTACTTTCCTCAGAGTCACTCTGAGATTTTTTTTTAGTTTTTTTTGATTGGTCACTTTCTTTTTTAGTGTCTTTTTTTGAAGATTTGGAATGAAATAATTTGGATTTTTTTTCTTTTTTCTCTTTGACTTGTTTTTCTTTCTTGAGTCCTTTTTTCTTACTTGTAGCTTCTGACTCTAAGGATTCGACTGAAATATATAAAATAATCAATAAATTGATCATTTGTAACCAACATCTGAGCAATATTATAAAATACAGAGAAATACATATATCAATATTTTTTTTCAAAACTAGGGAAGGGGGACCACTCTTAAAAAGAACAAAACAAATCTCTTATGAATATCTATATCTAAAAATTTCAGAATGTGGAACTCATTTTGTGATTTTCATTTACTTATTCATTACTTGTTCGTTTAATTCAAAATTTGGAATTGTTGTAAAGAAATAATAATAACATGTTATTTATAATTGTAACAAATTCAGAAGAAGCACAAACTTAAAACAAAATATATTGCCTGAGCAAGTTTGTTGGTATATCGAACTCTGCCCATTTTATTAAAATGAATTTGAAAATAATCTTAGTCTTAGAATGACTTTGTGTTGATAAATATATACATTTTTGTAAGTTAAAATTGGAAAGAAACTGGAAATTGTCCTAATAGCAAAGGTACTGTTTTTGAAGTTTTTGATCAAATTCACTTTAAAGGTATACTAACTTTTAAGATTTCCCAAATATTTTATAACTCAGTTAAAATGAATTTTTTTTCATCAGTGGACTTATATGGTGTCATAACTATGCAAAAAAAAATCCCCCTATAATCCAATAAAGTACTTTTTTCAAAATGTTTACATGTGTTTAAATAATTATTTAGTTTAATGGATATATTATTTAATAAAGAGATTATATTCTTTAGTCATGGTACCTGGTAAGTCCAACTTCTGAATATATAGGGCCTACACTTTTATGAATTTTTTGTCCATTCTAAGAGGTTGTATCCTTTAAATTAAATGGATAAAATTTGATATAACAACGAATTTGCTGAGACAATAGCAACTTATTGAAGATTGAAACACATTCTATAACTCAATAATACCCATACTTAATCAATTGACTGGTTTGTTAATGGCTGATTCTGAAAAGACCATAAGTCAAAGAAATTGAATTATGTCAAAATACTGTTTTTGATCCAACTCTTTTCACGTGCATAAATGAGATCAATAGTTCTATTTTTTATTTTTTCGCTTTGACCAGACCAACGTGGCAATATTATATGTATGTGATAGCAGAATAAGCCTGAAGCATATAACATGCTGTTTAACACTGGACAACAAGACAAACCTGTAGCTAATGGAATGTGTTGAATTGTTTCACCATCTTGGTTATCATGTTCTGTTTGATCTGTTATCTCTTTTTTCTCTCCTTCAGCCTGTACAAGTAAATTGAGGTGACATATATCATGGAATATTCACAGTTGTGTTATGTGATAAAGACTATTTTGCGATTAGTGACTTCATTAAACACTTAGTTTTAGCGGAATTGCAGGAACCACAGATGTCTGAATGAAAATTGGAATGGTTCAAATTGATCCTATAATTGTCCCTGATACACAAACAAAATTTAGAAAACCTCTTTACAATCCCTTTAAGTTCTGATTCTTTGAAGAAATCTGATTGGTTCTGGATCAAACATTGGAATTGTTGATATGATGTTTCTTACAGGAAGCTCAAGATAATCAAAGCTTTAATTTAAAATTATCACCAATACTTACATCTTTTGAAGCACCTTCTGCCTGTGTATAGTTATTTTCACATTCTTGACCTAGAGAATCATCTTCATGATATTGGTAGAGTTCTGATTCTCTTCTAGTGATATCAACTTGTAACATTAAATTATTAACTTCTTGTTGTAATAACTGTCTTTTAATATCCATAATTTCTTTATTTCTTTCTAAATGACTTAATCTCAAATTGTTCATCTAAAAATATAATAATATCTCAATATAATATCAAAATATATTATAAAAATATCCAAATTAAATATTAAATTATAATATCAACAAATATCAAAATATAACAGATAATAACAAAATATCAAAATATAATATCAAAATATAACAGATAATATCAAAATATCCAAATCTAATATCAAAATTAAATATTAAATTATAATATCAACAAATATCAAAATATAACAGATAATATCAAAATATCCAAACATAATATCAAGATATCCAATTACAAAATATCCAAATAAGCAATAATATTTTTTGTATTCCAATCCCTTATTTGTAAATTGGCAAGATTTCCAATAATGCTATATGTTAATATGCAAATTATTTCAACTGAATCTTATGAAGCCCAAATAATAAATGCACCAGGTTGTAAATAATTGTTTATAATGTTTCTGGCAAGACCTGCATCTATTTTGTGAATGAATATATTGCTTTATCCTGACATAATGTAAATATATCTTATAATGTGGTAAATACCTGAACTTGTAAGGTCATAGCTTGACTATACAACTTCTCAAAATCATGTAGCGCTGAAGACTTCTGAGATGCTTCTTCTACAAAATAAACATAATCATTATTTCAACATTGCCTTATTTAATGGATCCACTCTAAATTGTACTGACTCTTCTGTTAAATCTGAAATTCTCAAATGTACTGACATATACATTCAGATGTACATGTCAATACATCTGAATTTCTCAAATATATTGTATCTGAAATTCTCAAAAGTACTGACATATATATTTGAAATTCTCAAATGTACTGAAGCTATATCTGAAATTCTCAGATATACTGACAGTTACATCTGAAATTCTCAGATATACTGACAGTTACATCTGAAATTCTGAAAATCTCAGATATACTGACAGTTACATCTGCAATTCTCAAATGTACTGAAGTTATATCTGAAATGTACTGAATCACTGAATGTTACATCTGAAAATTCACAGGAATGTTATTCTAATTTTATGACCAAGACTGATTTTTGTGATCTTATGTATAGCAATGTAATTTGTATGATAATTTTATCAACAGACTGTAAAATAGATTATATGATATCATTTCACATCATATAGTTTGCTTTGACTGTTTTTCATGTTTTTCTACAACACTATATATCTTATCAAAATAAATCATGGTACATGCTTATCAAGATAAATATGATATTTCACAGCTTGATGATAATTTGGTATTTCACAGTTGTAGCATAATTACTAGCAATATACAATTCAATATAATTACAAACTATTTACAGAACAAGCCGACAAGCAGATGGTGCAATGGTTCATCTAATCCAAATGAGGTGATGAATTTAATCCATCAAAACATCAAAGAGATGAATACTTAATATTCAAGTCAGAGTTCATGTATGTGCTAATATTTACAAAACTAACCATAAAAATCGCTATATAGAAGCATACCGATTGGCTGGTTTGAAAATTACATGACATCATAAATATTTTTTAGCATGATGCCTAATATGATATTAGGAAACACATTAGATATACTGGGTGTTTCAGTAAAATAAGTGATAACTGGTATTTATTTATAATTTTAAATTCTATATGAGATTTTCTGAAATCATATCCATTGAAAATCACTAATCACTGTAGTTATTGTCCATATGTTTTAAAGTTTATGCTGCAGAAAGGGTTGGGGGGTCTTTAATTTTGAAACTCCCTGTATGTAATTGTTTTTATACACATTGAAGATATGATGAGAATTAAGATAAGAGTAGTATCATTCTGAATTAGAGAGGTTTATATATTCAGTATTCAGTATATTCTATCCTGTGTATCACCAATCTCTTGCTTTAAAACCAGAGAGTTATTTTGAACAAGAACTAGATATAGGATATAGATACAATTCTATTGAATGACAGAGTAGGATTTTGTAACATCATTCTGAATTAGAGAGGTTTATATATTCAGTATTCAGTATATTCTATCCTGTGTATCACCAATCTCTTGCTTTAAAACCAGAGAGTTATTTTAACACGAACAAGATATAGGATATAGATACAATTCTATTGAATGACAGAGTAGGATTATGTAACATCATTCTGAATTAGAGAGGTTTATATATTCAGTATTCAGTATATTCTATCCTGTGTATCACCAATCTCTTGCTTTAAAACCAGAGAGTTATTTTAACAAGAACTAGATATAGGATATAGATACAATTCTATTGAATGACAGAGTAGGATTTTGTAACATCATTCTGAATTAGAGAGGTTTATATATTCAGTATTCAGTATATTCTATCCTGTGTATCACCAATCTCTTGCTTTAAAACCAGAGAGTTATTTTAACAAGAACAAGATATAGGATATAGATACAATTCTATTGAATGACAGAGTAGGATTTTGTAACATCATTCTGAATTAGAAAGGTTTATATATTCAGTATTCAGTATATTCTACCCATGTATAATCCATCTCCTGCTTTAAAACCAGAGAGTTATTTTAACATGAACTAGATATAGGATATAGATACAATTCTATTGAATGAGAGATTTAATAGGTATCTGTCAGTCTTCTATTAATTCAGACACACCATAACAATAAATAAGACCTACCAGTTTGTGATGCATGAGATAACATATCTTTCATTTTATCAACCATTTCCATTAGCTGTGAACTCACACTTCCTTCTCCTTCTACTGTATATAATTTACCAACCTATAAGTAAATATATCTTTATGTATTTTGTTTGAATACACCCTTCCAGCTTAAAGTGGAACTGTCTGCAATAATGTAACCCAAATCAGTTTTGTCAATTAATTCCATCAAACCTTACATAATAGGTCCTCATATTTTTAGTGCAATATTTGTGAGAAAATATGACAGAAAATAGTTTTCTCATTGTACCATAAGGTTACGATGGTAGAAATCAAGATATCATACAATGGTATGAATCAAGATATTACCATTTAATAGAATAAATCAAGATGTCATTGTCATACCATAGAATAAATCAAGATACCATTCAATGGTATAAATCAAGATATCATAGTGTTGTTCTTTGTAGTTGGAGTTAGCACCTTTCTGTTTTTTTCGCTTGATAAAGTGACTAGTCCCAAAATGTAGCCACATTTACTCCAATTGAATCAACTTTTTACCTACTGTTTGCACGTTATCATGTGATTTATTTTTTCCTTTATAATAGTATAAATCAAGATATCTTACAATAGTATAAATCAACATATCATAAGATATAATACAACAGTAGAAATCAAGATATAATACAATAGTATAAATCAAGATATCATACAACAGTATTAATCAAGATATAAAACATCAATAGAAATCAAGATATAATACAACAGTAGAAATCAAGATATCATACAATAGTAGAAATCAAGACATCATTGTATGATGTAAATCAAGATATAATACAAGGTATAAATCAAGACCTAATAAATGGTATGAATCATACGATAGTGCAAATCAAGATATACAAACATGGAATAAGTCAAGCCAATTGTATAAATCAAGATATCATAATTTTATACAACAATATAAATCTGATAGTGAAAAGATTAATAGTTTTATCTTGTCCCAGTAGAGAATATTATTGTTAGGTTTAGATTCACAACACTTCCCTTCGGCCAAATTAATCATCAATTAACAATATTTCTACTATATAAAATCTTGACATTTCTATTTGTCATGTATAATTGGAAAGGAGAGAATTACCACAGTTAAATGGAAAATGAATGAATTATCTGAGGACTAGGTTTTAATCATTATTTTGATAACATTTCTTTATTGGCCAATTTCAATGTAGCAACATAATAGTGAAAGCTAGAAAATGAATGATTCCAAAGGGAAAGGAAACAAGAGAATATTCTCTAAGACAATTAAAACTTCAAGACAGAATTGGTACAGAATTATTTTCTTTATAACAAATCATTCCCTATGGATTCTTCAATCTGGATTGATGGACGTCAGAAGACTGCAGAAGATTTCAAATCAGTGTATTGGAGTAAATCGTCTTGTCCATCAGAAGTTCTAATTCAGAATAGAGCAGAAGGAGTTGTTGAAGTGTAATGGAGACTAATGAGCCAAAAGCATCATTTTTAAAATGACAACCACCCAGTCCCCCCTTTGCCTCATTTTAACATGGATTGCACGGCAGTCTTTAACACCATATCCTGTACTCAGTAAGTAGGAGAGACTGAATGCTAAATTAAAAGATACTTACTGCAGCTGACTCCATAGAATCTGCCAGATTTTCTCCCAATGTTTGTAACTGTAATATTTTCTCTTCTAAATCAACTACAGTAGAAGCTACAGACATTGGTTCAAAACTAACAGCAGCTAGTCCAGCACCATTCTCAGATTTTCTATGCAGTTGTGCTGAAATATACCAAGTGACATTATATATTACTTGTAATATATAATAAATAAACTTAAATGAAAGGGATTGTACACTCCTATTTCAGTCAGACGTCTGTGATTCCTGTAATTCAACCAAAACTAGGCAGGTTATGATGTCACTGTTGCAAAAGCTGATAATGATATCTAAGGGCCTTTGCCATGGAGATGCCATAAAATGCTTAGTTTTAGTAGAATTTCGAGAAAATTGGAATGGTGCATATCAATATTATCAGTGTCCCTGATATTCATAAAAGTTAAGGAAACAGTTTACAATCTATTTATATGAATGTCATATTTTAGCATACCAGAGTCAAATTCCCACAATCAAAATTCTTCATATGACTAAAGATAAAAATATGCACCTCTCTACTCCAAACATGAAATCAATTTATAGAATAAACTTTAACATTGTTGTACTGAGTTATACTATCAATCAGTTAAAGGTTCTCCACATCTCTCAAAAGGAGTTAAAAGTTTAATTAACCCTTTCAACAATGGCAGCTGCTCTACTGGCCACAAATAACATGACATAAGCAAATGAAGCAGTCAGTGCAGAGTGACATCACATAAAGTTTATCTCGTACGCTTTAAACGGAAAGATTCTCTATATCTTAATAAAAAGTCTTCAGAAGTACTAGAAATGTACACAAATTGCATAATTACTTCAAAAATACCTCAAACTTGGAATTTCACTTTTATTTCTCAGAGTTATGAGTTTTTTTTTATTGACACTCAATGTTCAAAGGGTTAAGCTTTCAAACTACATTCATACTCATACTCATTTTTATCATTTCAATATCATCTGAATGAGTTTCTAATTTAAATCATACCTTGTTCTTGAATTCGCTTCAGTCTAGCTGTTTCAAGCTGCAAGTTTAGTTGCTTCACTTCCTCTTGAATTCGTGCCGATTCCTCTTCTTTAATAGCTAACTGTTGTAACAACTGGGCATTGGCTCTCTCCAAACTACCAAAATTCATTTCATCACTGATCGGACAATCGGGGAGAAAAGATGAAAAAAACTGATCATCACAACAACATAAACATCACAGCTAAAAAAAAACTATTCTCTAATGGCTTATTGATACATATTTTAAATACCATAACTCAACATTTCTAAATTCTCATTGGTCAAAATTGATGTCCAATCAAAATGTCACGACCTGATTCCGATATCCTTTGATTCAGCCATTAGAGAAATAGTCATGCATCAAAATAAAATAATCTACAACTAAAAAGTATTTAGAAATAAATGAAATCATATCAAATTATATATATAATAAATAATAATAACAAAATATATGGTTGCTAATAATTCCTATCGGTGTTCTTCATTTCTGCAGCCAAAATTTTTTACACCGAATTCAGTGACAAAAGCAGGATGTAAAACTTCATTTCATTTACAAAGAATTCAGCTACATTTCATGACTGGTTATAGCTTTGCAAAGAAATTTTCCTCAAGACACAAGACACTCTTGAATCCTGTTTAAAAAATTTCCAAGCTTTTCTATGGTCATTTTTGCCAATTAAACGAATTTGGCTGTCAAAGATCACAAATTTAGCTGTCAAAACAAGAACACATCTTCCCGTATCTCTAAGATTGTTGAAACACTTACGAATGACAAACATTACTAGCAGGAAACATAGTTACTAAATATACTGAGAAATTTATACTAAAAATAATATCACTGTCTTCATTCCAAACTGTAACATGCGGAAAGAAAGTTGGAAAATAAAATTGAGACGAGTCTACTAAGAAAAACAGGGTGTAACTAAGCTACACGGATAATTTGATCAATTTTATAATCTTTTCTTGTTTGTCCGATCATAAAACCTGCTTTATGAAGTAGAATAAACTATAGATAAATCAATAGTAAAGAGATACATTTATTTTATCACTCGAAGAAAATCAGAGACATTATTTTCACTTTGCCAAGTGCCACATTTCATTGTATAAGATCATTTATAATACTAATTTTTCATTTTAGCATGAAAATTGAAAAAAGATTTATGAAAAATGCACAAATTGTCATATTTACACCTGAAAATCAAGAAACTATAATTAGACATCAGTAAAATTAACATTCAAGAAGAAACCTGACAGATATTGTACAATCACAGGTCTTCAAATTCAAAAGTTAGCAGATGGTTTTTGGTAGAAGAGCTCTGGTAAAAAACATTAAAAACTTCGGTCCTAGCTTACCTATGAATATTTGATCTAGTGATCATACTATCTTCTGTTACACTGGTATTGTCATCACCATAACTTAATTCAGATGTTTTTTCTATTGGTGAAGGTTCTGGGGTACCCCAGTAGGGTTGTAATGTTAATGGCGGAGGTTTTCTACCATCATCAGATATACTGGTTTCTGGAACTGGTACCGGACTAATACCAGCATCAGGTATGGGTAATGGTACATCTGAATCTGATTTAGAACGTTCATGTTTTGGTTGCGGTACCGGTAACTCTAGTAAGCCTTCTCTAACTTGTTGAATGCTGCGTTTTTGAGCTTCTAAATAAATTGCAGTAGAAATATCATGTGACAGTCCTTTTCTCACTTCCCATTCGTGAAGTTTATGAGCGAAATCAGCAGTGACTTTATATTCAGCTAGTGGACTAAGGACAGGATTTTTAAACATTGGATCGCTATCAGTTTGACTTAGTCTTCCTTTCATTTTTTCTAATTTAGCCTCCCGTTCTAAAGCTCTCAATCGGTCCTTTTCTAATCTCATCTTCTCTTTGTCTAATTTAACTTGCTCTCTTTCAACTTTTTGCATCTCACGTTCGCGTAATTTGTCCATTTTTTCCTTTTCTCGTTCTTCTCGAGATTTTTTACTTTTGGCTCGATCTTCTCTTCTTATCTTGCTCTCCTTTCTTTGAATCTCAGGACTCTTCTCTCCTTCTTTAGTATCTCTGCGATACTTAATACGTTCCCATTCTTGTAATTTACGACTAAAACTCTCTGTAATACGTCTCTGTAAGTCGTCCACATTGACAGAGGCACCTGTGGTATCAGCAGTTAGAATATCTTCTGATGTGTCTTCATCTGATGTCACATCACCAGGTTTTCTGGATTCTTCAGATATCTCAACACTGTGTTTCCTTAATGTTTCTGCAACAAACCAAATAATCATCATAAACACTCAAATTATACAGAAACAAAAATATTGAAATAGAAATTGAAAGAAATCACTGGTTTAAATTATATGTAAAGTTCTGTCGTGTTTCTCCAATCATCCTGAGGCCTGTTTATAATGGTACTTACAATAGCTACTTGTCATTAAGACTTTATTGAAATAGCAATTAAACATTGTAAGGTTTACATGGAATTTTTTTTTCCCATCAAGGTTTAAATTTTGCTCTTGGGTGACACTCAAATCGTTTCATACATTTCATCAAAACTAAATATTTACAGAGATTTGTGAGCATAGATAAACCACGAACGATAAAACTACGTCATGAAAAAGCATGATTCAGAGAATAATTTGGATTGTTGTGTCAAGGTAGAAACAGACAGAGGGTTAGTAAAGACTAGCATGCATTTACAGACTTTTTCTTTTTCAAAGAGTCCTACAACCATTCTTGGAAAATCAAACCTTTCATATTGAGAAAATCTTTATCAATCATAGAAATAAAACTCTCTTTAATATCAGACTCGAGCAGAAACAAATATCAATAAGCAATGTTATCAGTTTATTTAATTTGGCAGTAAAAATGGTGAAAGTTTGAAGTTGAGTTTGGATTGTATTAAGAGGATTTAGTCTGACAATAAAAATTTTTTATATATCCAAATGCCAGCACTTGATTTTTATTCTAAGAATCCAATTAAAATGAGAGAATGAAAAGGAGATCAATCACCAGTGCTCTATTACACCAAGTTTATATTTAGATATAAAACATGTAGATTACCTCTGCCTTTTGATCTATCCAACTCACTGGAACGTGAAGAGTCTTGAGAAAATGTGTCACTTTCATCAACAGCTCCTATCATAAACAATGTAAACACATTAAATAATTAGAATAATATAATAATAATCAATACTTTATAATAAATCATTATTGTAGCAGTAACATTATTTTATATAGTAATATAATATATGTTATTGTTTGTAAGCAAAATTGTAAGAGTTTTTCCTTGCAATGCTCTTTTTTAACCTAATGTACATCAAATAAGCGATAAAAATGAAGTTTGATTCACAACTTGTATGCAGAGTAACATATAAGTAACATAGAAGCCTTGAAAGTCATAATTTGATGTTTGCTTTCAATTCATGTTGTTTCTACAGGTTACTAAGCTTGTCATCCATGATCTAACAAGGTCTTGTTCTATGAAATTTTGACCTTCAAGATCAAAAATTTGTCCAATCAAAAACTTTTTGAAGTGGCAAGACACTACAAGTCAATGAACATGAAGTGATTGATTGGTTATATATTTGTTAATGGAGAAAAGCAGTTGTTTAACAATTTTGTCAGATCTTCATTAACAAGTCGAGTTACCTCTAGCAAAATATGAAACAAAACAAACAGATTTGCATTTTAACCAGATTTCTGAAAGACTTGTGCAGCATGTGAAACATTTAGTTCATATATTCAGAAATAGTATTTATATATATATTGTAATTCTGTCTATTTAACAATATATTGTTTAAAATATCAGATTTTATTGAATTTAGACAAGACTGATAGATGATACAATATAAACTATAGTAAGTGAATAAATAAAGTCTCCAATATCAAAATATATAAATAAAATATTAATTTTCCATATTGTCTGATCTGGAAAAATATAAGAAATTTAGACAAGTTCATCAAGTCACATAACAGCCTTTACAGCAATCAAACAGTGAAATCTAAAAAAATTTGACTGCAGCAACTTCTATTTTTCTACTTCGTTCTAGTGCACACAATTCATTTCATTAAAAGACTGGATGTTATCTTTATAAAAGTATACCCGGACTGTTGAAAAGTGTATACCAAACAAATGTAATATTTGTCTGCTGGCCTATATGCACCAAAAAAATATTCAATTAAGAAGAATAGAATTATTTTCAGCCTTTACATTTATTTAGTTTAATGCAATTAAAGATAATTCTATATTCACTAAATGCATGCATTACATTAGCGAATTTTTAAATACATAAATAGATAATTCTATATGGTTCAGCATGGTGCACACAAAATATAAAATTAAATTAAGTTAATGTCATTGAGACTGAATAGAATTAAATGAGACTTAATTTCATTTGGTGCCTACAGGCCATGCCAGGATGCCAACAGGTACATGAAAGTACCTGTACTATAGTTCAAATTGATACTGGACTGAAAACCCTGGTAAAAGAAAAATCAATCAAGAGCAATCAAGTACCTAAAGTATTTTGAAGTGGCTCATAATTCACTTACAAATATATTGTCATTGACATTAGAACTATATAAATTGACAGTGGACCCTATATATTGACATTGATAAGATAGTTCAATATTGTTAATCATTATAAAATCTAAAATTACAATGGACTCTTTAATTAAATGACATTGATAAAATAGTTTAATATTGTTATAAAGTGACAATGGACTATATGAATTGACATTGATAAAATAGTTTAATATTGTTATAAAGTGACAATGGACTATATGAATTGACATTGATAAAATAGTTTAATATTGTTATAAAGTGACAATGGACTATATGAATTGACATTGATAAAATAGTTTTATATTGCTATAAAGTGACAATGGACTACAGATATTGACATTGATAACATAGTTCAATGTTGTTTTAAAGTGACAATAGACTATATAAATTGACATTGATAAGATAGTTCAATATAGTTAATTATCTTAAAATCTAAACTGACAGTGGACTATATAAATTGATATTGATAAGATAGTTCAATATAGTTTTAAAATCTGACAACTATCACCAGTCTATAATAATAGTTCTACTGTTTCCTTGATCAGTCTAAATGCTAGTTTTAATGTCAACAAATTTAATTCTGTGTCAATATGAAATTGATGAGCAATATCCATTAAGAATTCAATAAGACTATTATTATGTAGATTTCAATGAAAGAGAAAAAAAAGCAAATTTCAAGCCTGAAAGATCACTTCCATTAAACAGATTAAAATTATTTGTACGTGTGATTTGGAATTGAGGATTTTATCAAATGGGATGTTTCCGATTCTTTAAAGGAATACTCTCAAAGCAATTCATGGCAAAATTGGAAAAAGCAATCAAAAATGACATATACTTCAATAATCAATCAAAACACATCATACACAGTCCACAGGGTGACTTTTTACGTTCCATTCAAAACATTAGGGCAGCAGTATCCTTTACAAAGCAAAACCCCTTGAGGCCAGGGGTTTGGGGGCTGCCAGAGTCCTCCCCCCCCCCACCCCCAGGAACCAACAGAGTTGGTAAGATAGAATTTTTAACAGTTGAAGGGCTTAATTTTCACATCCTAATCCTAATGTAATGCTGTCAGGTGTCAGCTTTCAACCCCAATCTGCCCTATAAAAGATATCATTTAAACCAAAGCAGAGAATGGTCACAATGGTTGAATTTCATGACAATTTGAACAATTTCAAACAAAATTCCATTATAAACATATTTACGGATAAATACATGAACGAAAAGTAAAATTGCAGGGATATTTTATTTTCAATTCTGCAGGGAATAAACTAATTCTAATTAATTGCAAAAAACTCAAACCAAATTCTATTTGATTTCTTATTTATAGATTAAGGTTTTATGCCGTTTAATCCTGATTGTTGAACAGAGATATTGAAAGTTAAACGTGAGTGAGCTATCATTGATTTTTAGAAAAGACTGAAATTGATCTGTTGCATATAACAATTGATCTAGGATATTCTCCGTTAGATTTCACTAAATACAATATCAAATATCAAGCCTATGATGAATCGAGAACTTTAATACAAATAAAACAGTTCGATAGTTGAAAGGAGAATTAAAACTTGGAAATATGAGAGTTCATTCTATAACAGTGATAGCGCCAATGGGAGTACCACAGAAAAATGGTTTATACCAGAGATTTAATAGATTTTTAAAGTAGATCGAGCTGCTGCATTTTGAATAAAATGTCAACAGTTGTCCCCCATTGAATCAGTCTGCCCCCTATTTGTACCCCAGTCTCAGTATGCTGGCACAGCCACTGTTCTAAAATCCACCAGTCCACGAGGATCAAATTTCAAACCATGGAACAAAACTACTACTTGGTGGTTTTTTATTATTAAATTGAGCTTGTCTTAAGGTATATTCTTCGAATCACAAACAATTATATTTAATACACAAGTATAAAACTTCAAAACTAACAGAAATTTGGAAAAGTAGAACCTGGATGAAAATGAGAATCAGTCAATGATCACTTCCATCAAAAATTACAGGAACTATTCAGATTAAAGCACATCGTAGTTTCTTTTCAAAGCTTTACCATAAGATCAAAGTCTTTCTTTTTATATGTAGGTGGCAGGATTGTTCAATGCAATCTTCTGGTCAACTTTACTGTCAATACGGTCTTCTAGTCAACTGGGTCATTGACATTGTTAATATATCAACTTTGATGATCTAATGGCTTATTCATGGCTCTTCAAATACATTTTTATATCATTGTCTGAAGACATTTCCCTAGTTTCCTATCACTTCTGTCTTATAATAGAACAAATAGTGAGTTAGTATAGAGAAGATAAAAGTTATTTGAGGGAATGATGAAGATAGTGTAAGTGACACAATGAATGAGGCCAATGAATGAAGTGGACAAGGTCGCCTTACTATTTTGTGAGACAAATGAGGAATGACAATGTAATGTTGTGTACAATGAGGACAATTTTGCCAGTACAGCAGCATTAGCTTATTATCCAAATGTTGAGGTATCTTTCATGTACAATTAATTAACACACAGGGCATAAGTATTTTGTTGAAACCAAACAATTAGAACCATTTTCCATGTCAGCCCCTCCAACTTGCATCACTGACAGAGGGAAACAAGGCTGAAAAATCTAAAGGTATTATCCCGACCAATGTCAGAATGGATTTTCAACATTAGTTAATCTTAACATACAAGGACTATTTTACACAGGAACCATACAACTGAAATACCACCCAGAACTGCATAACTGACAGAGGGTAATCTAAAAACACTACCCCCACCTATAGCAGAATTGCACTACATCTTTTCATGTTTCAATAGTTGAGCCACAGTGGTACCAAGTAGAATAACGAACAGGAATATTGCAGAATTAACTAGAAGGTTATATAATAATAAAGAATATATAAATACTAAATATAAACTAACACATTATCAGTATAAGTAGAATTCTGGCACTTTTTCAAATTACATTGTCTCTAATCACACATTTAACAGATAAATCACTAAATTTATCTGGTGGAGAAAAACCTAGTTTTATCGTCAACTTCCATTGCTACTGTATATTCACACATATTATATGTATAGTACATAAATCTAAAGGATTGAGAACAGTTGTAAAGTGGCAAAATGATTGAGTTAAAGAGGGGCTCAGACTGACTGGCAATTTGACAGCATCTCATAGGTTCCTTCATAGTCGATAAACTGACCGTCTGCTAACAACTGTCTTTGCATAGCTCCTTATGCTACATAATATCGTATCATACTATTGCTATATTCTATTTTCTGCTCTTTTTAACTAAAGAATTATTTGAATCTTTTAAAAAATGTTTCATGATAAAAGTGCCGATATCCCACATGAAGAAAGCAAGTTACACTAAACTAGGAATTTTGAAACACAATTTTTTGCAGAAACAGATATTGTGTACGTCAAAGAATCATCCTTTTAATGATTTTGCAGAATTGAAATGGGAAAACATGAAGTAACTTTCTCTGCTATTGAAAAAATGGATAGAACTAAATCAAATGCAGTAAACTGAGTTTTGCAGCTGCTGCATAAAAGATTCCAAAATATTCAATTTTCTTGCTTTTAATGTAATAAAAATCTTCAAAAAGTTTAATTTAAAACAGAAACATTTTTTAGAAAACTTTAACAAAAACAGTCTTAGAAGATGCAAAACATAATTGATAGTTTCAAAAGTCACCATGGCCAAATGATGAGATCCTATATTACAGAAAAAGACCAACTTCAACCTAAAACAGTACCTAAAAAAACATCCTGAGAAACTTTTTAAAAGTTTGTTCATGTATTTTCTAAGGAGCAAGACAATTTTACCCAAAACCCACTTCGTCATTCTCAATCTAAAAAAAAACTATATTCTTGAGTCAAAATTGTAAGAATCACAATAATTATTCAAACTGATGATTTTCTCTATGAAGCCAAACTAGAAATAATTTCAACTTACTTGAAGATATAGTGTTATCTGGTTACAGATGTTTTACATTTCATATAAACTGATTAAAAACTTTCAAATTATTCCTTTTATGATAAAATATAGCTCAGATTTCTCCCAACTCATAAAAACACATGATCACATTAATAGCAAACTATTGGTGTTTAATACGTCTTTACCTGGTAGCAGTGTCTAGAACAATGATATCAAACACTATAAAACTAGAGTTAACTTTCTGATAATTAAATATCACGAACAATCAATCAAATTATATTGATATAAAACACTTGTGATAATCTTAATCAAAGTTTCACGAACGTGGGATTACTCTTAAACAGATACACAAAACTTTCCCGCATTGTTCATTTGTTCTTATTGTATCAAATCTAGTAATAGAAGCTGTCTTTACTATAAATATCATACTTTCTTATTCCACTGTATTGGAAATGTGTAAATTGAGCGAGGCTAGACCAAGAGATTCCAATTTCAGCCTGACAATGCCAGTCAAATTAACCTTCTCAATTCCACTTACTCTCAGAATTCAATTTCCAGGATTCCAAATTTCCTGCAAATCTCTTTCATGTTACTATGTAATAGAACTAATTTCCATTCAATCAATACATCAGACCAATAAACAATACACATTATACCAGAAACTAATCATAGGTTAACAATCTCATTTCTAATAGTTTAATAACACATTAACTGTCCTTAAGGTCATTGATAAATATATCTAGATACAGCAAGGATATACAGTGTTAGTTTAACCCTTTGAACACAAGGTGAAAAAAAAAAGACCTGCACCCTAAACACTAAGTAATATGACTAAAACACTATGTCTTAACACTATGTGACATAGTTTGGTAAGAGTAACTTCAATAGTGGCTCAAGTATATATACATCATTATGTGACTGGCAAAGCAGCTGCTAGTGTTGAACGGGTTAAAGATGGATATCTACTCTTTGATGTTTTCTGAGCTATGAACGAAACCCAAAATTTACATCAGCTTCCAAAAATAGAAGTTATTGTTTTACTGAGTACAGTAACCATTCCAGACTATTTTCAAATTCTAATGGATCTTAACTGAGCACAGCTTACAGGTAAAAAACTTCTATTTATTTTCAATCCACATAACAACATCACTGACATTAGGAAACTGAGGCATTTAAATAGATGAGCTACGACAAATCCAGTAAAACATTAAAAACATGTTATGCTTACCTTTTGAAGATGGTATAGATTTCCTAGACTTCCTATCTTCCCACTCCTGTAGTTTCTTGTTAAATTCATCACTTACTCCAGAAGCTGTTAAAATAAAAAAAATTCTCATTGATAATTGAAAATCATTTATCTTCTTCAAATAAGAGCTACTTAACAACCCTAGGGAAAGTGTTTTATCTTACTCATAAACCTTAAATCATTCTCAAACATGAAATAAGTCTTGTCAACGAATCCAATAAAATACCAGTACTGAAGAAAAGCTAAGCTAAGAAAACTGTCAAATAACCATATGATATTGGGTCAGGAAAATAAGGAACATAGGCGGTTCCCCCATAGTATTGTCATAGCGGGGATTTCCTTGCAAACTGTCTGTTTCCGTCTGTAAATGCAAAAATCGCTCACTTAGCCATCTGTTGCTCTTACAGAGGTTTTGATTAATATGTAAGCAGAACATTGGATTGCTAAGGATTTGGAGTTGGAGTTGAGATTGAGCCTGAGTCCTGAGTTTAAGTTTGCATGCACACATAATCGCAGTTTTAACCACCATCTTGTATGTGCCAGTGTCTAGAGTTAACCACAAGATCTCTAAGTTGTTGTTAAGTCCAGTTAATTATTATACATAAAATCCAGGTAACATTAAAATCAAATTTATGAAATAAGAGCAACTTTATGAAAAACTGAAATGTGAAGAACTGTATGAAATATGAACAATATAAACTGTCTGTAAATTAAAAAAATCATGACACTAGACCTTCCAGTCATTGTTTTAATTCAATCTATGTGCCCATAGTTACTAACTCTGGTTTTTTTCATAGGTGATCTATCTTTTTTTATGTAAATGGTCCTCCAGATATATACACTATCGAGGCTAGGAAACTAATTTCACATTCCTAAACTATATGAACAAACTTCCAGCAGACAAGAAGTTGAAGCAACTTAAATTTAAACATGACAGAGGCCAATTTGGTTGATGATATTCATCACTGCGCAGATTAAAATAGTGAAAAAATGTTTATCAAGAAATTATACAAAACTGAACTGAACTGAACTAAACTTATCATATTTCAAATCATCACAAAATTTTAAGACCAATTTTAATGATTTTATAGTTCAGAAAACTGAGAATATCTAACTAATCATAAACCTACTCAATTGTAAAAATAAGCAATATGGCCAGAATGAGATAAGATTGTTAATGAAAGCCTCAATACGTTTTAATTTGAAAAAGAATTTTGTAATTATATCAAATTTTCACATCAAATTTTTTGGGAAATAACGGAAATAAACCTTCTTTCCTAGCATGATTGAAAATTATACAGTTACTTCAAATTATACCAGTAATGAAGGAGCTATTTATGTTCTATCAGGTTTTGCATTACCAATTTATTTCATTTCATTAGCTTGATTGATCTAAATTGTAGTTGTAACAGTGTAAGGATGTAGTTAGTATGGGTGAGCAGAATCACTAGTTTAACTAGAGTTGGGGCCGTGGACTTAAGTTAGTTATGGCCCCTTCCCCAGGATTGTTCTTTTAAAGATATTCTCTCCTGCATTTTATTTCTGGGGGGGTGGGATCACTTAGTGGTAGGGAACCGTGAACTTGGTCAAACCATTCCCTGTGGTAGTTGAGCCACTGAGCATAATTAACTGTGTGATTAATCTCAATTTAAGAATGAGAGGCAAATATCCAGTTCCTGTACATCTTTTGACTTGTGGAACCGCCAGAAATAACAAGGGTGGGATCACTTAGTGATAGGGAACCATGAACTTGGTTCAACCAGTCCCTGTGGTAGTTGAGCCACTGAGCAAAATTGCCTGATTTCATATATGTGTGGTTAATCTCAATCTAAGAATTAGAGGCAAATATCCAGCTCCTCTTTTGTGGATCCCCCAGAAGTGACAACATTTAAATTAACAAATTTATCCGACTCGTTCTAACATACAAATTTACTGTGTAATCTGTCAAGCTCTAGCATCCAAATTAACTAGGTTATCTGTATAGTTCTAGCATACAAATTGACTGGGTTATCTGTCTAGCTCTAGTATACAAATTAACTAGGTTATCTGTCTAGCTCTAGTATACAAATTGACTGGATTATCTGTCTAGCTCTAGTATACAAATTGACTGGGTTATCTGTCTAGCTCTAGTATATCCAAATTAACTACGTTATCTGTCTAGCTCTGGTATACAAATTGACTGGATTATCTGTATAGTTCTAGTATCCAAATTAACTAAGTTATCTGTCTAGCTCTGGTATACAAATTGACTGTGTTATCTGTATAGTTCTAGTTTCGAAATTAACTGGCTATTATATGTTTAGCTCTACCATCCAAATTGACTGGGTTATCTGTCTAAATCTAGTATCCAAATTTACTGGGTTATCTGTCAGGCTCAAGTAGCTTTTATTCAAATCAACTGGATTATGGATTATAACTCTTATAGCTTTAGCGTCCAAAGCAACAACTAGGAAAAACTTGAGTTAGTACTCATATTGACTGGGTTATCTGCCTAGCTCTGTTATCCAAATTTAATGGGTTATCTGTCAAGTTCAAGTTTTAAATTAACTGGGTTACCTATTTAGCTCTGATACCAAATTAATTAAGCTATCTGACAAGCTTTAGTATTAACTGGATTATCTGTCTAGCATTTCCAGTATTGGTTATATATTGAAAGGAACAGTTCCAGTATTGGTTATATATTGAAAGGAACAGTTCCAGTATTGGTTATATATTGAAAGAAACTGTACCAGTATTGGTTATATATTGAAAGGAACAGTTCCAGTATTGGTTATATATTGAAAGGAACAGTTCCAGTATTTGTTATATATTGAAAGGAACAGTTCCAGTATTGGTTATATATTGAAAGAAACTGTACTAGTATTGGTTATATATTGAAAGAAACAGTTCCAGTATTGGTTATATATTGAAAGGAACAGTTCCAGTATTGGTTATATATTGAAAGGAACAGTTCAAGTATTGGTTATATATTGAAAGAAACTGTACCAGTATTGGTTATATATTGAAAGAAACTGTACCAGTTTTGATAATATATTAAGAATAACTGTAGGGCTGATCTTTTCTGTATTCAAAGAAACTTTACCAGTATTGGTTATATATTGAAAGAAACTGTACCGTTAAGCTTATCATTTATATATTGAAAGATACTGTATCAGTATTGGTTATATATTGAAAGGAACAGTTTCAGTATTGGTTATACATTGAAAGAAACTGTACCGTTAAGCTTATCATTTATATATTGAAAGAAACTGTACCGTTAAGCTTATCATTTATGTATTGAAAGAAACTGTACTGTTAAGCTTATCATTTATATATTGAAAGATACTGTATCAGTATTGGTTATATATTGAAAGGAACAGTTCCAGTATTGGTTATACATTGAAAGAAACTGTACCGTTAAGCTTATCATTTATATATTGAAAGAAACTGTACCGTTAAGCTTATCATTTATATATTGAAAGAAACTGTACCGTTAAGCTTATCATTTATATATTGAAAGAAACTGTACTGTTAAGCTTATCATTTATATATTGAAAGAAACTGTACTGTTAAGCTTATCATTTATATATTGAAAGAAACTGTACCTTTAAGCTTATTATTTATATATTGAAAGAAACTGTACCGTTAAGCTTATCATTTATATATTGAAAGAAACTGTACCTTTAAGCTTATTATTTATATATTGAAAGAAACTGTACCGTTAAGCTTATCATTTATATATTGAAAGAAACTGTACCGTTAAGCTTATCATTTATATATTGAAAGAAACTGTACCGTTAAGCTTATCATTTATATATTGAAAGAAACTGTACCGTTAAGCTTATCATTTATATATTGAAAGAAACTGTACCGTTAAGCTTATCATTTATATATTGAAAGAAACTGTACCGTTAAGCTTATCATTTATATATTGAAAGAAACTGTACTGTTAAGCTTATCATTTATATATTGAAAGAAACTGTACTGTTAAGCTTATCATTTATATATTGAAAGAAACTGTACTGTTAAGCTTATCATTTATATATTGAAAGAAACTGTACTGTTAAGCTTATCATTTATATATTGAAAGAAACTGTACCTTTAAGCTTATTATTTATATATTAAAAGAAACTGTACCGTTAAGCTTATCATTTATGTATTGAAAGAAACTGTACCGTTAAGCTTATCATTTATATATTGAAAGAAACTGTATCAGTATTGGTTATATATTGAAAGGAACAGTTCCAGTATTGGTTATACATTGAAAGAAACTGTACCGTTAAGCTTATCATTTATATATTGAAAGAAACTGTACTGTTAAGCTTATCATTTATATATTGAAAGAAACTGTACCGTTAAGCTTATCATTTATATATTGAAAGAAACTGTACTGTTAAGCTTATCATTTATATATTGAAAGAAACTGTACTGGTATTGGTTATATATTGAAAGATAAATACCATCCCTACTCACTCAATATCAATTACCTGTCCTTCTAAAAATAACACTAAAACAGTAAAGTTATGATTGGATTTTAGCAGTGATAGCTGCCAGACATAAATTCCACCTTTAACCTTTCTGGCCTTATAGTACTATATAGTGAATACTGTACACCATCTGCCTGCCTTCAATCTTCATTATAACTAACAACCTAATGTTGACTTTACTAATCTCATTTTTTAAGCCTGTTCTTCATCACTAACGAGAAATAGGGCAATTATCATTACTAGAATTATGATTTATCCCACCATTCTTTTTTTTTTGTAATTCTCACTGTCTAACTTGTACAGATTTATCAAGAGTCGGCAATCACAATTGCAAAGAGTAATCAAGCATTTCTTAAGAGTAATTATATATATTTGCCCAATTGCCCTGATTACTTTACATACATGCTACAGTTTTAACCCATTAAGACCTACAATTATTTTGAACTTAATATTGTCTAAACTGACCTAGGTTAATTAAAATAAAATACTTTGTTAACGAAGGTTAATAAATTTTTTCTCAAGGAACTTACTCGACACAGATATTGGGATATTCATCAGACTAGTCAAGTTTGTATATCAACCTAGCAACTGACAACAGTATGTTTTGAATCACAGTCCAACATGTTTCAATGATGCCAAGTGTATGAAAATAAAATAATTACCCATCAAAGCTGCTAAATCCATGCCTGGACTAGGAGGTCCACCTTGAGATCTTGAGAGTGGAGTTTTAATATAAGCTAAATCACTATGACTAGGTCCTAATGGTCGAACAATGATTGGAGATGTTTTTGGTGTGGAACGACTAATAACACCTTCACCAAATATTTCAGCTCCAAAATGTTCTTCCCTTAAAGCTTCCATATCAATTTCTGATGTTTCTTCACTGCGATTTCCATCTTGATCACTCCGATGTTTCTTTTTCTTAGTGCTGTCCTTACGAATATGAATAATATCCTTCACACGTTTCCATGCAGTTTTTTGTTTCTTGGATTCTCTTTCGAGTGAACGCACAGTTAATACATCATCTGTTAAAATAACAGAATCAGTTTCTGATTTATAACTAGATGATCGATGTAATGGTACAGCTTGTGCTACTTCCAAAGAATCATCAATAACACCTGATTCTGATACTAGAGTAGGACTAGAACGTCTCCGCGCTAATTTGGGTTTCACCTTTAAATATTTCTCACTTCCTGTTGAGTCTTTACCTAAATAAATACTTTTGATTTCGATAACAGAGCTAACGTCACTACTCACTCCTGAACAGCTACTTTCTCCACGCTCCTCACGCTGTCTCTGTAGCCATTCAGGAGGTCCCATCCACACATCCGTACACAGGTCAATATCAGCTGTTTGATTGGGTGAGCGAGATGGACTCGGAGCCTCAGTTGACGATGTCGACATTCGTAAACCTTGACCATCCATACTACTGCTCACCCCACTATCCAGTGATCTACCTTCATGTCCTCTAGGAGTAGGTGGACTTAGTTCTGATGGAGAACCAATACCAGTATAACGTAATTGTGTAGCACCTTTACCAAACTCACGTAAAGATTTAATACTAGAGCCTAAATCTTCATAAAACACTTTTTTAACACGTGCCCATTTGGAACTCTTACTTTTCTTATGTTTAGTAATTTCTTTGCGTATTTTGGAGGATTTAGTGATACCAACAACTTCTTCCTCTATGATTTCTGATGGTACATCTATTGAGCCAGTAGAATAGCTACGTTTATATAATGTTGCTGCTTTAGGTCTTTTATGACTTTTATCAGATGAAGATTCCACAATATCTTCATCTTCTACATTTAATTGTTGTCTTAGTCTGGAACGACTTTGCCTTGTTTTGCGCTGGTCATGACTTTCAGGGTCAGTGTTGGATTTCCTCAATTTAGCCTTTGGTTTAGGCAAGGATGAATAGCCTACAGGCATCTGACCAGCAATGGTGGATCTGAGTTGTAGTAAATCTTTGGTACTTTCTAAATACTCACATCGATTCTTCAGTCTGGAGTTCTCATTCCGTAGTGTAGATAGTTGTTCCATCAATCTGACTAGATTGTCAAGATGATCTAATCCAACACTTTGACGTAATGGACTCGGACTGGGGGATCGATGTTTCTTTGGTTTAGGAAGTAACTTCATTTGTTCTCTAAAGGATTTTTCCTGTTCTTCGAAAAATTCCATGACATTTTGACTGCTTCTTCTAGTTGACGATTGTTCAGCAAATTGAACTGTTAGCCTACTGCCAGGTTTATCTGCCTCTTTACTGGTTTCGGCATGGCCATTTTTTAGGGCCACATCTTGTTGATGTTTCGTTTCATCTTCTTCCAGTGGATCAGTTTCACCCACAATGCTCTCTTTTTCTTTTTCTTTGTCTTCTGCTTCTTCTTCAGTAACGGTCACTATGCAGGGGACAGTGTCTGGGGGTCGGGTCATCTTAATCTGTTTCTTTTCAAGTTTAATAGCCGGGATAATTGGTCTTGTCTCGTATATAACATTGACTACCAACTGCTCGTAACTCTTTTTCTTTAGAGATGGGCTTTCATCCATCTACTAAATTTCCAACAACAAGCCTGAAATATACAGAAAAAAACAAAACTTACACACTTGTATTCATCAATGTAATTTACATATTGTGAACAGCATGAATTAAATAGTAGCGTGGGGTATCCACAGGATAAAAATCCAGCACCAAGAAGTGTGCAATGGGTTAAAACCTTTCATAATAACAATGCAATTACACTTTGTAAATTATCATTCAATTCAGAAAGAACGTTTATTCTTTAATTTTCATTTATTAAGTGCAAAAATGTTTATTTAAAATTTTAAGATTGCTGTTTACAAAGTAGGTTTTGTTATAACTTTTTATATTTTAACATGACGAATTTGAATTTTTTAAAGAAAATGAGTCAAATGATAAGTGACAGTTCTAATCTTTTATGTTTGATATTCACTGTCTGAACTGCATGCTTTAATTAAGAAACATGTAGTTAAAATTTTTAAAAAGTTTATTTGAACTGAATGACTTGTGGTAATCTATAGATGAGTCATATTACCTAACATAAAACAGGTAAATAACATGGTGAAAGATGCAGGTAGAAGGTATGAGTTATTCCCAGGCTTTCTAGACAGTCTACAGAGTGCATGGTTCTTGTATATGGTCTATGTCAATTCAACACCAAGTACCCATACCAGTTATAAATAGAAACAAAGGTAGTAACATGCTTCATCAATTCTCTTATTGATGTAACAAACTTTTTTCGGTCTTGCCAAAAACGTTGAAAGAAATATACCTTTCAGACGATTAAATAAGTTAATTGGCATCATCTTTATATATTATCTGTTTTCACCAGGGATGGGATGAAAAATTTCAAATTTTACCTAAATTACTAAAAGCAGGCGTAAAAAACATTATCTAGTATGATTGCCAAGTCATATATCTTCCACCATTTTATTTAGTTTTTAACTTTAGAAGATAAAATTTAATGGTTTTGAAATCATATTTAAAGTACAAACTAAATCTGGGTCTTTCACATTTTCATGGCCAACAGTGTGAAATATCAGATTAGTTGGCTATCTTCAAGGTAAATATTCAACATGGCTGACACAGAATAAAATTTCTACATCGTGGCTTAACATTCAGGAGTTTTCATCAGACACGACTGGCACATACGTCAATTACATATATACCATAAAACTTTAAAAGATATACAAGAACTTACTACAAAGTGTATATTGAAGAAATAAATCCATCTACCTTGTTTTAAGATAACAATTACTAAGATAAATTATAATATACTATGATATCTAATTGATATGTAAATATTGTGTTTATATTAGCATATAATTAACATGATTAATAAGATAAATTAATAATCCTCATAGTAATTCCTTGTGATATAGAATATATTAATAATATCCTAAATATAGTACATTTTATAACTTAAAAAATCTTAATTTTAACTCTAAAAAGACAAAAATGTTTGCACAGATTATTCTTAAGAATTTTTTTCATTCTAATCTTATTGAATGGGAGATCCAGATACATCATTTCATGTTTTTTCTGTTGGTAACCTCACTTGGTATGAATGATCTTACAAGATTATTCTTTAAATCGTGTTCTCTTGAGCTTTGACCCAAAAATTTTCATAATGAATCCTAACCAATCAAAAAGAAAAGTATTTAAACAATACCATTCAATGTTTAATAATGAATATCTCAGAATTCCTCAATTATGAAAGAGAATCTGTCATTGAACAAATCAATTGATTGGTTGAATCTTAAATGACTCAGAACACAAGATATATATCAATTTCATCAGATCATGGATAGCAGATTGAGTCACTCACAGAAAAAAAACATATTTGCACTTTAATCAGAATGTCATGTTTTGAACAATGTGTAAAAATTAAGTTCAGAAGTCATAATGCCATGCCTCTACTTCTCTACATGAGGTTCTAGTATAGTATCTCAGATTATCTTGTTTTTTCTCAACACACTTCCTCTACCAGTCTTAAACATTGATAACCAACTCAGAATTCCTGATAAAATGTCAAATTTCAATCTCTCTTATCATTTACTAATTCTTGATTTAAACATGAACATATATTATTTCTACCTTCTACAATAACAGTACCTGAACAGTTAGATTACCTTAAAATTTACAAGTACAACCAACCTTGAGTATCAGATTATAACTTTGCTTTGAGCTCCAACCTATTTCCAATTTCAAAACTTAAAGGGATTGTAAAGAGGTTTTTCTAAATTTTTTAATGTGCATTGGGGACACTGAGAGCATCAATTTGCACCATTCCAATTAATAAGCATATGTCTATGGTTCCTGCAATGCCACTTAAACTAAAAGCAATATTTGCTTTATCACCACGATTAGTGACATCATCAAACACTAAGTTTTAGTGGATTTTCTGGAACCACAGATGTTTGATTGAAAATTGGAGTGGTGCAAATTGATGCTTTCAGTGTCCCTTATACAATTTTTAAAAAAACTCTTTACAATCCCTTTAAGCTCATTTTTTCAAACCTTTCATTTTAGAGATCAAATCCCATCATCTAAAATATCTATCAATTATATTTAGTCTACTTCTTTTAATCCATATTGGAATTCAATCCATCATGGTTCCTTGAAGCCTTAAACCACCAACCACATTATCCTCCAATACAGTCAACAATTAAGAATGTAGCTACAAAATGCAAGGCCCAAATCTACCCTATATGTTTTTGAACTTGGCACGCTTTTTCAGAGGAATAATGAAATTTATCATTTATCCAATATTAAAGGTAATCTTAACCTATAAAGTTTTATTGCATTTGAAGAAGGTAAATATCTTCCAAACATTTTACAAAATATGCCAGGAATTTTCTTTTTTTGAAGAAATTCTTTTTTAATTACAAAGTACTTCAATGATCTTGAAAATTAACATCATTATGTTCTTTGAGTTAAAAAAATATTAAGTGAAGAAGAGAAGATTTACTAATGTTAATAGGCTCACTAATAGATATTTTAGGAGTTCTAATTTATTTGCAAACTAATATGACCTAAAGAATGTTGATTTGCCAAGTAACTGAAACATACAAAATACCAAAAACATAGAAGAAAACTATTTCAAGAATTTTCCCACACTTTTGCTGCCACAAATCTATAACACATACTGACAAAAACTGATGCGATAGCAATATATGTTTACAAGATCTGCACTCTTCTATCAGATTTTGGTGAAGAAAAAAAAATGTTGAATATTTGGTCGACACCTGGCTTAGGTTAGAAACCTGATCACAGTTTTAATGGCTCTTACGTCATTATTCTAGGTGTAGGTAGCTAACCGCCTGCTGATATTGTCTATGGTAACCTCAAGTATTTTCAACAAGTTTCAGGTAATCATTGTATATAAGTCTCAATAACAACCTGTATCTTCTATTATATAAAGGTCAATCAACTTAATATCATGATTGCCTCCAGAGATTGCCTCACTTGAAAGATTGCTACAATATTTCTACTGATTCTTCCCTTCAGCTACACCTTCACCATTCTCCAACATCTGACATATGAATGAAGGATATTGTATGGCATATCACATATCATATATTGGAGAAATTTACTGACCACCAGGTTCAGGACAAAACAGGATGAATATATTATGTGCTGTTGAGTGAAGTGATAGTGAGATTTTGATTATTAGATTATTACTTATTTCTATAATAATGTAGTGGTTATACAAACTCCATGACCAGAACTAACAACAGTATCATTTTTCTATAGAAAGAGAACATTCAGTTGTCCAACTGGCACTGTTATGCTGTCGGCACACAAATATATTTTTTCTGCTTTTTGTCGCCAGCGCTAATCTTGAGTAAACTCTCGACAAGACTCTTGTAGGCAATGATCAAGACTATTCATGTGCCCACACCATTACAAAGACCCAGATCCTGTAGTCTGCAACTTACTGACTTCAGATCGGAGTTAAAAACTCAACTTTGGAATATCCTCTGCTCACTCCAAATTTTAGAAACCTCTTTACAATCCAATAATGTGCATTTCATTGGGACATACCTTAAAGTGAAGTCTTGTTCAGCACCAAAGCAGTTGGTAGAGGAGTACAGCACCAGGGAATCGGCTGACCTTGATAGGTGACCTGACCCAGTGCCAAGGCAGGTCCCCTTGACCACAGTAACCTGAAATGCACAAGAGAAATTGATATACTGTGTTTGAAGATAACAGAACATACTTAACATTTGGTAACAGAATTAGTTCCTTGTGTCTTGGGACCACACATTTCATAAATAAATGCATACAGATATCACATCTCCTGATGTTTTATGATTTATTCTGTAAATATATATAATTCTTGACCTAAACTTTTACCCTTAACATACCAATATAAATAAACAGTTTTTTTAAATCCAAAGTTGCTGCTAAGTAAAATTTTTATGTCAGGATTGACAGCCTAGACAACAACCATCTTTGTCTTAGGTCAAACCTCTTGGCATTGATCTTTCCAAGATTATCCTTGCCCATTTACAGCTGGGTTGAAATAATGAGGAAATTGACAGCAGACTTTTACACCACGACAGAGATAACAACCCACAACCACCAAGCTATTAACATCATATCTAAATGTTCTGACCCCCTTTTTCCATGCATAAACAAATACCTGTAAACCTTTTAAACCCAAAATAGTAATCCAAATGTAAGCTAGTACATTGTGGGCATATATTCAGCCAAATGTCTTTCAAAACATGTTCATGATTTATACTTTAATTTGTAGGATTTAAGGGCATTCACATATTTTTGCAATTTTTTTTTTCAAATTGAGGTTGCTATTTCATAAGCTCAAAAATATCTCTACTACATTATTTCTGTTTTTTAATAAAAAAAAAATCAACAAGACTTGTGCATAAATAAATGCACAAGAACTATAAATAATGTAGATAAAAAATAACATCTAAATATACATTGAAACTAGCACAGGTAGATATCCAAATCATCATTTAACCATTTGTTTGTTTCCCTGGCAACAACATGATATGGAGCA